TCGACTCGGTGTAGTCCGTACGGAGGACTAGTATACTAGTAGTGTTTACTCCGTACTCTGAGACAGTTGAAACGACGAGAAATATCATGTACTCCGTACTGGTATGTATCATGCACAATTACATATTACCGCGTCGCGCCAGACCCATCTGAATCGAAGGATGTCGCCATTGCAGATTACGCGGGTGGCGATGTTTTCGCCTGCAAGTGCAAGCCGACCGTTGCGAGCCGAAATACAGCCGAAGACCAGTTAGCAACATGCGACTGATGTTTATGTACCCGGACACCTGTACGGAGGCGGAGTACATGGGTTTCAGGTATCACGCCCTAAAGCACCCTAAAGCGCCTAAAATCCTTAAAGCCCCCAAAATCCCGAGGATCCGTTCCGCTGACCGCTAGAAGCTCCCATTTTCTCCCGCACGTTCTAGCGTGTATCGGACCTAATAATGAGTTTACCGTACGGAGTAGATACGGGACTACTGTACTTTCGACTGCCGAGGAGACAACGTTCTATCGAAATAGGGGGATCGGCTGTTGCCACCCGTGGACAGAGAGATCTCTTATCTCAGATCCCCCTTGCAGACCCCGGATTTGCTAGGGTTTCCGCGCTTCTTCAGACTTCGTACAGCACCTGGAAGTATACTGTGGTACTACTCCGTAGTATTCCGTATAGTACAGTATACCGTAACTACAGAATAGAGTAGTTTCGCGAAAATGGTTGCCCCACTGAGGCAACGGTAATCAATTGACTTTGTACGGCCTATACAGCTAGTATTGATGAGCAGTAATCCGCACCGGAGATCCGACGATGAAGCTCTGCAACTGGTGTATGAGACCAGGATATAGTAGCCCTTAAATTATATCGACATCATCGACTCCAGCGAGGTTATTTATTAGTCACCGTACCGAGCCGTTTCAGGTAATTTGAATACGGCTGTGACGTTTTCAGTCCTGCAACTGGAATGTCGACAGAACATACCTACTGCTTCCAGCTCTGGAGGTCGCGTGTACTAGTACTCTACGATCAGCGATCTCCGATCTCCGTACGGTACTCCTGGTAATTCGGCACCTCGAAACGTAGATCACGTGCGGCTCGGCGCCTGTCCTAATCCGGAAGAGCGGGTTGGGAACCATCTCATACCATGAGTGGCTTGCCCCGATTATTCCTCTTATCACTTCTTCGATATTGAATATCTTGCCCTGGAAAGTAGAAACCCTCGGGTCTCTATTGTTCTTTTTTCCCAATCCTCGACTTTCTGCCAAAAGGCGGGATCGCATCCGAGTGGGCTCTTGTGAACCCGCCCAAAAACCGCCGTCCACTCAAAAGTCCATCGAGGGGCACCGGCTTGTCTCGAGTCGCACTCTTTGCTCATTACCACTGGAATTCCTCCGTGTGAGCATCGCGCTTCAACGCGGGACTCAAGAAAAAAAAAGACTCGAAGCAACGTCGTTGTAGTAGACCCCCCTCGGGTTTGGCGTGACATCGCGCAGACCAGACAGGGAACCAGGATATTTCCTTGTCAGACCTCGATCGGAAACCACCACACGGAATTTTCTGCCGGAATTAATTACACCGGTCATCCACGATGACTGGCGCTGCCCCCATTGATATTTCCACTCGGACAACCTCAGTGTCGCCGCCGGGCCAGCAGGCGTCGAATTTAACCTCGGCCTTGCAGCGAGCGGGCACGGGTGAGCGCACCGGGAGCTTTTCACATCACCCGGGAGGAGCCCTCGGGGTGTTCAAGGCCCCGCCCCCTCGTAAGGACTCGATCGGCACCGCCACGGCACAATGGGGCAATGGAACGAAACCGATCTCCATGTCGGGCTCTGCCCGCGACAAGGGTCGCCGCGAGTCGCTCGCGGGGAGCCTAGTGGGTGGCATGAGCTGGGGTGGTGTCTCTGTGGGTAGTTGGATTCGTGATGAGTGAGTTGTTTCCTGGTGACGGCAAGTGGTGCGAAAAAACGCCCTTACCGCTGCTGCTGTTGCACCGCATCGAAGACTGACCAAGGAAAATCTCCGCAGTATCATAATGACTGGCACCTCGCCATTTACCTTCCAGTCGCCGTCTTTCCATTCTTCATCGTATCTCCCGAAACTAGAGGCCAACTTTATGCGAGACTTTTCGTGCTGCGGTGTGACGTTACCAACATTGCACGACCTATTACAACACTATGAGGAAGCCCATGCGACCAAATCACCCAACCAAGGCCACCGGCCGAGTCAGGGTGAGAACCGAGCTGCCTTGGCCGCCGCGGCAATCGCACAGCAACAGAGCCAACAGCATGGCAACCAAGGACGTGGCCTGCAACCCGACCGGACCCTGGACATGCAGCGTAAACTCGGACAGAATCCCTCCCCGTTACAGCACGCCGATCTGGACACAATTGACGACATGGAGTTGGACGACGCGCTCGGTGACGGCGATGGCTCAACCTCCCAGCTGTTCTCCCCCCAGATGCATGATGGACAAGGCGGATTCGGAAGCTCCAACCAGGTCTCGCAATTAAACCTGGGCATGTTGCCCAGTCACCAGGGATTCAACACGCCCTCGCAACCCGGCACACCGATCGGATCCGGGCGGCCTCTTTCTTTGCAGAACAACCCGACGGTCTCTTCCGTCAACACTCCAACCTTGATGGCCAACCCTCTTCAGAACTCACAGTTCCGCAACACACCCGATTCGTCCGGACCAGGGACCCCTGCAGAAATAGACGAAAGTATGATGGGTGGCTTCGGGGACCTCAGCATGCAAAATAACACCATGGGCCAGAACCAGAACCAGTTCGGCCGCTTCAACGGTAACAATAATGACATGGTCGACCTCTGTATCGACGAACCCGCCAAGCGTCTCTTCAGCCCCAGCGGTGGCATGGGCTCTCCCAACGCCCACTTTAAGCTGAGCGGGGCCCAGTACGGTCCCAATAGCGATATCGCACGACGCATTCGCGAGCAGCAGCTCCTGGCCGGCGTTCCAGATACAACCGTCATCCTCCCCAACGAGGAGCCCAAGCCATTCCGGTGCCCCGTCATCGGCTGCGAAAAGGCATACAAGAACCAAAACGGTCTCAAGTACCACAAAGCTGTAAGTGTGGCTGATACTTCGGAGAGAATACCCCATACTAACCACCCACTCTTTAGCATGGCCATAACAACCAACAACTCCACGATAACGCCGATGGCACTTTCTCCATCGTGAACCCAGAGACGTCCGCGCCTTACCCCGGCACTCTCGGCATGGAGAAAGAGAAGCCCTACCGCTGCGAGGTGTGCGGCAAGCGCTATAAGAACTTGAACGGACTCAAATACCACAAGTCCCATTCCCCGCCCTGCAATCCGGACTTCCAACTCGGAGGCCGCAACCTCGCCATGGGCGGCGGAGTCATGCAAGGGCAGAACATCAACGTGGCTGGAGCTGGTCTCCCCGGAATTGGCGAAGAGGGTCTCATGTGAACCTGTGAACCTGTGAACAAAACTGTGTCGTATGTCCATACATAATTCTCAGCTAATGCGAACGATCTCAACGGCCTTCGGGAGCACTCCACACGATGTCATGAATTTTGAATTGGGTCCGGTTCTTGGAGTTCTGTTTTCGAGACTTCTTCTTTTTACTTCCCATTACCTTTCTTTCTCTCTCTTCGGGGGAGAAGAATTTGTCCTTTGGCTTTTTGGGAGTGCTCTTCGAGTACGTTTCAACAATCATGATTGCCTTTGCTTGATTTTCCTCGCCTACAAACTCTTGTATCGGCTTGGTAATAGAGCCTGTCTTGATCAAGACTCAGATCAATACCGGCGACCAAGAACTGTCTAGAACAAATGCTTGACTGCTTGCCTCCACACTACGTCCGTTCTTGCATTCCCATGCATCTTGCTCCTACCGGGCTCCAAGGGAAGGAATTGAACCAGTTCCCTACTTGATTCCCCTTTCTCTTTGCTTTTGCTTGCGTTCTTGTCATGAGGTGGCTATTTGTTTTGATATTTATGTTTTCCTTTTTCTTCCTTTCGCTTCTATACTTGCGCGTTCAAAGTTCTCGTGTCTCGCGGAAAAGAAACACTTGGCTCGCAAACTCGATTACGTTTGCGCAACCTCAAACGCACCAAAAGTCAATACAGAGGGGCCAACATGGGATCTGGGGTACGTGGAATGTTTTGTGTGCGACGTTGAGTCCCAGAGTGCGATGCTCCCCTTTGCATGGTGTTTACTCCCCTGAGATGAACGGAACTGGGTCTGGGATCCTGGATGGGAATTGGAAATTATAAAAAGTGTGGTTTATCGGCGTTGGATATTTGTAGATATGGATTCTTGATACACTTTGGGTTTGTCTATGCTCCTTATCTTGCTATTATTTCATTTCTTCACTCTCTTGACCTTGGCTTCACTGGGCTGGTTTCAATATTTAACGTGAAAACAGCCAAAATTCACTTGTAGACGTTCCCAATTCCAGTGCTAATCAACACGGTATTTAGTATCACCAAAGCTAAGATTTCATCCGAACCAGTAAATGTTTGGAAAGTAGCCTGGCTATGAAGGTTTGATCGATGCTTTTATTATTTGCGACTATTTCAACAAGGTGGAATCGGATCGTTCAATCTTGGAATGTTTTTTATTAGACCTAGCCGTATCGGCAATTCGTTCTAGTACAATGCCAGCCCAACAGGGCTGGCCAAGCGCGAGGGGAATGGGACATAAAAGATAAAAGTAAAAGGCCAAACCCATCCATTCTCACTCGTTAGCGCCGTGAGCCGTGAGCTCAAAACCAAGCAAAACACGGGAAAAGACCCCTGGACGGAGATGTTGATATCTGGGTAGTGGAAATCATGAGAGGAATATTTCGCTTGCACAAACCGTTTCGATGGCGTAATGGAAAAGACGTAGAGATTTGTTTTCGTTTGTGTTGCAAACACAAGTAATGGGGAAATTGTTACAGAACGAGAAAATGAAGTCGTCAAATGGATGCTGGAAGGGGATTCGAGAACAGCCGAGTCGCGGTAACGTCCGACTACCATTCGAACTCGCCTTGACCCTTGTGGAAGACGTATCTAGTGATGTTAGCGTAGTTCGCATCAATGTTAATTTCAAGATCTTACTCCTTTCCACCGCTGGTCAGGATACCATCCTTCAGGGTGCACTTCCACTTGTTCTTGACGCGCTGGACCTTGTCGTATGTGCAAAGCATGACTTGACCTTCTGACTCGTCGGCATCGTGGTCATCAGCCACAAGGTCATCCGGGTCATCGAGGTCAGAGTTGATTGCGTCCTCATCTTCTTCTTTGACGTCGCCGTCAGCGCCATCAACCTGGCCGGGGAGCCGGGGAGCCGAGGAAACCCCGGCACCTTGGCCGAGCGAGATAACTGCACGTCGGGACACCTTGGAAGATGATTCGTGCTCGTCGAGAGGACGCATGAGACCTCCTCCCTCGTACTCGCTCATACGTTGTTTGATGTACTCGCGCAACAAGTGGTCACCCTGTCCGCTCTGGGCGGCTGCCCTGCGACGTGCGACTTCAGCTTTCCAGTCGGTCAGAGGATCATCTCCACCATCCGTCTGCCCTCCCATGGGGGGATACCCATGTTCTTGTTTGATGTGTGGCATTTGCCCGTGGGCATTAGGATGCATCTGAGGGTATCCTTGTCCAGCCTGGGCCTGCGCTTGCATTTGGCTGACGGAGGACGCGGCAGCAGCACCGTATCTCTGCTGGAGAGCAGTCGCAGCACGGTCGCGGGCTGACTGAGGGTTCATACCGTGCGGGGGCATCTGAGGTGTCATCTGAGGCGCCATCTGAGGCATTGGTGGTTGACCGTTGGACCCTGGTTCAGTCTTGATGCGAGGTCCACCCATGGCCATGGGAGCTTGCATCTGCACGGGGGCATGTTGAGGAATTGAGACGGGAGGGGGGATGTATTGTTGTTGTTGCTGGGGTGGAGGTCGAGGGGCATTGGAGGGGACAGTAGCAGGAGGGTGGATGGCGTTCTGGGTAGGCTGCACTGGGGCAGGGTCCCAGGGGAAGTGAGCGACGTTGACGGAAGAGAGCTTCTTTTGCCAGGTCTGTCCAACGTCAGTATAATATACCAGCAAGTCATGGACGAATGAGATGATGGGACAGAGGCTTGGCAGTCTAGAGCCTAAGCGGGTAACAGCGGCACATATAAAGGGAGACTCATAAGTCGGTGTTCCCCCAAAAGCACCGCCTCCCGCACCTCGGATTCCCCCGCTTTTGGCCGACCCAGATCAACCACACCGATATGCCAGCCAAAGACAGTGGTCTAGATAGAAAATGATGGAGCACTAACCTCTCGCAGATCGTGCAGGGTCTGTTGATCGACGCCGCTTTCTTCGAAATCAACCTGGGAGGAGTCACAGACCTCCTGGATGACCTTCTCAAAGACCACACCCTGTGGACCAACAGTGTTAGCTCTCGTTTTGGTTCAAAGAAAGTCCAGCATAGAAAGGGGCGAAGATCAACTGCCGTTGGTGTTGGAGGATGGCATGAACTCATGCAGAAAGCTATGGTGACTTACCACTTGCTGGTTCGACATTATTGCGGTTGCTGGGATGTAAAGAGAGGCGGTGGGGGAGAGTCAGGGCAGCGAATGACGGAGAGACTGAAGTTGACAGAAGAGACAGCCCTGCCAGAGGAAGGAGCTATGGGGAGGGAAGCGCGCTGTCGCAAGGAAGTTGCCGCGAGGTTGCACCTTTCGGGAGTGACGCAATTTCGAGTGAACACCGGGGGGAAAGGTAGCTCTCACACACTGCAGAACGGATCGGGAGCTGTCAGTAGGCCACAAACCACCAGGGACCTTAAAATTGAGATGACGAGTTTCCCGATGGGTTGCTGGAAGGTGAAAGATACCGCAATGCGGTGGAGATCGCACTGGATCCGCGGATGCTTATGTCATCAGGCAGTTTGTCGCCAAACTCCACAGTATATAAAAGCCCACTCAGTTACAACACATATCTAATATCGATGAAAGATGGATATCAAGAGCAATGTATTAACCAGGCCATATGAATGGCATTTGTACAATCTGAACACCCACCATACGGTAAAATAGATACAACGAACAAAAACGCCATCCAGAACACCAAGATCAGTCTAGCCGAAAAGCAGCCACAACACCATATTATGTCCCAGCCCATCAATGCTATCAAATGTGAACCGGGTATCGAACGAACAAGGAGAGAAATGTGCAAAAATGATCCACTCAGCGGATGGTCATGGACTTGGTCATCTGGGCCTTGCTGCCCACGCCACCCTCACGAGAAGCGGAGGCACTGCTGCCAGGCTTGCGCTCAAAGATCTTCCAGAACTTCAAGCTCTCATCAGCCGCAGTCGTAGCAAGCATCTGGCCATCGGGACTGATCGCACTGTGAAGAACACGGGTCTCGTGAGCCGGAATTTCCACGTTGCGGACCAAGGTAGGGTAGCTCCAAATGCTGAGGGAGTTGTCAGGGAATCCACTGGAGCTGACGATCTCGCGGTAGTGGTTGCTCCAGCGCAAGGAAGTGACCTGGGAGCCAGTGTCAATGCTGTTGGTGCGGGCTCCAGTGGTGGTGTTCCAGAAGTGAATGTGACGATCGTAGGAGCCACCGCCAGTGGCAAGAAGGTTGGATTGCCAAGGGCACCAGCTAAGAGCCTTGACAGCTGCGCGGTGGTTGGTCTTGGTGAACTTGGGGGCAGTAAGGGAGCGAGCATCCCAGATGTTGACGAGGTTGTCGTTTCCACCAGTGGCCAATTGAGCACCATCGGCGCGCCATTCGAGCCCGCAAACTTCCGAAGTGTGGGAAACCAACTCCGCAATCTTGTGATCCGCGATGCGAACATCGTGGTTGTAGACGAGACCACTGCGGGCTCCAGTGGACAGAGTGTGCTTGTTCCAGCCCATGACACCGACGCGGGAGTCGTGGCCGTACATGCTGCGCAGCTTAGAGCCCTCCTCAACATCCCAGATCTGGACTTCACCAGTTCCCAAGCCAACACCAACGTAGGCACCGTCACCACTCCACTTCACGCTGCTGACGTAGGTATCAGGAGATGTTTCCAAAAGGCAGTTAACTGTTCCAGATTCCGCAGACCAGACGTAGACGTTGCGCTCAAGACCAATGGCGACCTGGTTACCCGAGCTCCAATCAAGCAAGTTGAGATAGTAGTCATCCAAAAGACCGGGGGCATCCAAAACACGCTCCGGGGCAGTCTGTACGCGGCGACGGAATTGAGCAGCAGTGGACTTGGCGGGACGCAGAGGACGGTTGTACTGGGCGCGAAGATCAATGGGCTTCGACGACTCAGGAGGAGGCGGCTTGAATGCAAGAATGCGAGTATTCATGCTCACCCCACAGGCTTCAGCCAAAGAGGACTTGTATGCAGTCGCCTCTGGTGCTGGGCGTGTGTAAGCCGAGGGCTCGTTGTCTTCTAGACCCATGTTCTCCAAAGCAGAAGCCAGCTCATCATCGAATCCGCGCGCGCCAATGTCGAAAGCGCTGGCACTGGCCGCTGACGCAATGACTGAAGTTCCATCACTTCCACTGCTCCCACTCTTGGGGCGCTGTCCCTCTTCAGGCTTGGCAGCTCCCGTCGTGGCCAGACCCTCACTGGCGGCCCGGTTCGGGATAAAACGGTCACCGGCGTTGTGCGAGATACGCACGGTGGTTTTGCTTGACCGAGTGCGAGGGGCAGTCTCTCTGCGCACACGTTCCTTGGAAGGTGTGTTGGCTGATGTGGCGCTTGTACCGGTCAAAGTCCAATCAGACACGCCGAGCTCTAGGTGCTTGGGGGACTTGCGGGTGCGGGCAATGTTTGACTTGGGGGATTCACGGTATGCGGGACGCGCAGTCTTCGACACAGAGGACCTGGTGGATACGGAGGGCTTGCTGGAGACAGACGACTTGGAAGACACTGATGGCTTTGTAGCGGCTGAGGACTTCGTCGAGACTGAAGACTTGGCGAAGTGTGCGGACAGATTTCCGCCGTATACAGACTTGGATTGTCCGCGGCTCGAGTCGGACTGACGAGGGGGAGGAGTGAAAGGCGACTCTTGGCCGCTGGCACGGGGGTTTGGCGAGGGGCTGAGAGGAATACGGCCTCCAGCTGTCTTGGTGGAGAAGAGTCCGTGGTGGCTCTTCACCGGAGTTGACACAGTGACGGAAGTCATAGTGATATGTGAAGTTGATAGAACGGGCCCAGCCCTAGTATATGTAAGATACTAATCGATGTGGTTGATACGCGATCAAACAATGGAAAAGTATGCAGCAGTGATGATACAGAGGTGGTCGTTGGATTGATAGGGAAAAGGAAAGTCAAGTAGGCCAGGGGAAAGAATAAATAGCAGGTATACTTGCTAAAACCTCGTAGTTCCCCCCAGCAACGGTCTCCTGGGTAACATTCTGCCCCATTGGGACTAGCGCCTGCTGACACACCATGCCAGGCGCTTGCCTCTTTGGACGATCGTCTTGGCGTTTGGTCCCTCGCGATGGCCTTATTGAGTCGGGCAACAAAGGAAATTGGCAATTTACGCATCTCGGACCTCAAAGGCATGGTGCATTGTGTGTAGTGGCTCATCTCGAGGTCGCCTTCTCTTGCCACTGGGATGGCGCATCTCTTCTGATCCCCACCAGGCATCTTCCTCCTAGTTCCACCCAGACCCACTCCCACGACGTCTCCCTGTGATCTTCGAGGCTCCGAACATATCTTGGTTTTTTTCGAGACAATGCAGGAGGCTTACCTGATGCCCTCCAGCCCGGCCGGAGGTCGTCGGACCAGCGCCGACTACCGCCCTAGTATCAAGAAAGCTCAGGGTCATGTCCCCGCCTGCTTGGTCAATGCCTCGGTGACGTACTGCAACAATGATCGCATCTACGCCTTTGGAGGCTTCGACCAGTACACCGACGAAGGTCGGCCTTTTTTTCCCTGGTGTTTGTAAAACTACACACTAATTAATCTCAGTCTACAACCACGTGCTGAGGCTAGACCTCGAGACGTTGCAGTGGGAACTCGTCGACAACTATGGCGACATCCCTGGAGTGCGCATGGGTAACCATCCTTCTTCCTCATTCGCCCGTCATACTTTGTTTCGTTGCAGCCCTCTGATTTGCTAAATCCCCGGTGACAGGACATACCGCGACGCTATACCAGGGTGATAAACTGATTGTGTTCGGCGGCGAAAACGAGCATCGCGATTACCTATCCGACGTCGTCATCCTTGACCTCAATACCTTCACCTGGACACTGCCTGAGATCCGGGGATCGGTTCCGCGCGGCAGAGCACGCCATGCCGCAGTGATTCATGAGGACAAACTCTTCATCGTAGGGGGAGTGACAGGCGAGAAAAACGATATACTGGACGACTTGACATACTTGGATCTGCAAACCTGGACTTGGTCTCGAACATGGAGCTTTACCGCCCGGTTTGATCATACAGCCTGGGTCTGGGGCACACGCCTCTGGATCTTCGGTGGACTAGGCCCCAACATGGAACGGACGACTGATATTTGGTGGCTCGACCTGAAAGGGTCCCCATCGCTAGCCGGAAACCTCACTCCCCAAGGTAGCGTCGACTCCCTGGATGTCAATCTATCCTCCACTCATCTCCCAGACTCCGTATCTAGTAGCCCCCATCAAATGTCACCCCGATCCGGGACCTATGCCGCAAACTCGGGAAGTGTCCAGGTGCGCAATCTAAGTCGCCGGAAGCAACTTGCCCCTGGTGCAATCTCATGTCTTCGCTTCAATTCCGGTCCCCAGGTCCCCTCCCTCTTCTCAGGCACACATTTCCACTCCTTTGCATCCGGTGTCTTGCTGGATCTTATCACACCATCCGAGACCGTAAGGTCGCATGATTGTAATCTCTCGGCCTTGGAACTCAACTCACTTCGGTGGCAACGGATGGCTGATGGGCAAGAGATCTTCCGGCCCGGCTACCGATGGCATTACTGCACAGTCAACGACACAGGAACGAAAGCTTGGCTCCTGGGGTGTAGTCTCAGTGTCACGGATATCCCGGGTGGCGGCGATGACAATCACATGAGCGAAGTCCTCACCATCGATCTAGAAAAATACGGCCTGTCGGTTGAAACCCCCGCGCAGGATTCCACCTGGCCATATGATCAAACAGGCCCGTCTCAAACATCCGGGCTGGGGGCTGATCTAGCGGCTGTTTTCGACCAACCCGAGTCGACCAGTGGTACGGATTTCATCATAACCGCAATTCGTGATGATCACGAAGGCTCAGTCGTGGACGATGCGGGTGACATGCCGGATGTCTCTCAATCTGAGACCAAGCCAACCTTTGTGGAACCAAGCCCTTGGACCTCCGAGCCCATCCATGTCCATCGGATTATCTTGCAGCTGCGGTGGCCACATTTCAAGCGCCTGTACTCGGCCCAGATGGCCGAATACCACACCAAACGGATGCACATTCCCGAACCTTACTCTGTCGTACGCGCATTTCTTTACTATCTATACACAGATAGTATATTCGGGCCTCCGGACTGCTCCGCGAGCGTCATCGATGTCGCAGGTATGCTTGTCATGGCTAATCTCTACGACCTGCCGAAGCTTCGGTTACTGTGTGTCAATCGACTGAGCCGAGAGCTCGACGTAGACAATGCGGCCATAGTGTGGGAGCGCGCCGGTCGAACCAATGAGCACTGGCTCATGCGCCGAGCCGCACAATTCTGCTTGAGCTATTGGGGTCGTGTGGTTCGTACAGATGGCTTCAAGTCTCTGAGCCACCAGAGTTTGATCCAGCTCTGCGAAGTAGTGGATACTGAAGGTCGCATCATCGCAGGGCCTGAGTTAGAAATGGTCACGTTGGGGAATGACTTAGGGGACCGAGACAAGGGATCTCGACTGCGTCTAGGCTCGACTACGGACGAGATGTCTGAGTTGGAGGCAGACGACGAAGGTATGGAAATTTCATGAACATTAAACGAATGGGGCACGCATTATCGTCCGGAGTTCTTGGCCCTGCATTTTGAATCTAGCATGAGTTTTGAATATAGAGCTGTAAATTTTGATGTCTCTTTGAACGGTGAGCGGACCGGTCAGCCGCGGCGGCCGCTAAGAAAACCTGCAGTGGGCCTCGACGCTCTCGGCGCGGCGTCTCCTCCGGATCGCGGAGATCATTCCTCTCACGATAAGGAAGCTCTCGTGTTTTGAATCTCCCTGGTCTGTGGGGGTTTCAGATGTTGAGTTTGACGACTACATAAATGTCGCCGGTACGCTGGTTTCTCTCGGACATCTGGCTTAAACGTCAATACTCTTGAATTGTCCGTCATGGGTTCCGCCGAGCGATCAACCTTGCCCTCAGATTTTGTCTGGGGGTTTGCAACAGCCGCCTATCAGATTGAAGGTGGTTTCGATGAAGACGGCCGTGGCCCGTCGATTTGGGATACATTCTGCAAGATCCCAGGCAAAATCGCGGGTGGCGGCTCGGGGGAGGTGGCTTGCGACTCGTATCATCGAACACACGAGGATATCGCCCTATTGAAAGAATGCGGTGCTTCCGCTTATCGATTCTCTCTATCATGGTAGGATCACCATTGAAAGTTCTGTCTCGTTGATTTTCGATTATTGATTCGATGAAACATAAAGGTCCCGCATCATTCCTCTTGGTGGCCGCAACGACCCGATCAATGAGAAGGGCTTGCAGTTCTATACGAAGTTTGTCGATGACTTGATTGAGGCGGGAATCACACCGATGATCACACTGTTCCATTGGGATCTCCCTGACGAGCTCGACAAGCGATACGGTGGACTCCTGAACAAGGAAGAATTCGTTGCCGACTTTGCACACTATGCCAGAGTAGTCTTCGAAGCATTCGGATCCAAGGTCAAGTACTGGATCACTTTCAACGAGCCCTGGTGCAGTAGTGTATTGGGGTACAACACGGGATCCTTTGCCCCAGGTCACACAAGCGATCGTACCAAGAGCCCAGTGGGTGATGGATCGACAGAGCCATGGATTGTTGGCCATAGTCTGCTCGTTGCGCATGGAGCCGCAGTGAAGATATATCGTGATGAGTTCAAAGAACGGGACGGTGGTGAGATTGGCATCACACTCAACGGTATGCATCTTCCTCGGCGAATATAATGAGCTCTCACTAAACCTGACAGGCGACTGGGCCGAACCATGGGATCCAGAAAACCCAGCGGACGTGGAAGCCTGTGATCGGAAAATCGAATTTGCCATCTCGTGGTTCGCAGACCCCATATACCATGGAAAGTACCCGGATAGCATGATCAAGCAACTGGGCTCTCGTCTGCCATCTTGGAGTGCAGAGGACATTGCGCTCGTGCATGGTAGTAACGACTTCTACGGGATGAACCATTACTGCGCGAACTTCATCCGTGCCAAGACAGGAGAGCCGGAGCTCGACGACATCGCGGGGAACCTGGAACTTCTGCTTGAAGATAAGAACGGTGTCAGTGTCGGCCCCCTCACACAGTCACCTTGGCTGCGACCTTCTGCTATTGGATTCCGCAAGCTGCTCAAGTGGCTCAGTGAGCGATACGGATACCCCAAGATCTATGTCACCGAGAATGGAACCAGCTTGCTAGGCGAGAACGATATGGAGCTCGATGAGTTGCTCAACGATGAGTTCCGGGTGCAGTATTTCCGGGACTATATTAACGCCATGGCTGATGCTTATACATTGGATGGCGTCAACGTGCGGGCCTACATGGCTTGGAGTCTTATGGAGTAAGTTATTTCCCCCATTTGGCGAGATCATGTTGAGACTAACGTTTTTGATCTCTAGTAACTTCGAATGGGCCGAAGGCTACGAGACTCGGTTCGGTGTTACCTTCGTTGACTACGAGAACGGACAGAAGCGAATCCCGAAAAAGAGTGCGAAGGAGATTAGCCAGATCTTCGACCGATTGATTGAGAAAGCTTGAGTGGACATTGATGGGATCTGATATCAGTTATTAGAATTTTGTGCATCGGTACATATCTCCCAAGCTTGGACTCATGTCCTACCAACCAAATTGTTGAGACTTAAGCTTCAGCGTGTTCGCATCTAGATGTAGGCACTGGTGCATGCCCAGTGAAAGTGCGCCCATTCTATCATGCATGATGATGGGCAGTGTTTTTATCTCTGATATCGATAGTATCCAGTGAACCTGCGCTTGCAAAAGCAGTGTTAGGTTGAAGAAAAACTGTATAGATCTGAGAAAGGAACTTAGTAAATCCGACCCCGAAATAAATACCTGCAATCCTCGCATCGCCAGGTACACATTCCTCCCAAGATGAATATATCCCAGTTATCAAATCAGCTTTCGACAGAGCCTCACAGATTTCCTGATTGCTGCTTAGGGGTATCCAGCACCTTGATCGACCATATCACCTCCATCCTCCCCAAAAAGCCGGCATTCACTGTATCTGTGGGCAGTGGCTCTGGCCTCCTGGAAGCCTTGATTGTGAATCGCCATGACAATGTATCGGTACATGGCGTTGAGATTGGATCGACTGTCAATCGATACATTGCCGAAGAAGACATGCATGTTGTGACCGGCGGCTGGGGCCTCTGCCCTGCTGCTCAACAGGCCTCGGCGTGGCTATTCGTTTACCCGCGAGATCCAAAGCTCATCAAGAAGTATATTGATGTGTATGGCCATCAGTCCATCGATTTGATCATCTGGTTTGGACCTCGGGTGGATTGGCCAGATTATGAACCGCAATTCGCTCAATCATCATTCGCCGAGTTGACTTTCCCAGATGATGTTGGAATGACACCCTATGAATTGATGGCTGTTGCAAGGAGGAGTTAATGTCACGATGGGGCCTGCAGTACTTTGTTGAGATGCCAGGTGGGATGTACATATTCATGGACGGATGCTTGTAGACACGATATATACCGATTTATCCACATTGTACCATACAATCTTTGAAGGGACGAGCCTTGGAAATGGGGAGACACAAGACTGGTTCAGTATATTTGCCATATTTGCCAAAACCAAAACGATACTGGATATAGTCCACTGACGCGTATAACTCGGCGACAAAAGTACTTCACTAAGTTGATGCCTGGTATTTCGGGTGTCAACCCCCGGATCCTCATGTGGGGGTCAACTTCACAGGTTTGATATCCGCGTTGAATGTCTGAGAATGGAATATCCCAATCATGATAACGCGCTCTTCACCCACCAGAGGTCGTATAGCCGCACCAAAGTCCCGATCAGGCTGTAAAACCTGCAAGTGAGTTGGAGAGCCACAGCCGCCGGTCAAGACTAACGACCACAGAATCCGCAGAGTCAAATGCGGCGAAGAAAAGCCCAAGTGCCTACGCTGCACAAGTACTGGGCGAAAATGTGATTTCGAGACAGATGTCCCTTCCGCAAGTCCGTTGAAATCAGCCTCTCTGGCCCCAACCTACGCTATTTCATCATCCCCCGGTTCCGGACACCGAGAGCGCCGTGCATTCGAGTACTACTTTCAACATGCTGCTCAATATCTCTCTGGTGGGATGAACATTAATTTCTGGACTGGTATTGTGCCGCAAATATGTCGCACTGAGCCCGCTATCTGGGATGCCATCATCGCCATCAGCAGTCTGTTTGAGTATCCCGTACAAACATCTCATTTCACTTTTTTGGGACCTCAGAATCAAGATCCCGCACTTCATCAAGCCCAAAAAGAGGCTCTGACCTGGTATTCTCGGTCGATATCTGGTATTCATGCCCAGATTGATCGTGGAACCGCAGATCCTTACGTCTCCCTTGTCACCTGTGTTTTATTCATCTGCGTGGAGACCATTCAAGGACGCATGGAAGAAGCTCTCAAGCTTCTTCAGCAAGGTTTTAGTTTGATACATGACCTTCGTTCGAAAGCTTTCCACACATTCGTCTCATACACCAAAGTTGCTCTGTTGGAGGATACAATCATCCCTCTATTTCTGAGGCTGAATACTGTTGCCCTCAACATGTCTGGCACACACGCGAGTCCACTATTCGTTTTTGAAAAGTCTACAGAGTATGAGCTCTCATGTCTTGACTCTGCTAGGAACAAAATTACTACTTTGGCTGCCGAATGTATGCTCTTCCAACGCGAGGCGGAGATGCATCTCCGAGAGGTCGTCGACCAAGCAAGCGTGGATTCACGGTTTTACGCCACCCAAAACAACCTTAAAGCTCGACTTGATCATTGGCTATTTGCATTCACGAAATTTTGCCAGGTGCCCGAACACGAGCTTTCCAGCGCTCTTGGGAAGCCTGCTGTCTGCGAGCCAATACTTCTCATTTACCACGCCGCTGCATATATCTTAGTTGCTACATGTCTGACACGACACCAATCCGTGTATGATGATTACCTGGATCGTTTCCAGACGATAGTGCATTATTCAAGTATGGCCCTGGACACGCTAGCCAAACCAAATGGTGCTCCTCCGCCATTCACTTTTGAAATGGGAGTCGGACTCCCATTATATCTGACTGCGTTGAAATGCCGTCATCCAAGTCTAAGACGGAAGGCTCTACAACTATCAAAACAGGGGCCCCTGGTACAAGGGTTTTATAAATGCCTACCTGGCATCGCTTTGGTTGAACACCTTATGGCCCTCGAGGAAAGCTACAGTGCGCAATCAGCTCAGGTTATGGATCAGAGCGACTTGCGAGCCTCTAATAGCATCGTTTCCACCGATGATACTGATAGTCCCCTGGATCTTGCAGCTCTCGTTCCAGAAGAAGACCGCATCTGTGATGCTGGAGTCTTTCGACCGCAAAATGGTATTCCGTATGATGTATCGGAGGCGGATGTTACGAAGTGGAATTGTCGGCCTGAGCAAATCTTTATATCTTTTCGACGACTTCGATATCAGAATGATTCTGGTACATGGGTGATAGTGCATGACTGTATTCCGATGAATTTTTGATTTCCAACAAAATATTCTAGCATGCTTTCATCGCAACCGTGTCTTCTTCTCATTCCAGCCTCGTCATGACTGCATAGAACCCTTGAAGGGCACAAAAAATATTGTGCAACTTCGCTCTACGTAGCCAATTCCATCAACAAAAGACGAGCATTTTAATGATGAGGATTCTGGTCCAGTGCTTCAAGGTTGTGTAATCCTAGGTAGTACTCATTAAACGACGTGTAAATTCATATCTGAGAGCTCTCGCTCAAAGAGCATATCTAAAATGCTTAGACTCCATATCAGTCATATCGTTAAAGCCGTCCAGGATAGCTTGAGCAGAAATATCTTCCGGTGCAACGTCACCACTCTCCCTAGCTGCCGCATCTCTCCTGTTATTCTCCCATTTCATAGCAATATACGCCACAGCGGACAAGACAATGATACCGGCATAGCATATCAAAAGCCCCGCCAAAGCCGAGTAATAGCGAGGAGCTTCTCGCGAGAAGAATATATTGGCTCCCGCCACATTACCAGCAGCGTAAAGCGTGAACCACATTCCATTCGCCACAGCGCGCTTCGTGTGGCCGCCAACGTTGGTGGCGAGTAAGTTCCACGAGACAATAACCGGTGCACCGATGATGTACTGCAACCAGGTACATCCAACCAAGGTCCAGCGGTGATCTAGATCTGTGAAGCGAATACCCAGGAGACCGCCAAAGGGAATGAGGCAGACAATTGCGAGGACGATACAGCGCGAGTCTTTGATGTATGTAGCGACAAGACCGCAGATCGGAACAACAAGGGCTTCAATGGCGCCAGTGGGAAGTTGCAGCAGCGTAGCATAAATCCCATCAAATCCAAATCCTTTGATGAGTGAAGATGCAAAGTTGGAAACACCGCCGTTTATAACACCGCATGCGATTCCAATTCCGGCGCAGCACAGGACCTTGATGTCCCAAAGATTCTCGAGAGCTTGTCTGGGTTTGATCTCCCGAGTCTTCACACCAATCATGTTTTCAGCGACTCGTTGAACGGCTATGACGCGCTGTCGGTGGGTCAGGAAGCGTGCAGAGCTGGGCGAGTCGGGCATGAGCCATAGGAAAAAGCATCCAGAGACGAAGTTGAGAAGACCAATCGTCAAGAAAATCAATTGCCAGCTGTGGAGAGAGGTGTTGTGCGTATGACCGAGGCCAAATCCTAAGAGGGCACCGACCATAGTGGCCATTCCGTTGGCGCTCAGCCAAATCGCCATGCGAATTGGCTGTTCGGACCGCTTATAGAACATTGCTGTGAGGTTCATCACTGAATTCCAGAGATAAGTATCATGCTTTGGTTGGAGGCTCTGTAAAACTTACTGCAGGGACTGACTCCAGCTTCCGCCATGCCCAGTAGGAATCTCAATACCAAGATTCCTCCATAGTTTGTTGCCCCGATATGTGCGATGACAAGTACACTCCAGAGCAAAAGCATCCCGCCCATGTACTTGGCAATTGGCAATCTCTGGATCAATAGACTGGCTGGTAGAGCCCAGAATAGATAGCCGAAGTTGAAAATAGCAGCAACCCATGAGTACCGTTGACCTTCGAGGCCAAGGTCCGGGATGAGGGAATACGCAGACGCATAGTTGAGTGACAATTTGTCTGGCCAGAGTCAGTATTCTCACATGAAAATAAACAAGCAATACTAGTGCAGGTTGGACGCATACCAAGAAATTGGATCACATAGGTGACATACAGCTGGAGCGAGATCAATGAGGGATCGACCATAGACTGAGTCAGAGCACCTCACCATGGGCATGATTCTCCAGTCAATGATGCGGAGTACCTTGGGCCCTTCGGCCGCCAGCTCCTCTGGGGACAGTTGCTCTGCCTCGAGGTACAAGTCGGCGCCGATATCGTGAGTTGTGCCGAGTGCAACGTCCTTCTCCACAGTGGAGTCAGGATCCACTTTGAGGTCTTTGTTCACGTTCATGTTCATGGTGAAGGTGAAGTTGAAATTGAAGATGAAGTTGAAAGACTGACTTGCTCACGACCCCTCCTTATAACCTTGTACGACAGCATTATCTCTGCCAAGGAGATAAGCCGTGAAGATAGTCGTCGACTTGATAAGAACCTCGGGACGCGAAGTCGATGCGGAGATGCCAAGACCCGGCGGACTTATGTCCGCCATCCTGTACTTATACTTAGGGTAGACGACAGTATTCTTTCCTTTTTCCCAACTTCACCCAAAATGACCGGCTTCTCACTGCTCGACGCAAGCATCTCAGACCTCCAATCTGCTCTCTCGGCAGGATCATTGTCGAGCGTCGATCTGGTATCAAAGTACCTGCGGAGAATTAGTTACTTCGACGCAAATGGTCTCAAACTCAGCGCAATTCCAATCATCAACCCGTCTGCAATTGATGATGCTGTGGCATCAGATGCCAGACGCGCAGCAGGCCTGACACCAAGACCACTAGAAGGCATTCCATACCTCGCCAAAGACAGCATCAAAGTCAAGGGCATGAGTGTGGCAAGTGGTTCCCCAGCGTTTGAGTCTCTCGTCGCCAATGAAGACGCAGCATGTATTCAGATTCTGCGAGATGCAGGTGCGATCCTTCTGGGCCGCACCAATATGCCTGCAATGGCCTATGGCGGAATGCAGCGCGGCTGCTATGGTCGTGCTGAAAGCCCTTACAACAGTGACTACCTCGCTGCGGCTTATGCATCTGGATCATCGAACGGTTCAGCCGTTGCTACGACTGCCAATTTCTGTGCCTTTTCACTGGGCAGCGAGACTGTCTCTTCGGGTCGTTCGCCGGCATCCAACAACTCGGTCGTGGCTTACACTCCTTCTAAAGGCCTTCTTCCACTTCGGGGTGTCTGGCCTCTTTATGCCACCTGTGATGTTCTGGTGCCACATACCAGGACCGTTGGAGACCTGCTTCTCGTTCTAGATGTCCTCGCTGTTTCCGATCCCACCCCGAAAGGCGACTTCTATCAGGAACAAAAGCTAATTTCTCTCCCTTCAATCGACACGCTCCGACCAGAATCATTCTCAACACTCCGTGACAGCAGCTCCCTACACGGAAAGCGTATCGGTGTACCATCCATGTACATCGGCGGCGACCAGTCCTCCCTCAACCCCGCCAGCCAATTGAAAACCCGACCTTCGATCATCAAGCTCTGGCAGCAAGCCCGCAAAGTACTAGAGTCACTCGGTGCAGAAGTCGTCGAAACAGACTTCCCACTTGTGACCACCTACGAATCAAACGCCGACAAAGGCCAACTGGTGACTGTAGCAGGGCTACCAGAAGGCTGGTCCTCGATGGAGCGAAGCGAGCTTGTCGCGCACATTTGGGACGATTTCCTGATCTCGAACGGTCAAGAAGGCCTCAACTCTCTTTCTCAAGTTGAACCATCTACGATCTTCCCACTCGCGCCTGGCTCTTTGAAAGGTACTCCTGATGCAGCGAATGCCCTCCGATGGGACGAGATGGTCAAATACCCACTTCGGAGACCCGATTCCATCTTCGACATTCCGAGCCTGGAGCAGGGGATCCAAGCTCTGGAGATTGCGCGCAAGGAGACGCTCGAGAAGTGGATGGACGACCTGGGTCTCGATGCTGTGGTATTCCCGGCAAATGGTGATGTAGGCGCCGCAGACTCGGATTGCAATGAGGTCGCCTCTCGCTTTGCCTGGAGCAATGGAGTGAAGTACTCGAATGGCAATCGGCCCATTCGGCATCTGGGCGTGCCGACCATATCAGTACCGATGGGTCTGATGGAGGATATTGGGATGCCGGTCAATCTGACGTTCGCCGGTAAAGCATATGAGGACAACAGCCTGCTGAAATATGGATTCGCGTTTGAGGAGGCGATGAAGGGCCGCGTACAGCCTTCTCTGCCTGTATTGGACTCTGATTTTCTGGACGCTTCCCAGAGTTCTCCATCGTGGGAAGTGAGGCAGGCTGCTCAATTGACGGTTCAGACTCAGTCGAAGAAGATCGAAGGCGGAATGGTTATGCTTCAGATCGAGGGGTCCATTGCCCCCGATGATGTTGAGCTAGACTCGTTGTCTGGCTTTATCAATGGCGAGCCATTCAAGGTTCTCTCGGATGTTGATCGATGGTCCCTCGTCGCATCTTATCCTGCGTCTGACTGTGACCAGACCTGGGAGAGATGGTCGAGTCCTGCTTTGACCCAAACCATTGTGGTCATAACCGCCCGCACCAAATCAGGCTTCACAACTGGAAAGTTGATACTGTTGTAAAATGACCTGAGATTGTACACTAAAAACGACTGTTCCAATGCAAAATTTTCAATGTAGGCTAAGCCTGCTCGCCTTCTAAAAATTCCATCAAATCATTTCCCACAAGCTCTTCTTGTATACTTCCTCCATACATCATTTCCTCTATCATCCCAAGAACAGCTCGGTGTAGATACCTCTTCTTCAATTGCTCCAACTGCAATTCAGCCTCTTCGAGCAGAACCAAAGCAGTGGGTTCCAACTCGATTCCATCCCCGGCCCATCCGACCTTTTGTTGCAAGAACTCAAACACACGCATGTACGGTATTGCATCAGGCCAGCGGTGAGCAAAGGCATTGAGACTGGCAGCGCAAGTAGAAATGGCCTCCTGGGCGGTTGATTGGACTTGTCGGCCCTTGTTATCAGAGCTGCCTTTCACCGTCCAGACAATATAGAGGAGCGTGATACCAGCGCGGAACTGGAACACAAGCTGGATTGACATCAGTGATCATTCATACAAAACCTACACGGCTAAGGATGAGTTTCACTTACTGCAGACCAGGTATAGCACATCACATGGCCTTCCTCTTGTAGCATCCGGAAGTTGTGACAAACATCCACGATCGCGACAAGAGTATCCCTTATCTCATCCATCTCTTCGAATGTTCTTGCTCCTTCTCCCAGAATCAAAAGACTGTAGTCGTACAACTTCTGCATCCACACCGGATGAAGATAACCACATTGAACATTCGTCAATGTGTTCTGTGGAATGTCCTGTCTCCATCTGTCCAAAGCTGGCTTGAACAATGATCGATGTCGCTTGACATCTCCGAGATCCCCACAAGACCTGTTCTCCCGAGATCTCCTCATGTTTGCTTGAATCTTGCGCAGTCTGAACAGGTGACTTAGAGCGGAACCAACATCTTGAGCTGGCTGTAAATCATCTCCAAGGGCGCACATCTAATTCGTTGAGCGTCTGCAAATACATAACCTGGAATAGGAATATACTCACGTCATCGTCCACCACTCGATATGAAATGGATACTGGCCTATCCCAGCCAGATACAATAACCTCATTGAGCATGTAACATGTAATGAACATCTTCTCCAGGAGGACATCATCAATCTCTATCCCCGCGCTCTCTCTCGATTCGAATGCATACTTTCGAATCTCTGCCATCGTAGCCACGCAAAATGGCAAAACGGAACTGACACTCGCTGTAATTTCTTCGGAGGAAGGAGAATGCAACGCATACAATATCATCAGAAGCGAGGCCTGGATTTGCAGCAACATGGACGAATGCCCAACCACATGTGGATAGTATCGCATTGCCACGGTATAAAAATCGTGTGATCGTACAGAGTGTGAAGGATCGCGATGTAGAGTACTGGAGAGGGATGCTCCAATTGCATACACCATCTGCAAGAAAAAGATCCTCCATTCATCTTGCCCTTGCGAGACACCTTGGCTATGCCATGTTTTCCAAACGGCTTCATCCAAAAAGGGCCACTCGCGTTGGGTGACTGAGAAGTACATATTTGCGTACAATTCCTTCAGCCATGGCGTATCGTCACTGTTGAATGTACACAAGGGCGCCACGTCAACCCACGGTAGATCAAAAGAAGAGTCTGGTAACAAAGAGAACATATCCAATGGCCAAAATCCAGGCGATCGCTCTGGCTTGTTAGATAATTGCCAATCGGGACATTGAGGGCTACGTGCAATGCCACCGGGGCTGGCCAATTGCCGAGACTCGTCCAAATCGAAGTCCGTTTGAACTCCCGCATCGCAAGTGTCCCTTTCCACGGACTTACTGCGCGCGTTTAGTTCCGCGACCTCTGTTTCCAGTTGCTTGAGATAACTGAGTGGAACCGTGATGCTATCACCGGCTTTCCGAGACCTGGCCGGTAAGCATTCGGCGCCTTTGCGACGACATTCGCTGCACGATGGCTTTGCATGGTCACATTTCCGCTTGAGTCGGAAACAGCGAGCGCAGGCTATATCTCTATGCTTTGGACGCGACATGAAGAAGAGAAATGCGGGGGCGCAAGTGATAAGTTGATGAGTGGCTCGATTAGGAAGGTCGATGCGACGATAAGCATGCTAGAGTAACGGGTATATCAATAGAGACACATTTGGAGACAACACGGGGATATCAATGTCGGATACATTGTAGCCAACGCAGCTCATAACAGGTTCATTCAGCTCTTGATCCAGCGCTGCGCCTTCGTGTCATATCCGATCAACTCGGGCTCGACGTGGAGTGTCTTCAACATGAACTCCATAGTAAATTCCTAACCAAGTCAGCATGTAGGCTTCACTATCCGAACTTTTAAATAGACTTACTTCTTCCGTCTCATCGCCATCTCCAGGGCCGTTCGGGGGATCTTCAATCTCGCGACCATCAATTTCATCCTCATCAACATGCTCCACCTCGTGCCTTTCTTCGTCAACCTCCCATCGTGTTGCATCGCGCTTCGAATGCTCTTTCCAAGCAGCCATTCCACCCATACGTTTGACCCTTTCGTGTGCGCCGATAAAAGCCTCATCCGCGGCATCCTGGCTGATGAGACGCCATTTGATAATCAATGCCTCAAGCTCGGTATCTTTGTTCGAGGTTTCGAGCCGTAGAGCTTGCTTTGCCTGATCAATTTCCGAGCGCAGAGTAGCTAGCTTGGATTGAATGGCGCGCTGTCGCTTTTGGAGCGCGATGATCTCGGGGTCTGATGGCTGGAACGGTTTTGGAGTGGAGTGGAGAGACTTGATCGGTTTGCGCTCGTTCGGGACTGGTGTAGCGTGCTTTCTATCGGGTGTGGCATTAGGCGTGAAAGGAGCTACATCTGTGGACAGCTCTGGTATAGTTGTGGTTGGTATGACCTTCGGGGTGGGCGTGGAGGGGGGGACATCCGTGTTTGGGACTGGCTGGCGCAGCGGAGACTTGAAGGGCTTAGAGAGAGCGGCTGATGCATCAACGCGACGACGCTTAGTAGGGTGGGACATGGTATACGGGAATATGAGAAGGTGAAGTTGGGAGAAGATGAAATGACGAAATAAAATGCTTATCGATAAGCTATCTAATGTCCGACGCCTCCAGCGACCCATTGCGCAAACTCAGGATCGCCAGGCTGGGGGAAGAACCCCCGCTCATTGGCATTCGCATTCACATTCCCGTTCTGTGCATTTCCATTATCGTTCTGTCGATTCCGTTGCTGCTGCTGCTGTCGGAAATAGACTAGCACCAACAGGGTAGCAGCCAGACCGACAATGAGAAGACCCTCCAGCATGCTCTCGTCAATGTCAAGATCCAGGTCATCATAGTAGCCATCCTCGTGGCTTTCAGATTCCAAGCCACGGTAGTCCTCGTCATCGCCCTGGCGTTCGTAAAGGTCTTCATAATAGCTCTCCTCGTCGTTGTCGATGAAAGCGGTGATCCACTCTCGGAAGGTTCGACGGGGCCTCGGCTCTATAGTAACAAATTAGCGTCAGAATGGAAGCGAAAGGAAAGTAGGTTCATCTGCTTACCTTCCTCGTCACGGATGTTGTTAATGTTGCCATTCGTGATGCGGTTCCAGTAGCCACGGATCCGAAGCTTCAGCAAGCTCATTTTGACTGGCAGATATGCCTCGGGGCTGAGGTCGAGTGCCAGGTCATAGTACCGCTTGGCCATGTGGAAGTCTTGGTCCACAGCCACGCCGTTTTCATGCATCCAGCCTAGGTTCCAATAGCCCTGTGCGCTGTGGTGGGCTTCAGCAGCATTGTGATAGCAAGTGGAAGCCTTGTCAGCATCCCCCAGAGAGCCAATGCCAGACAAATAATAGTCACCCATTTTGAGCAAGGAGTCAATGTTGGCCTGCTTGGAAGACCGCGTCCAGTAGATCAAGGCCAGTGCCGCATTTTGTAGCAAAGAGGGCCTGGGCTTTTCGGCCCAAGGAAGAACAGAGCTCAGCGATAGTACAGAGCGGTGCTCATCAAGCAGATAGGCTACATTAGCTTGTGCGTTCTCGTATCCCTGTTCAGCGGCCATCATGGCTGCAATGAGGGCTCCTTCTTTGTCGCCAGATTCATAGGCATCATTCGCTTCCACGAAGGCCGAGTGCACAATCTCTGCTTTCTCGGCAACCATCTTATAGTAGGCCGTAGCCACACCACAGTGTCGCTGTCTGCCGATGCCGAAATTGGCCATCTCGGCGAGGTAATAGTATGCCTCCATCCACCCCCAGCGGGCCGCAAGCTCGAAGTAGCGAGTGGCCGTTGCCACGTCGCCTTGGTCCAAGAATAGGGCACCGAGACGCGATTCCGATGCTGGCAGGTCTTGCTCGGCCGCCGCTTTGAAATAGTCGGAAGCTCTATAGCCATCTTGTGGAACTCCGTAACCATTCAGATATACCAGGCCCATCCAGTGCTGGCACAGAGAGTCGCCGTTCTCAACACCGCGGCGGAACCATGTGAGAGCAGTTTGGTAATTTTGCTCAACTCCCTCGCCACGGAGGTACATCAAACCAATGTGCCCCGCCGCCTTAGAAGCCAACTTGTCAAGGCCTGCTTGAGCATTTGAGTTGGTGGAGCCGTCCTTGTTCCAGTACTTCTTGGTCACGACCTTGAAATATCTCATAGCACGTCGGAAATTACGAGGCAATCCCCGAGCACCCTCAAAGTTCATCTTGCCCAGAGTATAGGTAGCCTTGAGCTCGCCTTTGCGGGACATAAGATCCAAGTACTCGAGGATATCTTCCACACTGGCCTCGGGGCCCGCGTTCGCGGCGTCTCGCGCATTCGGTCCAGAACTGGAAACACTAGCCCCGGGGCCGTAGACGCCTCCTTCCTCGTCGGCCCATCGGTATGATTCTTTGACCAGAGCACTACCACCCGGTGGACCAGAGCGATAATACTGAACGGCCTTATCCGCCACTTTCTTGTAGTAGTGAATAGCATTGTCGCAGCTCTTCGGTGTCCCAATTCCAGAGTGATAGCGGTACGCTAGCGTCATCTCAGATCGTGTATTTCCCGTCTCCGCCGCAAACTCATGATACATCATAGCCTTTGCCTGGTCACGTTCAACAGCACCCCCAATACCAGTCGCGTACATGAACCCGACCATGTTCTGCGCGGTGTTGTTCCCGTCTAACCAAGCTAGCTCATGGTACCATTCGAAAGCGGCTTTCAAGTCGCGCGGGTGGGAGAAGTTGCCGTAGAAGTTCATTTCCGCCAACAAGAACAGTGCATCCGGGTCTCTTTCCTCTGCTACTGCCAATTTCAACACTGCCACTGCAGCCGCAGCTTCCGGGTTCAGCTTCGCTTCGATCTTTTCGGTCTTGGGTCCGTTTAAAAACAATAGTCGGAAGGTCTGGCGGCCGTAGTAAACGGCTGTGCTGAGCAATCCGGTTGGCTGCTCGGTTTGTAAGGTTATGGATCTCGCTGTACGAAGCACATCCCAGGCACGTTCGACCCGTTCTGCAACGAGGCGACAGGGTTAGCATTAAGCTCTAGCTTTAGATGCGGGATACGAACGCGCCGATGCGCTACTCACGGTTCATGGGTCGGAGATAAGCTTCCTCCATTGGGTATGGAAATTCATGGTCATCATTCCCAAGGGCCGACGATGATGTTTGGTCAGTCAGTGGTTGACCAGGCCCAGCTGCGCATGGCTGGAGCAGCACTAGATAGGAGTCAGCTTCGTGTTGGGATAGATAGGGTGCGGGCGGAGCTTACGCAGGGCCGGTAGAAGTTGAGAAAGCAACCTCATTATGGCTGCTAGATGTCAATGTGATTTGGTGAGTGGCACATCGCGGCACCTAGGAGAAAAGCTGGGGTATCGCAATATGATGTAGTTGGGTACGGGCCACTTGGCTTGACGGAGCTTCATTTTGCCGACGAATCACCGGAATCCAACTCATACTCCGTACTATAGCCCTGGAGGGTATGAGTATAGTCAAATATGGCATTGTTCTTCGCCTACGTTACTCATTTGTACGTTCTACGAATTTCACAGGAATTGTCAATAACGTTCTTGGAATCTACTCATCCCCTTGGCTGTGTACAGAACGGAATAAAGCAGCAAAGTACATCCCCACATCCGCTCTCAATGCAATAAGAACTGGGTATTCCAGGATTCCACCCCGCTGCGTTTCGAAATTCACTGCTTTCGTGTTCAAGGTCGAGTCGCGAAGCTCATGGGTCATTCGATTCGCGACGGAGTGGAATCAAGGCCACCTGCGAAACGAGGAAACAATCTTGGAGCAAACGATGAAGGGCTAGTACCAAATACGGTACGATTTGGATTTAAAAAAAAATGTGAAAAAAACAGATACAATTGAAAGGGAAAGGCAGTCCCTGATATCGTGAAAAAATTATCAATCAATTCCCATGGGTGTGGCGCGAAAAGATCTTTTTTGTTGTTTATGTGAACTTGCGTTCGATGATGGTACAGTTGTACAGCACGAGCCTGTGAGAAGGCGCGCCATGTTCATCCGTAATTCACTGACGTGGCGACGTAGGACTGTAAGCCGGTGAAGTGGGGCTGTATGCCGGAGAAGTCGGCGAGCCAGAGAAGTTGGGCGAAGTAGGCGAGTAGGACTGGGGGCTCGTGGGAGACCACCCAGGGGAAGTAGGTGTGTACTTGGGAGATGTAGGGGAGGTTGGGGACAGGTGCCGAGCTCCGCCAATCGCGGGACTGGTGGGACTGTAGCTGGGGGATGTCGGGCTAAAGGCCGGCGAGGCTGGACTGAAGCTGGGCGACGTTGGGCTGTAGTTGGGCGAAGTGGGAGAGAACCCAGGTGACGTGGGAGAGTACGATGGCGAGGTAGGAGACGCTTGACCATACGCAGGCGAGGTCGGCGAGTAAGCCGGAGATGTCGGGGCGAACGACGGACTGGCAGGAGAGAATCCAGGAGAGGTTGGGTTGAACCGTGGGCTGGTCATGCTCATACCAGGAGAAGTTGGCGAATAGCTGGAAGAAGGCGAGTACCCAGGGGATGTGGGACTCGTGTTGAAAGGACTTGTGGGAGAGTAGCCGGGGCTGCGAGCCGCAGGGCTCAAGCTTCCAGTATTGAATCCAGAGCCGCCGTAGTCGGTGAAGCTTCCATTGGTATCCTGGATGTTCTGGTGGATGGGAGAGAATGAAGCATCAGGGTCGCTATCAGTCATGTAGGGTGAGCTGGCCATGGGCGATCCCGTATCGTACTGGGTAGCAGCACCATCTGGGATGATGGCATCCTTTGCACCAACCGCACCCATGAGGCCGTAGCGTGCATTGTTGGACACGACCGTGTTGAGCAAGCTCTGATCCAAGTAAACATCAAACTCTCCCGTTCCAGCGGGCGCCATCTGTCCAAGGATCAAGTTTTCGGAAACACCACGGCAGTCATCCAGTTCACCAAACGCGGCAGCTTCCAGCAAGATCTCGACTGTCTCTTCGAACGAACAACGCATGAGAGCACCGTTGTCGGCACGGTTGATACCGTGACGAGTAACAGGGGTCAGGTAACCACGAACTGTCATGACATCAACAAGAAGCGCCAAGTGACGATGGTTAACGTAGGAACCGTCGAAAGCAAGCACAAGGGTCAACTCGCGGAGCACAGCTGTACGGGCAGCCTCGATACCGAAGACCTCGAAAATCTCAATAAACTGGTTAGAGTATGTACGAGAAGCATCGACACCAGGAATCGAGAGAACCGCGGCCAGAGATGAACCACTGGTTTCGAGAACCCACTCCTTGCAAAGAGGGTCATTCTTGTCCGAGAAGAGGCGGCCATCATCATGAACACGAACCCGAGGCTTCTCGTTAATGAAGGCACGATCAACACCGGTAACACCACGAAGGGTCAAAGTGTCCAACAGGTGCTGCTCGAGCTTCTTGAGAGTCACATCGTATTCAACATCTTCATCGTCATCATCCTTGTAATCTTGAACCTGGCGGATACGGATGACCTGCTCGTCGGCGTTGTTATCACTGAAGATGACTGCAATATCACGTGGGTAGGCCTGCTTAATCCTTGTGGCGACATCCTGGACCGTCAAGCCCTTATCAAGAAGGGAAGGACGGCTGAGAACAATACGGAGCAGCCACTTGGACTGGGAGCCCGAGTCCTCATCAGTGTCCTCGGGAATGATGAAGTAGGACTCGACCATGTCCCTATCGTTCTCAATGACAGTGGACTGAATATCGGGATCGTAGTAAATCTCGGTGGATTCAGTGACGGATCGGAGGCTGGTGTGCTCGACGAGACTGCGAAGTGTCTTGGCACCATCCTTGTTGTGGGTATCCATGCCTTCTTGGTAGACAGTCATGGACGGGGTCTTGATGTTGGTGGCAACGTTCAGAATTTCCTTAAGACGAGGCACACCAAGGGTAACGTTCTTAGAAGACACACCAGCAAAGTGGAAGGTGTTCAGTGTCATCTGTGTAGCAGGTTCACCAATAGACTGGGCAGCAAGAACGCCAACCATTTCACCAGGGTTGGCCGCAGCGCGAGCGAAGCGACTCTCAATGGCACCGAGAACATGCTGGAATGCCAGCTTGTTGAGAGAATAGTCTGTGACGAGGCGGCGGAAGGCAAGACGACTACGCAGCTGCGCCTTGAACAACAAGGTCGCATTCACCTGGGCCTCACGGGAGATGGCGTCTTCACCGCGGACAATCATCAATCTATCCAGCAACTGCTGAACTTGAGGAATAACCTCCGCAGGATGCAAATCACTGATTGTGCCCTCGCGAATGTGGAAAGTGGTTCGAGCCATCTCAAGGATACGTTGAATGTTGATGGGAAGTTGCATCATTTCTTCATCCTCCTTCACGACAGTGCGAAGGAACTCACGATCCTTGACAATGGCCTCCCATTCTTCGTCGAAGTACCTCTGCACCTCCATGTCACCAGCAATCTCATTAGCTTGCTCCAGAACCTCGGGGCCAAGGGTCCGTTCAGGGTCCATGACATCAACGCGGAAGCGTCTCCTGAGTGTTTCGTCGTCACACTTGATGTGATCAACGCGCTGGTTCTCAATGTGGGCACCATCAAGACCGTCCTCTCCGTAGATGAACTGAATGATATCATTCATCGAGTTACGGACAGTACCGTCGTACTTCACCATGACTTCTTCAAGAGCCTTGACCAGCTTACGCTGGATGTAACCAGTTTCGGCTGTCTTGACAGCAGTATCAATCAAACCCTCACGACCAGCCATGGCGTGGAAGAAGAACTCGGTGGGAGTCAGACCACGGAGGTATGAGTTCTCAACGAAGCCACGAGACTCGGGTGAGTAATCATCCTTTGTAAAGTGCGGCAAGGTTCGATACTTGAAACCAAAGGGAATACGCTTTCCTTCGACGGATTGCTGCCCGACAAGCGCAGTCATCTGGGAAATGTTAATCGCCGAACCCTTAGAACCAGAACGGGCCATCTGGATGGCGTTGTTCAAATCCTTCAGACTCTTTTCGGTAGCGTCACCAGCCTCATCACGGGCGTTGTTAAGAGCACGAGAAACCTTGCTCTCGAATGTCTCACGAACGTTCATACCGGGAAGAGCCTCGAGAGTGTTCTCAGTAGCGCTAGCGGTAATCTGCTCGACTTCCTGCTTTCGGTTGCGGACAGCTTCCTCGATCTTATTGATGGTCATCTGATCGGGAATGGTGTCACCAATACCGATACTGAAACCGTGGTGCAATAACCAGTAGCCGACAATGGCCTGGGCACCATTGAAGAACTTGACACAGGTATCGGGACCATATTCGTTGAAGATAGTGTGGATAACACCACCACCACTGGCACCGACAGTCTTCTTGGAGAGCATACCGTACATCAACTGTCCACCGTGAATCAAGAGACCACCGTCGTTCAGAGGGCTGAACTTCTCGGCCATTGGCGATCCATCCTTGTCAACACGTAGAAGGTTGAGTCCAGAGGGGAAAGCCATACTAATGATCTGCTTTCCGGTCCAACGGGGTCGGGGCTTGAGAATAGCAGGTGGAGGGATAGCACCATCCCAGTCGGGAACCCAGAGCATGAGGTTCATGACTTGATCCTTGGTAAGGAAGCTGTCACGACGGCAAATCTTGTAGATACCACACAGGGTGTCCTGAACAATACCCATGAGGGGACCGTTACGCTGGGGGGAGACAATGTTCTTGGGAACCAAAGTCAACTCAGCGAGTTCGGCACGGGCTTCTTCACCCTGAGGAACGTGCAAGTTCATTTCGTCACCATCGAAATCGGCGTTGTAAGGACTGGTCACAGACAAGTTCATTCGGAAGGTGGAGAAAGGCATAACACGGACGCGGTGACCCATCATGGATTCTTTGTGCAGGGAAGGCTGACGGTTGAACAGAATGTAATCGCCGTTATCGAGATGGCGCTCGACCTTCCAGCCATACAGTAGCTGCTGAGCACCCGCACGCTTGGCGTGACGAAGATCAATGCGCTCGCCGTTGTCACGCACAATGTAACGCGCACCAGGGTGAATGTTAGGACCGTTTGAAACTAGCTTCTGAAGCTTCTCGATGTTGTATGGCGTCACAACCTCGGGGTACGTCAGGATACGGGCGGTCGAGTAGGGAACACCGACTTCATCCAGTGACAGGTTAGGGTCACCAGTGATGACAGTACGTGCGGAGAAGTCGACACGCTTTCCCATCAAGTTCTGACGGAGACGACCCTCCTTACCCTTCAAACGACTTCGGAGAGCCTTGACGGGACGGTTTCCTTTTTGCATTGCGGTTGGCTGTCCTGCAATGTCATTATCCATGTAGGTAGCGATGTGATATTGGAGCAGAGACTCGAATTCACGAATGACGTGCTCGGGTGCACCCTCTTGTTCACATCGTTGGACATTCTGGTTCGCACGGACGATTTCAGCCAGCTTGTAAGTCAGATCATCCTCTCCACGAGCACCACTGGTAGCTCCCATGACAACACTGGGGCGGACAGTAGGTGGAGGGACAGGCAGAACGGTGAGGACCATCCATTCTGGGCGAGCGTAGTCATTACTGAGTCCCATGATGCGCACATCCTCAATGGAGATGTTGCGGAAGATGTTCAACGCCATCGCAGGGGTAATGACCTTCTTCTCAGGCTGGGCCATCTCCTCCTCCATCATAGCCTTGCTGGGCTTCCATGTTCCGACCAAGCAAATTCCTTCCTTCCGAACGGTGGGTTGTGCGTTACCGCAGCCACCGTGGTTGCGGCCCTTGGATGATTCCTTGGAAAATTCTTCGTCATCGGCAGGCTGGTCAGCCTCACAGATCAGGACATCCTTGGATAGTCGCCAGATGGCATCGAATCGTCGCTTGGGGTCACGGAATCGGAGTGCCTCGAGGAACTTAGAGTCGGTCTGAATATTCATTTCAAGTTAGCAAAGGATTACCAGTCAAGATTTGCCATCCCGGTAGGGATGACTAACCGTGTTGGCTTTGATCTTGCCGCAGTTGTGGCAGACAGTCTCCAGTAGCTTCTTAATTTTGGTCAAGAAACCTGAAATAGGATGAAAAGTCAGTATGTGAGGTTCGGGAGAAGCTTGATGGAAAACGACACGTACCAATGTGGAAAACCGGACAAGCAAGTTCAATGTGACCAAAGTGCCCAGGGCATTCTTTGGGTCCCTCTTCGCAAGTCTCGCAGTTATATTGACGGTCGATTGTACCGAGCCGAGGGTCGTTGATACCCTTTGTTCGTGGCCGTTGCCGTTGGTCATCCTGTCGCGTCGTTAGCAAGCCGATAAATGTCGCAAGCAGCGAAAGATCATTTCGTTCACCGAGTATGCGACTGAAGAAAACCGTGTTTCACTCACCAATGTTTCGGGATACTCGATGTGGACCACACTCATGCGCTTAATCTCTTCGGGGGCGAAGAGACCGAACTGGATCTCCTTGACGGTGCGCAAAGGCGCCTTGGAGTATGGGAAGAAAACGTTCGACATATTGGCGGAAATGTGATTGTCAAAGGTGGAATGAAAAACGCGATGATAACCGGTGAAGCGGGTGTGTCGTTACCGGGATTAATGATAGAGCTCGATTCGTAAACGTCGCGAAAACTGGAGAGACAGACGTGATAAAAGGTCGAAAGTCAAATTTACACGTAGCGACGATGAAAAGAAGGTGGTGTGGAAGCAGCTGGCCGGCTGAGGCCTTTGGCAGCCCTTGCCACGAGGGCGCCGGCGACCTGGTGGTCCCGGACGTCACGGAGCAGAAAAGAGAGGGAAAAGATGCGCGCAGCAAAGATGAGCACGTCCGGAGGGTCCTGAAGAAGTCTCGCGATGCCAGGCGCGAACTCCTTTGTTGTGGAGGGGATGGTGGATGGGAGGTCGGGAAGTTGAAAGGGTGATGTTCTGAGGTTGCCTCACTGTGATGGGGCTTGAGTTTTCCCTGCACGGAGGGTGCCGTCTAAACCAAGACTGACCGCTTTGGCAGAATTGCGGGTACCTTCCCCAAAGTGCTACGTACTGCAGTTTCGAAGTACCTTTCTCCCGCTGTTCGAGGGCGGTAAGCTTTCCTGTCCTTGAATGACAGGCATCACTCGACACACTTTTTAGATGGGTTCTTACACCGCCTTTGGCTTCCTGCCGATTCTAAGGATATCGATTGGCAGAAGTGTCCATGCCTCCGTGAATGTGGTACCGACACGCCAAAGTCCTGGTTGATTGTGATACTTTGGTCCTTACTGGATGCTTTGGGAGCAATCAAACCTCCGGCCTACGTTGGCTTCATACTCGGGCTAGGAGCTCTCCACTTCGAAACTTCCCTCTACCCGCGATAACCCACCTGCCGCAATGAACTTGTCCCTCGTGGATCCGTTCGTCTTGGCCCAAGAGTACCCCGATACTCTGACAGAGAAGCTCAGTATGCGCCCAACTGACTCAACCTGGAACCATGAACTAACCCCCATTCTCCAGGCAGCGGCCATGCGACATGCCTAAGCTTCAATCACAAAGGTGACTACCTTGCCTCCGGACGAGTTCGTGGACCCAATCCCAGGCGATAATGCCCATTTATGGACATCTGAATGCTAAACCAATTAAAGGTGGACGGAACGGTGGTGATCTTCGACATCGAAACAAACGGCGTCGCGCGCAAACTCATAGGTCACACGCGACAAATCCAGTCTATCAGGTACGAGTTCTCCGGCACCTACACCCATGCGCATTCACTGACCCTATCTCAGCTGGTCTCGCGATGGCCGATTCCTCCTCACCTCGTCCCAAGACTGGAAGTGCATCCTGTGGGACCTTCAAGACGGCTCACGAGTACGAACCGTCCGATTCGATGCGCCGGTCTACATTGCCCAACTCCACCCATTCAATCAGTACGGATCCCCATTCAAGGAACCCAGCTCACAGCTAACGGCGCAGCCTCCTCTTTGTCGCCTCCCTCTTTGAAGACCAACCCGTCCTTGTGGACATCTCGAATCCCACACCCATAAAACGAATCCTCCCCTCCGCACCCCTCCGCGCAACCGAAGACATCGACCCTGCCACAGCAGCAAAGCAAGCAGCCCAAGATGCCAAACACTCCACCTGCGTGACGATCTTCACAGCCTTCGGCAACCACATCATAGCCGGAACCTCAAAAGGCTGGATCAACATCATCGAAACGCAATCCTGCACAACGATCCACTCGATGCGCCTCTGCAACGGCGTCGTCATCCTACTCCGTCTCGCCTCCAACGGCCGGGACCTCCTAGTCAATAGTTCCGACCGTGTAATTCGCACAGTCCTGATGCCCGACCTATCCCAGCTGGGAATCGACCTCGAAGCATCGGCCATAAAACTGCACGTTGAGCACAAGTTCCAAGACGTCGTCAACCGCCTCTCCTGGAACCATGTCACATTCTCCTCGACTGGCGAATTCGTCACAGCAACCACATTCATGAACCCGGATATCTACGTCTGGGAACGCAGTCACGGCTCCCTGGTCAAGATCCTGGAGGGGCCGAAAGAAGAACTCGGTGTCGTGGAGTGGCATCCCTCCCGACCAATGGTTGTAGCCTGTGGACTTGAATCGGGTTGCATCTATACGTGGTCTATTGTGAGTCCGCAGAAATGGTCTGCGCTAGCGCCTGATTTCGGTGAGGTCGAGGAGAATGTGGAATATATGGAGGCGGAGGATGAATTTGATGTTCATCCTGCTGAACAGGTTCATCAGCGACGACTCGATCTCGAAGATGAGGAGCCGGACGTTGTGACGATGGATTCGGTCAAGGGGGAGGATGTCGATGGTGTGGAGCCATTCAATGTTCCTGTTCTTATGGATGTGGAGGATAGTGACAGTGGAGAAGATGTTGTTGCCGTTGGGCCGGGGACGATGAGGAAGCGGACGCCGGGGGCTAAAGAGAATGAGGAGAAGGTGACGAATGGACGGAAGAGACGGCGATAGGGCTCCAAATTTTTGCATTTCCGGCATGGCATTGGTGGTGTTTTGTTTCATGGGATACGGTTTCAAAAGTAGTCTGGCGTCAAAGGTGTATTTTTTGGCTTGGGTTTCCTTGCAACAAATGCAAGGCCATTTACCAATGTCATCTGTTGCAAATACATAAGAGGCGAGACCTGGGATAAGCCTTCAAGCTTCAATGGCCTTTGCTTTGTTCAATTACTCTTTAACTATACACAGCCGAACTATATAAAAGCACGTAGATAAATGTTGACCACAAGGAGCCAAGGCAGTTGCAGGCCAAGGCGCAAACCACAATATATTCATGGAGATGTACTAGCAAATGACCAAGCCAATCACACCTGGGCAGGATCCAGGGAAGTAGAAAAGAAATACAGAAATATAAAGCGAAGTCGAGCCCTCTTCGGACTCTGCAGTTCAGCCGAGGGTAATAAGGGTATCTATCAGCGAACAACCCTCTTGGGCGAAATACTCGGCCCGTAACGCCAGCAGATGCAAAGCTCAGCATACAACGAAAGAAAGAAGTCATGATCAACAGACAAAAGTCGATCTCAAGAAAAAAAAAAGCATACACATCATCAACCATAATCCCCAAATCTCCAATCGAAACGGTTATGCTGTCGGCGAGATAGCTCCGGCCGAATAATTTCCATGAGCATGGCCGGATTCGCGCAGGAGATTGTTTTATTTTTGCAAAATGCACTCACTCTGGGCCAGCCAAAGTCTGCGTCGACCCGAGTTATGCAGGTGTACTGGATGCAGGGCAATAGCCCTATCCAATGAGGTGCTTAGAGAACATCACCAGGATGCGCAAAGCGTGGGCTTCAATCCACAGGCACGGGGACAAGGGGCTTCCGTGCCTGATATATATGCAGTAGGTTGAAGGTGTGGGTCTTTTTGTCAAAGGCCTCCTGCTTCACATCTGCAGCAATCCGATCGATCTGCTCTCTGGTCCAGCCAAGGACGCGGCTGAAAGGCGCCAAGCTCAGCGGGAGCACGCTCTCCGAGATAGCCAGGTTATACCAGCGGGCGACCTTCTGCTCATGCTCATCCTTGTGCCATGGATTCAGAGGGAGCCCGACGATCTGGTGGTCGATCTCGGTGAAGCCTGCGCTCTGGAGGTTCCGGATCGTCTCGCTGGTGCTGTGCGCCATGGGTCGCATGGTGGATTCAGTCGCATGCCGCAGCGTTGAATACCAGCTGGACAAAGCCCGCCCGGGGTCCTTCTCCTCACAGCGCGGCCGCAGGTCGATCTCGATCTGCTCGAACCAGCCGCCCGGTCGAAGATGTTGGTGGACGCGACGGTAGAGGCTGAGCCAGCTGGCGACGCTGCCGGCGCCCATCTGCATATGGATGAGATCCCAGGAATCGTCGCCCAGAGTCCAGGGAGATTCGAAGTCAAAGGGGGCATAGAAATCGCAGTTCTTGGGGGTGTTTGCTGGCTGGATTGGGGCGAGGTCGCATCCGACCACAAAGGCGTCGGGAAGCTTGTTGGCCACTTCAATGCTCCAAATCCCTGTGCCGCAGCCCAGATCCAAAATTCTGGGCTTTGGTGGGAGTGGTGCATAGATCAGTCCATCCCCCGCCCGGGCTACCGTGAACAGTTTGTGGAAGATGTCGAGGCGGTCCTGCTCTTCTTCGTCACACGGGAGTGGGTAGACACCCTTTCGATAACCGTGGTACAATCGGCCGTTTTCTTTATAACAGGGGTACTTTTCGGGGATTCTAGAAGATCAGAGTCAGTCGAGTCGAGTTTGCGAGGCCAGAGGTACCTACTTGCGGTCTGAGTATATAACGGGGGATGATCGCGAGAGATGCGAGGCGTTGGACACTGCGGACGCCTGCGTCGCTACCGACCCATTGCTCATGAAGCGAGCGTTCCTCCTGGGATCTGTATCCACCGGATCTCGATCGATCATGGTGCAAAGGTCCATGGCGGTGGACGGTTGTCGTGATCGAGCTCGCTCGCTGGCGCCCACGGAGTGGGAGTAGTACCGGCTGCCAACTTCGCTCGGTGGGTTCGACTCGGATTTGTACCGTTTGGGCGGGGGCGGAGACGGCATGGGCGGGAGGTGCGGGAGGTGTCGCAGGCGATGGTCCCCATTGGCATATATCTTCGGCAACGACATCTGGTCGGGCCCGGGAAATGAACCAGAGAACTCTCGGGACATCTTGAATAATCGCGTGGCGCGTGACGTCTAGACGGTCATGCCACAAGGCCGCAGGGATGCTAATCAGATGCAGGGGCAGGTTGCAAAGCGAGGGACTAGATTACCCGTCGACGGTCGGGAGTGATCGAGAGCAAGCAGAGACACGCGCAGCTGTGGAAGCTTCAACCGCTTAGACCTCAATGACGAGCATCCGGAGTTCCAAAAGAAAATCAAGAAAAAAAAAAAAAAAAAAAAAAAGATCACACCAAGAGCAAGAAGAAGGGGAGGGTGAAGAGAAGGAGAGGGGGTGAAAGCAAAGCCCAGGTGCAGAGTGCCAGAAGTACGGAAAGTACGGGCTATAGTGCGTACACTCGTCATGGTATACTGTCTGCCAAAAGAATCTATTGCTGGCTCTAATTCTATAATTCTCTAATTCCACTGGTAATTTAGTCTCTGCTCTGCTATTGTGATGCGATGCGATATTGCGATCTTGCCTTATTGCCTTGACTCTGTTGCTTCTCGGCAGCCCATCCCAGATTCCCGGGCCATAAGCTAAATTAGTTGCAGAAGGGGTTTGCAGCCTTCGAAAATTAAAAAGGGATCGACGACTCCACGAGCGGGACGCGGACCGTCGCCTGTCATGTTAATCGCTTCACATAGCACTGATGAGGATACTGTCTAGTACTTCTCACAGAGAGTATACTCGTCTCTCCGTAGAGTACTGTATATCAGAAAATGATTCTCCCAGTCCCCCGGGTCGGCAACCCCGGTAATCGACGTGTAACCTACCGCTGCGTTGGGAACGACGAGTCAGATTGGGTACTTACACCCATCCGTCCTAGTCTGCCTTAGTCGGTTTCTAACCCTACTCGATTTAGCGCACTCAGGCCAGATTTCGGTCGAACTCCGAATCCCTTGCATTGCCAAAATTGCAGTGTTCGGACCGCGCCGATCGTCTACTCGTCACACTGCCTCTTTGCCTTCCGAGGAGTGGGAGTGCAATGTAAGGGTGTACGGAGGATTACTAGTACCCGTACGGAGTATGGAGTAGACATATGCAGTACACCGTATGTGGCACTGACACTTCAAGACAGTACAGTACAGTACCGTACAGTTGCCTTGAGAATCCACTATGGAGGATCCATCTTGGCGTTTTTTTCCATAGCTCTAGCCACACTTCCCAGCCACATCCATCCGACGGCAATGCATACCCTCAAGCCTGTTGCGTCGTCGACGCTGTCGCTGCCCACTGATAACTATATCTATAAACTAACGCCTGCTGCGCCGGGTACCTTCGCAGCTATCTCATCTGATGACTCGCTGCGAGTGTTTGACGCGAACCTGAACGCGTCCGTGCTATCCCCCGCAGCCCACGCCGGCGTGACCTCTCTGTCCAGATTTGGTGACTCCCTGCTGGCGACAGGCGGCCGAGATGGAAAGGTGAAAGTGTGGGACGCCCGGGCTGGGAAGTCCGTGGTGGAGATGCAGACGGGTGAGTTTATTGTTGCTAAGCTTTCAAAATCTATTCCCAGTTGGGATGCCCAAATCGGATACATGCATGGCAGTTCCGCGGGAGAGTCTGCCGGGGAAAAATTAAAGTGCGATTTTGGACTAATACCCAGTAGCGAAACAGGCCCCGGTTCTCTCGGTGGCGTGCTGCCCCGAGACGAATACCGTCGTGGCGGGCACGGAGCTGGTCTCATCCCAGGCCGTTGTAGCCTTCTGGTACGTCATATGCTACCCACGGGCATTGGGATGCAACAGCTCTCGACCCGGACCTAAATAGCCCATAGACGACTAACCAACCCAGGGACATTCGATCCCCGGAATCCTTTAAGCTGCAATACGTGGAAAGTCACAACGACGACATCACCGAGGTAATGCACCCATCTTCAGATCTCCAGCACCACTAACGGCAGCGTACCTGTCACACAGCTTCAATATCACCCGACCCGCAGCAACATCCTGCTCTCCGGCAGCACGGACGGGCTAGCCAACATCTACGACACGACAATCAGCGATGAAGACGAAGCCCTGGTCCAGGTCATCAACCACGGCTCCATCCACCATGCCGGATTCCTGTCCGAGCGGGCCATCTTCGCCCTGAGTCACGATGAGCTGTTCTCCGTGCACCCGGCCACAGACCCGGACGATGCAGCCCAGGAGCCCGAGCCCGTGCAATTTGGAGATCTGCGCGAGCCGCTGGGTTGCGAGTACATTGCGCAGCTTTGTCTCGGTGCGCAGCCGTACATTGCCGCCGGTAACAAGGAGTGAGTTTCCATCGTACGGCTGTATTCATGTTGCTAATGGATGACAGGGAAAACCGGCTCGATCTGGTCCCGTTGGTCTCTGGGCCTTGGTCGTTGGATCGTGAGAATCTGTGGCGCCTGCCTGGCGCCCATGGGGAAGAGGTTGTGCGTTCCGTCCATTTGGATGAGCAGGTATGTTTTGCTTGTTTTCTTGTTTTTTATGGCTTCAGATATTGATTCATCTACAGAGCTCATCTGTCTTCACTTGTGGTGAGGATGGCTATGTGCGGGTGTGGAAGCCCGAGGGAGGGCCCGGTGAGACTGCCCAGTCTGAATCCAAGTCGAAGGCTCGGCCGAAGGAGAAGAAGAAGGATCGGTTCAGACCGTACTGATCGTGCAGGCGAGTGCATCATGTCGGCTGTTGTGTATCAATGGTCGGTAAAAATAGAACATGCAGAATGTCACGAGTTTATGTCAAGTTCCCAGGATTTGGTTTAATTTAGATCTCGACTGCCCAGTGCCCACCTGGCCAGCGTCGGCACCTGGGCATCCATGGATGGGTCGATAGTTACATGTAAATGGGACCTTGGCAGGATGCACCTAGGCACTTGTGCATACATAGATATGTATGGGGTTTGTACGACGTCCAACGCCGTGGGACTTTATTTGTACATCCATGGATGCCTAGGGTACGGTACGACCTCGGGACCTACCTATGTACACAAGTAAAGACTGCCCACCTGGGCAGGTATACCCAGGTCACACGCTAAGGGTGAATGGTATCACATTCCCACGGCCACGGTCTTGGTAAAATACTGGGTACTGGGTACCTAGTAGGTATCAGCGTCACAACCTTGGTCTTCTGTCTCCCGGGGTCCGTTTGACCTTGGTCCCCGAGTACGGTCCTCGTTCCCAGCTTCGGACGAAAGGGTTATCTCCTCTTTAAGCCTCATGATATCTTCAATCTTGGAAGAATTGACCTAGGGAGTACCTAGGTAGCGATGCACATCTTCCAGGTCACAAGGTTCCAAGGTTTGCACCTTGAAATCAATCGCTGCTATTATTGACCGATACAACACCACGATATATATGAGCGTGTTTGCTAAACGAAGAGTCAGAAATTTTCAAAACTGCAAAATTTTAACTGCTATGATACCCCGCCTTGGATGTGTAAAGGATGCCCTAGATAAATCCGCATAAAAGCCTTGTCCAAGTGAATCGAGGTCGAAGCACAGGGTATAGGAACCTCGAGTCAATTCAGGAAAGTGGATACCCGAAACCCCAGGCATCAACCCTTATCAACTTTTTTTCGTCTTATCCGAACTTTTCTTCTCAGGCACATCTCAAGTGCTGGGATATCCTCATTCCATACATACCCTTTTCCCTGGCCTCAAACACCCAGCCAAATAACAGGACCCTCACAACAAACCCTAGAGGTCACCTCAAAACGCCCTCAAAACCACCCACCCACACCCCAATCACAATCCTCCAAGGGCCCCAAAATGGACGCCCAAGCCTACCTAATCAAGCACGGCTGGTCCGGCCCCGGCAACCCCCTCAATCCCAACCAAAGACCCGGTCTACACGGTGGTCTCGGTCTCACACGCCCTATCCTCGTCGCGCGCAAAGCCAACAACCACGGCGTGGGCAAGAAAACCACCAAAGACGCCACGAACCAGTGGTGGCTTCGCGGATTCGAAGATGCGCTCAAGGGCGTCGGTCAAGAGAGTCATGAGGCCAACTCTGCACGCGAAGGGAATGCGCTCACGAGTGAGCTTTATCGTCATTTCGTGAGAGGGTCGGGCTTGGCGGGGACGCTGGACCCGAAGAAAGAGAAGGTTGGCGTGGAAGAGGTGACTGTTTCGGCGGAGGAGGCGGCGAGGTTGAAGCGGGAGGAGGAGAAGGAGGAGAAAGCTGCGAGGAAGGAGGGGAGGGCTAAGCGGAGGGCGCAGAAGGCTGTGAAGAAGGAGCAGAAGGCTGTGCGGAAGGAGGCGAGGAGAGTGAAGAGGGTTGCGAAGGTGGAGAGGAGGGAAAAGAAGGTTGCTGAGAGGGCGGCGCGGAAGGCGAAGAAGACGCAGGTTGAGGAGGACTATCCTACGCCTATGTCGATTGACCAAGAGGTTGAGCCGAAGGTTGATCTGGATGAGGCTGCTTCCAGGCTACGGGAGAAGAAGGAGAAGAAAGAGAAGAGCGCAGAAGGCGACTCGAAAAAGAAGTCCAAAAAAGTCAAAGCCTGATGCTGTTTAGTTCTGCACGGGACCCATGTATATAATGTTGCATATCTAAGCATTTCTCACGCCATATAGAAACCAAGATACCCTTTTTGTTTGGCGAATGACTCTTTCTATTTCTCACTGACTGGTAACTTGCCCGGCTTGCCAGACAGGATCCAAGGCCGCCTGTCCCAGAAATCATCTTTGATGATGTCGACATGGTCGACCGCGACCTGTGCCTTCCGGCGCAGTTTGCGGACCTTATCCTGCTGTGATCGTGACTGCTTTTCCTCTGGCTGCTCTTCCGAGACTTGTGTAGCCTGGGGCTCTTCCAGTTCATACTGTAGCTGTTAGTATGGAAACAGAGCCAAAGAAATGGATGCTTACCTGACGATAGAGAACAGTGCCCTTCTTGTAGATTTCTAGCTCGTTATTGTAATTCACTCCAAAGCGCTTGAAGAGAATCTCGTTCTTGTCCGCAGCCACGGTGCCCTGGGAGATTGGTTGTCAATAACCAGTGCTTTCGAGGGAGAATGATATGTCTTACCTTCAACTCCAGCTCGGCCTCTGTATTGCCCATGCCACCTTTCAGTACCATGTGCCAGAAAGTGGTGTTGTAAAGATTATTGATATGACCTGTGATTGAATTAGCCAAATCCCTCACCCAATACTAGAAACCAAGGGGCTCACAATCCACCTGCCTCCAGCTCATATAATCGCGCAAAATATGAGCATTTGGGTAGATAACCGCACGACCATCGAAAGACGGCAAATAGGGTGGCTTGAGTGGCGTATCTGGGAAGAACTCGCTCCACTTGTAGATATAGTATGCCGTAAAAGTAGAGACGATGGTAGTTACCAATTTGCTGTGAATGATCAGTAACGACCCACGAGCATGAATCCATAACGGTCAAAACTTACCCATTACGACGCTCAAACAGCTGGCAATTGGGATGGAATACGAAACTGTGGTTGATTAACCAACGTGAATAGAAAAGATATTGGCACAAGACCATACCTGAACTCGTCACTGACGCCGTATGCAATGCACAAGTCTGGAAGCTCTTTCATAACTTCGACTGCGGCGGCGTTCATCAGATCCAATGCACGACGGTCATTGGGCTTCACGAAGCCATAGTGATCGGAAAGTCTAGATATGTTAGCATATCACTACAGAGGGGTGGAGTTGCAGCCGAAGCCCAGATCAAGATACACCAGAGCGCATAGATGCATGCGTGAATCTTAAATGCTCCTGGCAACGACTCATGCATAAGAGACTCACTTGTGGAATCCTCGTCCATCAATGCGAACCACAATCCAGGTGTTGGGGAGCAGCACATCTGGCTGCTCGAAATTTTTGACGTATTCAAATCTAGATATTTTGTAAGCAGCTGGAATACGACCTTTTGGAGTTTTCGGTACCTTGAGTTCGCCATGCTGACTTCGACTGAACATAGGTTCGTAGAGTGGAAGAGTCATTTTGTGCGGGCGGGCAGAAACCGCATCCACACCCTGTGCCCGACTCAGGGCAAATGTGCGAGAGAAGAGTCAAACCAGTCGTGGTGAGTCTAAGTTGATTTACAAATTATAGAAGAGCGATTTAGAGAAAGAAATGTATTTATTTAAGAATCAGAGAGTGGAAATATTTGTAGGCTTAGATGCATATCAATCGGAAAACCCGCCGAGTGTAGTACTCCATCAAGAAAACAGTGAAGGGACGGACGAGATGTCCATAGGTAAAATCACGAGGTTCCAGCCTCTTCCGGAATCTCCTCATCGCCAGTCTCGCTGGCACGTTCGCTGGTCTCGCTGGCCTTGTCAGATCGGCGAGACTTGCGAGAAAAGAACCCCAGGCTGCTGCGAGTGGAACGATCGGCAGATGTGACACTTGAGACAGTGCTATCAATGCTCTTGCCAAGCTGTGCCTCGCTAGCCGCATCTTCGTCAATGTCTCCTTGCGAAGAAGTGTCCTTCTTGGAGAAGAGTCCCGAGCGGTCTTTCCATGAGCTGAACTTGCTAGAGCTGCCCTTGCGGGTAATCTTGCGGATGAAAGATTCCTTCGAGGCATTGTCTACAGAGGTTCCAGATGGCATGCGCTCCAGTGACTCATAAGAGTCAGCGGTGAAGTGGGAGAGGGAGCGGGAGGTACGGGGCTCAGAGGGCGACCCGTCATACTCGCGCATTTCGAACGGACTATCGGGGCCGTTGTCTTTTGTCTCTTCTCTGTCGGAGCCATCGCCAGCGAAGACGGCCGTGAAAGCCGGGGCAGCCGGGTTCAGTCTTGGGGTCAATGGCCGATGAGAAGATGACGGGCGGGTGCCGATGGGGGCCTGGAGCGGCCGATGATGGCGTTCAAATGTGTCCCCCACAAAATCAGGCTCGCCAGTCAGACCCAAAGGGAGATGGCCAGATGAACCGTATGTGAGTGAAGGCCGCCGGGAGGGAGCTCGAGACCAAGTCGAGGGAGAGGCCCAATCAAATCCAAGAGGACTGTTGCGATGTCCGGCGTTGTCCGTTGACGGCCACCCGAAATGGCGATTATCCGTTGAGGGGTGGGGAAGCTGGTTTTGGGTATCGAAAGAGGTAGACGAAGGCCGTGGAGACAGCGATCCCCGTCTGACACCACCAAGAATCGATGACGGATCGATGGGATCATGTCGAGGGCTGAACTGATTGTATCCAGTACCGAGATCAGGGTTTCCACGGGTGCCAGTGCCGCCAAAGCCAAATCTGCTGGAGGAGAAGATACTCGAGAAAGCAGCTCGTCTAGAAGGCGCGTGGTCGGAAGAACTGTCCAGAGTAACACCGGTTGTGTTGCTGCGAGGGAAGAGGGACATTGGGTTCGCCCAGTTTCCGGTATAGCTCGACCGCCGTCTTCGGGAACCGATTGGATCCAGCTCATCGACATTACGGGGGAAGGATTGACTCTGGCCGGGCTTCAATGTACCAAGCATAGGCGATTCGTCTGCCAGAGTTTTCCCGCGAGGTCGGTGGAAATTGAAAAGCCCAGAGAGCCTGCGCGATGCGCTTTTTGGAGCTTCTCCAGCGGCTGATAGATGAACACCTTGAGACTCGTCCTGTCGATTCTGAGTTTCCATCGGGCTTGCAAATATGCTTCCAGGTCTGCTACCGGAGGAAACAGGAGACACTGGCCCGTGAACAAAGTTATCAAGTGGGTTGGTAGATGTCTCCATTGCCGTGAATCTCGGACGGGCCATTGGTCGCGGGAAGTCCGTTGATTCCTCGTCGCCGAGTAGATTAGATGGTAGCAAAGCATCCGCTCGAGGGCTCATTTGCGGGTTGTTGAAAGCGACTTCTGCGTCTGAGCGCATGACCTCCGGGGGATCAGATAAACCGGGCAGGGCCATGCCATTGTTGATGTTGAAGAATGCAGAGCTGGGAGCGAACGTGGGCGAGTGGGTAGTCTGGTTGTAGTTGAGGCCATTTGCGAACGAGGTATCGATACCTGGGAAGTTGACAGGGGACGAAACATTGCTGACCAACGAGCTACGATGGCGACGGGGACGGATGGTACCGGGGTTTGCCATGTCGAGGTCCAGAGACGGCAAGGCAAAGGGGCCGGAGCTGCCTGGTCGCTGGGCCGTCAGCCATTTCAGGCGTTCTTGCGCTTCTTGGTACTGCTGCTGGGCTTGAGCGTGAAGATTGACCAAGGTGGCATATCGCGCGTGTAGATTGCCCAACTTGTGCTCCCATTGCCGGGCTCGTTCATTGTCTATTCGATCCAGCTCCTTGCCATCTTCACTGTCCCCTTCTTGCAGCCCCATTCTCTCTTCCTCGAGCTTCTTGACCCTGCCACCCTTGTCTTGAATCTCGTCGTCGATTGTTTTCATCTCCGCTTGCTCTTTAGCAATCTTCTCACGTACTTCGTCTGCGCGCTCGGTCCCTTCGTCTCGGATCTTCGACTGATCGTCCTTTGCCTGCTCGGCGTCAGAGTTCATGCGCGCAATCTTCTCTTGCCATCTCAGAATGTCGTTCTTGCGCTTCATACGCTCCGCCTCTTTTTGCTGCAGAAGTCTCATGCGCTTAGACTTTTCCCCCTGAACAGTTCGGTTGACACTTTCCAACTTGTAAACATGCTTTTTCAGGTCACCACTAGCCTCGTCTTTTTCCCGGACGCGCTTTCTCAGTTCACTGCGTTGCTTTTCAAGATCTCTGAGCAATTCAATGTGTTCCTCTTCTTCCTCCGTTCCCTGTTTCTCCACGCTCTCATTCTCATGCTGCAAAGCTTTCAAACGATCGGCCAGTTGCTCCAAAGTCTCATCCTTGGCGGTCTTAGCCCTGCTCTTGAAGGTCTCTTCGAAATTGCCATGTGCGGTTTCTAGCGTTCCTGCGGCGGGAGAAATTTTTCGTCCAGCCGCGGGTCTTTTGCCGGGCAATTGACCGGTGCTATGCTCACGAGACATTATCGGGGCAGAAGGAGTTGGCAAGCCGACGGTCGACCTAGGGATTGAGGCGCGAATGATCGGGCCCCCGGTGTTGCCATTTTGCTGGGCTTGGGAAAGCGGAAGAGATTTGGTTCGGACGTGAAGGACTGCGCTGGGTGTTTGGAAGTTGGCAGCACTAAGAGAGAGTACACAGATGTGGTAGATATTTCCGGGCATCAGATTGGAGATTTCCACCGCCGTCTCTGCTCGCTTGGATTCACCAACTGAAAGCCGTTAGCGCGATTGTTGCCGAACAAAAACCATGGTCCTTCCTACCTTTGACATTGTTGACTTGAATAATGTGCTTGTGTATTGAGTTGTGAAAGTCCGGTTGCTTCCAAGCAAGGCGAATTTCGCGGGCTGTGATTTCCTCGAGGGTGACTTCTGGCGGCGGAGGAATGTCGAGACCGAGCTTCTCGACCAAGACCTCATTCGAAGTTTGGCAGACCTGCCATGCACGGTAGAGAAGCCTTTTTATGATGAGTTAGCCAGGCACACGGGTAAGCAGAACAAAAGACCTACCAGATCAGGGCCCATAGTATCGAAACCGCGAGGAAGAGAGCCATGACGCCTCGTACTCGCACGCGAGGGACCACTGCTGGGTAAGCGTCAAATGCAAAGTAAAGCGGCTCATACATCCCAGCGTCAATTACCCATATGGACGCGGGCGGCGGGGATCAAGGGAATCAGAAAGATCGCCAATGCCTTCGATTTGGCGGGATAGCGTCCACGTGATCTCCAAATTCGGAACTAGCTCAAAGGGGATTAGTGTACATTAGGATCAGCCGCTAATCCGCATTTGGTGACATCCATGGATACCTGCCGAGGTTATTCCCCGAGGTCAGGACAGTCTTCATCTTTCTGTTCTCGTGGTCTTTAATAATTCAATACGGTATATATTTGGATAGTATTGAGAAACTATATCAAATGCATTCCATCCAGTCATATTCAATCAATCAAGTGTATGCGCAAATGTACACAAGCTCACAAACAAAACGCCGACAATGCCATAATTAAAGTGGCCTAAATTGACCATGTTGTAATGTACTCTCCAACTCCAAGTCTGCATGCAATGGTGTTGAACGTGGATATATCGCTGTCAGCAGTCTAATGCGGAATCTGACTCAAAACAGCAAGGCGGGTATCTAGGACGCAGAGAAATGCCCGGTCAAATCACATCGAAATCGTACTCACGGTGACCGATATATGCTCAGGGGCTCTGAGGCGATTTCGACCGGATGGGGAGAGAAGTTGTTGAAAGCTCAGTTGCTTCGAGGGGTTGCTCGGTAATGGGAGAGAGCTCTTCTTCGCCGATGGCCTCTTCCGCAATGACATCGCCCTCGACAGACTCAATGATCGAGCCTGCTGGGTTGGACACGGCCACCGAGTCTTGGGACATATAGCTTGCGCCGAGGTCTTCGTCGTCACCCTCGGCCTCATCAGGATAGTCACTACCCTCACCGTCACTCAGTTCGTCGTCATACTCATCGTCACCTTCATCCTCATCGCCGTCGTCATCTTCGTCTTCACCCTCATCCTCACTGTCAGTCGTAGAGAAGTCGTCAAGCTCCTGTGGGGCATCTCTCCAGTATGTGAAATCAGTGTATTCTTCGCCTCCAGACTGCACCAACAGACTGGTGGGAGGGAAGAAATGATCAAGGAGCTCTTGCATAGTCACGTAGCTGCTCTTGTATTTATTCAGACTGAGCAAGTCCAACGAGACTTCAGCATTTGAATTGATCGTGAAAATTCGAGTAGAGGGAATGTTCACGGAGCGATAGCTCAACGCGTCGGTCAATCGGTTTCCGAAGCCCGCATAGAATGGATTCTCCTTGCCACAGAAGAGATTCAGAATATCTCGAAGACATGCCATCTTGAAAACCTCAGGTTTTCTTAAGTAGATTTCTCGCCTGAGAGCCGCCATTGTGCGGTCCGGGCTGCAGATGACTGGACCTCGTGGGAGCCGGTATCCATCCTGACAGATACCATTCAAATATGCACGTGTGGTGTCTGTTTGGCCAACCGAGCGACTAGTGAGATACATGATATTGTAGCCATTGTTGACAATATCAGTATAGAGCTTGGCAACACCAGCATGCGTCCAGTCCCGCCCGATCATGTTGAGAACATGTCCTAGCGCATCGGACTTGGTGATAGTTCCGTCAATATCGGAAATAACAATGGGCGTGTTTCCGTTCCACAAATACATGTTTGCGGTACAGATTGCACGGTTGACACTGAAGGACATGGTGTTCGCCCCGGGCTTCAGCTGCAAAGCCTTCAGCTGATCGCTAGTCAAACGCAGAGTCTTGGCATAATTGCGGGTTTCAACCTCAAAAGAATCATGCAAAGGCGAATGCGGCGGTGTGGGGAATCCAGGTTGAACATCAGACTTGGTGCGATGATGGCGTGAAGCCAGGGAAGGCTCGGATACGGGATGGTCGCCATCACTGTGATATCCCGGGTCAGAGATAGCGTCATCGCTCAGCACAGTGTTTGGGCGCATAGAATTGAGGGTGGCTCTTCGATCAGCCAACTCCTTGGATTCCTCGCTGCTGTAGATCCACAGGTTACCGTGCTCGTCAGCTCCAATCAATGCGCCAATATCATAGCTTCCCTCAAGCTCCTCTGCAAGAATCTTGCGCGCAACGACCTCCGCGCGTAGCGCATCCTCGTCGTTGCTCTTATAGCCAGTCATATCCAGCATCAGATCACCCGTCTCAGTGACGTGGGATGGGATGTTGGAGCCCGACAGCTTTTTTGACAACGCCTGGGCACGCGATACTGCCTCCTCTGGAGACATCGGAGGAGGGCTACGGGGGCGGTCTGCTCTAGCCTCGGCCCCGGAAGTTTCATCATCTTTCTTTCCTGGCTGGCCTGGCAAGGAATGCCGGGGTGAAGTGAGTGGGATCACGTTGTCCGACAGCGAATGATCAAGTGGCGGCTTAGAACCGAGCGAGGTGTTTCGAGAATGAGAGAGATTGGATTCGTCTGGAGATTGCGACAGTGGAGTTATCGTCCCTAGAATCTTGGTCAGCGAAGGACATGGATAGGCAAGGGAGGAGAGCGGTTTGTACCTAGATCGGTGTTCGCTCGCATCTTGGTTTGCTTGATGGCCATAGCCGGGGGTGTCTTTGCGCCTTCTGACAAGGCATCGTTCCCTTTATCCAGATCGAAGAAATCGGGTTCTTGCAGTGAAGGCGGAAGATCCGGCTCGCTCTGGGGCCTTGGGCTTGCTGCGGGAGACACCAACGGAGACGTTTGTAACGATGCGGGGATTTCGTCGGTGGTCTCAAACACAAAGAATGCCTCGCCTCCTTCTCCCAGTTTCATGGCATATTGCTGCTGTACTCCGTTCACTTTGAACTCGACCTTCTTTTCGAAGGGACGCAAGAGCGAGAACTTGCCAAATCGAACGTGGAAGGGCGAGCATGCGAGTGTACCTTTTGAATGTATTAGCCTGCGTTATCACCCGATCGACCAGTTCGTACCATCTTCTTGCTCAATGACAATGACATCAATGGCCCCGCTGAGGGTGGCCGGGTTGATTGAATTCCATGTCTTGGAGACCGAACCTCCAAGGCTGCGGACGTACTGCATCCCGAGGATGTCTAGCACCGAGTATCGATGCCGAAAAAAAGGAAAGAAATGCGAGAGGTGTAGAAGGGAAGTGAGACAGGTTTGAGAAAATCGGAGGAAGTGCCGCCTTCCCCATGTGACACTTCAGACACTCTACCCCACGGGACCTCCGACGCAAATCGAGGAATTCCAGAAAGCTGGCAAACGATCTCGAAACGGATCTACACGGAGGACTACACTATTTCCACATTACATTTCCGACCAACATTTGGTTCAACGTCTCAACCTTCCGCACCCCCAACATTCGTTACGTCAGCATGCCGAGGCACTTGCTCAGAGTGGACCTGCGTCGATCTACGGAGTACATACGTCTCACCACAAAAATCGGTCTCATTCTCAGTACTATACACTGCACGGTATTCCATACTCTGGATGAGACCGCCCCTACATACGCAGCCACGAGCAGGACTGCTTCCTGCGGTACTGTCCTACAGCCATAAGCCTTGCAGACACGCCTTGCCGTTCCCGTGGTTGTCGTGGCACTGGCTTTGGCTTATCTACGAGTACTGTACACGCAGGGCGTGCCTGAAAATCTCATTGGAAACACCCAGGCCACCCTGCCAAACTGACCATACCAGCCTGCATGCACTCTCGAACACTTGGGGATATAAATCACTACGTCTCATTGGTGTCCACGGCCAAAGTGAAGCTGACATGCAGTACCACCGGCAGCCCGCCCTGCCTCAGCCCATTGGCACTGTTCTGGGTGGCGTTCTACCGCGGTGAGTCTCAACGCCTTCATACATATGTACACCGTGTGGTAGCCTTCCGCCAAGGGTTACCTCGACACACCGTCTATTCGCTCTCAAACTACGTCAATGGACAAAGCGTGGCGAACAAACCCGATTTCCTTGTCCTGATTATGGAGATTCCTGGGACCTTTTCCTTTTCTATGAAAGAAAGCAAGACAAGGAAAAGACACATACATTGCGGTCACTATTAATGACTCTCATTTAGGAGGTGAAACTTAGATTCCTTAGGCCCGAACTTCGCCAACACCTGCTAGGCATCAACAATTAGGGTCTAGTGTGTGTCAAGCTTGATATGGTCTCATTTGCTTTCCAAAAAAATACCTGCAAACAGCTCTGAAGAGATTGTCTTTGGGCTTAGCCGTCAACATCAGAAGTCAAACCAAATCAGCTAAACACGATGCTAGTGATCGAAGCAATACCTCCAGGATTGGGTGAATGAAAATAGGAACATGGAGGCCCCCAAAACTATACGTAACTGCCGGAGTCCAGGGCTCAAGTGCCCGCGGCCCACTTGTCTCAATCTACCTATGTCAGACCGCCCTGAACGCCGCCTAATACTGCACACCCTAAATGGAAATTCCAAGACCACCGAAGCTTCAATCTCGAAACGTCACTTACCCCATTCCCATCCAAACAAACCTCATTGACCACAAAAATGTCCAACCCAAACGCCTACGGCACTCCAGTGTCGGACACGGCCTTCCGCAAAACCTGGGACCGTGAAGAATACACCAAAAAGGCCGCCGAAGATGAAGCCAAACGCAAGGCGGAAGGCAAAGCACGCTACGAAGCCAAGCTCCTGGGCAAAAAGTACCACGCCCCAGTCGACTACAGCGCGCTGGATGATACGACGGCTCGCAACCAGCGACTGGACGTTGCGTCAATGGTCGGCAAGACGATGCTTGTGCCTGCGGGAGCGGGGATGGGCAAGCGCGGACCAGGCGCGGGATTCTACTGCAAGGATTGTGATTTGACGTTCAAGGACAACTTGCAGCTTGTGGAGCATTTGAACAGCAAGCAGCATTTGATTGCGACGGGGCAGAGTGGGGAGGTGAAGAGGGCTGGAGTTGAGGAGGTTAGGACGCGGTTGAGAATGCTTTCGCATCGGAAGAGGGTGAGGGAGGAAGAGGAGAGGAAGGCTTGGCAGCTTGACTTGGGGGTTAGGCTGAAGGAGAGAGAGGAGGCGGATGCGAAAGAGAGGGAGGAGAAGAGACGGATCAGAAATGAGAAGCGGAGGAAGGTCAAGTCTGAAGATGACAGTTGGGAAGGTCGGCTGGGGATTATTTCTTGAATGGGTTGCGCTTGGATTGTATTCTACATTTGATACCCGTGGTGTTTGGCTCTTTCTTTCTCTTATGTGCAATGATGTTTTATTAAATGTGTGACTCGAAACTCGAACAATAGCCCTAACGCCTCACAAGATATAACGCCTCTCGTGAAAGTTCATATCATCAAGAAATAATCTGATAAGGCCGATGGCCAATTTAGTCGATGCATTCAATTGCTTCGATCCGCCGCAATGCTCTGGCACCTTCTTTCTCGAACTGACCGACAAGTCGTTCACATTCTCTCTTCAGTCGGTCTTCGCTGTTCTTCGCATTCCATGTGATCCATTCTTGAACGGTCATCTTCTTTTCGGGGCTGGTCAATCCGCCTTTCACACCCTTGAACAGACTAGAGAGATCGGCATTCTCCTTATCGCTGGCCTCTCCAAAGAGCGCTTCATCGATATCAACTGGAGTCCACGGGTGGCCTGAAGGCCCGAACCCAGCATTGGGGTTGCGCTTGGATGGCGATGGGGTGCTCGCCGTGAGAGTTGGATGGAATTCAGGGTGTTTTGGGGTTGATTGAACTGGAGGCCGGGCCGAAGAAGGTCGCGACGAGGGAGGTCGGTTTTCAGCATCTGAAGATTGGGGTGAGGGTGATGGTGTGCTTTCTTGTGGGGGCGGAGAGATTGCCTGGTTGGATCGTTTGGAGGTTCTTCGTGGCTCTCGAGCTTCCTGAGGGGAGCTTTGGTTGACAAAGGTTTCCGCAAGATGTTCTTCTTGGGGAATATCGCTATATCGCTTTGCGGTCTTGGGAGGCAAGCTGGACCTCTTGCGATGCGAGGACGGTGGTTCATGAGAAGGTTCTTTGGGAGCAGGAGAGTGTCGTTGAGGCGGGTTGACTAGTTCAAGCTCGTCCGGTAAGTCATCCGCATCGTCAAACTCATCATCCGTTCCATTGGCCGGAGGCTCGATATCGTGGGGCTCCTCCACTGGAGATTGAGGAGGTGGTGGTGCCTGCTCTGCCTTCTTTTCTGATTTCTTAGGTTTCTTCTCCTTGGCCGAGGCTTCCTTCTTCTTGGAACTCTTCTTCTCGGCCTTGACTACCGGCTCTTCGGGAACGGACTCGGGTTCGGGCTCGGGATTCTTGCTGATGATCTCAACAGCGACAAAAGATTCATGGTGGCTAGACCTGCGTTGATCCTCTTCGAGCTTGGTCTCGGGCGAATGACGAGGCTCTGATGATTGTGCTTTAACAGCCTCTTGAGCTTTGGGATTTTTAGAGCTCTTCTTTTTGGATATCTTTGATGATTTGGCCTTTGGAGCTGGCGGCTCGGGCACTTCAGGTTCAACATCAACGGCCTCCACATCCTCAGCGCTTGCGGGCGCCTCCTCTTCCTCGGGGACCTCTGCTTCTTGCTGTACAGCCGGCTCAGGTGACTCAGAGGCAGCTTTGGACTTTTTGTTTGACTTAGTCTTCTTTGATGTCTTTGGCTGCTTAGACTCCTCCTCGACTGGCTCGGGGATGTCTTCTTCTAGGCCTGCTTCAATCTGTGCATCAATCTCCGAGTCATGCGGCCCCTCGGGCACTGTTTGTGTCTTGGACGAAGCAGACACATTGGATGCCTTGCGAGACTTCGAGGCCTTTTTGGCAGGTTTTCGGCCCCGCTTTGGCTCATCATCAGAAGGCATATCGCCCGCGGGCTCTGCATCCGCCATGATAGAATCGCTGTGTTCGTAGTCATACTTCCGAGCAACGCTGCTGCTTCGTGTCTTCGTTGCTCGTCTCTTCGCAGGAGGCTCCGAAGGTGGCTGCTCGGCTTCTTCCACCCCTTGGGAGATAAGCTTCGGCTCATCCTTGATGTCTTCACTCGTTCGCTTCTTTCCCTTGACACCACGTTTGGGCTTAGAAGGCTCCGGCCGTGCAATTTCTTCGGCGTCGATCCCATCTTGGTCCTCTGTCTCTGCCGGCTCTTGTTTGCTCTTGGCAGCCTTTGTCTTGGCTTTGGTCGCTTTCTTTGTGGACTTTGACTTAGTGGTGGCCTGAGACAATATGCTCTGGTCCATTGAGTCATCCATATCCGTTTCGGGGGCTTCCGATGTTATAGATTGCGTGGATAGTCGAGAGGAGGCCTTGGAGACTCGAGATTTCTTAGCTTTGGAGCCCTTGCCCTTTTTGCCTGGGGGCTGGGCAAAAACAAAGAAGGAACAGTCCGAGGAGCGGCGGTAGTGCTCGTCACTGTGGATGTCAGCACCAGGAATATTGGAGAGAACGACCCGCACTTACAATGGATCATCCTTGGGCTCCCAGCCGTCCAAAGACAGCTTGCAGTAAACGCAACTGGCCAGATCGTTGCTTTCATCGGTTGGGCAGAAGTACCACCCTGCTTCAACCATCTATTTAGATTGTGAGCTACTGAGCCAAGGGCAGTATTGAGAACAAGCCTTACCTTCTCTGACTGGCATACCCAGCCTCGCTTACCATCATGAGGCCATGCGGATCCAAATGTTGAGAGTCGTGCCTGCGTAATGCGATCGCTTGTTGGATCTTCGATCGAGGCGGGGTTCGAGCTGTTTTGGTGGATGTCCATCATAATAGCCCATCCGCAATCAGGTGCGTGCTTGAGATGTTCTGTGACAGGATTGTCTTCTTCCTCCCAGCCATCCAGCGCCCTGTGGCACTCGAAACATGTTGTGTTATCGGGATTCGTCTCATAGGGTTTGTAGTAGAATCCGGCGTGCGCCAACTAATAGCCCTGTCAATGAATGCAAACGTCGAATCGAAATTCCAGTCACAAACCTCAGCTGGCGAAGGCCGCTGGTGCGGCCATGTGATGGCCTTTTGTGTTTTGGTGCCAGAAGATCGGCGCTTCTCCGGCTTCAAAACTATGTCAAAACTGGCCAGGCGGGCCGCAAAGGTATCCATCTCGGAGCCCATGTCGTATATTCGGACCGATTTGTGACAGATTCAGCCTGGATGCGACATACAGAGTCTTCAAGGCGGGCTAAATTGGCGTGGTTTGGTCGGAAGTCTTGCGGTTGTTGATCGCCGCGTCTGTTTACTTCCGTTGTTATGCAAATACGCGCATTCACGTGATCGGTTACTCAGCGCCCGAAGAGGAAAGCAGGACGGAGTACGTCAGAGCCGGAAATGTTGACGACTCAATTCCCTTCCAGTACACTCCTTTGGTCTCTATGAGGGACGTCAATGCTCTTTGATTGTTAAATTCTTGCGCCCCGCGCCCCGATCTCTCTTACTAAACTCCAAACTATGCCGGGAGTAACAGTATGTCAGATCCCATCCCTCCCCGATGATCTCCAATCTCACACTTCTCCGCAAGATGGCCACTTCGCGGGGTATTCATACCAGTGCCCTTTGCCGCGCTCGAATTACCCTTGCATCTCCTCGTCTTGCTTCTGCATCAGCCCGCTCACTGTCCATCAATTGTCGCAAAACCACTCCCTACAATGGCCGACCCTCGGCAATTCGGAGCACCTCAACGGAGCAGCTGCTACGCAAAGCTCATAGCAACCGGTCATCATTCTCAACATCGTCATTCCATTCATTACCAGACTCAGACTGGGATCATAATCCGAACTTGTCTATCTCCAACTTCTCGGAACTTCCCTCCAAGGACTTCGGCGTTAACCAGCACATGATCATAAACCAGGAGTTCAAGGAGGCATTGCGCATGATTCTTTGGCAGTTCAAGGCGCCTATTCGATATGCGTTTGCCTACGGATCTGGAGTGTTCACGCAGAACAGCAGTAGTGCTCCGACCAGCTCGTTGCACCCCTCGGCCCCCACGGCCATCAACAATATGCAACAGGGCTCCGGTAAAATGATTGATTTCATCTTCGGAGTATCATACTCCCAACACTGGCATGACTTGAACTTGACGCAACATCGCGATCACTATTCGGGTATGGGCTCACTTGGGTCGTACATGGTTTCTCAAGTGCAAGACCGCTTTGGCGCTGGTGTTTACTTCCATCCTTATATAACCGTTAACGGAACAATGATCAAATATGGTGTGGTCAATCTTGACACGCTATGTCGAGATCTCACCCAGTGGGATACCATGTATCTTGCTGGCCGTCTGCACAAGCCCGTGAAAATCCTCCGGGACCACCCGAAGGTGCGATTGGCAAACCAAGTGAACCTACTGTCCGCTTTGCGAGTTGCACTCTTACTGCTTCCAGAAAGGTTCAGCGAGTTTGAACTATACACCACGATTGCCGGAATGAGCTACATGGGAGATCTGCGCATGGCCCTGCCGGCTGAGGATCCCGGCAAGGTACGAAATATTGTCTCGGGGCAAATGGCACACTTCCGCCGCTTGTATGCGCCCCTCATCGAGAACCTACCCAATGTCGATTTCCAGGACCCGCGATGCAGCCAAGAAGATTGGATTGATGACCCGAACGCTATTTTGGCCATGGCACAGGACATGGATCCGATCAAGCGTGGCAACATGGTTCGTCGCCTGCCTGAATCTTTCCGACAAAAGCTGTACTTCCAGTATCAATCTCGCTATCAGATTCCTCGCGTCGACTTTGATAAAATGATCCAGGAAAGCAAGGACTCGGAGGACATCCTTCGCCGTCCCCAAGGTGGTCCCTTCGAGAGACGAATTGCCGGAGATGACTCCCTTCAGGAGCAGGTCGCCAAGTCTATTGAGAAGACAATCCGCTGGCCCAGCACTGTTCAAACCATCAAGGCACCTCTGACAGCAGGTCTTGGCAAGAGCTGGACCTACTTGAAAGAGAAACGCGACAAGCACCAGAAGGCCCAGAAACTCAAGGCTTCCGCATCGGAGCAGCCCACTGCAGCCAAAAAGCCTGCTAAGGAGGCCGAGGCCCCTGCGACAAAGGAAGACAAGCAGGAGTAGGCGCCAGTCCCGCATTGTAGACATGAGGCATATGGAGGCGTTGTGGTTTTTTCATGGCCAGTGCACTAAAGTTCATCATGGATCGATCTGCCTGGCATCTTTATATCGGCAGCGAATAGTTCTGCCAAAATACATACATACACCTCATTAGGTACATAAATTTCCTATTGTCAGATAGAACAACATTTCCTACAAACATCTGCCCAAGAGGGGTCCTCTCAGTGACTTTTCGTATCTACCCAAGTCTACCTAGGTAGTGTCGTTTCATTTCGACATTCCAAAGTCATACATATAAAGCATGGCATCGATCTAGAAGATCACCTTTTCAAATGCCTCCTGAAGCCCTTTACTCCCCAGCCAAGCCTCCAAGGCTTGCATGTCCCCCCGATTAGCGCGTTGCCCGCCACGTTCCCCCAATGAGTCCGTGATCTCCTCCATTCCAGCAAAGACTCTTTGCACATCCTCGGTCTCTCTGAATCGCTCGCTCACTTTTTTCTGATGACTCGGAATATCGCCCCAAGAATGCGTCTTGATGAAACTCATATATGAATCGACGTCCGGCGAAGCTCCCTCAAGACACAACACGCCAGGTTTGCCCGCGAGCACAAAGCCCGTCAGAGAATATGCCGGGGCCAGGTTAACCATGTCGTCTCTCTTTTTGCGTGTCGACAGAGACGGGAAATAGAACCATACTCGGACAATGGGACCTTTGTCTGTTTCTGACGTGACGACTTGAGTCTGTTTGCTTTCAAGGATGCGATTGGCTTCCGATTGAACAAATTCAAATACTTCCAATGCATCGTCGCTTTGGGGTATTGAAGCCGTGATGTTAGCCACCTCGGCCCTGGACAACCAGTCTGGTTGTCGAAGTGAGAAGCCCAGTGGTGGCGGCTGGTCAATTGATTGATCTTCGCACTGCAGTGGCACTGTGATGTTGACTTGGATGGTTCGCTCCCCATCTTCAATTGGGAGACAGACTGCGAGAGATATATTGTCGGGGATCCCGGACGGCGTTGAGCTGGGATCCTCGCACCAGTTCCGGATTTTTTCAATGCACTGCGTTGTGGATTCAGGGATTTCTAGTTCGCCTGGCGAGGGAAACATTGCCGTAAGGAGGTCAATTGTCGATAATTGTGACTCCATGAGATCGGCGGGCAGGATTGATGATTCTTTTGAGGCCATTGTGTGTGGCCTAGTCGTAATTGACTCGAGAGATCCAGTACAAATTGTATCTTGAATGCAATGTCAAGTTTGATAGAAACCCGAAACTATCATGGCCGTGTTAGGCTGTACAAGTAGAACGAGAGTAGCTGTGAAGGCGACGAGATGCGACGAGATGCGATCGGAGCCGAAGTCGGGACCCCGCTATCAGCGCAATTCAATCGACTCCCTTCAGTATGTGCACTTGGGATTCTACGAACACCCAAGTATGAGCCTGAGCCCGAGACTCTGACTGGCAGCTTATTCCGGGTGTCTGCGGGAAGACATTTCCCGATATTACCAGCACTGCGCAGACCTCCATCGCAACATGATGGCTTTCGAAACTCATACATCAAGAGAAGACGGCCAAAAGCTCTCGCAACGTCGCCAGAAACGAGCTCAAGTAGCTCGGGCATGCGACGGATGTCGACTCCGCCGCACGAAATGCGACAACCAAACCCCTTGCTCAAACTGCGCGACGAGAGAACAGCTTTGCAGCAATAGTGGTGCACTGAAAGCGTCGACCCTCGCACAGGCCACAGAGGAGATTGAAACACTCAGACGAAGAGTCAAGCAGCTAGAAGGAGAGTTGAACCAAAGACCTAAAGATCAGCATAATCTCCCAACACCGGGAGAGTCTTCCCTTTCCGCCCGAGGTTTCAGTCCAAGGCACGACAGCGATGATCGGGTCAAACAGTATTGGCAAGGAATACAGCTTCGCCCTGCCCGTTCCTCCAATGAAATCTGGCTGGGGCCATCGTCGCTTCAGTTCTTTATTCAACGACTGGGCACATTTTTAACGCTCAACCTCCAACAAGCACATTCCACACAGCGCCTACTTCCCATTTCAGCGAGCGATAATCAGCTGCTCAACAGGCCAACGGCAAGGTCTCATGAAAACTCAGCCAGGCGGTGGTCCATCGGAGAGCCTCCCACAGAAGGCGTCTACCTGAATCCAATACAGGAAGAATACTTCATCAATCTATTCTGGCAAACCTTCCACACTGCCCTTTTCCCAATCGTGGACGAGTCTCAATTTAAAGAACACTACCAGTCCCTTTGGACAGGCGGCAAGGAAAGGGCGCCTTCTGCCCTCGTCGACATTATAATTGCCATGTGCATGCAATACGGCATCTCAGCTCTGCCCGCAGACGCACAAGGTCTTCTAGTAGAAGGGCAAGATGCTCTTGTCGCCGGCCGATGGCATTACTGGCGTGGACAAACTCTTCTCTCATACGAACTCGAAAGCCCATCCCTGTCAACGTTACAATGCCATCTACTTTGCGCCGCATATCTATGCGGCGGCTCTTTCCACAACATGATGGACAACGCGGTCAGCACTGCTGTGCGTACCGCATACATGCTCGGAATGCACCTAGATCCCCCATCTAATATGTCGAGGCGAGAACGCGGAATCCGAAGCAGACTGTGGTGGGCGGTCTATATAATGGATTTCAAGGTGGGTATCAAACTCGGTCGCCCTTTCATGCTACGTGACTCTCATTCTATGCCATGTCTACCGGACGATAGTCTTGATGCTGCGAGGACATCAGGGTCGATGTTCGCTCCTATCGGTGACAATGCGACATGGCTGAGTTTCAACTTGCATCAAATCAAACTTTACATAAAGGCACGAGCCGCCTTCACTTCCTACTACGACCAAGATCTCCCCCTGTCGACCGGCGAGACTGTATGGGATGACTCAAGTGTTTTGGAAGCTAGCGCGGAGGTCTTAGCCCAGCACGTCCGAAGTCTTCAGGATTGGGTCAAAGGCGTTCCCGACGCCCTGAAGCTGAATCGCCAGAATAACGGCACGCCCCTCTCCACGGATGGCACAAGCCTGTTGATTGAGGGGTTCTTACCCCTTTGGCTCCAGCGCCAACGGGTCCTTCTCGAACTTACGTATCACCATCTCAGCGTCAACTTATATCGGCCCATGATCTCGTTCGGCTCAAAACCACAGCCAGGGTCCGTGGCAGAAGATATTGCGATGCGATGCGCATCTCATGCCATAATGATATCCAAAATCACCCAACAAGTCCTTATGGAGAGCTCTATTCTGGACGGATGGCACGAGGCTTTCCATTCTCAGTGGAATGCCGCAATGTCACTCATAGGTTTCATTGTTGTCTACCCACACGCTTCATTGACTGGCGAAGCTAGAGCGGCCGTGGACCTGGCAATAACTGTGTTCGATGGTCTCGGGACTAGATTTGCGGTTGCTGCAGATGCGGCTAAGATCACGCGAGAGCTTGGCGTCAAGGTCGACTTTTTGGTTAACCGCAGCAGGCTTCGACTTGATTCTTTGGACTTTGGAATGGGCTCTGACGATGCTTCTATCCAATTACCTGGGGAAGTCACGTCTAATGTTTTTGCGTCGGCTCCGGATGAAAGATCAAATGCATTCAACGCTGAGATGATTCCTGGCTTCGGGTCAGAGTTCTTTGATATGGCTGTTGATATTGACTTTTGGAATGATCCTGGCACACTTTGGCCGGAGTTTGATGATTTGGTTGCTCATCAGGGCGGGTTTTAATGTTGGAGTATCAGGTTCTGGCTACAATTGATATGACTGTTTACTATTTATGTTATCATCTAGCCCCCGGAGCTTTGGGACCTGGATTTATAATTGTCGCACTCGACTTAGGAAGTGCCGCTCTCTCGCTTCATCGGCAGTGATCCTCTATGTAAACACGCAGTAGACTAATTAACATTCGATTCGGAAGTGTGAAAATCTGCATTAAGACTAAGGTAAAAATGACAAAAAAAAAAAAAAAAAAAAAAAAAAAAAAAAAAAAAAAAAAAAAAAAAAAAAAAAAAAAAAAAAAAAAAAAACAGCAAAGAAAAAAAAAATAATAGCATCAAGTATCAAGACATTCTCGCGAAGTGATCCAGCCCCACATTAACAAGGAATCCAGTCCTATATCAAGAAGGGATCCAGCCCTATATCACCAAAGATCCAGCTCTGGAGATGTGCCCCGAGGTTCCAGCCTTAGGGTGCTAACTGTTCGTCAGCTCGATACATATGCCCGCAGAAGTACCGCCGATGTTCATGAAGATCTCACGAACTAAACCAGGTCTTGGCCATCCGAGTCGCAAAACCATCACTCACATCCAAATAATACCTCCACGGGCTCAGATTAACATGCAAAGCAGTGCATTCCCAATCAAATGCAACAGATCCCGCAGCTCGGCGATCAGCCGCCCGCAATGTGTCAATTGTAGTCAAAGCGGCACAACCAATACAACAAAAGAAAGCAATGCCCATACTAGCAGCAAACCCCATATCCAAATGAGATGCTGCTAATCTCCACTTTTCCTTCTTTTTGGTGATCATTCCCATGCATGGGAACACGATGCGGGCACACAACATCACTGTCAGGAAGATTGTGCCAACGAGGAAGAATGAAATGAGAGCCATGGTGCCATTGAAGCTCAGTGCGCTGTGATAATCAAAGAGCACAGAGCGAAAAAGCAGTTTGTTAGAGCAGATTGTCTCCGGCGAGCATGGCGAGAATCCTGGGGCGGTTGGAATGTGCGGGATGAGACACTCGTACGCCAGCTCCGGAGAGTAACCTCTTTCAAGAGCTTTAAAATGGACGATAAAGAAGTAAAGACAGACTACCCATTGCACAATCACGAGTGTGCCGAGTGCTTTGTCTGCAAATCGTGCAAATTTTGGAGAGCGTTTGAGGGCACACTTGTAAGGATGGTAGTGGATGTTGTTCTTGTATTTCCACAGCGATACCCAGCCCAGGATGTAGGGGACGGGATAGTACTCTTTATTTGAGATATATTGGCCTAGACCAACACACCACCAGATGAAGCAACCGGCATCCCAGAGAAGGAATATCCAGTTGCTCAATTCCAGCCCTTGGCACAAGCGGTCGCTGTATAGGGCCGCTTGAAGGTTTCCCAGCTCCCAGAAGGCGGCGATGAAAGTGATGATGAGCTTGCACCATACTTCCAGGAGGGATGGCCAGAATGCCGATGGACGGGGAATCGATGGGATCACTTTGAAATCGCTGAAACAGCTCACGACATCACACCAGTCGGGCTCAGAACTGTGATTCTTCAAAACATTCGACCATTTCAAAGTGACCGGATAGAAGTCCAAAGCAGGACTGTTTTGATTCTGCAAGGAGGCTCTGATTTCGGGGCATTCTGAGGTGATATTAGACCGCGTGCTGTTGTAACAGCCCTCAAATATTGTGTTTTTGTACAACTCGTACTCCAGGCTGTTCGAATCGAAGCCAGTGCGATCCTTTTTCACGACATGCACCGCGACGAAAATACCAAGTACTAAGATGCAGACCAGCAAAACAAGGCAAGAGTATATGACACATGTCTGAAGCCTTCTTTTGGTCTTGTCCTCGGTGTGTCGAGGGAATCCCGGAGTATCGAGATCAGCGGAATCAACTTATGGATAAGAGTTAGCAATGGCAAAAGAGCGCTGGAGGAGCGAGGAAGCAAAGAGGCCGTATTTACTATCTACTCACATCTGTAGAAGGTGCTGCCGTGCTTCACGACCTTATCGCGCTTTGGGGAACTTAAATTCAACGTAAGAGGACGCTCTTTGAATGGAGTGATGTGAAACGGCATCTCGAAGAACAATATCCGAGTCACACTTGAACGAGAGCGAATGACTGCGGCGAATGCCAAAAGGGGAGCACAAATCCTCAACCACAAACGGTTCCTCTGTTAATATAGACATGTCCAGATTCAGCCTCACGTACCCTCCATCTTCTTTCCATATCTCAATCCTGAAACGCAGCTTGCATGGTTCTCCAGAAGCCGCGCGAAGGATGAGGTGGACAGTACCCTCCTTGAAGGAAGGAGCCTCAAGCTGAACTACAAGCAGCCGTGGCATCTCCAGCATCTGTAGATACTGGAGACTACAACTTCAGATGTATCCCAAGATGAACTGCATATCACCCGTTTCAAATAGGAAACTAGTTCCACATCCCTGTCAGTGCGAGTCAGTTAGCGCCCATTACAAACGCATGCATATGTACCTAGGTAGAACCTGGGCTATTTCCTTAGCGTGGGTTTGCGCCGCTGCCCAACCCTTCAGCCAACAATATGGATGGGAAAAAGAAGCAATGCTAAATATGGAACTTCTGGAATTTTCGATATATGAGATATTATGAGCAGGGATACTCAGAACCCTTACTGTGAACTACTAAAGCATACTACATAGTAACCCGACTTGCCTCATCCGATGATACTCATTCTCTATCGGTAGGGAAGCATTAAGCCAGCCTTCTACTACCGATGATCAACTGAAATGCAAGTAGATGGCTGAGCGAGTCTTGCCTTGGCATACCCGGGTAAAATCTCGAAACATGGGGGCGAAGCCACCAAGTATAACGGTGCAGTACGTATAGCGGGGAACATGTGAAAGCAACCACACTGACCACGGACGTTCGCGAGGTGGATGCGTGGAGGGGGAATATGTCCGATTCCACGTCGGCCCAGTCAAAGAAACAATACTCTGTGTGTTCTTTCAAATAGGGATCGCGCGTGGCGCGCACGGCGCAGAATATCTAACCTCGGAACTGCCGAGGTAGGGTTGCAAGATTACGTCCTGGCCACCACATTTGAAGATCTAGAGCCTTCCAGTGCTAAGACTTGAGATGCCAACAAGGTTGTACCCCCTGTTAATCTATTCATTTTCTCGTATAAGCAGGGTCAGGCGGCATGCGTATGACTATGACTCGCTTTTTGTAAAATCCTGGCGGTGCCGGTCCTATCAACCATGATGCTTTGGCGCGCATGGAAACTCCTGCATCGATGGGATCGCCAGTCCAGGGATTGATATGGACAGAGACACGCGGTTCATGCAGGGGTTCACGGAGAAAACCGAGTCGTGTTGGTGTCTTACAAGGTTGTTAACAGATGTTTATGCACACATCCGTCACTAGGATCGAGCCTTCGGTACGGAGTATACTTGGCGTAGCTATCCAAGGATTCTGTTTGTCATATGGCTAATCCTTGATCAGGATCGGAGCAACTTGTTCTTGTGGAACACTCAATTGAGTTTGGCTTTTCGCTTGTTCTCATGGCCTTTGGCTCACTACTAAGGCAAATGCCTTTTCTTCTACAAAACTGAACAGCGACCAAGAGTCTCCCTGGAGTTGCCGGGCCTTACGGATTGATGCAAGAATATTCCTAGATAAATACCTTCAAACTCACCTGGACTAGCCTTGGAATCATTTTGTTTTGGTATGGCTCCTACTTTCAAGTAGGCATAGACACCGTAGCGGTTGGTAACGGGCGGCGAACACCCCATACCGGATCGCTGGGAAGCAGGACCTTTTTTGCGTCGTGTTGAAGGATAATAACGAGACTGCTATGCATTCGTATCTCCCCAGATCAAGAAATGGTGATATTGGGGCCAAAGTGACCTCATCCCCACGGTTTCCTGAGGTCCGTCAACGTGCTGACTTGGGCATCAGAATCCCCGCGGAGTTTTGGTGGCACCTCTCTAGCGCTGTCAGCTTAAAATACTCCGGAGTTGAATGAGATTCAAGCCTTTTACGTTGATGGCCAACCGGAGCCCCGGAGGGATGTAGATAGTGGAGCCGGAGTTGCGGAGTTACGGAGTTGACTATGAGCATTGAGCACTGACCCTACATACTATACAAGCATCAGCCTCAGAGGTCAGCAATGGACTTATAAATACGGGATATACTGCTGCTGTTTATTCTTCATCACAGCAAGCAATCTCACATTCAACTCCCATTACAAAAGAAAACCAACGCCAACACCAAAAATGTCTCCCCGCAAAGCCCTAATCAGCATCACCTCCGCCTCAGCGACGCTCTTCGACGGCAAAGAAACCACAGGCCTCTTCATCAGCGAAGCCTTACATCCCTACAATGTTCTCACTGCCGCAGGCTTTGAGGTCGATCTCGCCTCTGAGACAGGAAGCTACACCCCTGACTGGCTATCCCAACAACCCGACTTCTTGAACGGTGCGGATCTCCAGACCTGGAACGACGTCAACAGCAGTTTCCGACAGAAACTAGACAACATGCCTAAGGCCGCAGATGTTGATGGTTCTCAGTATGGTCTTTTCTACGCCTCGGCCGGCCACGCTGCCTTGATTGATTACCCGACAGCCACCTCTTTGCAGAAGATCGCAGAGCAGGTCTGGGCTAATGGGGGTGTGGTAGCTTCTGTCTGCCATGGGCCTGCTATCTTTGCCAGTATCCTTGATCGGTCGACTGGGGAGCCTATCATCAAGGGTCGTCGGATGACGGGCTTCACTACGGAGGCGGAGGACAAGATGGGGATCATGAGTGATTTGAGAAGTTGGGGTGGTGAGATGGTTGAAGAACTTGCTGCCAGACTTGGTGCTCACTGTGAGTTTATACTGCCCAGGTGGTCTAACAGGATAGGTTGGTGCTGACATGTTTATAGATGAGCGCTCTGCTGGGATTTGGGATGACTTCAATGTTGTGGATGGTCGCCTTGTTACCGGTCAGAACCCTGCCAGCGCGACCTCGACTGCAAAGGCTGCTGTTGAGGTTTTCGATGCTCTTTGATCACCCATGTTGCGAAGGGGTTCTAATTGTATCTTCCAAGGTTCGGAGTGTTATAGCGGATTGGCTGTGTTTTAATCTAGTATATTCAAACAACATCGTTCTTTCGCGTCACTTTGGAAATATTCATATAATAGCCATGATACAGTCTAGGGAATATATTGCAACACTAGAATGTGCAATTGGAACAGTTCACAGTGTACGGACTCTACAGAGTCGATCAAGTGGAGCCTTATCATATAGATCGGCAATTGACTCATAAACTTCCCGCGATAAAACCCCCGCCGAACTCGGCTTGACATTGACACACTCACAATGCCTTCCCCATTCAACTTGGCCACTTGCGCCCGCCCCAATATCCTGGCATTGCAGCCTTACCGATGCGCTCGAGAGTATGTCTTCCCTCCAATCTATCGAACTCCTGCTAATGAGTCAGTGACTACAAAGATGACGGCACGAACGTCCTCCTCGACGCCAACGAGAATGCATTCGGTCCCGGTCTCGCCTTGAACAGCGAGGGCGCATTGCAAGCCTCGCAAACAGGCGATGCCACTGGCGCATCCAAGCCGGAGATTGACTTCCTGGGCCTGAACCGCTACCCCGATCCGTGAGTCCATCCCACCGCGCGCGACGAACCTTCTGACCCAGACTGCAGTCACCAAATCGAACTCAAGCAGCTCTTCTGCAGCCTCCGCAACACCCACCACCACACTCCCAAGACCCTCCGCCCAGAACACATGTTCTGTGGCGTGGGCTCCGACGAAGCCATCGATGCCCTCCTGCGGTGCTTCTGCGTCCCCGGCAAAGACAAGATCCTCACCTGCCCCCCAACCTACGGCATGTACAGCGTGAGCGCACAGGTCAACGATGTCGAAATCGTCAAAGTGCCCCTGGACGCCTCCAACGGCTTCCACCTGCAGGCCGACAAGGTCAACGCCGCCCTCTCCGCGGACCCCTCCATTAAGCTCGCCTACATCTGCTCACCGGGCAACCCCACCGCGAACCTCATACGCAAAGAAGACATCCAGAAGGTCCTCGAGCACCCGACCTGGAACGGCGTCGTCGTCGTCGACGAAGCCTACATCGACTTCGCCCCGGAGGGCTCCAGTCTCGCCGAGTGGGTCACCGAGTGGCCGAACCTCGTCGTCATGCAGACCCTCAGCAAGGCCTTCGGTCTCGCGGGCATCCGTCTCGGTGTCGCGTATACGAGCCCTGAAATTGCCCTCCTGCTCAACAGCCTCAAGGCCCCCTATAACATTTCCAGCCCGACGAGTGCGCTCGCCTCCGCGGCCCTCACGGCCCCCAATATGGCGGTTATGCACGGCTATCGCACGCAGATCATCGCCCAGCGCGATCGTCTGCTTCGTGAGCTCCCTGCTATCCCGGGAGTGGGTCAGTTCCTGGGTGGGTCGGATGCGAACTTCTTGCTGGTGCAGATGCTCAACCAGGAGGGCCGACCGTGTAATGTGACGGCGCTGGCGGCCTACGAGGCGATGGCAGAGAAGCGCGGAGTGGTTGTTCGGTTCCGTGGCAAGGAACTCGGGTGTGAGGGCTGCCTTCGTATTACCGTTGGCACGGAGGCAGAGGTCACCAAGTTCCTGCAGGAATTGCGGGTTGTTCTGGAGGGGCTGCGCTCGGGGGCTGGTATCACGTCCCTGCGGTAAAAAGATTAAAGACTAAGTTCGGGGAAATAGACCGTTACACGAATCTAGATCTATGTCGATATGTCTTGTCATTCGGGATGTTAGTGTCTCCCAGTCTACTACGCCTGAATAGGTAAATGTCCAGACCCTGAGCCTAGCACTAAAGTAGCCACATAGCACGGAGTCGTCTCGCTTAAAAGGAAGAACAATAAGATTATTCCTGGGCACTAAATGCCCGGACTGGCAGATTAACAGACTAAATGTCACTGGCTAAATGTCAACTAGTATAGAGACCGCTTATCTTGATGTTTTGACTTTGCTGTTCTCCTCTCTTGGCAATTGAACACACGCCTCACGGGCATCTGCGAGGATGAACTTCTTCCTCCTCATGGATCTACGGCCGTTAGTTGTCCACACATTGACACGGGCAGCAATGTAAACGTCCTGCGTTGTGGGCCATGGTGTCGATCTATCCTGACAGCCCACCGGCCAGGCAGACCAGAGGCCAGGTCAATCCGACTCTGATGATGAGCTGGTGGGCAACGGGCTTCTCGTTGACCATCATCGTCATCCGTCTGTTTGGCCGCTACAAGCGAGTCGAACGCTTGTTCCCTGAAGACAAAGCTATTATGATCAGTGTCATTCCCCTGCTAGTTCGAATGATCCTGGTCCACTTTGTCCTCACGCTGGGGACCAACAACACCGTAACGGACGGGCTATCAGCGCAGGAGATCCGCAACAGAGAGCTAGGAAGCAAACTGGTCCTCGCGGCACGCATCTTCTATGCGATCTTGTGAGCACACCCAGCCTCATTTACTGCCCAAATCTAACAATCCCAGTATCTGGACCGCCAAAGTAGCGGTCTGCCTATTCCTCAAGCGAGTAACAGGCGTCACCTGGCGCCGCTCAACCACCCTCTTCCTCCGGTTCATCGGCGTCTTCCTCATCTCCACGCTAGTGGCAGTGGTCATCGCCACCTTGGCCGAATGCCAACCCTTCCAGCAAACATGGCAGGTGATCCCAGACCCAGGCCCAACCTGCCGAACCGGCTACGTGAACCTCATCACAATGGGCACCTGCGACGTAATAACCGACCTCCTCCTAATCGCCTACCCAGTCCCCATAATCCTCCTCGCAAGCATGCCTCCCAAGCGCAAGCTCGCCATAGTAGTCCCCTTCTGCGGCTCTCTCCTCCTCGTCGGCATAACCAGCTTCCGCGTCCCATCCGTCATAGCACACAAAGGGTCCCAGCAATATCGGTCCCTCATTGCATCTCTAGAGATCCTAGCCGCAACTGCCGTGTCCAACGCCCTCGTCATCGGCTCTTTCGTCCGAGACCGAGGCGTCAAAAAACCGAAATATGATCGCACTCTGGGCTCTGCCTCCGTGTCCGAATCAATGGATCAATCCCACCGCAGAAATACAGTCATGCAGAACCAATGGGGCTCAGACTCAGACCTGGCTGATGGGTTGGGCATTCGTCTCAATGCCGATATCTATCCGGCCAGAGCGCTTGCGCCCCCGCTTGCCGTCGCACGGACTGGATCCATCGATCCCTCGTGGTCCTTTGACGATCATTCGTCAAGTAGCGATATCAAGGTTCCGTCCGAGGATCGGGAGCGTGATGATTCACTGCGTCTGTCTTCTCGTAGAGTCTCCTTCTCCGACGTTGGTGGCCTGTTGGCGAAGACTGGTTCAGAGAACCAGACCAAGGACATTAGTCCGCCGGTTGCGTTGCATCGTCGCGCGGGTAGTAGGGCTTTCCTTGAGGATTGGGGAATTGTGCCGCCTCGGCTGGCTGGTCCGGCGATAGGTCCAAGACCGAGGCCTTCTTCAGAGGCCACGCTTGGTCCTGTTGAGTTGCAGGATGTTGGCGGGCTTTTATCCAGCTCCAGCCGACCTTAGTTGGACTTATGGTGATATGATTCATGGCTTTTTGTTGTTTCGCTTTGGCGGGTTCGGGCTGTTCTGGCTTTTTTCACGCGAGAATCTTTGCATATCTTTCATTTCCCTGTCTTGGTTTATTCCCCCTTTTGCGTTAATGGCGATGGTGTTGGATTTCCTTCCTGTTTCCTGGTAGGGCATGGGTGGCGCTCTCTTCTGCGATTATTGACAGTGTATCCTAGTTGGTTTATGAGTGATACTGTACACGGAAGATCACCTGGGCATGGATTCGACGTTTCTATCACATGATACTGTATAGCCCTGAGTTTTTGCCCAAGTATTGATTCTCGAAGCACCTGAGCGGTTGGAATATATCCTGACCCATACCTAGGCGCAAAGCTCATCAATTCGAAGATTCCAATGGGTCAACAACGCTGTTCCTGGCGCGTCAGTGGAAACAGCAAGAGACAATGGCCATTCATACATAGACTGTATTCATCTAGACACAAATCAAATTTAAATCACAGGTAAACCCCCCAACCCTCAAAGGAGAAACGTCAAACCTGTACGCCTTGCTGCCCATAATACAAGGGGTAGACCAAAACTTTTTTTTGTTCTTTGTAAGGTTGAATGGAACAGGGGAAGAAAAAAGAAAAACTCCCATCCACTTCTCAATTGGAATCTCAACAGCCAGTCATGGCTGCCGAAGATCCCTCAGCGAAACAATAAGGAACAACCCAATATTGTCTCGGTCGAAGTGGAAAAATGCATTGCAAATTTTCGAGATAAACCATTGACTCGACGGGGACTGCAAAACCCCCTGAAGCGAAAGAAAATGCCCGGCGCAAAGCCTGAATCTCGAATCCCAATGGATTCCAGATCCCAGCGCGCAACGAGCTTAAATAACCCAGCGGTAACTGGCGTAGCGACCTGCAGTCTCGGACTTGCGAATAATCTTCACAACCTGACCGCGGCGCAAACCGAGGTACCGAGCAACGGGGTCAGAGACCTGTATACGGGGAAGCTGGGATTCCTTCAGACGGTAACGCTCCAACAGGCGGGCTTTCTCCTCAGGGCTGAGGAGGACGTGCTTGGGAACAAGCTCGTGGCGGGTGATGTTGACAAGGAGATCCTGTTCCTGGAAGTGCTCGCAGATGCGGCCGGGGACACCGCTCAGCAGGCGGACGGCAGAGGGCGAGATGGGGGTCTGGGTGATGAAGATTCCGGTGTGGAAGTTGTTTTCGTCGACGAGGTGGTTGAAGGCGCGAACTTGCTTGGTTCCGACGCCTGAGGAGTCCGGACAGAAGTCGACGTAGATGGTACCGCAGTCGGGCTGGGGGTTGGGGTTTGCTTTGCTGGGGAGTGGAGTATATTTCATCTTCATGAGCTCGGTGGGGCGGGCTTGGATTTTCATCTTGGAGCGGCTGTAAGAGATAGGTCAGAGATATTGGTCTTTGGTTTGCGCATGGCTGGCTTGAGCCAGTCTTCGCTGCAGTTTGGCCGGGGGTGGGCGCAGGGATTTTGCGTACTCAGCGAAGCCCAGAGAGTCGGAATATTTTTCGCGGAAGTCTGCTAGTGGGAGCGCCAGCTCGTTGTCGGAAACTTCGTATCCCTGTGGACGTTAGCATGGACAGGCATGACTTCGCGATGGCATCTGCAAGTCACAGAGCCGGCTAGAGGTGCGTACCCGGTCTGCGAGCAGTTCGTAGACGGTTCTAAAGGTGCGCCAGAGGCGAGTCATCTCGCGCTCAGCCTCCATGGAGTGGGCCGCGTCTCCGTCCATAGTGAGAGAGCTGTGAGGGATTGACGACGAGGATTGTGAATAGGACAAAAGTGAGAGAGAACCCCAAAGTGAAGGGTTGGTGGGAGCTCCGGTGGAGAGATGAGTGAAGTTCGAAAAATCGGCGGGAATTCTGCCAGCGACACTTTAAGCGGAGAAACCGACCGAACCAATTTAATTATTCCTAAGTTCCCCTTTTCAGTTTCCCTTTGGTTTCGTCGTAGTCATATCAATCCCTCGGTGACTCCTCTCTTTCTCTTCCAACTCTTCCCTCATCATCGCAATGGCTGCCACCGATGCGGAGCGGGTTAAGCCCACCAAGCCCGATGAGGCCGCCTACAAGGCCAACCTCGCTGAGGCCGAGAAGCAACACACTGCTGCCCAGGAGAAATTGGTACGTTAATCGCAGCCTCCGGATGATACTCTGATGGGATGATCTCGCGGGAGTGGTCCCAGTGGCCATTACATGTATCTGTATTTGGGCTCGTGACTGATATGCGCAACAGAACCAAATCAAGTCCAAGTTGGACAATGCCAAGCCCAATAACAAGGATTCGCCCGCCAGCAAGAGACAGCAGGAACTGCGCTCCGAGCTCTCCTCCATCCGTCAGAAGCAGTCCGGCTTCAAGTCCGGCCGTACCTCCACCCAGGAGAAGATCAACGCCCTCGACGCCAACCTCAAGGCCCGCATTGCTGAGCAAAACGCCAACCGTGGTCGTTTGTCTTTCAAGAGCGTCGAGGAGGTTGACAAGGAGATTGCCCGCCTCGAGAAGTCCGTCGACTCCGGAACCCTCCGTCTGGTCGATGAGCGCAAGGCCCTGACCGAGGTTTCCAACCTGCGCAAACAGCGCAAGAGCTTCGCCGGCCTGGAAGATGCCCAGCAGGGCATCAACGATATCAAGGCCCAAATTGCGGAGCTGCGCAAGACCCTCGACAACCCCGAGGCCAAGGCCCTGAGCGACAAGTATAACGAGATCCAGAAGGAGCTGGACGCTATCAAGGCTGAGCAGGACGGCGTCTTCAAGAACCTGAATGCTCTGCGCGACGAGCGGACCAAGCTGCGCAACGACCAGCAGGAGAAGTACACTGCTATCCGCACTCTCAAGGATGAATACTTTAAGGCCCGTCGTGCCTACAAGGAGTACGAAGATGAGGCGTGGCGTGTGCGCCGCGAGCGCCAGAAGGCCGAGCGCGATGCCTTTGAGCGTGAGAAGCGCAAGAAGGTGGCCGACAAGAAGCTCGAGGAGGCCTCCCAGCTCGCCTACACCGATGAGATCCTGACTGCCCAGGGACTGATCCGCCACTTCGACCCTGCCTATAACTTCTCCGCTCTCGGGCTTGACGAGAAGAAGGATGAGGGCAGCAACTTCCGTGCCGGAGTTGGCCGCACGGTCGAGGCCGCCGAGATTAAGGGCATGAAGGTTGTTCGCAAGGATGACGAGGAGGACTACTTCGTCGGTTCTGGAGGCAAGAAGGGCAAGAAGGGTGGCAAGAAGGCACCCGCTGCCGCCGAGAGCAAGTTCAACATGAACGTTGGTATCATTGAAGACTTCGCCAAGGTCAAGATCGACCCTCCCATGAACCAGTCGGATGTCCCTGCCGCGGTGGAGAAGCTGGCCGCCAAGATCACCGAATGGAAGAAGAACCAGGCTAGCAAGACCGAGGAGGTACGTTGAACAACCCTTTACTGGCTGCCCAGATGCTAATTTACCCCGCAGAACATCAAGAAGGCCAAGGAAGAGATTACCCGCCTCGAAGAGGAGGAGGCCAACATTTCCCAGACCAACGGCCGGGCTACTGACGCTGCCAAGAAGCCCGCCCAAGAGAACGGTGCTCCCACAGCGGAGGCCGAGCTGGCTCAGGAGCAAGATGCCGTGGCTGATGTCTCGGATGAGCTCAAGAAGGCTGAGATTGAAGAGAAGGCATAGACCTTTGACTACAGGTCTATGTCCACGCATCAACGTACATGAAGTCTAGCGTTTGCCTAGCATTCTCCTTGTCCTTTTTGTCCCATTTTTTTCTCGTTTGGCTCTTTGCATATGCATTATATCTGTTTATAAATGGACAGCTGTATCCCAAAATCATTTTCTAATTGAAGCCTTTAGCACTTTGGTAGTTAATCATGATGCCTAACCAAAAATATCCTGCCGCGTAGTCGAAGTCTTGGAAGCCCGGATCCGGTTGACTAAGCGCCGACGTGCCCCGGAACTGCGCCACTGATCTCTGTCTCGATTCTCTTGCGCCTTTCTTCACTCTTCCCTCTCCATTGCATTGCAGTCTACCAGATTGAGATCGAAGTCGCGACACTCGCGCCCCCAATCTACTAGTACAGACCCGCCGACATCCCCACTCCACCATGTCCTACAACAAGCCCGTACGCCAACCCCATCCCAACCTTTCCAAGCAACCTACTAACTTTCCCCAGACAAGCCCGCCGCCTTCTTACCCCGCGCCCGTCCACGACGCAGGCCCCTACTACCCCAACTCCCCTCCACCCCAGGGACCCAGCCCAGGCGCCGCCAACGACTACTACGGCGGCCAGCCCCAGCAAGGCTACTACCCACAGCAGGGACAAGGATACGGACAGCAGCAGGGCTACTATCCTCAGCAGCAACAGCCGATGTACTACCCGCCTCAGCAGCAGGGCTATCCCCCGCAGCAGCAGTACTACAATGATCGCGGGAACCACTCGTCCAGCAGCGGTGGTGGTATCTGCGCCGGTATCATGGCTGCATTCGCTTGCTGTTGTTGCTTGGATATTCTGTTCTAGAGTCTCTATTTCGGCTCTCTATACACGGCGCTCTTGATTCATGCGAAAAGATGCCTGCTTACGATCGTTCTGATTTCACGAATTGGCCTTCTTTTTGGGGTTCGCAAACTGGGGACTGGACAGTGGTTTCTAGTATATATCCTGTTTGGCGCAACATATGGTGTTTCGGGTCTTTCTTTTGTTTCTGTACTATTCGTCTTTTCTTACTTTTGCTTCGCTTGAGAATCTTGGAATTGGCCTACTGCTATCCTTAATCATATCATCTTCGACTCGGCGCATACTCGATCCCTGGGTTAGGTAGAAAGGAAGAAACAATGGTATTGAGGTATTAAAAGACATTATAAACACGTCGCAAGTCATTAAACATCACCGTACATCATAGCACATCAGAACGAACTCATCTCCGGCTCCCATAATCACTATCCCCCTCACCTCCGTACGCCAACGGGTCAACATGGCGAACACCCCGTCTGGACCTCCTCGGCGGACGAGGCGACATCTCCGAAGTAGCCGCCGAACTCTCCTCCTCAATCACCTCCACGACATCATCATTAGAAGTAGCCAAGGACTCCTCGACAACAATGCGATCATGCCGACTGGTCGGTCTGCGACGATAACTATCTCTGAAACTCTCGCGCTCCTCGAGAACCTCAACTTCGCTGCGTCGTCTGGATCCGCGACGCCGACTGCGCATGGATTCTTCTTCCATCGACATGCTCACGCTGGATGCTGTCGCTGTTGGCGCGCCTCGTGCGACGCCCCCCGGGTTCACAGCTAGGAAAAGTACGTACATGAGCAGGACGAAGCCTGCTACACTGCCGAGGACGATTCCGACGACGGTTCCGGCGGGGGGACTATCGTTGAGACGGCCGTAGGTTGAGGGGATGGAGATGGTTGTGTAGCGCCTTTGGAGGGCGGTGTCGAGGAGATTGGGGTTGGTGTGGGCTTTGGATGCACCCTGATCGATGTCCATGATGGACATTGTAGTGTGGTTCTTGTATTTTGTGGATGATCAGATTTGGATGATTAGATGGTTCATCGGCTAAACCTTGGAAGGCATACGACCTAGAAATGTCAATGCGACAGGAAAGGAAAAACAAAAGAAAGTCGAGAATCGGACAATTCACAGGTTGGGTGGCTGGGGATCTGCAGAGTGGAACCCAATCTAGACTGCGGAGTATGTTTCACTGATATTGCTTAACACACATATGCATTGACTACTACTACTACTACTAGTACTATAGTATACTTCAATTATCCTAATAAGCCCCCTTGCGCTTCTCATACTTAGGCTGAGGAGCCGCCTTCACTTCATCCAGCGCAGTCAACACAGGAGTCGTGTTGATCAAGTCAAAGCTCTCCAACTTCGCACCATCCTTCTCCAGCGCCCAAAGACTCAGCGCCAAATAGTTGGTGCCCCGGTAGTTAAGAATACCTTCTGGAACCGGGAAGCTCGTCTGGGGACCAATGTTGTTCACGTACTTCGCGTACTGGTAGCCATTGACATAAAGCTGAGCGCGGTACGCCGCAGCCTTCGAAGTGGACGTCGCATTACCAAAGTTGAAGTACAAGGGAACATCCCATCCCTTCTTGATATCCAGATCAAAGCTGGTGGTGTAGAACTTGATGCCGGGGGCAGACAGACCGTCGAAGGGACTACCGGATTTCCAGTCCTTCGGGGGCTGGGGCTGGTGGAAGCCTTGACGCTCGGCGTAGAGACCACCTTCGTTGAGAGGACCGCGGACGGTGTCGAGGTAGTCTTCGCCGCCCAGGTTGCCAGTCAGCTTCCAGGTGATGTCACTGGCGGATCGGCCCGAGAGCTTGTACTCCAAAATGCCACGGGGATCTTTCGTATCGTCGGTGCCGACGGTCCAATCTTCGTCCAGACCCATATTGTCGACAACCACGGTGAACACGTATGCCTTGCCCTTGGTCAGGCTTGGCAGCGTGTAGGTGGCGTTGTTGTCGGCGTTGATGGAGATTCCGCCCCAGGATCCCACGTAGGTTTCGTTCAACCATACGGAGCTGCCGAATGCAGTGCCACCCTGGGTACGCAGGAACAGAGACTTCTCTTCGCCGGTCGCAGTGAAGTGGCCGCGGAAGAGGAGGTAGCCGGTGTGGAAGCCGTAGTCGGAGGCGAACAGCGAGGTCGGGGTCTTCAGAGCATTGGCGGTGTTGGGAGTGGTGGTGTGGTCTGCAGAAACCCAGGCGGAGTCATCGTAGGAGTTCTGAATCTCGGGGAGAGTATCGATGGACTTCCACTTGAGGCTCTTCAGGGTCGGCAGCTTAACCTTAGGCGCAGTGTATTTGACACTGCTGGACCAGATTCCGTTCTTGTCGACCTTGACCTGCGCCTTCTCGCCGTTGATCACCAGGTTCTTGGCATTGGAGGGAGCTCCAATGACCTCGATGGGAGTGGTGGCATTGAAGTCGGCAGTGAGGTGGAGATCGCTTCCCTCCACATAGGCAGTGCGCACCAGGTATCCAGCCTTGACAATGAGAGCGGAGGCTGCGGTCTTTTGCGAGCTGTAGCCGGGGGACTTGCCCTTGCTTGGAAGCTGAGGGACCCAGTAGTTGTAGGCAGAGTTGCGGTCTAGAGAGACGGTTAGTGAGGTTGATGAACCATGGAGTCAGAGAGAGCACTAACCCAGGAGAAGAATCTTCAAGTCACCAACTTGCACAATACGACGAGTGGTGGACACATCCCAGCCGATGACTACAGCCTTGCCCACCTGCTTGGTGGTGATGCTAGACTCGGAGCCTTCGATGACAGAGGCCTTGGACTTGGAAGAGACAGCCAACTCGTGGTGCTCACCAGGGCCGCCGTACAGCACCAGAATCTTCGATTTACCAGACTTGGTCCAGGTGAAAACTTCAGCAGAGGAGTACAGGATCTTGGTGCCAGCCACATCATAGTCAACGACATGGACCTTGGAGTCACGTCCGCTGAGAGTGAGGCTACCGCTCAACTGGGGGATGGTAAGCTGACCGGCACTGGTAGGCACCTTCAGCTTGTAGTCGACAGAAGCTTGGCTCGAGTAGTCATTGTGTCTGACCACGAAGAAGGACGAAGTCGTGCTGTTACCTCCGAGCAATGGAGTCACAGCCAGGTCCGACGATGTGGTGTACTTGGAGGTGGTCAAGCTTCCCGGAGTGGAAAGCAAGTAGGCTGGAGAAACTCTGGCAAAGTTGCCAATCAGCTTGAGCTCGCTGTACTTCTCACGGGTGATATTGCGAGACTCCGAGATTGGGGAGCCGTAGTCGTAGGAAGTGTAGCCTCCCGGGTGGCCAAGGTTACCCCAGTTGGTACCACCGAAGATCTAGATGTGTCAGGGTTGCAGTGATGACTGGTGCAGATATCACATACCATGTACAAGTTCAGGAAGGCAACCTTGAAGCTGAGGTTGTTCTTGTAGAAGACTCTCTCGAATTCATGGTTCAGAAGGGCAGCACACTTGGTAAAGCCAACACCTCCCCAAGGGTCGAATGCTCCAGCTTGGAACTGTAGTTCGGTTAGAGACTTCCAAATTGCCCACAAAGACTGATGTCATACCTCAATCAGAGAGTAGGGAGTGGAAGGACTTTGCTTCATGTGTGTGGTATAGAAGTCAGTGGGCAGGTTGCCCGAAGGCCAGGTAGATGGGTTCGCGCAGTCAAAGCCGAGAGGGTAGCTGTCATGTCCGTAGATATCCACAGCTCCCTCGCCAGTTCCAGGAGCATTGTGGCCACCAGCCCATGCGTCATTGCTGATGAGAGGAACGACAACACCGGCATCACGAGCCTGGTCCTCGACGTACTGCATATAGGCACCATCGGGGAAGGGCTCAACGTTAACGGCACCGCTGTACTCATTCTCCGGCTGGAACAGGATGATGGGACCGCCGTTGGTGATTTGGCCCTTGGCAATGGTTTCACAGACGTTCTTCATGTAGCTTTTCCATCGGGTTAGCATCTCAGGCTTGCAGGACAGGTGGGCCGAGAAGTCACGTACTTGTCTGTTGACTTGAGGAAAGCCTCATCACTGGTGCGCAGTGTTCCATTGACACGCTGCAACCAGCCAGGGAAGCCACCACCAGATACTTCGGCATTGATGTAAGGACCAGGGCGAGCGAGAAGATAGATACCCGCCTCCTTGGCGGCATCGAAGAATGGCTCGAGCTCGAAGATTCCCTCGGCGCTGTAAGAGCCGGGCTTGCCCTCAAGCAGGGCCCAGTCAATGTAGAAAGAGACACAGTTGAATCCGAGAGCCTTGACCTTCTGGAAGACATCAATCCAAAGAGACGGCACAGGCAGACTGCAAATACCAATTAGCTCTGTCCTCTGGGAATGACTACCGCCACTATATGTCCACTCACCGGTAAGGGTGAATTTCACCACTGAAAAGCATGATCCGTTCGCCATTAACAAACAAGGACTTGTCATCCCAACTGACCTAGACAAACGTCAGTCCTCTGTGCCACGCACCGAGGTCCAAAAACATACAAACTTCTGCAGCAAGGCCCGCTTCACAGGGTCCGGATGTTCCGTGATACTAAATCCATTCAGGGAATGGCTAATGGCAGCCCCAGCAGCCTGAGCTGCCAAACAGGCAATCGCCCATGTCGACGAGAGCTTCATAGCTCAAAAGGTGTGCAAAGCAGGATTGGCACTCCAATTGCAACCAGATGCAGGGACAGGCCATACATATAGCCAGAGTCGGGAGCTGATCGCCCGACACTCAATAACCGGGATCGAGGTACTTGCTAGTAGTTGAGGGGTGACGAGGGGTGACGAGGGGCTCCGGGAGCTCCGTGGCAATGTTGCAATGTTGCATGCATACAAGCCTCACCAGGCAACCGGAGCGATGATCCTTTCCCCAGTTTCTCTCGCCCTGCAGCTATTGCGGGGCACCGCCGCAATTTTTCCGCATATCGTATGGTTGCAAGGGATATTTCCCCGTTGAGAGTGATCTTCGTCCCGTTTCTGGTGTTGGAAGTCAGGGAATAGTGTGTGGTGTTTGGTATAGCTGGTGCCCTGGTCTTTGGAGGTCTTGGTGACTGCGACAGTCAAGGTCCATCGAGACGGACAAATCCCCGGACAACGAATGTTCTCATATGGCGCCATCTATAGATTAATTAAAATCGATCACTAGCAAGGTACTGCGAAAGGTACAGGCGGGGAAAGCTGAATTTAGCCGGCGTAATTAGTCCTACCGATGATTCTCCGGAAATTGAGATGAACAAGAAATTGGCTTTTTAGTACAGAACTCCACAGTAATTTAACATAAAACCACCTAGACGGTGGTGTTGAAGCGGTCCTCTTCATCGCCGTCCTTGGTGTATGTTTCCCGCTCGTCGACGGCGTCCTGAGCATCCTGTCCAAGCTCCATATTCTCATCTTTCAGAGCAACCTCCTCAGCCTCGGCAGTCGGTTCGGCATCGGCATCCTTCTTGAAGGTGGTGTTGATGAGCGGTGTGGAATCGTTGAAGATGCGCAGCAACATGGCCCGACGCTCCTCCTTGGGGAGCATCAGGTTGAGGGAGTGGAGGGAGCGCCACAGAGGCAGCACCATGCGCTCGCTGCAAGGGATTAGTAAATGATGATTGGTAGATAATCAGAGTAAACTCACGTAATGCCATCTTCCTTTCCAGTGGGCTCAACGCGCAGGATACTGCAACCCATGGGGATATCCTTGACACGCTCACCGATCTCACCCAGAGCCTTCCAGCCATCGTCAGAGACCTTGGGGAACATCTCGACGAGGAGACGACGCAGAGTTTCTCTCTGAGTCAGGGTGACAGAGCGCTCATCGCCCAACCAGGGCTCAACAATCTTTAAGCCGTCGGTCTGAACACGCCACCTGCAAACATTCTCGCGCTGTGCGTCCTGCTTGACAAACATCTTCACACCGCAGTGCACAAACTTCATACCCTGGCCTTCGTTGGAGACAAGGATATCGCGTGCCAGAGCACTAGTGTAGTAAACAGTGCGGGTGGGGAGACCCTCGGCGTTGCGAACCATGAAGCGGTCGCGGGGGAAGCGCTCCGACAGCTTGTAGAATTCGTAAATAGGACCAAGCTCCTCGTGGTTAGGATCAAGGTACTTGAAGGGCTCCTCTTGACGGGGTCCCTTCTTCTTCAGCTGCGAGGGAGCTGCGGAGGCCGCAGGTGTGCTGTCACCAGGGGTCTCGAGGCCAGTGCCCACAGACGGCGCAGGTGCGTGGACAGGTCGGTCGCCGACAAGAACCTCACTGCCATCGTCGAGCTTGGTGCGCTTTGCGGGGATCTCTTCCTCCAGCTCGCTAGCATCGCGCTTGGGGAGGGAGACAGGAGCCGACTCATCAAGGGTAGTAGCGTAAGTGGGTTGGTGAGCAGCCTCGGCGACAGTAGCATTCTTAGCAATCTCAGCCTCGGCCTCCTGGTCGGGGGTGACAAGGTCGTCCAGTGCCTCGAGCTTCTCCAGGGGCTTTCCATCGGCCTCGTCCTTCTTGGCATCGAGCTCGGCAGCGAGAGCCGCAACAGAAGCCTTAGGGATGACGTTGCTGCTTTCGGGCTTGGCGCGGATCTCAGAGGTCTTTTCGAGGACAGTGATGAAGAAACCACCGGTATCTTGTTGGTGGGGGTAGACACGCATGCAGCGGTCCAAAGGCAAATCGGCAGCCTCGCCGATAGGTGCGAACATGCCCTCGGCGAGTCGGGCCAGACCGTTGATACCCTCCTGGTTACGGTGCTCTTGGACCTCCTCCCAGTTGTTCCACATGCGACCCTCGCGGTCCATGACCTTCCAGTTGCGCAGACCGGGAGATCTCTTCAGACCGGTGAGCTCTTGGCTGCAATCGACGATCTTGACATTGGCGGAACCACCGCAACGCTCAATGGCAGTGGCAACAATGGCCTCGTTCTCCACGGGGTTCAGACTGCAGGTCGAGTAGACAACGCGGCCACCAACCTTGAGCATCTGCAAAGCGCGGACTAGAATTCTAGACTGGATGCTGTAGAGACCCAGAGCATTGCCGGGAGTCCAGTCCTTCCACACGCCGACATTCTTGCGGGCAGTACCATCACCGGAGCAGGGAACATCTGCCAGAATACGGTCAAACTTCAGGTATCTGTTCTTGGGCTTGCTACCATCTTCAGTGGGCAAGGGAGGCAGCTTGATGGAGGGGAACATAGTGGCGTCGTGGTTGGTGACAATCAGATTAGGCGAGCTCAGGCGCTTCATCTGGTGGATCAGCATGTGAGCGCGCTTGTAATCACTGTCATTGGCAATCAGCAAACCGGTGCTGCGGCCGTCATCGTTCAATCCCTCGGGGCCAAGAGGCTCGGGTCCGGCATTGCCATTCTTCGCCTGCTCGGTGACTTGAGCGACGGCGTCTTCTTCGCCGGCGTGCAGCAGCTCCATAAGCTGCGCAGACTTGCTACCGGGAGCGGCACACATATCAAGGACGGTCATGCCAGGTCTGGCGTCGATGAGGAGAGGAGGGATCATGCTGACAATCTCTTGACGACTGATGTTTCCCACGTCGGTCTCGGCGACGAGGAACTTTTGGAAAGAAGCGAACGGTGCGAATCGTCGGATCACGTTCTTGGGGGTGGTCATCGACCATGCGAGCTGGTCGGGGTACCATGAGACTGGACGAGGCGGCTCGACAAACTCGTTCTCATACTTGATAGATGTGATCTCGGGAATGTGGTGGTCCTTCAGGCGTTGCTGGACAGCCAGGGCGTGTCTGTCGAAGGGCGCAATGGTCAGTATGGCTTGGGCAGGCCTTTTCGTGCGCTATCGCGGGTTTCCATTGTACCTACCCTCGTGAACCAGTGAAACGGAAACTGTTAGGAAGGTCTTTGCGCATTGTCGCCCAGAACACATCCCGCTCCTCCTCTGGGAGGAATTCGGGCTCATTGTAGTAGCGCTCGAATTTCTCGTTATCCTTGGCGATATCGTTCCACTGGGAGCGCGTGCGAGTTGCGCCTCCACGGGCACCGCCGCGTGAACCCTGAATAGGTATGGTCAGGACAGAACCTGATGAGCTCGAAGCAGACTTACCTTCTTGCCTCCTCGCTTTCCCATTGTTACGGTGAAGTATGGACAGCTGAACTTGAGTATTCAAACTAGCAAATCGACAAAAAATCTCCCTCCAGCGCTCCACATGTGCCCGCGGGCGGGATGGTTACGTAATCACTTCAGATACCAGTTGACCAGTTGACCCTGGCTCCACTTACCTGGACAAGCCCAGGACTCAAGTTCTCCTTCGGCCTCCCCCACTCCTCCGGGGGGCGATCATTTCCACACTCTGGCGGATGCGCATTGGAAGGGCCATCGTGGCCATCATCCAGCACAAGAACATGACATAGAGGTCAGGGGTCCAGCGGTCCACTCGGGGTAGTAACCGCGCATGAACAAAGTCTCGAACAACTTATCAACATCCTTGTCCCGATCAAAGGTCTCTGTAGAGCTCCAGATATGGGCCGAGCGCTTCCACATCAGTTGGATCGACCAGCTTGGACGGCTCATCACCGCAACCAAACAAGCCTCTGACGTGCGCCTGCTCTATGCTTGCTCGGATGGGGATAGTCTGGAGTACCAGGATGCATTCTGTGAGTTGAAAGAATGACCTTTTTTCGCATAAGGTCATTGAGAGGGATAATACGGTGAATACGAACGAAAGGATGAATGAAGTCCCGAGGTCTGCGCTGATAGAAAGCTCTTTGCCGTGCTTCGCTACCTCGTTCATGGAAAGCATATCGATTTCTGCCTGGTGAATCTCTACCGGAGTCATTGTGTTGACGTTGGTGCATTGAAATGGACGGTCTTGGTCAACTCTAACCAGCATCGGCGATCTTCCAGGAATCCGAAGGTAGATGAAGCCTCGAACCGCACGGGGGCTGCGGGCCTTCTCCTTACGAACTCCCGGGACTCATGGCAACGGTGTGCAATTGTTGGTTGCTTGCGAGTTTGCACCGACGCATTCCTCAGATCACTCTCTGGCAATATGTCTTTATCGGCAGGTTCACCAATCTCAATGATGCGGTCTGGTTATGCAAACTCCCAGATCATCGCGCGTATCTCAGCTGGCAGGGAGAAAAATTCAAGTGGCTCAGACGTGATGACTGCACTCGCAGAAGATTTCTCACAAGACAACTGGAGCAATCAACCACACAGATGTGGATTCGAGTGCGAATGAGGGAGCTTGATAATCCCTTCAGCAGGCTGTGCCACAGGGAACGACCACTCATGGACACTGTCAGTGTTCTGATTGAACCTACTGGTGCGATGAATCTGGGCACGAGATGAATCTCGATACCAGATGAAAAGTGGGATGGATTTGGGGGGAACGAACCAGTGGATGATTTGACCGGTGTGAGGTGACAGCTCGACACAAAGTCAGAGAAAGAGCTCGATATGAAGTCGAAGATATCAGAAAGAAGAGTGAGTGACAAGTCGAGATCGAAGCCAAAGTTGCTAGGCGAGGCCATGATAAGAAGGAACGCGTCGACGCGTCCTGGCCGCAGAGCAGGAACAAAGGTGAGCCTGAATCGATCCTGCCTCACACCGTGGCAAGACCACACATTGGCAGAGATGCAGTGGACCTACTGCACATGTGTGTGCTGCATTTCTTAGGACAATGGGCCTGTATCACCCCTGGCAAGCCATGAATGTGAATGAGAGTCTACACAGTATCTTTTCAGGGCCTCAAGGGTGCTCACTGGTCTCATGTAATCTGTTAAGTGTCCCAGCTAGTTTAGATTAGGGCGCAAAAGAGCACCCCAGGTGGTTGATCCAATGTCCATGTCGGAGAAAGGCCTTTCCTAGACACAAAACTCCTCGGAGTTTGCGAACTTGTCTGCATGAGCTTTGCCAGGCTCTACACCATGAGTGAAGATCTGACTTGGACTCACGATCTATCCATCTGAGACTCATCGTACATCACTAAGCAAGGGTCTATAACCATCGATATCGATGCCAAATCTCGTCAGCGCCTCCGGGCTCTCCACTTTGACCACTGTATCTCCGTTACTAGAGAAGCTTGAAGCTCTCGATAGCAACTGGGTTGACTGATTGCTATGAGTCGTTTCCTCCAAAATCCCCGTGAGAGAGGTTCGTCTTCCTTCCTCAGACTCTTCGTCCTGGTGGCCTATCAGGCTCTCAGAATCTGAGCCTGTGTGTATAGAATGGCTATCCATCTCATTGCTCTCTCCGATAGATTCCGTTCCCTGCTGTTCTGGAATCTCTCTATCTCCTGTTGAACTAGGAGGCCTGGGGGATGCAGGGATGGATGTACCGACTGTCTCCGGCTCAACTTCCCACCATCCCCACCATCCCATAGAGAAGCGTTCCCGGGACAAGTCCTTTCCCCCTTGCTCTGCATCTCTCATAATTCCGAGTAGCTTTGATCCAGCAACAAAACTTGCAACTGAAGCCAGGCTGCACGGGCTTTTTGGCAGGACATCCTTTGTGCGCATAGAAAAGCAGGCTATCAGTGCACAGATGATCATCCCAACTAGTAAGCCATCTAGAATGCGTGTGGATATCTCATTCTGCACGAGATAACTCCGGCCATCATGAAAGGTGCCTTCATACATGGGCGCATCATTTCTAGCAGGATGAACGAGCCAGCTGTTATTTAGCGGATCTTGAAAGTTTTCCCGGGCGTTGGATTCAAGCAATTGCGCTGTAACGATGCCCCAGATGGTTTCGAGGCGTTTGATAAAGACAGCTGGTCTCAGAAGCTCCTCAGCAGAGACACCATCAACGCCTCTGGTCATAGCTTCATGTAGAGGGCTGACAACGCTTTGTAAGGAGAGGTGGCTGTATAGAAATTCCCCAATGGTATCAAAACCAGGAAACGGCCATGACTTCGTTGCAAACAATGCTTTGCCAGAATTAGGGACGATCTGAGGTTGTACATCAGAATCAATGGAGAAGGATGGTATTTGCAATCTGGTTTCAGCATGAACTTCTTCGATTGTCGCATTGCAATTGTACCAATGGTATTCCGTTGACTCGAAGTCTTTGCCCCATTTTCCATATAAAATGGCGTGGGTGGAACAATTGGAGGGTGTCTTTGCATAGCCATCGCGCCCATAATATAATGATTCACCCGACTGAAAATATTCATCGGTGCTGTTCACGAAGTGTAGGGCAGCTAGCCCCTTATAATGGTAGCAGGGATCATCAGCCCCACAAGTGAGCAACAGAGTAGTAACGCTCTCTCTATAAGTTGCACTAAATTCACAGTGAACCAGGGCTTCTTCACAAACTAGCGGGCTTCGAAGCGCCGGGATTTGGATGTCAATATATCCCATCTCTGGAGTCTTAACAGTATCGGCGATAGTGAAGCCCGGAAAGGCAAGGTCGTTATGTGTCCATTGTGGGTAGGAAAGATTGAGCTGAATGATCAATCCAGCTAGCTTTTGATCATTGAAGTCTTCGTTCTTGTAGTTCCACCATTTCAAGTGGGTTCCATGTTGAGCCAAATCGGGGTCCCCGAGATTCCATCGACTAGTCTGGAGTATCTTGATAGCAGATGTCGGCCAGGGCGCGTCAACAGTATAAAGACCCGACACAACCACAGGGGTCATGGCCGCGAGGAAGAGAGAGGCTGTTGCTGCTGCCAGAGCCCATTGCTTTTTCCGTATTGTCTCAATGAGCCCGTAAATGGCAATTTTGCGAATTTGGTTCTCGAATATAGTCGTTCCTGGTGGTGCAGATTTCCCACGGAGAGCCGAGTAGGGCTGAATGATACGTACCCCAGATTCGACACAGGTGAACAGGCAGCGGATGATAAACATGATCAACGCGGGGATATAAATCCAGACGTAGTGGATAAATGACGACTTATCACCGATGAAGGCGATCCCACGCGAGCTAGTAGAGATGTGCTGCACAACCTCCAGCGCTATAATCACAAGCATGAGGACAATGACCACGGAAATACGGATGCCCCATGTAGATGCTAGTGGATACCACCAGTCTGGTGGCTTGCCTGTACTTTCCTTAATATTTTTGTCAGATTTGGGGTCATCTTGAGAGATGATCTTGAAACTCCCCTCTGTTTCAAGCGTAAGATACCGCGCTTGGCCTAGGGCAGTCTCGGCCATTTCTGACTCGGATTTCAGATCTGTTCCACCAAACATAGTCATGAATTCGGGACTGTGGGCGAACACAGTGGTCATTCCTCCAATTGAGCTTGTGTCACTTAGGCATACAGCCACCGGGACAAAAAATCTCAGAAGGATGATAGAGATAGCAATCAGACAGGCCAAGAGACCTGTCATCAATCCAAATGATAGAACACGCACGAACAAGCGCTTCTCGTCGGTCTGGAATACCCCCTCGATGGTTTGTAGCTGAGGCTCGAGCAGCTTATCCATGATAGTTTGCCGCATCAAACACGACAAGTCATCCTGGATAGCACCCTTCAACAAAGACATGTCGTTCCAAAACACCCTTCCAGGTGTGTATTGGTGCTTTATAAACTTGAAAGGAGGTAGATCGACCAAGGGAGCTTGGAAAACAGGTGGCATCGAGTTATATGCGCTAAGCAGAATCTCTCCGGCTGGCCGATGAGCGAACAAATCTGACGCTTTGAGGCTCTGTCGTCGAATCTGAGTCGATATAGACCCGATTCCAGGCTGTCGCGAAATCTTGACTGGTCCTCGATACGCGTTGAATCGAGGTTTGCACATGAAACCACGAAAAGGAGGTGTGGGCCACACCGACCTGAGTACGCGGTCTCCAGAGAGCTTGGCATCCGTTGTATCAATGACAGAGACCCAAAGTCGCCAATCAGTAGGTTTTGCTGAATCCAACTTGGAGGGGTTCTCCCCTCTGCAGCCTCGAACTTTGATCTCAATAGGCACGGGTTCGTGAGAGGCGAGCAGGATAGTGTTGACGGGTCCGGCATCCATTTTATAACGACATCCATTAGATGACAATACTGTGGTATTTATCGCCTCGTACTTCAAGCTGACGTTGGCGGGGACATGTTGTTCTTCGCCAATCCACACCTTGTAGCCGTTGTATGATGTGATCACGACGCCCGTGTCCCAACTAGCGGTCGTTTCATAACATTCCAAGAAGGGCTCAATCAGGTCTATTTCCGCTTCATACTGATGTTTGTCTGGAATAGTCAAATTTCCCGTGGAGAACGAGTATGCTGGATAAAATGGTGTATAAACGAATGTCTTCTCCAGACCATATGGGCGTGTCATGTTGTAATCCGCAAACGCTGAGCATACAGCATATGTAGTATCGTGTCCAATTGTCGGGTCAAAGGCAGAGTCGTTGAACTTCTTAGGTACTGCTAGGCTCTCTGGATGGCTGATTGGAACCGATTGTAGCTCGAATAGACCGGTTGAGAAGACCGTGACACCATTGAGAAGCAGCGACCCAGCTACACAGAGAGATACAAGGAAATGTCTCTTCTTGAGCGACTGGTAGAGAGAAATAATGTTCCACTGGGATATGTAGTCAAGGAAGATGCTTTCTGAAGATGGTGTTGGGCCACGACGCATCAGAATCCAAGGCATTAGTTGTGCGGCGCGGTATTCAACCTGGGTCCAGCCGGCAGCGAGGATCATGAATACTATACTTGTGTCAGACATTAAAGCTAACATTTGAAGGATGGCTGTATACCTGCTGTCGGTCCATAGGTCCAGAGATAAGAATATCTCTCCTCTGTTGTGATTCCGAGACTGTGGCCCTCGCGCTCAGTGTACACATAAAGTGCAACCAGAGCGACTAAGACGGATATAAAACAGCACAAGAATATTAGAATGGTGGAACGGCGTAGGAAAAAGGGTGTCCATAGCAAAGACTGATCATTCTCGTGTCTGTCAACAGCGGTGTACTTGCAAGGCGGATCTGCATCTGAGCTTGAGGTTGAGGGGTGTTGCGATAGCATGGCGTTCTCGGTCGAATATCAGTCTCAATTTTACTTTCTTTCAATCATAAATAGGGAATGCAAGCCCTAAATTGCCCCCAATGTGTTCAAGGAATATTTTAGTGTTCTCTAATGAACACTAAAACCCGGGTGAAATATGTAGATTAAGGGACGATGAGGCTGAGTGCTTGCGAGCGATAGGTTCCTGGACATTTCTTTTGGGGCTTCGTACACCTACCTGCAACTGGGCAAACATCTACGGAGTACGGAGTAGGCAAAACACATATAGATCCCTTGTCGGTGCTTGGCAGGGTACACAACTGTTGGGGTTTCGACCATGGCAGTCATATTTGTCTCAGATGTCCGAGAGTCTTCGCAAGGGTTGTACATTGTGGCTCTAATCCCAAGAGAAGATATTGCTTTCTCTTGGGATTTATTCTCTTCATCTTTTTGTGTCTGTTTTCAATGTGGCATCCGGATTTGGGGGCTGGTCTAGCACGGTAGTTAGTCTTCAATGTTACCTATACCCTGATGCCAAGAAACACTATACCTCCTTCGAAAGCCAGCCTCTTTGAGATTGACCTATCTCGTTAGTATATACATTGCAGTACTCCGTGCAGAGTAGTCCGTACGGAGTATCCTTATGAAAAAGGGTTCAGAATAGCTGAGAGACCATTTGGCCTATTTCCGTCGGGAGGGTTCACACATTCGTGATCTCGCGATGGCGTTTGCTCTCTAGTACCGTAGCTTTGAGGTCAGACTAAGCCTTAGAAGAGGGGAGCAGTGATGCGAGTCATGGAAGTCCAGGGTATGGAGTACGGAGTGCAGAGTAGTTGATGCTCCAGGGCTCCAGGGTTGTGTTGGTGACTTCGTGGTCCTCAAGCACGTGATGTATGGCAAGCACCCGTCCACGGACCCGTGGACCCGGACCTGGGCAGCCATAGGTAGGGACCTCATGCACTCCCAGGCCGTTTCGTTTCATGTTGATTATGGTCACACTGGGCCTGCTGCAGCTTTTGAGGATGTGACTAGGAAGGTTTAGGATCGTATATTGCTGATGATATCTCATATATCCGGCGTTTTACATCTTCTCGTTATCATCAATCATGGAGTATACAACTAAACTCGGGCGCAGGACCAGGTTAACAGAACAGACAAAAGAGATAATTGAGGGTTTGCTGCCTCGCCCGAGGCAGCAAACTATATAGTCTACTATGGCAAACCATTAATTGCTATTTCACACACGAATTTGGGATCTAACAGCCCAGGCAATGATTGATAGTACATTCAAACGAAAGCCACCGAAAAGTCCAGGGTCCAGACAATCCAGCAGCTATTTTCACACGCGATCATACTCTGTAACAAATTAAGAGATCATGCGGGACATGTCTCCACGGATGCGCTGGTAGTCGAGGATACCCTCGATGCTGCCAACAGCGGACATGGCAAGGTCCTGATCCCACAGCTTGCGGGTAGCGAAGTCCATGACGTCCTTCTCGGTGATCTGGCTGACGGTGCGCTCGATGTCCTCAGCGCTGAGGCGGCGGCCGGTGGTGATGATCTGGCGGCCGATGTCCTCGGCGACGGCGGTGGTGCCGTCAAGGGACAGGAGGATGGAAGCCTTGAGCTGGGCCTTGGCACGCTCAACCTCGGCGGAGGTGACGTTGTTGCAGAGACGAGACCACTCGCGGAGGGTGAAGTGGATCAGGTCATCAAGCTGGGTGAGGTTCTCGCTGACGAGGTAGATACCCCAGAGACTGGACTTTGGTTAGCATGCGTTCGATCAAACATCTATGTAAGTAATGTGAAGTCTTACCCGGTGTCGCTGTAGCTGGTGGAGAAGCTCATGAAGCTGTTGGCGAGGTTGTGGTGGCTGACGTGGGAGCTGAGCTTGCTGCCGAGGAAGGGGGACTGGCCCATGGCACGGTCCCAGTTACCGACGATGGCCTGGGTGACCAGAGCGGTGAAGTAGTCATCGTCCTTCCAGCTGACACCCTCGACGGCGAGAGCGATGTGAGCGGAGGGGATGGTGTCGTCGCGGAGACGGACCTCGGAACCGATGAACTCGGGCAGGCGCTTCTGCTCGGCAGTGAGGGCGGCGGCAGCGGAAGTAGGGGGCTTGCTGGGGAGGGCACCGAAGTGCTCCTCGGCGAGGCGAACGAGCTGCTCGTGGGGGATGCCACCGGCACCGACGAGAACCATGCGGTCAGCGGTGTAGTTGGTCTTGATGTACTCGGTCAGGTTGTCCCGGGTGATGGTCTGGATGTTCTCCTTGGGGCCGAGGATGGTGCGGCCAAGGGGCTGGGCCTGGTAAGCGGTGGCGTGCAGGTGGTCGAAGACGACCTCCTCGAGCTGCTTGTCAACCTCCTCCTGCTCGCGCAGGATCACATCACGCTCACGCTCGATGGCGCTAGCCTCAAGCTTGGAGTTCTGAAGGATATCAGCGAGGATATCGACGGCCTTGGGGACATCGTTGTTGAAGGCCTTGGCGTAGTAGACGGTGTTTTCTCTCTGTGGTAGGAGGTTAGTGTCTTTGCTGGATGTTGATGGACGGTTTCCCGGATCGTACCGATGTGTAGGCGTTAAGGTGGGCGCCCATGTTCTCAATCTCGAGTTCCAATTGGTGCTGGGAGCGCTTGTTGGTGCCCTAAACATAATTATCAGATAATGCGCTGGAAGGTGGCGAGTTTGTGGGATCGAACCTTGAAGGCAAGGTGCTCGAGGAAGTGCGCGGTTCCGTTGGTCTTGTCAGTCTCTGCCCGGCTACCGGCATCGATCCACACGCCGACCGTGGAGGTTTGAGCCCATGGGGAGTGGTCAGTGGCGATCTAGGGACTTGTTAGTGGAATTGCGCTGCAATTGATGCCAACAAGCCGAGCATACCGTGAATCCGTTGGAGAGGGTGGTGGACTGGGTGGTGGACGGCAGAACCGGGGACGCAAAGCCACGCTTGACGGGCTGGATGGACTTCAGGGCCGCACGAGTGCGGAGAGCCTGGTTCAGGTTGAGAGCGAGGCGCCGAGAAGCCATTATAAACGACTTTAATGGGTGGAGGGAGGGGGGACAGGGGAGAGATGGAGAAAAGAGCTGATGGAGACGCCCTGAGGTCGAAGTTCGGAAGTTTGAAATTGTTCGCCCGGAGCCCAGCCAATTACATAACCCGCTTTTCCAAACCGCCCTTTCCATTCCGAATACTTCCTTTTGCGCATTTCCTTCGCGATTGGAGCAGTGAGAGTGTCTGTCCTGGTCTAAATTCTTTGTGAAAAGGTCGATTCAGTACGAATTTTCACTTTTTTGGTGGTTTTTAAGCTCGCAATCCGCCTCAATCTTCAATGTTTGCGATATCGGTCATCCGATTTGGCGTCTATTGATTGGCTCAATGGCATCTACGTGAAGTACGCAAGGTATTCGAAATGTTCACATCCAACAGACACAGGTGCCGCAAAATTCCATTGGGAATATCATTGGGAATACGTTTGGAAGGTATCAAAGAAGGGATCAAGCGGAATATATCGCCTTGGTGGTGACCCGGGACTTCCCAGGTTCCAAGGTTCTCATACAAACTTGCTCGCAAACTGCTTGATGTTCTCTTCCATGGAAATATCAGCCGCAAAGCCCAGCTTGAAGGCACGCGCAGTATCAAATTGAGGAGTCCAGGATTGAACGATCTTGTCAGTAGCAGCATCATACTTCTCCTCCACCAAAGCCCGACGCTCTGGCCCACCGACCTCCAACAACGCATCCAGCATCTGTTGGATGCTAACTTTCAGCCCAGGGAGATTGACAGATCGTGACTCCCCAAATGCCTCCTTCGGAATAGAGCGCGCGTGGATCAGGTTCTTGATCACAGTGTGCGGTGAACAGATCCACATCTCCGTCTCCTTGGACACAGGCAGAATCGCCTTCTTTCCGTGGAAAGGCTCGCGAATGATATCACTTGCAAAACTACTGGCAGCCTGTGTAGGCTTTCCAGCTCTCACAGTGACCGTTGGCAATCGCACGCACCGGCCATCCAGGAATCCTCGTCGCGAGTAATCGTTCAGCAGTGTTTCGACAATGAGCTTCTGCGATCCATATGATGATGAAGGCACAGGTGGGAAATTTGTTTCGTCAATGACGAACCCTGGAGCTGCGGGGCCGTAGACTGCGAGTGATGATGTGAACACCACTTTCGCTCCAGGCGTTGTGGTGCGTAATCGGTCCAGGATATATCGGACTGAGTCGAGATTGACACGCACTCCGAGCTCAAAGTTTGCCTCCGAACCGCCGGACATGATGCCGTGCAAAATGTAAACCGTTTCATAGGGGTGAGATGCGGTGATCAATTCATCCACCTCTTGAGTCGAGGTCAGGTCAGCCTTGACACATTTCAGACGGCTCGCATGCTCTGTCGCCGACTCGGGAACTTCAGGCTCGACGACATCTGTGATTGTGACGGTCGTTGATGCTGGGGTACTGGCGAGAAGAGAAGCGGCCAATTCCTGGCCAACATAGCCACCCGCACCAGTAATGAGAATTGACATGGTCTATAGTGGCTGTTTTGAAATCAATCGAGGGTATGAGTTTCTTTTGTAACGGCCGTACTAGGTAGTGAAAGCCCCGGAAATCTGGATATGTATCCGGCTTTATACTTCATGCGGGGTTCCCCCCACGCTCCTATACCTATGGACCAAACCCCACGGATTCGATCATTTGAGCCCTTCGCGCATCAATTCCGAGTCATTGGTGAAGGAACCTCGGCGAGTAATCCGAGTACCGAGAGGCCCGGCGCAAGTCCGATCTTCTGTTTTAGGGCAATGTTGCAGACACCATAGTTCGACAATTATCAACATTAGCGACCTCGGGAATATCATGCCTCAATGTACTCCCTTGATTCTTAACCCAAGTTCAAGAGATCATACACGCAGAGATGGAAAAGCTACTGGGATTCTGCGAAGAGATGTTTGGAAGGTCTGAGAAGTCGGCTAGAGCAAAGGAGGTGAGGTGTCAATGCTCCAGGGCGTGATTTAGCTGGATGGTTAGGTACCCCGGGGATATTAACTTCCAAGGTTGCGCGAGAGAAGTTCAACCCACACGGCTGTCCTTGCCTGTGGCAGTCAAACAAAGGATCCAAACCTACACTTTGAGCACACGGGGAATATCGCAATCTGGAAGTGTTTTGTTCATTGATATTTATACAAGTACGAAAATCATCAGCAAAAGGCCACCTAGGTGCCTCATCTCGGATCAAGAACTCAGGTGACACATTCCAGCGTGTAACATTCAAAAGAAACTAAATTTTGAGACGCAGCCAAGAGTACATAGGCGAAAACCTGTCACGGAAAAGGAAAAACATTCGATACATCACGGGACGCCGAGGTGAACATGAAAAGAAAGGACATGACCAGAGATTAAGACCTTTATGCGGAACGGTTGTAGATACCAGCGACGATGCAGTGGTCACGCTCGAAAGGCTCAAGGGTCAGCTGCTCCTTAGGCTTGATCTTCTCCTCACGCATCTTCTGGACCTCCTTGGCGAAAACGACCTCGGGCTTAGCTGTGCTGTCAATACAGTTGGCCTTGACGGAGACGATGACACCACCGCCGTCCTTAAGGAACATGTGCGCGTTGAGTCCGACAATACGGGCCTGATCGGGTTGGGCAACATCGGCGAAAATGACATCGACAAGGGGAACCAGCATTCTGTAGCGCAGAGGGTGACGGGCATCGTCGACCAGCTAGAAAATTTGTGAGCACTGCGATTTTGGGTGAGGTTTGTCAAGGTGGACTTACGGGAATGACGTTGGTGCGGTGAGTGGCCATGCCAATCAGGTCACGACCGGAACGGTGGGAGAACTCGACGGCGTAGACATTACCAGTGGGGCCGACAATATCAGCGACGTGGGAGACGGAGGTACCGGAGGCGGAACCCAGGTAGAGAACCTTGGCACCGGGCTTGATGTAGATCTCATCAAGACCACCGAGAACACCAGCAGCAAGCTATAAGCCATGTTAGATTCTGGACCAATAGAAGGCGAAACAAAGCCAAATATAAATGGTTTTGGCTTTCAATGCACCTTATGGAAATGAGAGGGGAATTTACCTTGGAACGGAAGGGGTTCCAGACACGGTACTCGACCTTGGTGACAGCACCGTCCTCGTTGGCAGGTCCCTCAACGGAGATACGCTTCTCGCCGTAAACAGCCTCGCCGGGGGTCAGGTTCTTGGTAACAAGCATGTCCTCCTTGCCGCCACGAGCGACGAAGATACCGGCGTGACGGTGGGGCTCCTATTGATAAGGGAAAAAAATTGATCAGTAGCTGATTTGGGCCGACGAGAGGTCAAATACTCACAATAACGACCTTGGCACCACCACGGGCACCACCGCCACCGCGGGGAGCACCACGACCACCGCGAGGAGCACCACGACCACCACGGGGAGCACCGCGGCCACCGCCACGGCCACCACCACCGCGACCACCGAAGCCACCTGAATCGGGAATTCAGGTCAGTAAATGATACTATAGTGTAGCAGCAGAGCGGATCAGGGCCATTGAGGTAGTGATACCACCGGCACGATCTTTCATCTGCATGCTTGCATCCAATGGACTTGGGCTAACTAACCTCGACCGCCGCCACGGCCACCACGGTCACCACCGAAACCACCACGTCCGCCACGAGGGGGACCACCACGGCCACGAGGAACGAAACCCATTGTGTAGTTTTAAAGAGTAAAGACTCGGGTTTTGGAAGGTTGAATGAGGAAGGTTGAGCTGCGAATGCTCAAACTGAGTGGAACTGGAGATTGGGAGAAAAAAGTCCCAAGAGATTCGAGTGTGGAAGAAGAAAAATCGAGTTTAGATCCGAGATGAATGGATCAAGGCAGTTCAAACAGAAATAGCTGCTATCTGTCTGTCGGTGCGGGTCAAAGCCGATGCTGCTCGTTGATGCGGTCGAGATTTTTTTGCGCCTTTGGGAACTTTCAGAAAATCAGAACGGCGCTATGCCGTTTCGAGGCTAGCGTCTCTTCCGCGTGAGGGCGTCACGTGCCGGGTGCCGGTGGCTATCACGTGACATGACAAACCCTTCAATATCTCGGGCTCGATTCAGGACGCTGAAGAGAACAAACATGCTCGAATGGGTATTGAGGACTCTCATATCGAGTCAGAAGTTGCTTGGGCATATACAGTGAGTATGTAGTTCGGAAGAACTAGTTACCCAGGTATCGAGTGACAAATTCGGAAGAGACGGCTCATTTCGCACTCAACCTGATCAGAGCACCAAAGAATACGCTGACAGGCAAAGGCAGGGAATTATGTAGGATCAATTTATAATTCAAGGGATTTATTCACAGCAGCTTCTCGTGAGAATCATGAAGTAGATTTCAATAAAAACAGGAAAATCCCACCCTGCGAGTAAAATCACTAAGTCCGCCCAAACTCCTAGTCTCTATGTACAGCAAGAAAGAAAAAAACGATCCGGCTATTCCCCAAAGAAGTAGTAGTTCGCAGCATACTGCATCTGGAAAGCAGATGGCATGCCTTTGCATGTCTTAGGTGGGGATCCAGCAGCAGTATCTACTCGATACACGCTTTTATAGTTCCCGACAGTACCGTCCGTTGTAGTCAGATACAGCCATGCGACAGCACCATGTTCTCCTGAGAGCGCATTTGAAGGAGCATCGATCGAACCACCTTTTTTGGTCATGACAATACCATGCTGCTTATCAGGTGTGGTATTGAGGTTGAACTCGGGGGTTGTGGCATCATAGAAGAAGTGGTGGCCCATGAGATCGATGTTTGAGGGAGGGAACGAGGCATACTCGTTGGTTGGGAGTGTGACTTTGTAGGCTAGGTTGGGAAGTGTCTCTAACATGCCTGGGTAGTTGGCTGCGATGCATGTGGCGTTGTAGAGTCTGGCGACGGCTCCTGCAGCGACGGGTGCGTTTTTGGATGATGAGTCTGCGCAGGTGTAATTCTGTGGCTGGGGTTAGTGTTTGCTTGGGCATTCATGGGAATTTCCGTACCTGTGTGCCTCGTCCTAGTGCGACGTATACTGGCTTTAGGCCATCGGGGCTGGTAAGACCTGATGCATAGGATGGCAGGGCAATTTTGGACACATCACAGGCCGATGGGGCTCTGATGTTGTGCTTCGCAGTGTTGATGTACTGGCTAATTTTGCCATAGAACTCAGCCAGCTCGTCTGACCAGTCGTATGCATGATCGAGGAAGTGTGTGGGAGCAGCAAGCGAGACTGCCGATAGGCAGAGGACAAGACCGAACCGCATTGCTGTCTAGGTATGTTCGAGGTCGGGATTGGTGGGTCGTTTTTTAAGAAGTTATATACACAGCGTATATGTTGAAGAGGATTGTCCAGCAATCTATGCAATAATTGGATATGAAGGAGAGATGGAGAAAGGAATGACGATTGGCAAGACCCGGGCAGATATACAATGAAAATAAGTAGTGCAACCAGAGCAAGCTTCCAAGATAGTAACACGAAACGAATACTCTATAAACAGCGCGATCGATGCGGTCTGCAGGTACTAGCAAGGGTATCTTCGTCGAGCCCGGGAGCTCATTGGTAGACGGACGCGCCCAGGGCTGACTTCCCCAGCCTCCCGGGTCTCTGATTTGTCGTCGGCCACAAACGCATTCGACTAAATCAAGATGGCTACGCGCTAAGCAAAACAACGGGGGTTCCCCCAGGGCGGTTCGAGGGCTCTCATTTCTATTAATTCCCCGGGCCACTATTAATAAATCTGACCGGGCGGTTAGATGTGCAACATTATTGCCGGTCCAGGTTAGTGTGCAGACTTGCAATTCTCGAAATCTACAACCCTGGACAATTGCAGGGATGCATCATATCCACTTCTACTCAGCTAATTCATCAGGCTTTGCTTTTTTTTTTTTTTTTTGTATCGGAACTACACTTCAACATCGCAATATTGCCCGGGTGAGTATAAGACTGCGGGGCTGGGAACTTCTCCTCACTTCCCTCTGAGCTCGACGTTACAGTACGCTAGCGCCCACAAAACGCCTGCTTACACCGTCGGTTAGATTCATTTAGATGAAGTCTATTTGCGGAGAGTGAGATTGCTTACCCGGTTCAGGCTAGCCATTGAGGCATATAATAGTATGTCTGCGAGTTCTGCTCGTAGTCTCATATCGAAGGCCGAAAGCTTAATTGGGAATATAATCGGAGCAATCGGAGCAAAGATGCTTCGTGGATCTATCGATTCTCCGCTGCGGTGCTATGTTTGGAGAAATGGGAGCATTCCTGCGTGGCCCCACGTTGAGTTGACGGCTCGGCCCTTTTGATCTCTGTTCGCTATCGGAATGTGCACCATGAGGCGGGGGCTGCTATTTTTGCCTATTCTTCATTCCAGGTCGGAATTGAGCATAGTATGACATCAAAATAGCACAGTGCGACTAAACTTGGAAGTCATGTCTGTTCACACCGGGTCATGCACCACTCGAGTCCATTGATACACAATACTAAACTCCTACTGGATAGAAGGCCAAAGATACATGATATTTGCCACAATTGCATCTACACGTGCAGCTAACCCCACACATCGGGAGAAAAAGCACTTAATCTCAAACGCCGGGACTTGTGAGTCATGAAAGAACCTGGGAAACCTTGGAAAGTGAGAACTCCACCCTTCGCTGTGCGAATGTCAGACAAAATCATTAGCTAAATCCTTCCTGCTGCCAGTCATCCCCTTTCAACGGTCCCCCTTGGGCACTCCCGCTGCCGCTCCCACCGACACTGCCGGAGCTGCCGTAGGCTGCGGCCGCACTACCGACGGCGCTCATCGCACTGTGCTGTTCGATCTGCGTGGTACTCATCATGTACAGCACGACAAACAACAGGATATGAAGCGCGAAACAGTAGGTAGCGAAGAGATTGCGACTCGTTCGATTGGCAAGAATGACGCGGGTCAGGGAGAAGACGATGCGCTCGGGGAGGCTCATACGCTTATAAGCCCGTGTTGACTCTCGGCCCCGGAATGCGGCAAAGGGTGAGATTTGAGCCTCGTAGGCGGATTGATAGCGATTGAGGGAGAGACCAGATGGCGTGTCTGCTGAGGTGTAGATCGAGGTTGAGGCGGGAGTGTTTGCATACGACGAGGCAGACGTCGAGGCACCTTGGCCACGGTTATACGTTGAAACGTAGCGAGTCTTTTCGTAGAGATTCAGGTTGTCTTTTTGAAGAGACGCAACCTCCTGGCGGAGAGACTTGACGGTGGCATATAGCTTGGACAACTCTGCTTCAAGCTCCGCATTCTTCTTCTTGAAGCGGTCTCGTTGAGCTTGGATCATGGGCAGAAGGCCAGAACCGCCGCCGACAGCCTCTCCAGCTCGGATTGAATCCATGGTATTCGCGGATGCGGCGCTCTGGTCAAAGCCAGAGATAATGGATGAGGTAGGGGAAGATGCGCCTCTTCGGGCAGAGTGTGGGTATCTGGAGGAGTAGGTTCCTGCGACAGACATAGCCGAAGATGGGAACGCATTGGAGGCCTCTTCTTGTACACGGAGGAGATCATTCTCGAGGGTACTTGATAGACTCCGGGACTTTTCAAGCTCTTCCTTTGACGTCGAGAGCTCATTTCTTAGTGTCTCGAGCTGGCCTTGAATGTCACGGTGTGATACTCGCAGAAGTGTGAGATCTTCTGTTAACTTCTTGTTCCGTCCCATGAGCAGTTGCTCCAAGGAATTTTTGTCCTTGGTTTTGGACGCATCACCATTTTCATTCGCAGCGCTATCAGGAGCCTTGTCCTCAGCTTCATCATCGTCTCCTGCGAATTCAACTGATCTGATCATGTCCAGTTCTCGGCGAATCTCGTCGTAGTCAGCCATCTTTGTTAACCGCACGCGCAGCTCTTCTCTCTCCAGAGATGCCTTAGAAGCAGTTCTCTCGGACTGGAGCAGCTTCGCTTCCCAGGTGTGTCTTTCTGAGTCCTTGGCAAACCGGGCAGCATCAAGCTTCCGCAGCAAAGAAGAGTTTTCGGACTGAAGACGGAGGTAATCGGGGTCATCTTCAACAGACACCGGGCCCGAGGAGTGTGAAGCGGCTTGAGCCAGCTCGAGTCGCATTTGTTCGTTGCGCGCTTCCACGTCTGCCAGTCTCAAGCTAGTCTTCTCCAGATCGGCAGAAACGAGTTCAAGCTCGGCCGCGGTAGCACCGCTGCGCGCGCCTTCACCATCATCATTCTGATCTCCACCCTCGCCTAGCCGTTGAGAAACTTCATAGCTTGCCTTGAGCTCCTTGATGAGTCGGTCCTGGTTCTCCACTTTCTCCTCTAAGCTCTTTTCCTTTGCGGCCCAGTTGTTCGCCTTCTCCGTCAAGACTGCCTCCCATGATGCTTCGATCTCCTTGGCTTTGGATTCCTGGCTCTCTTCCAGCTTCTTTCGTGCGGCACGCTCCTCTGAAAGGCGTTTCTCGGTTTCCTCTTGTTGTTTCGTAAGGCGGTTGACTGACTTCTGCAATTGATCTCGCTCCGAAGTCAGTTTCGGGAGAGTATCTTCAGAAAGGACAAGAGAGTCGACGGAAGCTTCGAGGAGAGGGTATGGATCCGGGGCCTCCGATAATGAGGAGTACAGCTGCAGGAACGAGGACGATGACGTTTTCCCCTGATTGGTCAGGAGATCGATAAAAGACTGATATGCCTTCAGCAGTCCCTTATATTCAGATAGCTTGGCCTCATCATCCAGCTTCTTATAATCTTTTGTCTTCTGTGCCAGATCCTTTCGTTGCACAAGTGCATCGCGCTGCTGTTCGACGATGCCGGTGGCAGTGGTGTCGAGTTTCGCAATGGTACTGGTCAAGTCAATACCTAAGTTGAATTAGCCAAGCGATAACCCAAGTATGAGTTAAGCCTTACCTCTCCAGGCTGCAATGGCACGTTGGAATTTGTTGGTCTCCTCAGTCAATTCGGGTGATTGCGTTGAACCCTCCTGTTGCTCCTGAGGGACCAGGCTCTCGGTTATGGCGAATGAATCCATTGTCGGTTCTAACCCCAGGGTTCTGCACAGTCACCCCACATTCAAAAGCAGTCCACCAAGGGGAAAGATGGCGATCTGTTATCGCGAACAGAGGACACGCGGCGCGCGGGCCGAAATTGTTCCGAAGTGTATACTACGTCTTGCGGTTGTGAGGAGAATTGAGGTTCAAACCCAAGAATATTGTAGCTCTTAAAGTCAACTGGAAAAGAGACAACCTGCTAGGTGTTTTGTCTGTAATGCATGAAATGTCATCTCTTACGAGGGCCGGCCGAGGCATGTAGCGGCAGACGATAACAGCCTCACCATCACCGCCCTTCTTACCGCCCAGCCATACATCGTATGAGCTGCAGCCCATGATGGTCTTAAAGTGCTATCCAGACATATAACAGCAACACGAGTAAACGCTCAATACATGCAGCGATGAGTGATCATAAAAGTGTTATAATGATGTGTATTTAGCCCATAAAGCAGCCCTCATATTTGGTACCTGGATTCTGCCGGCACAACAAGCCCGAAGTGGCCCCTGAGCTTTGGCCCCAGTTCTTACCGCCCTGAGGTTACCTTGCAGCTTGCGGGGAGATGCTTGGAGTAACAGCCTCATGATGGCTTCGGACGATGGAATTGGTCCCCGCAAGAAGCGCAAGACCAGCCCACCAGGGACTGTGCCTTACGTGCTGCATTCGCTTTTCGCAGACGTGCCGATAGCGACCGAGCATAGCTCCGACGTCTACATCACCTCCGTGGAATACTGGAGTAAGCGCTATGTGTTGCCTCCCACAGGGCGACTGATAATTGATGATAACTGACCCTGGTATATAATAGATGAGAACCTCTACATTGGCACATCGGCAGCCGAGATCCTACACTTTGTATGCCTTCCGCCAGCTTCCCCGGACGAATCCGCCGATCCTACCTTCATACTAGCATCCCGATTGCCCGTCCCATTCGCCCAGAGGCCTTCTGCGGCTAGCGAAGAGGGCGTTCGCCAAATTGTGGTTCTATCGTCGGTTAACAAGGCGTGTGTTCTTTGCAATGGCACGGTTACGTTCTATATGCTCCCGGAGCTCAGTCCAGCCTTTGGGAATACGAAGGTCAACAGCTGTCGCTGGATTGGTGGATTGGATCTCAACCGCGATGCAGATGAAGAGGAAGATCCCACCTTAATGATCGCCGTGCAAAATAGGATCATGCTTGTTCGGATCGGTGACGAGGCGCGACGAATCAAGAAGATCGAATTCCCTGGATGCTTGACCGCAGCACGACGAGGAACGATTGCTTGTGCCGCAGATACGCATTCATACTCATTGCTGGAGGTTGCACACCAGCAAAAGATCCCTCTCTTCCCCATATCTTCTTCAAGTGAGGTCTTTGAGTCTGGGCATGTCGAGGACATGAACCCGGCACCACCCACCCCGCTTAAGCGCTCGCCCTCTGCGTCCTACCCCAACTCTCCGCCAAGTGACACGCCGGGCCATGGTAGAAGTACAAGCTTGAATCAGTTCGTGGGGATGCTGTCCCCGCAGGCGCAGGCAGCCCAGCTAGATAGATCGCCTTCAGGGACACCAGACCCCTTCACTGCCACCGGGGAGCCTCGAAGATCAAGCTCGTCGGAGCGTGAGGCCAATGATCTTCCTGGTTCCCCCGAAAATAAAGAACCAGACAACCAATCTCCTGCTAATGAGAACGCAAAACCACTGCCGCCCCTACCTCCACCGACAAAGCAAAGTTCAAAGCGCCTCCAGCCCCATGTGGTTTCTCCGACTCCATCAGAATTCCTGCTTGTGACTGGAACCGAGGAGAACGAGCCGGGTGTTGGGATGTTTGTTGACATGGATGGCGAGGTTGTTCGTGGTACCATCAACTTTCACCGATTCCCGAAATCGGTTGTGATGGATTCAAACCAAGACGACCAAATCTTCCAAACAAGTGATGATACAAAGGAAGAGTTTGTCCTTGCCATCATTGAAGATGAAGAGGACGGAAAGCCCCGGACTCGGCTTGAGATACAGCGTTGGTACGACGACCCAGCCGAGATTGAGCGGAATAAGAATTGGCTAGAGATTCCCTCTCCAGCAGAGTCGCAATATGCCCAGGTGGGCCTCCGGCATACACTCAGCGCCAGCCATTTCGAGCTCAATCCAATCGGGCAGCTTTTGCGAATGATTCGCCTGAAGACTCCTTTGCTCCCTCCACACGTCACGGTGGCAGACTCGCGAACCCAGGCATCTATTGAGCATGTCCAAAAGGAAAATGATTTATTCGAATCAACAGACGTTTCTGGTTCCAAGAAGAGCGATGCTCAGACCCAGGAGGCTCAACGCGATGCGGAAGAAGCAAAGTTTGCCCATGGTCTAGGAAAGATCCAAAGTGGACTTGTTATGTGGTCTGGTTCTCAAATTTGGCGGGTCCTGCAGAATCCTCTAATCATCCAGCTCGAAGATACTTTGCAGAAAGCCCAGGAAACACCAGATGGCAGTGAGCACACAGTATTACAAAGGGACACTGTGATGGAGCTGCTGATATCGATTCAAGACACCGAGCCAAAGTCAGAGTCCGAGTTTATCGGTCTCAGCTATGTCAAGCAAAAGGCGGGCCTGATGCTATTTGGGGACCTCCTCTCCATGCAGCCAAATGAGCGCAGTGATAATGCAATCGACGAAACAGAAAAAGCACTGGTTGCAGGCAACCTTGATCCCCGTTTGGCACTGCTGTTCATTCCCCTCCTACGGTGCGAAGTTCTTCAGGGGCCGCAGGGTGTATGGATACACGCTGGACTAGGCAAAATCACGGAACAATACCTACAGCAGGTTGGCGAGATAGGCGTCGAGTCATCTGGGCTGAGTGCCTCACGCAGTCCGATTCTCGACATGGTTAAGCGGTTCCTCCTCTCTTGGCAGCAAAAACGCGGATATGGCAGTATCACCGATGAGACATACGTTTTGGACAGTACCGATGCCGCACTGTTGCACCTTACCCTGGAACAGGACGCCTATCTAACACCAGACCAGCGTTCAGCGTCGCCAACTCGCTCTGAATTGAACAAACTAGTCGATAACTGGAAAGGTAATTTTGATCGAGCTGTGATGCTGCTTGAAACTTACAAACGGCTGTACGTGCTCTCTCGGTTGTACCAAAGTCAAAAGATGTCGCGGAATGTTCTCAAAACCTGGAGAAGGATCGTCGATGGAGAGACCGACGCCGGAGGGGAGGTCTCGGCGAACGGGGTGGAGACGCAGATGCGCCGATATTTGGTCAAAATCAAGGATGTGCAGCTGGTTGAAGAATACGGCTCTTGGCTCGCTGGGCGAAATCCAGACCTGGGCATTCAGGTCTTCGCGGACAATGCAAGCCGGGTGAGACTCGAACCGGCAGATGTGGTTGCTTTGCTCAAGGAGCGAGCTCCCAACGCTGTTCAGGTCTACCTTGAGCACCTGGTCTTTGCCAAGAATGTGAGTGAAACCACTTTTCTGTGAGAAACTTCACTAACACTTGAACAGTACACTCAGTATGCTGATGACTTGATCTCATATTACTTGGACACAGTGCTGTCTGTATTGGAGTCTTCACCTGAAGCACGCGCTTCTCTGGCCGAATCATATTCAACCTATCGAGCCCTTCGAGCTCCCAAGCCAACCTACTTCAACTTTATTACTGAGAACCGCCCCACAGAGCCCTGGTGGCAATCACGACTTCGTCTCCTCCAGTTACTAGGCGGAGTCTCTAGCTCCCAATTCTCCTCCCAACCACTGCCAACAGGAATCAGCTACTCGATTCCAAATGTCCTCACTCGCATCGAGCCTTTCCAAGACGAGCTCGTCTCCGAGTGCATCATCTTGGACGGTCTACAAGGCCATCACGGTCCCGCCCTCCGCCTCCTGACCCACGGTCTCGGCGACTACGACTCTGCCATCCGCTATTGTCTCTTTGGCGGCCCCCGAAGCTCTTCAGCAGGAACACAAGAACTTGCAGAATACGATGTGCAATGCGAACTCTTCCGCCACCTACTGACCGAATTCCTCAACATTGAAGACATGTCCGATGGTATCGAGCGCACAAGCGATCTCCTCGCCCGCTTCGCAGCCTGGTTTGATGTCCGTGAAGTTATCGACCTCGTCCCGGAGTACTGGAGCGTCGATCTCCTTAACGACTTCTTCGTGCAGGTCTTCCGGGCTTTGGTCTCGGAGAGCCGGGAGAGTCGGATTAAGCGGGCCCTTAGTGCTGGTCTGAATCTTCGCATTGGGGCAGAGTTCATCGAGGGCATGGAGAAGGCGGGTCCCTGGATTGAGGAGGCTGAAGGCTTACGCAAGTTGAAGGATGCGCTGCCTCGGCCTGATGACTCTGAGTTTGGTGAGACGGTGGGGCCATCTGGGGAAGTGGGCCAAGTCGATCAATGATCGGGATGGACAATGTATAGAGTCGGAATGTTTGTGTTTTGTTTTCCTACGATACCTATGGAGTTGGTAGCTTTTGCGTTGACTTATTGAGATTTTTTTTTCTATCGTTACCATTTCATGTACTAGTAGATCAACCTGTAGCACGGTCCAAGTTCAGAAAGAAAGTTAAAAAAGAAACATAGATGTTCATTCCCTTCGTAGCTACTGATGAGCGTATTTTCCGGCACACAACAGCCGGGGGGACATTAATGTAGTGCAACGGACTGTGGCCTGTCCGAGATAAATGACGTAGCTTACTCCTCTGCTTGCAGGAAGGGGTTGGGGATCTCCTCGCTGCCGTCTGCAGGTGAAATCAGCACGATGAGAGTGCCACGGGCGACGATCAGGCCCATTGAGCGGGTGGTCTTGTTGCCCTCATCATCTAGGGGTGGTTAGTACGTCACAACGCAGAAGAGGGACTGAACGTACCACGCATGGTCTCTTTCACTTCGTCGAGGACCAAGTTCATCAGCTGGTCATAGCCCTTCAGGGTTCCGGTGACTGAGAGAATTAGTATAGAACTGAGATAATTGCGTATAAAATAATGCATATACAACCGACAAGGATGAAAAGGGAACTGAAAAAGGATGAATCACATACCTTCACGACCACCATTGAACTTCACCTGCACTTCCTTATCCATATACTTGTTGAGGTCCAAGATGTTTTCCTTCTTGGGCTTCTCCTGTGCACCGCCACCACCGCCACTTTTCTGCTGGCCGCCGCGACCACCGCGACCACCCCCACGACCGCGGAATGAACCTCGCTCAGACATGATGAAGCAGCAAGAGAAGATGAATTGGGGAAAGACGAAACACGTAACACGAAAACCGAAAGCCGAAAACACGGAACACTCGGGATGGAGAGTCAGCGCACGATATGAGGGATTTTCAGGGAGAAACAGTCAGTCCGCCTTTGGATCCCGCTCTGGCTGTATTGTCAATACCCGTATGGTCACCCTTGCGTACAGCCTTACGGAGTCCACGTTACGCAATGTTTCAGCGATTTAGCCAGCAGCATATTTCACTCCACATTCAAGGCTTGATTTTGAGATCGGCAGAGTGCTACTATGTACTAGTATACTACTATACGCAGGACTCCCTGAAGTCTATGGATGCAATGTGCAAGAATACAGGGATATGGTCCTGGACAAGGTAGTGGGCGGAATCCCCCGGCGGGACTCCGCTGGGCTCAATGTCCAACGTTGAGAATCGGGAGGAGCAGACCGGACCATCGGAAGACTCAAAGATTGGGAAGCGAAGATAATAAGAATTGCCTATAGATTGAATTAATTGCCAAATCCACTTGCGGAAACTAGTGTGCCTAAACGGACTTCCTTCAGTTCCGGGCGGACACAGATCACGTTTTTCCTCTCCACTCCCGCTCACCTTTCTGATTTCCTCCCTAAACCTCCATGCTGCGTGCGTGAAATCTTCAGCCCCGGCCGGTTCTTCTCCGTGCACCTTCTCTCTGCTATTTCCTGGACCCGGGTTTAGAATTTGCTCCAGCATGTCCAATATGGAGGCCCGCGAGTCCCGCGAATCCCACAAGAGGCCTCGGTCTCCGGGCGAGCAGCAGATGTCGTCCAAAGTGGCCAAGACGCATTCGAATCATCTGCAAATCAACTATCTCGCGCGCCAATATCCAGATAACCTCCCACTCGTCTCCGTCGAAGATACCATGCCCGCGATTATTCACCTGCTAGGGGAGTACGATGGCGTGTTACACCGCCATGAGAGCATCGCGGGAAACCTCGGCGCATGTCCGCTGGGACCGATCCTGATCAAGCGATTCGAGCGACTCTTCGATGGACCCCCGCAGGTGTTGAAGTCGCATGGCAAGGACGGACCCACGGTGACTTGGCTGGACGTGGTGGAATTCGCCAAGAACAAGCCGGAACAATTCAATCTGGAGAAGTCGCGCAATGGGGTCCGGGTCTGTCAGTTCTATACCAAGCAATGTCGCGTGGAGATCAGCGAGGAGGACTTTGTCTTGATCGCCTCGGGCATGCCCCAGAAGATGATCCCGCCCCAGCCGATCATTGAAGACGAGGAGAAGGAGCTGGGTGCGCTGGAGATCCTGGAGAAGAACTTGCAGCACATCACGCAAATGGCGGATCAGGGTAGGCAATCCGATACTCTTCTTAACATAGCGACGAATACTGATCTGGATTTAGTCTCTGCTCGGGCCCGACAGCTCAACCATCGGTTGAAGAACCGGCGGAACGCAATTGTCACCCGGCGCGAAAACGATGCCACTCTCCATGCGCATTCCCGATCTGCTACTGACATCTGGCGTGATGCCAATGGCCTTGGACCGGTCAACGGTCACGGCCAAGGTTCTTCGCACCCTTCCCCGTCCGGGTTTGTCGCCGTCAACGCCCAACGCCCGGATGGTGAGCACGAGGAGAACTCGCTGGCGTCTCAGTTCATGTTCTCCCAGACCAACACCGACAATGTCACCATGATCAACGGGCAATCCATCAAAGGCGCCTCGCCAACCACCCGCGCGGACCTAATGAAGAAATTCTTCACAACCGCAGACCGCCACGCTCGTGGCTACGACGACGTTACGACCCCCATCAACCCCCAACCCCTCCCACGGCCTCGCGCCGAAGGAACAGACACCTCTCTATATAATCCAGCCACAGCAACCCCAGTGGCAATCCCCAGCACTCCCTCCTCCCTCCTCCCTCCCCCGAAATCCACGCAGCCCGAAAAGGACGACGGCGGGCCCTACAAGCAGGAAATGATCGCCCGCATGGAAGAGCTTCAACGCGGCGAGCGTGTGCTCCCCCCCTGCGACCGCTGCCGCCGCCTCCACATGGACTGTCTGAAGAACCTGACCGCCTGCGCCGGCTGCACCAAGAAACACGCAAAGTGTTCCTGGCGCGACGTCAAAAACGACGAGATCATCGGCCTGCGCGCCAGCCTCATGACCCCCTCCAGCTACGACCCCCACGCCATCACGCCCCCAACCTTCACTGCTCCCCTGCCGCCCATCTCGGCGGAACGCGAACGCTACGAAGAACCCTACTACAGCCGTCGCGAGTCCGCCCCCTCCGCCCCAAACCCAGTCCCACACTCCGCCCCCACAGTCCCCATGGAACTCCCCTCCAGTGACAATTCTCCCCGCCGCGCCGTGAGCGAGACAGAAGGTCGTCCACGGCCCCGTGATGACCTCGATCCAGACGCGAATCAGCGTCTCATGCAGGCTATTCTTGATACCGTTGATCATCACACTCGTGTTGCTGCGGCGGTGCAGGAAAAGGAGCGCGGGGCGGAGCGGGATCCCGTCTCTGCTATGCCGGCTGGTTCGGCAGTCCCGGGTCCTCATGGGCCTGGTGCTGAGCGGGATCATGAGCGGGAGCGGGAACGTCAGCGGGAGCGTGAGAGGGAGAGGGAGCGCGAGAGGGAATCGGAGCGGGATCGAGATCGGGATCGAAGGCTTGTGCAGGCTTGAGATTGATGGATGTTTTTATATGATTTTTTGTTTGTATATCTCTTGGCGTACGGGTTTAGTGTTAGATATCCCTGCAATGAGCGATTATAGTTGTTTTTTCAATTGGCTTTGTGTAGAACCTTGAGGTTACGCTGCTTGCATACCTATGTAGTTATTGTAATGTTTCCAAGGTTGCCCAGGTGAGGTGCCCAGGTAATGTATCTGGGTGCTTCGGTATATAGTTGTGGTCATAAACTCCGATATATATCTCCCATCGTCCCGAGGTCACACACATTCATCTAATCATCCATGTGTATAAGAACTTCAAGGGTTCAATTTCCTACATGTAGACCATGCCAACACAGCCTGAACAGACTCACAAGGCAGATTCCAGCTTTGTTGTACCGAGGTGAACATCCTAGTAGAGATGTCCCAAAACGGAAGTTCAACTTGGCGGGTATATTCTCAGCCACTGCATAAACCCGTTAATCCGACACTCCACACACTTACGGACGTCTGTATTTCCGAGCGGGGTGGCGGGGGAGTTGCTTTGCTTTCGCGTCCCTCTGATTGCCCGGAGCTAAGGTTAGCTTGTTGGAGAAATTCATAGCAGAACTGCCGAGTGCTACCCGAGTATAAGACTCTATCTAGTCCCCAATTCTATACAGTCTACTTACAACCTACATACATATTGCAATGGACCCCTCCCAAGTCAAGATCCCCCCCATGAAAGACCAAACGGTCGACAACATCACCGACAATGTAATCACCATCAACTCCCTCTGCGAAGATGAGCGCATGAAATACATCCTCGAACGCCTAGTCACCCACCTACACGACTTCGCCCGCGAAACCCGCCTCAGCAGCGACGAATGGATGACCGGCCTCCGCTTCCTCACAGAAGTCGGCCAAATCTGCACAGACGTGAGACAAGAATACATCCTCCTCTCCGATGTCCTCGGCCTATCCATTCTCGTCGACTCAATCGACCACCCCAAGCCCAAGGGCTCCACAGAAGGAACCGTCCTCGGCCCTTTCCACACGCATGATGCCGAGGAAATGCCGGCCGGGGACTCCATGTCCCACGACCCCAAAGGCGAGCCCTTGCTGGTCGTCTGCACGCTGAAGGATATGGCGGGGCGGGCGATCGAGGGCGTAAAGATTGATATCTGGGAGACCGATTCCACAGGCCATTACGATGTCCAGTATGCGGGACGCGAGGGCCCAGATGGACGGTGTATTATGCGATCGGACGAAAGTGGTGTCTTTTGGTTCAAAGCGATTACACCCGTGCCGTATCCCATTCCGCATGATGGGCCGGTGGGTCGATTGCTGAAGAAGTTGCATCGGCATCCGTATCGCCCTTCGCATATGCATTTCATGTTTGAGAAGGAGGGCTATGACCATTTGATCACGTATGTATTTCACTCCCCAGAACTTGAACTTCTAGATGAGCTTGGCTAACCCCTGCAGCGCATTGTATTTGCGGAATGATCCGTATGAGACATCCGATGCGGTCTTTGGCGTGAAGGATTCATTGACGGTGGATATTGGCAAGGCAGGCCCGGAAATCGCGAAGAAGTATAATGTGCCTGAGGGCCATGCGCTGCTCACTTATGATTTTGTGCTGGTGTCGGATGAGGAGACGAGCCAGCTCCGCGCTCACAATTCCAAGATCGCGCTGGATAAGCTGGGTCGGAAGGTGAAGATTGTTAATGGACTTCCTATCCCGGACCTGGACTAAATTGCACTCGAAATGAAAGCGATGATTTTACGTTCTACTTTGTTATGCCCTCACTCAGCTCCCCATTCGAGACTGCCAAATATCCAACCTTGAACATTGCAAGACCTGTGCCACTTCACTTCAGTGTAAACCGAAATCCAAACCAGCCCATGTATTGCCAATTAGGACTCGGCACTGATGGATCACCGAGGATTGCACAGTTGCCATCCAGACCAGTCAGTGTGTCTCCGGGCGAACTTCAATGCTACACCTGACTAAGGGAAGTGGCTATATAGCCCGGAAGCCGTCTGGAAATGATTTGATGCTCTGGCTGTCTGCTGTCTGCATTGAAAGAATGCGCTCTCTCTTCCTTCTAGCTGTTACCCCACTCGCCTCTGCCCTGGTTGTTCCAGGCGAGGACCTGGTGGGCATTTGGTCTCGGGAGCAGTTCATTGCTGATCAAAATGAAGCTGATATAGTTCCAGAGGAACACTGGTCCCCTGATAATGAGTTTAAAGAGTGTCCATGGGATACCCAAGGTCCGAAAGCTTGGCCTGGAGAATGCCACCACAGACATGGAGACTGGCCCGGAGATGAGCGACCCGGATGGGGACGATGGCCGGGAGCAGGCGAGCATGACAGACACGGTAGATATGGAGAATGGCCCGGCGAAGGTCCCCCAAGAGACGAATGGCCTGGCATCGACTATCCCCACGGATGGCCACACAGCGACAGAGACCATCCACCGTATCCCGACCATCACAGGCATAGCGAATGGCCCAACGACAGGGACGACATCCCCTGCCACGGTCCCAGACACGAATCCCCACACCATGGAAACCCATGCCCAGGCCCGCGATGTCTCAAAGACCTCACAATCTGGGAAGTCATCCAGCAAAACGAGCAAACAGCCCACCTAGCCGAAATGCTATCCAACGACAAAGACCTCATCTCCCTCCTTAGCAAGGACGAAAACCACACCATCTTCGCACCGACAAACCACGCCCTATTCCACCTAGAGCTACCCGCAGATGCTGTATCCAACTTCTTGCGCTACCACATCGTCCCAGGCCGATTCCACCTCCACGACCTAGCATTGCACCAGACTCTCCCGACAAATCTGACAGAGGAGTCATTAGGGATGCTTCCCCAGCGACTGATCATAGACCGAGTCCATGAAGCAATCCTTAACCGAAGGAGTATGGTCCTGCGCGCAGATCTGGTAAGAGGCCCGAAGTGTTGAAACCAATTCCATCACTAACATAACCAGACGACCAAGAATGGCGTAATTCATATTATCGATGGACCTCTATACCCACCACTGGAAACGCGAATGATTATTCCAGAGGAGAGTATTTTCGCACGAGCGCTGGCGCAGACGCAGCTGGGTCAGTACTTGGACCCGGCGAATCGGACGGGAGGGACGACGTTCTTGCCGACGGATGGGGCATTTAGGCGGCTTGGGCGGCTGGCGAATGAGTTCCTTTTCTCGAAGGAGGGGGCGGATTGTTTGCGGGCTTTGGTGGAGTATCATATCGTTGTGAATCAGACGCTGTATCCGGATGTGGTGTATGCGGATGGCAAGGTGACAGAGCTTGGCTCTGGGCATGCGGTTGTCGATATGAAGACTGTTGGGGGGAAGGAGGTTCGTGTTGATATCGAGAGGGGGATGCGGGTGAATGGGTTTGGGAGGGTTGTTGCGGATTTAGTGGCGAAGGAAGGGTCGATTTTGATGCTGGAGAGGGTGTTGATTCCACCAAAGGTCAGCAATAAGAGGGTGAGCAAGAATGGCGGGGAGTCGACAGGGCTGGAATGTGTTCGTGAGCATGAGCTTTGAGTTACGACTCTACGACAGGAAAGGGGAATTTGAAAAATTTCATTCTCATATTTGAATTTCCGTGTGATACGCACAATGGCCAACAGGTAGCTTGTGAAATGATTCATATTCCAACAGTGGGTCAGCCCCTCGAAAGCAACATCGTCTAGCTGAAATTTGACCAGACTAAACAGGTGAACTGGTTGGGTTGACGGTACAAGCAAACCATAGCTAGGTAGCTAAGATAGCAAAGACCATGTGTAAGACGTCAGCTCGTTAGTGCATGCGTCGTGCGGGCTTCATGAGCGCCTGGAAGGAAGACTCGAGAGCCTTCTTTACTTCCTTGTAGCTGACAATGAAGCAACTCTGCTCATCACGGCTGATCAGGGTGATCTTCTCGTCACTGCCAGCATCGAGCTTGTTAAGGCAGGTAAGCATATGGCCAAGATCGACGACCGGGTCGCCTTGGGCGTCCACGGTGTGGAAAACGTAATCGCGGAAGAGCTTGAGGAAGTAGCGCTCGCCGCTATCAGACCAGCGGGGGTCAAGGTCGTACTCGGGGCGTTCATTGACAAGACCGAGCTTGGACAGCAGGCGCACGAGACGTGCATTCTCTAGCTCGCGGGTGAGATCAGAGGTGAGCTGATCATCCATGTGCAGGGCCGAATCAAAAGTCGACATCAGTTGAGCTGAGATGCCGTGAATAAAGGTGTCAATGTCTCGAGTCACTTCCGTCTGCAAGGCGTTCAGCAGCCAGACGACAGAGTTCTTCATTTGGAGGCTGTAAGTGCGGGTGAAATGCTCCATGGCCTTAGCAGGGTTGTGCATGATAGCAGGCGAGTTGGCACCCAAGGTGAGAATCAGCTGGCCGAAGTTGACCAGATCCTGGCGCTGGAGATCTGGGACAGTCCGTTGAGTGTCAAACTGCACAACGTCAAGTACAGCACAGGCGTTGATGCGAAGACGGTTCTTTCCAGTGATGAGAACCTTGCTAGGCTCGAGGACACGAGCGGCAAGACCGTTGTCGTGAATTGCCTTGACAGCGTTGGCGATCTGGGTCATGTAGCCCCAGAGAACCTGCTCAGGAATGTGGGCATTGCTACGAGGCTGCTGGAAGCGATTGCCAATAGCCATGTTGCCAGCACCCAAGTGCTGCTCTGCCAGCGTCTTGGAGAGAGGGTGGTAGTCAGTCACAAAGATCAAAGAGCTGTCTTGGAAGCTGCGGCTAGTGAATGCATCATGCACAGTCACCACACTGCCGTTGCAAACACGTTTCCAAGCCTGGACAGAGCGGATAGCCCTTTCATTGGTAAGGCGGAAACCTGGAATTTTTAGTTCGGTGTCAAAGGGTGCTCGGTCAGGATGCTCATACCTTCAAGTCGACGGAGAGCGTAGAAATGACCATCTTTGCTTGACTGCGCCTTGTAAATCCAGCTTGGGTAGCCAAAGATGGCAGCATTCTTTTGATGATTCAAATCAAGGGGAACAAGAGAGTGGAAGTAGTCGACTTGTGCAGGGAGTTGGGTGTCTAGCATTGTTAGCGACATCACTGATCGGTTGCCGAGGTTTCACATACTAGGGAGAGTTTGAAGGGTAGCTGCAGATTTCTTTTGCAGCTCTTCCCGTATTTCATTGGGAAGGAAAAGGTCATGCACATTGCGCTGATATCCCAAAGTGCTTTGACTGTGAGGACCGATGGGGGCGTAAAGGTGGTATTGGACCTGAGATATGGTCAAAATCAATGCAAAGTGGAAAGGAGCTACACAGTGAATGTCAGCTTACTGGTTGTTGGAATCCGGTTTGATTCGCAAAAAACGCGCCTCCCATCGCAGCAGTAGCATCGTGGGAATAAGGATTGGCGGAAACAGAGCCCACAGCCCCAGGTGTCATGGGAGTGGGCGTGGTAACAAATGGATCAAATGCAGTTGGAGAAGCGATGCCTCCATTGCCGTTGCCTTGAAGAGATCCCTGGGGAGACATGTCAGCAGGAGGGCTCATTCCGGATCCGCTCAGTTCAGGGTTAGTCAGTTGTATTCTCCAGCCATTCCAAGGTTGATACGGAGCCACCAAGCGTGGCCGACGTCATCATTGGACATGTCAAAGTGCAGTTGCATCTCGCAAAATTCAAGGTGATACCAAGTTGGTGGTATGCAGGAGTGAAAGGGTTGAAGGGCAAAGGAGGGGGAATATGACGGGACCGAGCGATCGAGCTCGATCGAGCTCGGAGGTAGGAGCGACTCACCACATCAAAGCTTTGGGGAACGAACTCCTGCACATCTGCCACCGTCCAGTCCTGGGATGCTTCAGACCGCCCTGAAGGGGTGCCCGCGTTTGATCCTGGTACTTGTCAACAACCATCTTGCCCTTCATCTACCACAACCACATACTTGTTGATGCTCGAGGTTGAAATGGTGCAGCACTAACAGCCTTGGGTGAGAGGGCAGTGGACTTCTTCGGTGCGGATACACCATTGCCAGACAGCAATGATGGAGTGAAGCTGGGTGAGTCTACATTGAACCTCTTTTTGCTATCAAACAAAAGAGATCCTGTTAGCACTCATTATCCAGGCTCGGCTCTAGGACCAAGATTGGGTGCAGCATTCACCTGTCCGCTTGGTACGCATTAAGCTTCGACGGGTCGTGATTGAAAGCGCAGCCTGGTATCCAAATCAGCTTCAGTGCAGGGTTATGATGAGGAGTCACCAATACCCTTGTCTTCATATCGGCAACGCCCATAGATGGTTACGTTTCGGCACAGCGTGTCTTTCGCGTTCTCTGGTAAAAATCCATTGTGGTCAGCGACGTCCAGAAAACGTGGTATTGGTCTTATGTTGGCCAGATCGAATACGAGGGGAACATCGTGAGGTGAGCGGGAGACGGGCAGACGGCGCACACGGGGAAGCTACCACTCTATCTACGGGACTCACCGCGGCTCTTCATTTTTGGCGATCCTGTCGTCCGACGTGCGTCCTCCAATGGAGGCTTCCCGGCAGACGCCATTATATCTGGCTGATATCCCCTTGGCGGTGCGGATCAGCGCAAAAGAATCCCCATCGAAAGCAGACTCGGAATAGGACAAAGAAAGCCGGTGAGAGGAAACCGCATTCCCCTACTTCAATCTGATATCTCTGGAGATGTCGATGGGTCCTCGTGGTTGGCGATCAGCGGCGGATCAATTCCGAGCCCACGGACGTTGGGAGGTGGCTCAGTCAATAACAATAGCGGGCATGAAAGGATGGCTTAGTATAAGACCAAAGCCCTCTCGCATCCCTAGGAATGATTGCGACGGTACTGATGAGATGAAGACGCGGGGCGGATGAACTCGATTGAGCGAAGGGGGATATACGCACGGACCAGGCGGTCAGGACAAGCTACGGATCAACTGCTCTTTGAGAGGCCAGCTTGAGGTTCAACATTCGCCCTTCCACTCCATTTGATTCGTATCAATGCCCTCATTCTGCTTTTCTCTCTCGTATGCATCTTGATCTCTACTGAACACACCAATTTGAGTTTTATGGCCCCTGGCCCATCAGCGACATGTCGAGCTCGGAGCTGGACCTAGATCGGCTCTCCGATAGCGAGAGAACCGCGCTAGAGATGTACATGGCTGTGACCAGTCAAGAACCAGCAGAAGCGATTCCCCTTCTGCGACGTTCAGAATGGAACGTGCAGGTGGGTACTGCCAGTTATGTGCTAGACGCAAGCTGGAGCTAGTCCTAACCCAATCCCCGCATTTCTAGATCGCGATATCCAAATTCTTTGATGGCGAAGGACCGGACCCTCTGGCAGAGGCCCGATCGGCCATGGACCAACCGCCACCACCTCAACAGAACCGCCGAACCCAGAATTTGATGACCGACGATTTCACCGAGCACTTGTCGCAGATAGCCCGCGTCACAGACCCGGCGCCACGGATTGGCACCCAGTCGGCCGACCAGCCTACCTACCGAGCTCCATTGATCATTGCGCTGCTATTCATGCCCTTCAACCTTGTCTACCGATTACTCTGCGGTTCATTCCGTCTGTTCGGGCGTCTGTTTCCTTTCCTCCCACGATTGTTCAACAGAACCGCAAACCCCGCGCTACAAGGCGCCCGCCAGAATACTACGGGCCGCCGTCCCCTCGGTCCCAAGGACACCGCTGCTCGTTTCATCCGAGAATTCGAGGAGGAGTATGAGTCGCATCCAATTCCGTTCTTGGAAAATGGCTACAACATGGCGCTGGAGAAAGCCCACCGTGATCTGAAGTTCCTATTCGTCGTACTCTTGTCGCCTGAACACGACGACACGAGCAGTTGGGTCCGAGATACCTTGCTCGCACCCGAGGTGGTGGAGTTTATCAACGATCCTCGAAACAACCTCCTCGTGTGGGGAGGCAACGTCCGTGACTCTGAGGCCTACCAGGTCGCCAACTCGCTGCGCGTCACCAAATTTCCCTTTGCCGCCGTTGTCGTCCACACGCCAAACGTCTCCTCTACTGCCATGTCTGTCGTTGGTCGGATCGCCGGGGTGAACTCACCCGCCGAAGTTGTCACCAAGCTCCGCGCCGCCGTCACCTCCAATCAGGAACCCCTGGAGCGCATTCGATCCTCCCGCGCGGAACAACAAGCCTCGCGCAGCCTACGTGAAGAGCAAGACTCCGCCTACGAGCGGTCGCTGGCGATCGACCGAGAGCGCGCCCGGCAACGCCGTGAGGCAGAAGCGGAGCGCCAACGCGAGGAAGAAGCAGCCGCTGGACGCCAAGCCGCCGAGGAGCGGAGGCGCCGAGACCTGGCTCAGTGGAAGCTCTGGCGTGCGCAGTCTCTCCGCGCCGAGCCCGGCCCCGACGTCCAGGATGCTGTCCGGGTGAGTGTTCGACTGCCCTCCGGCGAGCGAATTATGCGTAAGTTTGCGCCCGACACCGCCATGGAAGAGCTCTACGCCACGGTCGAGTGCTGGGAAGCCTTGCAGGATGCAGATGCACCCGCGACCAAGGAACCCGAGGGGTTTGTGCACCAATACACCTTCCAACTGGTTTCGCCCATGCCTCGGGTGGTTTATTCTCTAGATGACGGAGGCTCGATTCGCGAGAAGATCGGTCGCGGTGGGAATTTGTTAGTGGAACCGATTGACGATGACGAGGATGATGCGAGCGAAGTGTGAATGTGACTGATCTCATGCACGGATCAATCTGTAGCCGGATGTACATTGTTGTATGTGTATGAAATCATGGATGCAATTTGCTCAGCGTGACCTCGATGGCGAATTAGGTGGCCAATCTGCCGCAAGGAAGTATCATGTACGGAGTACGGAGTACACACCGTGTACACATGTACACAGCCAGGATGAGGGTCAGGTCCGCGCAAGGACGCCACCCGCTGGTCAGCCATACATAAAGACACGAACGCACCAATCGGCCCACCCTTCACCCGTCCATGCACATCAGCGGGCTAGATCGATCCGAGATTTGACAGATTCGGATTCTGTTGTGTACGGAGTATATGTGTGTTCTCCTCTACGGGACATATTCGCTGTGAGAGGTCTTCTCTGCACAGCATTTCATTTCTCCGGCCTTCAGATGAAGAATGTACAGTGATTTCACCACCCACGTACTGAATGGAGAGCGATTAAGATTGGCATTAAAGTTGTGCGAATTAAAGTGCGGACCCCCCCTGAGTCAGCCGGATGCCGGGACTTCAGCATCCGAGCCAAGATCTGGAAAAGGCGACCCTGGTTCGAAGACGAAGTTGGGCGTTGATTCGTATTCCGTACTTCTGTTCTGGTATTCTCATTTTTGTCTGTCTCTCGTACCTAGGGATTGTTGGACCCTTTTTGTGAACATCCCAATGGTAACTGTGAATACTGTAGCGATCCGAAAATTCAGCAGATCGGAGCTAGTAAAACCTGGGACGAAAGTATGATAATCCCCTAGACTTACCCTCCTTGGCAACGATTGACCACGATGAACACGAACCCTAACCGGATAATGGAGCAAATACCAGAACCCGCGTAACCCAATACACTGCACAATACTAGAGTAAATTGTCCGGGTGCTTGCCTAGTCCGCTCCCCGTGAACTCGCGGAAGTCATCTCTCTCCTTACTCCCGATTGGCCTCAATTGTCAATTTCCTTTCCTTTTTTTTAAGTATACTTAACCACATCCCTCGCTCATTGTGGTATACGCTCTTTTGTCCTCTCGATGTTGCATTCCTGATCTACACATTCGTTATTTACACCCCTGTATCCCTTAATTGGTGTGATACCCTCTCACCCCGGACTTGTTTCACGCCCTTTCTTAGCATCCGACACTCCAGACGGAGGCCATGTCGCTACTCGGGACTGTGAACCCGCACGCTTCCTCGGCCTATGCGTCGGAGGAAAGCTACATCGCGGCCATGGAGGCTCGCCGCCATGACCCCGGCGCCTGCATGAGTATGTCCAACGCTAGTACCATGATCCCGGACAACCACGAAATTTTGGACGATGAACACGTCGAGGTCGAGGTTCGCAGCTTAGCCCGCCAACTCACCCGCCAATCAACACGACACTCCATGGCGCTGGATGTCGCCGAACAAAATACCTTCGCCGGCGTCGACCAGGACTCGACCCTGGACCCCAACAGCCCCAACTTCAAGGCCAAGCATTGGATGAAAAACTTCCTCGCCATCAACTCCCGCCACGGTGATAAGGACCTCAAGCGCGAGGCCGGTCTGGCATTTAGAAACCTCAGCGTCCACGGATTTGGAAGTCCCACCGATTACCAGAAGGATGTCGCCAATGCAGTCTTGCAGGTGGGCGCCTTGTTCCGCTCCATGGCGGGTACTGGCAAACAGAAGATCCAGATTCTTCAGAACTTCGACGGTCTGATCAAGAGCGGCGAGATGCTGGTCGTCCTCGGTCGCCCTGGATCTGGCTGTTCGACTTTCTTGAAGACCATTGCCGGAGAGATGAACGGTATCTACAAGGACGAGTTGTCTTACCTCAACTACCAGGGTATCTCCGACGAGGAGATGCGCACCCAGTTCCGTGGTGAGGCGATCTACACAGCGGAGACGGACGTTCACTTCCCCCAGCTGTCTGTCGGAGACACCTTGAAGTTTGCTGCGCTGGCGCGTGCACCTCGCAACCGGTTGCCTGGTGTCAGTCGCGACCAGTATGCCGAGCACATGCGTGACGTGGTGATGGCCATGCTGGGTCTGGGTCACACCATCAACACCCAGGTCGGTAACGACTTCATTCGTGGTGTTTCCGGTGGTGAGCGCAAGCGTGTCAGTATCGCTGAGGCCACCCTCTGTGGCAGTCCTCTGCAGTGCTGGGACAACAGTACCCGTGGTCTGGATAGTGCCAACGCCCTAGAGTTCTGTAAGACTCTGAACCTGATGGCCAAGTATGCTGGCACCACCTGTGCTGTTGCCATCTACCAGGCCTCCCAGAGCGCCTACGATGTTTTCGACAAGGTCACCGTGCTGTACGAGGGCCGACAGATCTACTTCGGTCCCACCGACGAGGCCAAGGAGTTCTTCACCGACATGGGCTTCGAGTGCCCCGAGCGTCAAACCACCGCCGATTTCCTCACCTCGCTGACCAGTCCCACCGAGCGTATCGTCAAAGAAGGCTACGAGAAGCGCGTCCCCCGCACTCCCGATGACTTCGCCCTTGCCTGGAAGAGCAGTGATGCGTACCGCAAGCTACAGGCAGACATCACTGAGTACGATGACCAGTACCCTAAGGGTGGCGAGGCTTTGTCCAAGTTTGTCGAGTCGCGCAAGGCCATGCAATCTAAGAACACCCGCACCAAGTCCCCTTACACCATGTCAGTCGTGGAACAGGTCGATCTCTGCGTCCGTCGCGGTTTCCAACGTTTGAAGGGTGATGCCAGTTTATCCATCTCCGCTCTTATTGGTAACTTCATCATGGCCCTGATTATTGGTTCGGTTTTCTACCAACTGCCCGACGATGTGTCCAGTTTCTACTCCCGTGGTGCCCTTCTCTTCTTCGCTGTCCTCCTCAACGCCTTCTCCAGTGCTCTGGAGATTCTGACTCTCTACGCCCAACGTCCCATCGTCGAAAAGCAAGCCCGGTACGCCATGTATCACCCATTCGCCGAGGCCATCGCCTCCATGCTGTGTGACTTGCCTTATAAGCTCACCAACTCGATTACCTTCAACATTCCGCTCTACTTCATGACCCGTCTGCGCCAGACCCCTGGGGCTTTCTTCACTTTCCTGCTATTCTCTGTCATCACCACCCTGACCATGTCAATGGTGTTCCGTACCATTGCTGCTACTTCGCGTACCCTGTCTCAGGCTCTGGTGCCCGCTGCCATCTTGATTCTGGGTCTGGTGATCTACACTGGATTCACCATTCCCACTCGTAACATGCTTGGCTGGTCTCGCTGGATGAATTACATCGACCCGATTGCCTACGGCTTCGAGTCATTGATCGTCAACGAGTTCCACAACCGGAATTTCCCGTGCCGGGAGGATTCATTTGTCCCTCCATACCCGAATGTTGGTGATTTCAACAAGATTTGTTCTCAAAAGGGCGCCAAGGCTGGTCAGAACTTCATCAACGGCGACGACTACTTCGAGACTAGCTTCCAATACGCCAACAGCCACAAGTGGAGGAACCTGGGTATCATGTTCGGCTTCATGATCTTCTTCATGGCTACCTACCTCATTGGCACCGAGTATATCTCTGAGTCAAAGTCCAAGGGCGAAGTGCTCCTGTTCCGTCGCGGCCAAACTCCCCGCAAGTCCGCTCCCGCCGATGGTGATATCGAAATGACTGCCATGAGCCCTGCCGGCAAGAAGGATGACGGTCCTGGTGCCCAGGAATCCGGTGGCATTCAAAGACAAACCGCCATCTTCCACTGGCAAGACGTCTGCTATGATATCCAGATCAAAAAGGAAGAGCGTCGCATTCTCGATCACGTCGACGGCTGGGTCAAGCCCGGAACCTGCACTGCGCTCATGGGTGTTTCTGGAGCCGGTAAAACCACTCTTCTGGATGTCCTTGCCACGCGTGTCACAATGGGTGTTGTTACTGGTGAAATGTTGGTCGACGGCCGCCCTCGCGACCAGTCCTTCCAGCGAAAGACCGGCTACGTCCAACAACAGGATCTCCACTTGCACACTTCCACTGTCCGCGAAGCTCTTCGCTTCAGTGCTGTCCTCCGTCAACCCTCCCACGTCCCCCACCAGGAGAAACTCGACTATGTCGAGGAATGTATCAAACTTCTTGGAATGGAACACTACGCTGATGCCGTCGTGGGTGTCCCTGGTGAAGGTCTCAACGTCGAGCAGCGCAAGCGTCTGACCATCGGTGTCGAACTTGCTGCCAAGCCCCAGCTCCTTCTCTTCCTGGACGAGCCTACATCCGGTCTTGATTCTCAGACTTCCTGGTCCATTCTGGATCTCATCGACACTCTCACCGACCACGGCCAAGCTATTCTCTGCACCATCCACCAGCCTTCCGCTATGCTTTTCCAGCGTTTCGATCGCCTGCTCTTCCTCGCCCGCGGTGGTAAGACCGTCTACTTTGGAGACATCGGTGAAAAGTCCAACACCCTCGCCAGCTACTTCGAGCGCAACGGTGCTCCCAAGCTACCCCATGACGCCAACCCTGCCGAATGGATGCTGGAAGTCATTGGTGCCGCCCCTGGATCTCACAGTGATATCGATTGGCCCGCCGTTTGGCGTGAGAGTCCTGAACGCCAGGAAGTCCACAACCACCTCGATCACCTGAAGAATACTCTCACAGCCAAGCCCGTGGAAACGACGAACAACGACCCGACTGCCTTTAACGAATTTGCTGCGCCTTTCACTGTTCAACTCTGGGAGTGCCTGGTTCGCGTCTTCAGTCAATACTGGCGTACCCCCATCTACATTTACTCCAAGGCCGCTCTGTGCTCTCTCACAGCTCTGTACATCGGTTTCTCATTCTTCCACGCCCAGAACAGTCAGCAAGGACTTCAGAACCAGATGTTCAGTATCTTCATGCTGATGACCATCTTCGGTAACTTGGTGCAACAAATCATGCCTCACTTCGTGACCCAACGCTCCCTCTACGAGGTCCGCGAGCGCCCATCCAAGTCCTACTCCTGGCAGGCGTTCATGACAGCCAACATCATCGTCGAACTCCCCTGGAACACCCTCATGGCCGTCCTCATCTTCGTCTGCTGGTACTACCCCATCGGTTTGTACCGCAACACCGAGATCATGGACAACCTCCACGAACGTGGTGCCCTGATGTTCCTCCTCATCTGGACCTTCCTGCTCTTCACCTCCACCTTCGCCCACATGGTCATTGCTGGAATCGAGCTCGCAGAAACAGGTGGTAACATTGCCAACTTGGTCTTCTCCCTCTGCCTCATCTTCTGTGGTGTCCTCGCCACCCCAGAGAAGATGCCCCACTTCTGGATCTTCATGTACCGCGTTTCGCCCTTCACATACCTTGTCTCCTCCATGCTGTCCACCGGTACCGCCGGTGCCAAGGTCATCTGCGAGGACATCGAGTTGCTCAAGTTCCAGCCCCTGTCGAACCAGACCTGCGGTGAATACATGAAGGAATACATGGCCCAGGCGGGTGGCTACCTCGTCGACACGAGCGCCACTTCCGACTGCGAATTCTGCACCATCGCAGAGACAGACATGTTCCTTGCAGGTGTCAGCAGTTACTGGAAGGACGCGTGGCGCAACTTCGGATTCATGTGGATCTATATTATCTTCAACATCTTCGGTGCCGTGTTCATCTACTGGCTTGCTCGTGTCCCCAAGGGAACTCAGAACAAGAAGAAGACCGCTTAATTGTTTTGACTTCACGGAGTATTCTTTTGTTTTTTGTGATTCCCTGCGTCCGAGCCTGTCTCGGATCCTCAAAATGGCCTCCCCTCTCTCTCTCTCTCTTCCTCTCTCAACTGTATGTATTTTCTCGGCGTGGTTGCGGTTTCGCTTCCATTACTTTTTGTTTCTCATCGTGATTCCATTTCGCGCGGCGATCTTGCATTTTTCTCTTATGACCCTGAGTGCTTTGCACAGATCCGTTTTTTTGTTAAGCTATCGGCTGCATATACATCCCATACACCATACACTGGTAGAACGGGGAATTCGATATAATCAATTAGAATAGGGCCTCTTGGTCGGAATTTTATGACCGTCGTTATCATTTGCATGCATCCAAGTAGAACCTCGAAGCAGTCACGGTTGAATAATTATATCAGCAATTTACACATACCTAGTAGTAAGTCATGCAACCAGCTGGAGCCCTGGAGCTATAGCAACCGATGGTTTGCGAGGCTTTCCCCTTTCGGGCTCTACGTACGGAGTAGTCTGAACAGTCTCCAAGCCTGAGCAAGAGTATTAATATCGATTTAGAGCAGTCACTCCAAATATAGCGTAAAAATATGTAAAGCCGAAGCTCTAATGAGTGTACAAAACAAACACGCTGAATCCGCCAAGGATGCAAAGAGAAAAGCAAGACGCCAATTAATTCTCACAAAGACCAAAATATACAAACGCAAAAATCACCAAGTAAAAGCCTCCTCGGCAAAATCCACCACAGCACCCTGTCCAATCCTCCTTCTCGCCGCATCTCTCACCTCATCCGCAAAAGCCCCAGGCCCACAAACACTCACCAGCGTCGCGCCAACACGACCAGGCAGAATCTCATCAAGCACCACATCCGGCCGACATCGACCCGCCTGCATTGTTACAGACGCAGACGGACTCACGATATCGGTGGCCTTGCGCGGCTTCGACACGAATAGCTTGACGGTCAGGACGTCACGACGACCTGGTAAACGCAGGATCTGGTCCATGAACTTGCTCACCCATGAGAGGTGGTCTGTTGATCGGACGGACCAGACGAGGTAGACGCGGCGGGTGGCTGCTGTTCCTTCTGCGGCTGCTTGGACTAGCTGGCGCGTGTAGAGCAGGTGGTGTGTTATTCCTGCGCCGGCAGAGAAGAGGACTGCGGTGCCGTAGCTGGAGGGGTTGGTGGGGTGGGAGCCGTAGGGGCCTTCGATGAAGCCTGGGAGGGAGATTGATTTTGAAGGAGAGGCGTTGGCGAGATTGAAGAGACGACGGGTCATGCCTTTCTGGGCGCCGATGATGAGGGAGATTTGGGACTTGGTGGCTGATGGGAGGGTTATTTGTTTTTCGAGGTCGGCGTATTTGGAGGATTGGATTTGAGGCGTGGAGGTGTCTTCGGCCCAGGCTATGGAGAAGGGGTGGGACATCCACCAGGAGATTTTGGGGATGTAGACGAAGACGTGGCAGCCTGGGTTGATGGGGACGCGTTTGGGGAGGTGGAATGTTACCCGGCAGGCTTCGCCTGGGAGGGCTTGCACGGTCATTCTTGTTGTGCCGCCTGTTGAGACGTTGAGGTGGAGCAGGCGGATGAGACGGGTTGTGCGGTCTAGGATCCAGATGGCTGCGATGGCAATGGCCCAGCTTTGCTGGGGGAGGTTGTCCAGCTTCAGGTGCAGGAAGACGCCTAGGTAGGCGGTTAGGGCTGCGAGTTGGTGCAGGTGCAGGAAGGTCTCGTAGAAGGCGTGCCGGACTGGAGAGGGAGAGTGCAAGAAGAGGAAGATCATTGCGACGGTCCCCACCAGGCCCCAGGTGAAGAAGGGGGTTGTTTGGAGTCGGAGCATCATATGAGCGAAGTCTTGCTCGTCCACGGCGTTGACGGCCCATGCGGCTGTGTGGACTACGGATTCGATCACGACCATCCGGCCCAGCCAGCGGTGGAGGAGGTTGTAGGTGTCGAAGCTGATATGCAGGATGGAGATTAAGGGATTGTTTCGGCCGGCGAGAAGGAAGAGAGGCACCATGTTGAGGACGGCCAGCGTCCCCGATCGTCCGCGGAGCTCGGCCACGAGCGCTGCCTTGTGGTTGACTTTGTAGTCCAGGATGACGCAGTATGCGACTTGGCTGGCGAAGTATAGGAAGACCAAGATGGTCTGTAGTCTGGAGGGCAGCGTGCCGACACTCACGACAGAGGACAGCTGCAGCTCTCGGTTGTGTCTCTTGTTGCCCAATGGAGCGTAGAGGAAGTGCTTCTTGATAGTAGGCCACCACCAGGAGTCTTCCTGCGCCCAGAAGTTCTGCTGTTTCTTATTTGCGCCGGCGGCGGTGATTTGGCGGAGATATGCATGGCTGATTTGGGCTACTCGGCCACCGAACATCACCAGGGCTAATATGATGAGTCCAGAGTAGATGATCCGAGTGATGATCACGTCGCGAGGAACATCCACTCCCCCCAGGCCTCTTGAGTACTCATAGATGTATGTTTCGTCGGATCCATAGCCTCGTTCCGCAATCGCCGGGGTAGCCATTGAAGGCGCGTAGATTCGAGAGGATATGACTGATGAAGTGTTCAACCAGGAACTGTATAGGATCGAAGACCAGATAAAATGAAAAATGAAGCGCCAACAGGGCGACAGCGAGGGTATAGGGAGAAACCCTTTGTTGCAGAACAAAGGCAGGGTCAGAATAGGGGCATTGTATCAAACAATAGTCAAAGAGTGTCAAAGTGAGTCCCCAATAGGAACAATAAAAAGCGACAAAGCCAAACAGACAATCAAAACAGATCAACGGATCTCGAATTCCCACTGCAGTGGGTGTGGAATGCCAACAAGGGGTGTCACGATGCAAAAGAGTGTGTGCGATCAACGCTGGAGCCAAGAGAAAAGAAAGGATATCGAAGGACGCTCTGACTTCAGGTTCGGCGGCTGGAGATTTAAACAGCTGGGATTGACAGTCCCCCTATATGGGCTGATGAGCAACTGTTCAAGGCGTTTAGATTGCATGAACCTATCGGGAAGACTCCAGTGGTGAATCCAAGCCCGCCAGTGTTTCTGAATTGTCCCCTCCCCCTGGCGTCCGTTGCTGTGATTCGCCACCGACGACCCCTGCAGCTCCAGTCCGACTGGCGTCACGCCAATGCTTGGACAAGAGGGCCCTGGATCATTTCGAACTGTCAGGTTAATCTATTTGGCCGAGTTTTTGTCTGTGGCGGCTCCATTTGACTGCTGTCTGTTGGCGAAGTGTTTCACCTCGGACGCACAGGCCAAACAGGTCAGATCTTGGCTGCTCGTACAGCGAACATATCTGCATACACCAGGACTGGACAAAGTACGGAGTACATAGCACCACCTGGGTACTCCATAGATAGTATAACATCCTCGGCAATTAACTAGTAAGTATACTCCGTATATTCATAATATTTATGTCTATGTACACGCTAGATCCATTCTCAAACACTGGTCTTTACCGCCCCATCCATCCGCCATCCACCGTGAGGATCTCGCCAGACACATAGCCACTCGCCCGACTGGCAAGATACACCACCGCGCCCTTGAAGTCCTCCGGTGAGCCCCATCGTCCCGCCGGAATGCGAGCCATAATCGCCGTGTTCCGGTTGGAATCATTGATCAACGCCGTGTTCATGTCGGTCGCGATATATCCCGGTGCAATGGCATTCACATTAATTCCCTTGGAGATCCACTCATTGGACAGCGCCTTGGTGAGCTGTCCAATCCCTCCCTTGGACGCCGCATAGGCGGGGACCGTAATGCCACCCTGGAAGGTCAGCAGCGAGGCAACGTTAATAATCGAGCCTCGGCGGCCGGAGGGGAATTCGGAGGCGTCGCGCGCTAGCAGATAGGCACCGAATTCTCGGCACAAGGCAAAGACGGAGGAAAGGTTCACTTCGAGGACCTGAACAGATTTTTTTTCCGTAAATTAGTTATGGGTCAGGGATATAGTGCGGATCTATATTTGGACGCACCTCGTCCCAGTCCTCGTCCGGGAATTGCTCGCTTGGGTGCCGGCGCTGGATGCCGGCGCAGTTGACGAGAATCTGTGGTTGCAGGCCTTGACTGGTGACTGCGGGGATGATGCCTTTGACGGCTTGCCGATCCCCCAGTTCGGCGACGTGAATCCAGGCCTTCCGACCGAGGCGGGTGATTTCATCTTTGGTGGCGGTGTTGGTGGTGTCTCTCTGCGAGGCGTGAGCTGGGTCTTCTGAGGGCGTCGGCGACTCCTACCTGAACCAGAATGATGTCGGCGCCGGCCTCGGCCAGAGCAATGGCCATGGCTTGGCCAATGCCACGGGTGCCACCAGTGACCAGGGCGGTGGTCCCGCTGAGGGAGAACAGGCTCATTACGTTGGTCATTTTTGCTATATCGTTAGGCAATTGACACAATCGAAGACAACAGACTAAATAAGAGAGACGCCGTGACAGTGACGCGGGGTCCGTGGGGGGTCAATAGCCGTGTCAATAGCCGGTCGGCAATTGAACTACCAGTCCATATACTGCCTAGGGGTATTTCTCTCGATTATATACATGGAAATAGGGTATGAAATGTGTATTTACTCCGCAGAGATACATGAGTAATAAGAAATAGCTTAACTAGCCTCATTGGCTGTAGAAGTTGGAGTAGAGAGCCCTGGAGAGCTGCGTCCATGAACAGTAAGTAACTAGACACTAAGCGTTTTGCCATTAGCGCAACTTTCCCCATGCCCCAGAGAGCTCCTCCAGATGAGTAAGGGAGCCTTTGTGGGCCAAGTTGATTCGTGCACCGTGCTCACTTTTGGATGCTCTCACTCTCGCCATGGAGGACGAATCCCCAACGGAATCTGGCCGGCGTGATACCGCCAAACGGGTGTCCCGGGCCTGTTTGCATTGCCGACAGCGCAAGTCGCGATGTGACCTGTACGTACCTCGGACCTGAGATTTGATGCCGTCCGCCTGTGGAGTCCAACGCTGACCGTGCACAGAGATAGCAACGGCACCGGCAAACCGCCGTGTCAGCGCTGCGTCCGCGAGAACCGCGAGTGTGTGCTCGGCGGCTCTAATCGCGGCGGACGTCGAATCCGCAAGAACAAAATCAAAAACTTCACTCCCGCCAACACCTCCAGCAAAGACTCAGACGTGTCAAGTCCAACGCACTCCGACAATCGTCAATCTGTCTCGTACCCGGGCCCGGTGGTCTTCCTGCCACCGAACCCGCCACCCGCTCCAACTTCCGCGGAAGAGGACGACGCCTCGATAGGCTCCGTCCCACGCAATCCGTCAGACGCCTGGCAATGTCTAACAGGCATCGCGCAGGCCCCTGAGCCACGTGAGCCGCGCTCAGAAGCATCTTTCCCAACATACAACATCCGCAACAGCGTGATATCCGACTTCACCAACCCGGCCGGCATCAGAGCCTACAGACTCGTCCAGTCGCGTTCACTCGACCCCGAAACAGTGTGGCAGCTGATCTCTCGATATGCGGAGAACTTCCACCCTTACCTTCCCCTCGTGCCGAGGAAGTATTTCGCCCGCTCTGCGCTCGATGCCTTTGCCACGGAGAAGCACTTACTGACTGCTGTCCTCACTATTGCATCCAAGGATCTAGTCGATCAGCCAGAGATCCATGAGTACTGCTCGAAATACATGCACGAGTTAATTTCCGGAATCGCAGCGGGTGCAGAATGCGACGTCGAGGCCGTTGAGGCGCTACTCCTTCTTGCGGAGTGGGAACCACAGGGTCTGCGACCTCGGATTGAGCGCGTCGGCCGAGGCGAAGAAGATCGTGCTGCATGGATGCATGTCGGTCTCGCGCTTCGGTCGGGCTACTTTATCGGCATGGATAGGACTTCTTTTCGAGGTGATCCATTCGGCGACCAGGAGGGCGAGGCCAGACGTCGACTAGCATGGGCGAGCTGCTATGTTTCTGATCGGTTGATTTCTGTGCGCATCGGAAGGGCTTTCTGGTCTCGTGGACCGGGACCCATGACTGGTCTTGTGAGTCAGGATTTCCCTTCGCTGCAGCCTGCGAAGGAGGGAGAGGAGGACTATGCGAAGATCTTCCAGGCCATGCTTGATCTGACGCAGCTGTATGGAAATGTGCATGAGGTGTTGTATTCGGGGATGCGGACCAGCAATCAGATGATGCTGATGGGAGATTATGTCAAATACGTGGATGATTTCCGGCTTGCCATCTTGAGATGGAAGTCGCTTTGGGGATCTTTGGATTGTGAGTCTTTTATTCCTCATCTCGTCATTCTCATTCTAATATCGCAGGCTCACGACCCATGCGGGCAACTCTGCAGTTGTCATACGAATACCTACGCCTATACACGACTGCTTTTGCATTCCAGGCAGCTATCTCTCAGTCGCTGGCCAAGCCGAAGAGCGATGCCCAAGGACACAGGGAACAGCTGCGATCGACGTTCAAGAACGTTGCTTCAATGCAGGATTCGCGGTTCATCTATGAGTCCGTTGATGCGGCGAAGTCTTACTTGACCATTTTGGTCGATTTAGTAGATCCCGAGAAACACTTGCATTTTATGCCTCTTCGCTTCTATCTTTATGGAATCTACTCTGCGGTCTTCCTATACAAGGTAAGACGCCTTATTCAAAGCTTCTTTGCAATGACTGACCGCAACCAGGCCCGCTCTTTCGGCATGATGGTTCCCTCCGAGGAAGCCAAAGTCCAAGGCCTAGTAGCCCGAACAACCCAAGTCCTCAAACAAGCCAGCGCCGGTACCGACGATGTCGGATCCCGCTATGCTCGTCTCCTAGAGCTTTTGTGGAAACCCAAGCCGACCAATCCATCCGCAGACCAGACCGCCGAGTTCCCAATGCAAACACCCCTCCCGAACCCAGTCACAGATCCGGGCTACATGCAATTCAGCCCGGCAAACGACTTCTCATGGCTGGATCTGGAGGCGGTAGGCGACTATGTCTCTGGAGATCAGATTTCGGGTGGATTGTTGGGAGTGGATGCATTCCAGAATACCTCCGACGTATACCAAGGACAGGAGCGGTCGCAAAGTTGGCAACCCTCTGCTTGGATGGGAGATATGAGCAACAGTCTTCTGTTCTAGGGAAATTCGACTTTTGCTGATTTGCCGCCCCCACGCCAACGGCTAATGATGCGGGGCTGAGGGGGGTGCCTCGGAGTTATCGCCGAGGGTACGGGGTAACACAGGATCAGTTCTCACGAGATTGCGATTTTTGTGATCTGCCTCTGTGCTTGTCTTTCACATCTTCGCTGCGTCGCATCATGTCACCAAACGAGATTCAGGGTCGTCTTGCCCTTATTACTGGTGCTTCGGGAGGGTACGTTGGCTATTCAACCTTGGAATACTCCAATACTCCAACACTACTAACGTCTGCCCATTTAGCATTGGAGCAGCTTGCGCACACCAGCTTGCCGAACATGGAGTCAATCTTGCGTTGACATACGCTACCAATTTGACCGCCATGAACGCATTAGTGGCCGATCTGCAAGATCTCCAAAACAAACACGCCGAAAAACATCTCCGCATCTCGATCCACAAGGTCGATGTCGGGTCTGCCGATGATATAGAGAGAATGTTCCAAGAAATCGACAAGGAGCACGGCCACCGACCCGATATCCTGATCTCGAACGCCGGGTACGGGAAACGGGTAACAAATATCTGGGATTGCACGCTCGAGGAATTTGACTACACGCTCCAAGTCAATCTGCGCGCCTCTTTCATCCTGACCAAGGGTGTTGTGGAGCACATGAAGAGTCAGAAATGGGGTCGCATTGTGTTCATGTCCTCGATTGCTGCTCAGGGCGGAGGCATTAATGGGTGCCGTACGTGAAGGACATCAATTCTATCTGCTGTCACTGGCTGACCGTCTTCTAGATTACGCCGCCTCCAAGGGTGGATTAACTGGCATGATGAAGAATCTTTCTACACGGCTCGCTGAATTCAATATCAGTGTCAATGATGTGGCTCCAGCCATGATCGGTGAAACGGGCATGATCCCCAATGCCGCGGCTATCCCTGAGGTGGCGGCTGGAATGCCTTTGGGACGTCTTGGAACACCCGAAGAGACGGCCAACGTCGTCACTATGCTTGTTAAAACCGGCTATATGACTGGCCAAAGTCTTCTTCTGGCTGGCGGCTTGAAATAAGCATGCTCATGTCATTCGTAGGGTCCTAAGTCTCCTTGTCTACAGATTATGATTATCATGAATCAAATTGAAACATATCACACATTTCTCTTTATCCATTCTTGGATATTCCAATCATAATCATCACTTGCTCTATTTTCACATCGGGTATTTTCAATCATCAACGCATCACACCAACTCCTCTACAGAGAACCGTTCGAGCCCCGTTTGTTCTCAATAATAACCTTGACAACAGGGTTCCCATCCTCATCAACTCCCTTTCCAGCAAGGGTAAATGCCCGCTCACCCTCCTCGAGCTTCAATCTATGCGTAACAACCTTCTCCTCCACACTCTTCATCTTCCCACCGGCCAACAGCGCAATAGCAGCAGGGTACGCATACCCATCATACCGGAAGACACCAATGATATCAACCTCCCTCAAAGCCGCAGCGCCAACAGGCAGCGTCTGAATGGGGTTACCCATACCAATCTGCACCAAAACACCACCAGGCGCACTAGCATAAATACCCGCCTGAACACAAGCAGGCACACCCGTACAATCATAAACACGACTGAAGCCCGGAATCACCAGGCCATCGCCACCAGCCGCCTCCGTCAACACACCCGCGACCCTCTGCGCATTCTCCAGCGCATAAGCAGTCTGCTCGGCATGTGGGGCGTCCTTAGCAGGAGGCGGGGTCTCAGCCCTGGGAATCAAAATGGTCTTCAGACCGAGTCCCATTGAGTCGGCGATCTGGAGTCGGCGCTCGTCGATATCCGCGACAATGATCTTGGAGAAGTTCTCGCTGGTAGCGAGCGCACCAGCCAGGAGGAGACCGATTGCGCCGGCGCCGAAGACCAGCGCGGCGGTCTCTTCGCCGGCGGCGCGGTTTGCGGCCACTTCGTCTTTGGAGGGAGGGCGGGAGCGACGGACGGCGTGAAGTGTCACGGCTAGAGGCTCGACTAGAGCGCCGCCAGCGTCGGAGACGCTATCCGGGAGGGAGTGGCACATGTCGGCTGGGTGGTTTGTGCGCTCCATGAGAGTGCCGTCCAGGTGGGGGAATTGCTTGGCGGAGCTGCGGAACTGCATTGCTTTGCAGATGTTGTAGCGGCCTTGTTTGCAGAGAGCGCAGGTCCGGCAGGGGAGACCGACTTCTAGGGCTACGCGGTCTCCGACTTTGAGGTTTGTGACGCTGGAACCGGTGGCTGTGACGGTGCCGGCGGATTCGTGGCCGAGACACATTGGGCTGCGGACGACGAAGTCGCCATTGCGGCCGTGGCTGTAGTAGTGCAGGTCTGAGCCGCAGAGGCCGGTTGCGCGGACGGAGACTTGGACTTCGGAGTCGGCTGGGGTGGGGATGGTGCGTTGTTCCTGGGATTGTTAGCTGGGGAGTATAGAGTGGGGTATGGGTTTGGAGGTACCAGGCGGAGGTCCTTTGCGCCGTGGAGGACGAGCGCGGTGGTGGTGGTTTCAGTCATGGTGTAGCTTTAGGTGTATGAAGACGGAAGAACGAAAAGCATCGTTCAAGTAGTCCGGAAGTTGTGTCCTGGCGGCGTTTGTCCTCCGTCATTCCCCTCACGGAGGTGCTCCGCTGTCGGCAATTGGAATGGGGCAATTCCATTTCCCGACGTGGGGGTGAGCTTGGGAGATGTTTGCAGCATGTGTAGAATTGAATGATTTCATATAGTAAATACTAGTAACATGTAAATTAGAGCTATAAGATATCCCTGGATAGCATACAGCATATAACATTGAGATGTCCACCTGGGCAGACATCGAGGGCAGTACACGGAAGTATAGGCCTCGGGAAGTATACGGCCCCGGGGGTGGAGCTCCATGACTATCGCGAAATGACCCCCATGTCACGATAGCGGGGATGTCTTTTCTTTTCCTGTTTCTTCTCTCTTCTCTACGTGTCCTGAAACCCAGTACTTCACAGATCAGCTAAAATGTCTCAATCCGCTCTCCTCATCGGAGAAATCACACACGCGCGCAAGGAGTGGCAGAGCATATCTTCTCTTCTGACTCTAAAGGCAAGAGAATCGCATCGCAGCGTGAATCGCGACTAACAGGAGCCCAGGAATTCCCCAGCGGAACCAGAGAGGAATTCATTGCGAACTGCAAGGCCGGCAAGTATGACGACGTGGTGGCTCTCTACCGGTCCAACAACTCCGTCAAGGTGAGAATTGACATTTCCAATTGAAGCGCAAACCCCGCTCACAAATACAGATTACCGGTCCCTTCGATGCAGAGATGGTTGCGCTTCTCCCCAAGTCTCTGAAGTACATCTGCCACAATGGCGCGGGGTACGATAACATCGACGTCGCAGCTTGTACCGAGAGAAACATTGCCGTGTCCAGCACACCCGTCGCAGTGAATGATGCGACGGCCGATGTGGGCATTTTCCTAATGATTGGAGCTCTGCGCCAGGCCCATGTCCCAATCACTGCTCTCCGGGAAGGTAAGTTGTCAAGCTGAGCAAACACTATACCAAAACTAACGCAGTTGGATAGGAAAATGGCAAGGCCCGATCACCGCAGGAGGGCGGGAATACCGAACCTCCCTGGGCCACGATCCCAAGAACAAGGTTCTGGGAATTTTGGGCATGGGAGGTATTGGCCGGGTAAGTCATTTGGAATCCCGAGGTCCCGACTTGGAGAATTGAACTGACAATGGTTAGGAAATGGCTATCCGAGCCAAGGCCTTCGGAATGAAGATTCAATACCACAACCGATCTCGTCTTCCGGCGGATCTCGAAGCCGGCGCGACATATGTCTCCTTCGATGAGCTACTTGCAAATGCAGACGTGCTCAGTCTGAACCTGGCCCTGAACGCGTCAACACGCCACATCATCGGTGCCCCCGAGTTCGCCAAGATGAAGGATGGTGTGGTTATTGTTAACACGGCGCGTGGTGCGCTCATTGATGAAAAGGCGCTGGTTGCTGCGCTTGAATCTGGAAAGGTATGTTGGAAGAAGGTTGTGAATTGAGGTAGAATGCTAACTCTTCTTTCTAATAGGTTCGCTCTGCTGGCCTTGATGTTTATGAATGCGAGCCCCAAATTGAGCCTGGCCTGGTCAGCAATCCTAATGTGATGCTCTTGCCTCATATTGGTACTGCTACCTATGAGACACAGAAGGATATGGAGATTCTGGTGTTGGATAACTTGCGATTGGCTGTGGAGAAGGGAGAGTTGATTACGCAGATTCCTGAACAGAAGAAGTAGAAGTAATTAGTATCTATAGATATTTAGAGCATGAATTTTGGAAATGGCTCTGTTCGAGTCTAAAGTGTCATTTGCGTGTATGAATTTTCCTGATCTATATCTCAGTTGAATACCTAGGTGCTTTCAAAGGCACAGCCCTCAGTGACAATATGCAGCGTTTGGCTTCCAAGGTTAGGCTCAGCCCCGCGGTTTTTCGTCATTCAAAGACTATGACTTTGAGTTCGTGAGGAGCTCCAGAGATACTGAGATCATATGGTCTATGTCGTTCCTAGAAGACAGGCTCTTCTGTATTCCAATTCCAAAGTTGCTTAGAATCCAAATATTATTGAGACCAACCACAATAGTAATGTGGATAGACTAAGTGAAGTATGAAGTCTGCATTTAACTGGCCGACGTCCCTCCGGAACCGTCGAGCGGGCCGTGGGGCTAGATCACGTGCAAAGTCAGGTGAGAGCAGCCCTAAGTATGGCAGAACGTGACTAGGCGGTGGGGCCTCGCTTGCGAAAAAAAAACCCACAGATCCACTGGCGCAAGCGAGCGCCGGACGACGACGAAAAGCGACATCAACACACCACCGAGGTCCATCACACCCCGTCGCCAACTCCTTCAAGATGGTGAGTGCTGCCCGTCCCTGTTATCGACAATGAACATTCAGAACCCCATTCTCTCCGGAATGCCCGTGTGACACGCCTGCCACGACTTTCGCTGTCACCGTCAAATCGTCAAATCACCAACTCGATCATCTGGACCATTGCTAACGAGCAATGCTCTCTACAGGTCCGTTACGCCGCACAGGAGATCTCACAGGCCAAGAGCGCCCGCGCGCGCGGCTCTTACCTGCGTGTCAGCTTCAAGAACACCCGCGAGACCGCCCAGGCCATCAACGGCATGAAGCTGTCCAAGGCTCTCACCTTCCTTGAGAACGTCACCACCAAGACCATGGCCGTTCCCATGCGCCGCTACGCTGGCTCCACCGGTCGCACTGCCCAGGGTGAGTTTCCCTGAAAAATTCAAAAATTCGGACCGATCGATATGGAAAATGTGTGGGAGGGACAGCATCACCAATTCAACGACAGCCCCGCGATGGAATCTGATTTGGAAACCGACGAGGAGAACAAGTGTTTTGCTGTTGAGTGGATGGCTGGTGATGCTGTGGATATCGATTGGGAAGAAACTTTGCAGGAATATGGACTGACCTTTCTGGTTTCCAGGCAAGCAGTTCGGTGTCTCCAAGGCCCGCTGGCCCGTCAAGTCCGCTGAGCACATCATCGATCTGCTCAAGAACGCCGAGGCCAACGCCGATGGCAAGGGTCTCGACACCAACGCCCTGATTGTCAAGCGCATCCAGGTCAACCAGGCCCCCAAGGGTCGCCGTCGCACTTACCGTGCTCACGGTCGTGTACGTTTTTCTTGATCACGGCTCAGTGCGAGCACTCCAACTAATTATTTTTACAGATCAACCCCTACATGACCAACCCCTGCCACATCGAGCTCATCCTCACCGAGGCCGATGAGGAGGTCAAGAAGGGTCCCTCCGACGCCCAGGTCCGCCTCTCTTCCCGCCAGCGTGGCACCCAGATCCGCCGTGCTCTCATTGAGGCATAAACGGATCGCCCAGAAGGTGTGAGGGATGTGAAAAGATTTTTGCGACGGGAATGATCGGAGTTCTGTCAACCTGTGTATGTGGAACGGAATCGACACCGGATCATACCAGATTTAAGGTCATGGCGACAACATTCGGAGAACCAAATAAAAAAGTTTAAACGATCTGGCCGATGGAAATAGGATTCTGTACTTCCCGATCCAATCATGATACAAACGTGGTTTCTCCGTGACTCTAATGAGTTTCCATTTACTCTTGACTGCTTCGCGCTCAATCTGATCTTTTTGAATGTTCATTCTGGCCTCGACTGCGGTCTTATCTGGTGCCCAGCTGGGCTTGGCTATGGTCTTGAGCAGGTATCTGTCGTAGTCTGCCAAGCATCACGATCTGCATGTGGGGTGTAGAAGTAAGAGAAGCGAGGACGCATACGCAGTGCAATCTATACTCGGGCAAGTGAGTATGGACATTCAACTAGGTATACAGCCAGTCAGATCTGACTTGAACCTTGAAACAATACTCTAATGAACTCCAATTCACAGTTCAGCCGATAAGCTGGGAAACGTTTAATAGATTGCAATCTACTTCAAGGCTCTATATACTGTAGAAGTACCAGTGACTTTCAAAACATACAACTCAGCTCCCATATCCTGGTACTTGCTACCTCTACACGTCAATAACTGTATAAACATCTGCCTGGAATGGCTTGGCGACCGAGTTGCGAATAATTGATTCGCCACAGTTTTGGTGACCAAGATATGGTTAAGAGGCATACGTACTACTGTACAGATATATATACCCGCTAAGCGAGGCTGCCTACTGAGGCGACTTCGCCCCCGGTCCGGCCAAACCCACGCGCTTCTCAACTTAGAACCCCTGAGACTGGCGATTCCCAAAATGAAGCGCTTTGTGAGAACATGGACTAATCGCTCGAGTACGTGACCGCGTCTCCACGCTCCCCCGCATGGCTAATCAATCCCGACAGGCTCCAGCGACAGCGGCACCGAACACCGCGAAGACGCCCCCGAAGCCATAATCACGAAAGAAATCGTTCGTGCCAACCGCAAGATCAATTGAACTATTACTGACAGTTCTCACAGACAGCATTTTGCGAGTCGAGCGTGAATGGCGCATCGGTATGTCCTTCACAACAACACCCAAGCCCATCACTGACAGGGCGCGCAGCAAGGAGCCGAAGTCGTCCACCTCCCTAAGATCGTCGAAGCGGCCGAATCCAGCCCAGAGGCAGCCAAAGAAGCAGCCTTGCGAATTCGAAAATACCTCGCCGACCCCGCTGGCACCGCCAACTCCACTCAGTACAATGCGATCATGCTCATGCGCATCCTGGCCGACAACCCAGGCCCTACGTTCTCGCGGAACTTCGATGCCAAATTCGTGACGACGATCAAAACGCTCCTGCGCACTGGTCGGGATCTGCACGTCCAGGGCTACATACGCCAGTACCTCGATGCCCTCGAGCAGCAGCACTCATGGGATGAGAACCTTAAACTGCTGCTTGCGATGTGGGCGAAGGAGAAAACAAAGACATCCCGTGGACATGTGAGGATAAAACAACCCTGCGCTGAACTTGGAACTAACGGCTGTAGTACAACACCCCGCCTATTCCACCCCGATCGTATAGTTCGCCTGGACAACCATCTCGACCGGATAGGAACGCACTACCAAATCCAGAGGAATTGGCGGCGCGAATCGAAGAAGCTCGCAATAGCGCAAAGCTACTCACGCAATTCGTCCAATCCACCCCGCCAATCGAGCTGGAGGACAACGATCTCGTGAAAGAGTTCCTCGACCGCTGCCAAACAGGCGCACGACTCATCCAGGGCTTCATTCATGCGAACAATCCTCCTCCAGACGAGGATACGTTGCTAACGCTCATTGAGACGAACGATGAGATCTCGGTGGCCATTTCGCGCCAGCAGCGCGCAATGCTGAAAGCCCGCAAACTCAGAGGGTCTTCGTCGCCTAGTTCGTCGAATGTCAATAGTCCTTTGCCGACGGCTGCGGGCGCTAATGTACCTGCTGTACCTGCTGTATCTGCACCTGCGCCCGCGCCAGTGCCTGCTGTTGCGCCTGCCCCTCCGCCACCGAGCACGCGCCCGGATGCTGCGGTCGTGGAGCTTCCCAACACCGTCATGACGGGTGGCCGTTTGCCTGGCTCTACTCCTACCAACCGGTATGAGTATAATGCCGAGGAATTCCAGGTGCGGAATCCCTTTGCAGATGATTATGCTACTGAGTCGGATAGGCCGCAGGGTTCTCACCCTGATCGAGTACGCTTCCAGCCTGCTGAGCAGGACCGTTAGTTTTGGCTGTATCACCCTTTGGCGTGGTGTTTTCTTTTCAAGCGTATCGCTTTCCTTCGTTTCCTTCCCATGATACCTCGTGCGTCTTTTACTCTTTAAACCATTGACAAGACCGACATGTATATACGTGTCTTGAATCTACATGCCTAGATACACGGCACAGGCTCACTTTCGCAAAAATTATACTGAACACCCATCAGATGAGATGTATACCCAGATCATACTGTATACAAGTCCACCGAACTAAGAGAGTATACATGCCGAGTCAACATAGCCTTTTCCCAGTTACGCCCGTTCCTGTTTGATAATAACCCTCCTAGGCGCCCTCGAAACCTCCCCAGGGAACGGCTTCCGCGCCCAAACCCGTCGCCTGCACCAGTCAGTAAAAGCACTCTTGAAAAGCCAACAAGGCGTCAACTCACGCTCGCTCATAAACATGATACCGAGGATTCTTCAACTCAGCCCTCAGTCTCGCAATATAAACAATGACCTCGTCATGCGACCATGGCTTTGGGGCCCCAAACCTCGTCAGCAACCACATCGACCAGCCTTCCATGCCAGACATCCAGTGATGGAAATTCACCACCCCAGCCTCCTTGTACTTTTGATTCTTGGCCCACGGCCCAATAGGCCACTTGTATTCTTTTTCATGGATGTCGACGAATCCCGCGTTCTGGAACCGCTCTTTCATCCTCTCCATTGTGTCGAGGGGTCGGCCGGCACGCTCACCACATCCTAATAGATTAGGACCCCATGTTCGAAGGATGTTATCGGCCGGAAGGCTGTTGTCATCACATTCGAGAAAGGGTTTGGCTTCGAGTTGTTCCATCCAGCCGCCCGGGCGGAGATTGCTGGGCCCTGTCAGATGGGGATGATAGGAGAGAAGGACACAAAGCTCACTTGTAGCATTGATAATAGACTCGTTCCCATTCTGAGGGATCGAAGGAGCCGATCATGATTCTGATGTGGATTAGATCTTGGGGTTCGTTCCAGGTCCATGGTTCGGCGATATTGTCCACTTCTAGGATGCAGTTTGGTGGCATCCAGGCTACGGGTGGTGGGAAGAGATCAACGCCACGGACACAGGCTGCTCTGTGTTAGGATTGTCATGGTTCAAGGAGAGGGGATTTACCGGATGGGAACATGTCGGCGACATCACTGGGATGGATTAGTCTGGGTGGCTGTTCTGAGACATGGAGCATACATGGCCCAGTTTCCTTGGCCTGTTCCAAGGTCGAGGATGTGTTTGGGGTTATCGCCGATGGGCGAGTAGAAGAGGGGGTTTTCCCTATCTGAGTCCATGACCAGGGCTAGGAGATGGCTGTAATGGTCAATAGTGACGGTGGGCAATTGCCCGATTGCACATACCCGGCTTCGTATGTCTCGAACTGTTTTTCATCCGAAGGAACGCTGGTCAGTCAGTATGCGATGGAAGATCTAGCAACCTCCAAGGTGAAACACGCGTACATATATTCTTTATGACTTAAGGTTTGGTAGCTGTACAGAGTAGCTGTTAGCAACGCCGCGACCGCGACATCTCACACCCACCGACGACCATTCTGCTCCAAGCCCCGATAGATGGAGGATCCGATAGAAGTGGTTTCCCTGCATCGGTCAGAGCGCATACCCTTCCACAGCTCCAGCACTTACGATTGCCAGTCATCGGCGTAACCGGTGGTGATATAGATGTTGGGGTCCTTTGTCTGTTAGTCCCGCGCCATCTAAATCCCTTCGACACTCACGATCGCAATCTTGCCATCTGATTCCACATGGTCTGCCATGGTCTGATGTCCGATTCCAAGAGGCAGGGAGGGGACAGAATTATAAGCGGGTGTGCCCGCAGATCTGTCGGGAGGCGCTTTTCGGATTGGAGGAGACGAGCCGCGAATCGGTGTGCGCCCCCGCTGCCGAGGGAGAAAACGGTATAGGCCTCATGTCGGCGACCTTGTTGGGTATGTGCTTAGGTCATTGATTGGCGGCCGGGGGAACGGAGATGTTCTCCGTTGTTGGCGATGCGTTGGATTGGACTTTGCCTTCGTCCTGACTCCATGGCTCTGGGACCATTTCTTAACGGGCGTGCATTCTTCACTTCTCCACTCCGTGTCCGTGTTCCACTGACTGTGTGGAGTACGGATTTCGAAGTTGAGTCTCATCGACGCTAAAAACAAGAGTGAGGCTGAATGCCCAGCTGCCCAGGCGCCCAGGCAAAGTTGACTGATCAGATCTGTGCCTTAGGCCGCCAAGTGTAGATCTCCCTCGGTCTCTCTTCCTGCACTTTGGTATTTTCGAAAATCGCACATCTTTTGATTCGCCATGCATGATACTCGCCAAGTCTTGACCGCCGTTTGCTTGATATACCCAAGTGATGGAGCGTACACTGGCTTTAAGAGGAATCAAGCCCGCCAAGAAGCAAAAGATACCCAAACCTGAGGTACTCTATTGACCTCCAGTGCTTTGTTACTGAGCTTGCACAGTGCTAATATTCCACGCGTTGGGCCTGCATTGGGCAAAATCTACTGAAGAGAACAGCCTTCCACGAAAGTCAAAATGATGTTTACTGAAAGCACCATAGCTGCTTCTTGTACACCCTCTTAACATGGGCTGCGTACAGCCGGTTGCCCGATCGCATGATACTCCCCGGACGGAGATCATCGAAGAAGCCAGCTTCAGTGACCTCAGGCTCCGAGACGTGAGGCACGTCTTGGGGTGTCCTGAACAGAGAGTTTCGATGTGGTCGAGCGAGTGGTAAAGTCCGGAAGAAGAAGATGCCCTTTCAAGAATGGAGCTGTTTTGGTCCAAAACGTCCTCCATCCCTGTTGATATTATGCATGCTGTTGGTGATTTACCGGGTTGGCGAGGAAGAATCTCTCATCGGACACAGTCTTGTCATATCCCGCTACGACACGCTAAAAGACCGGTTCCGTGCGGCGACATATGCGCGGCTTCAACTTTCGAAAAGCGAGGAAGAGTCAATGATTTCATGGAATTTGTTCCCGCATCGATCAAATGACAAATGGTGGGCTAGATACTATGAATCTGTCAAGAAAGGAGGGTCTGCCTTCGATGAATGGGACAGGCAGCTCGCAAGCTATGACACGATCGAACATAAATCATCCCGAAAAGTGGTTGGGGAGGTTTAGCAGAGCTATTTCATCTGTTTAGCACACCAAAGAAGCGATGATTCATCTCGATATGACATTCCATTTGTCACATTCTCAGATCTCTAAATCTACTCTCAGATCTTTGCCTCTTCTCAAAATTACTAGCTAACTGTGTATACTTCGTCTTGAAACAGGGAGCGTTCGCAGGCGTACTCTGCTCGGAGAGCAGTACACCGAGGTCGACAAGAGCATCGAAGAAATCTTAAAGCTGTTACCTCAATACATCTTCCAAAAAGGCCTTGTGTCTGTGAAATGCTCTGATCATCTCCATCTCGATATTGGTCCAAATTGAAGTTCAGCTCCCCGCCGCGTTTGCGTGGCTTCGCTCTCGAAAAGCCGCCCAAAATGGAAAGTCGTCAAAGTGCTCATATGATCCGAATCATCCGAGAGCTGTGTATGTGAAAATATAGACCCTTCTGGCCTTCACAGCAGATCCGACTGCGTAGTGAGTTGCCATTGGCTGGCACAATCCCGGATACGAACGCCAGAGGGTGAGACGGGGAAATAGGCTACGAGATAGCCTATGTGGGAACATCGAAGTATTTAACCCCCGAAAATATTGTATGGAAGAGCATCACATTCTTCCAAGGTTCATTTTAAACTTCCAACAAGCCAAAATGACTGAAATGCGAGCTCTGATCCAACAAAGTGCCACCTCCAAAACCCTCACGCTAACCAAGACCCCCCGTCCAACCCCAGCTTCAGACGAACACCTCATCCAAGTGAAAGCATGTAGTCCCTGCGCGGGCGAGCTACTCTGGCCAGCTAACTTCCCACCTCCCAATCAACGCGCTCTCATTCCATGCCCTGACGTGGCGGGAATAGTGATATCGGCCCCAGCGGACTCACCCTTTAAACCAGGTGACTCCGTTTACGCCCGCACCAACTACATTCGACCCGGAAATGCGTGCGACTACGCTACAGCTCCGACAGATGAACTAGCCCGCATGCCTCAAGGAATGAGCTTTGTACAGGCTGCCGCGGTCCCTGTTTCTGCGCAGACGGCATGGCAGCTTCTTCTTGTTCAGACGTTTGGGGAATTGAACTGGGAGGAGGCCAAGAAGGTGTGGGGTGGGAACAGAGTTCTTGTTACTGCTGCCTCGGGAGGCGTTGGGATGTGGGTTGTGCAGCTGGCGAGATTACTTGGGGCCGAGGTCATTGGGACTGCCGGGGGTAATATGGGAATTGTGAAAGAGCTAGGAGCGGAGGTTCTGGACTATCGAACTACTAATCTCAGAGAGTGGGCCGGCCAGGAGAAGGTGGATGTTGTGGTGGACTGTATTGGAGGAAAGTCATTGCGGGATGCATGGTGGACTGTCAAGGATGGAGGTGTGGTGGTGAGTATCTTCCAGCCCCCTTTGATGGTGAAACCGGAGGAATTTGAGGGTGAGAATGTGAAGGATCTGTTTTTCGTTATGCAGCCTGTTGGTCAACAATTGGAGGAGATCACGAAGTTGATCGAGGAGGGTGCCTGTCGGGGAATGGTGGACAGCGTTTGGCCACTTGAGCAGTACGAAGAGGCATTCAGGAGGCTGGATACAGGTCATGCAAAGGGAAAGATTGTCTTCGATCTGGAATTGAACTAGGGGATTTGATGCCCCTGTCTATGGTGCATTACGGAGTATAGTAGTCTGCACTGCCAATCCACTCTGCATCCACAACCTTGGAAGCCCTTGACTGTCTCTCCACAGATGGGGCCATTTCGGTCGATCTATACTTAGCTTGGTATGAGCTTTTGGCTCTTTTGCACAGTAAATCAGCTACACCGTTTCATGCGTCCATTGGGATGTCGATCTGTCGATCAGCAGATCCTCAGGCATCTACACGTGGCTGCAGGGTAGTCCAAACGGCTATATTCTGTGTCGCTACGTGGAGGCCTTGGAAATACAGAGCGGAGCGTGGCAGTTGAAAATGGAACATGCACCGAGAGAGTGCTGGGCACTCTATCAATAACGGCGGATGTACGAAGCACTATGGAGGTCTTGGCGTCCCACAATTAACAGTCTTAGAGCAAGAGACCTCGGGACAACTGGGTTGAGTACAGATTACTGAGTGTCCTAGCACAGTATTTTCAAGTGCTTCTGGCTTGATTATAAGCTCAAAACTGCCATAGCTTATAACGGGCTGTCAGCTTCTATGTGAAACCCTAAACACCCGTGAAGTACTAGCCCGTTTCACAACAGTCGCATTTACAACACTCGATAACCGCGATCAAATCAAATGGAGCAAAATCTCCGACCGATGTCATGCCCCTCTGACAAGCTCCTCATTCTTAATTACGCAGATACCGGAGGCCAGCCTCCATACCCTTTGACCTGTCATCCGGGGCCCATCAACCTGAAACTCGGAGTCTCCTTGTTCGGCGCGTGGAGCCATGCTTGGCAGCCTTAGCCCCAGGAACGCCGGCCTTGTCTCGGGAGCAAAAAAAACTCGGTCTGAACCAGGATGCAGCGACCGAGCCCATACTGCATTGACATGAGGGCATCTAGCCTTAACGCCAGGCTCATTAGCCGCTTCCCGGTGGAGGTCGACAATCCCTTCGATATATCCGGCGTGTTTCAGGGGACATGATACGTTCATTCGGGTTCACTAGCTGGTCGAAAGACCCTCGGTGGCTCTAATGAGGGTCTTTCGATTGTTTACGGTTGATTAATGCTGCCAACGAGCTAGCTTCAGTCCTTTCTCCTCATGTTGGCTATATAAGCGGCGTGCTGCTACACAAGACCAGTTCAGCATGCTGGCCAGTCCTTTTTGAATTTTATTCTTATTCTACATTCATTTTTACATCTCCGGTTTGAAACCGTGCAGAGCTCCATTCATTCACTATACAATCCTTCGTCGATACCGGTTTATCGATCAATTCCATTCTCTCTCTCACCAATTTACAAAAATGAAGTCCTTCACCCCCGCCCTGGCTTTCGCCAGCATTGTCTCTCTGGTCAACGCCCATGGCTTCGTCACCAGCCCCGAGCCCCGTATGCCCGGTAGCGCCATGAAGGCCGCCTGTGGAGAGCAGGTCAAGGTCAACCAGGAGTCCGACAACTACGGCAACATCCAAGGCGAGCTGCAGGTCGCCTCCAGCCAGAGCGACTACGACGCCGACAAGTGTGATATCTGGCTCTGCAAGGGTTACAAGTTCGCCGACAACAAGGACAACATCCAGTCCTACACTGCCGGTCAGACCGTCGACTTCAAGGTTGACATCCGCGCTCCCCACACCGGTGTCGCCAACGTCTCCGTTGTCGACACCTCCTCCAACAGTGTCATCGGCAAGCCCCTGATCTCCTGGGATGTCTATGCCTCCACCGCAACCGGTGTCACCTCCGACGAGACCAGCTTCAAGGTCACCATCCCCGATGACCTCGGCAGCCAGTGTGACACCGCCGGTGACTGTGTGCTGCAGTGGTACTGGTACGCCGAGTCCATCGACCAGACCTACGAGTCTTGTGTCGATTTCTCCCTCAGCGGATCTGGATCTAGCTCTGGCAGCTCTGGCAGCTCCAGCTCCAGCTCCAGCGCCGCTGCCAGCGTCGCCACCAGCTCTAGCGTTGCCGCTTCCGAGCCCTCGTCTACCTCTTCCTCCGAGGTTGTCGCTACTTCTGTCCCTGTTGCCGTCCAGACTCCCTCCGCTGCCGCCACTGCGCAGTCTACCTTCGCTACCAGTGTCCGTCAATCCACCGCTACCGCTGCCGCCACTGCTGCCGCTACTGCTAGCGCTGCCGGCTCTGCCCTGCCTTTCCCCACTGACAGCGCCGAGGATGTTCTGTCCTGGATCGAGTCTCTTGTGGGCAACCTTGTTGGCAACTCCAACTAAGCACCTGAAAGAACTCCGTCTCTAGCTTTAGATATCTCTATATTTTAATAGTTAGACATATCGGTAATTAAATGTTTGGTCAACTGGTCAACCTTCAAATGTTCCCATCTGATGTAATATAGCGATATCGGACAAATAGCCAACCTCCGAAAATCGCCATCTCCAACTCGAACCTCAACTTCACGTATCAAACACATGTATAAAGGAGTGCCGGTGTCTCCATTCATCATTTACTATTTCAAATCAGAATGCGCCATCAAATCCAAGCAGCACATCTCTTCAATCTTTGCAAAGCCCAGGGCCCCAGACCAACCAACATAAGACAGTTCACAACATCCAAAACCATGTCCAAAGACTGGAGCGCAGCACAATACCTCAAGTTCGAAAATGAACGCACCCAACCAGCCCGCGATCTCCTCGCGCGCGTTTCCCTAACCTCACCAAAGCGCATCATCGACCTAGGCTGCGGCCCCGCCAACTCCACCACAGTCCTAAGCACCCGCTACCCCCAAGCAAAAATAACAGGCCTCGACTCATCCCCAGACATGATCAACACGGCCCAAAAGATCCTACCAAGTGTAGACTTCCACGTCGCAGATCTCAACACCTGGACAACAGAAGAGAAAGTGGACCTTTTCTTCTCAAACGCCGTCTTCCAATGGCTCAAAGCACCCGACCGCATCGCGGTAATTGAACGACTTCTGCAAAACCAAGACCCGGGCACTGTTTTTGCTTTCCAGGTTCCTCATAATTTGGGTGCGCCTTCGCATGTGCTTATGCGTGAGACTGCGGAGGCGGGTCCGTGGAAGGAGAAGCTGGCTGGTGTGCAGCGGGATGGATTCCAGTCGCCGCAGGAGCTGTATGATGCTGTTAAGCCTTTTGCGTCTGTGGTGGATATTTTCGAGACTAGTTATTATCATTCGCTTGAGAGTCACGAGGCTATTATTGAGTGGGTTAAGGGGACTGGGTTGAGGCCGTTTGTGGATCCGTTGGATGAGGATGAGAAGAAGAATTTCTTGGAGGAGTATTTGAGGAGGTTGCAGGGGGCTTATCCTGTTTCTGTTGATGGGAGGGTTTTGTTGAAGTATCCGCGTTTGTTCATGGTTGCTGTGAAATGATTTCGAGTGTTGAGCTTGGGTGTTTTGCTGTGCGTACGCGCAGTGGATAGATCTATGAGTAATGTACAGTGTTGTACCCGATGAGATGTGTGAATTTTTCAACGTAAAGGTATCTTTTAGTTCTCAACCTCGAAATATGAATATTTACCATTATGTACAGACATTATGTTCTTTAACTGTTGATTGTCGCCTCCTTCATTCACGGACGCACTGTCAATTCCATACAACTTGTTTAGTTGCCCAGAGCGGACATAGCCTCCTTCAGAGACTTGTTGATGATCTTCTCGTCGTAGCGAATAGTGTCGTAGCAGTACGAGAGAGCCTTGCTGGCAACCTTGCTTGAGAAGTCGGATGTCTCAGAGCTCACCTTCGACAGAGTGGACTCAATGCTGTGGCGCTGAGACTTGTTGAAAGAGTCGAGGTGCTCAATGAAAGCAGAGTTGAGCTCGATGCCACTCAGAGCAAGCTAAGAAAGATTAGTCTCATGCTTTTAATCGGGAAGCGAATTGGGCTTACGGAGTGGTATGCTTGACAGAGCACAAGCTGGGAGGAGTGAGGGAGAGCTGCTGAAGGCTGTTGCTTGTCCAGAGCGCCGTCCTCGGTGGCTGCGGTGTTCTTGTATGCAGAGACAACGTCCTAGGATCGTAATGTTAGGGCCTGCAGTGTCTGGGCGGATAAATACTGTAGATCATACATCAATGGTGGCGTTTCCGTTGCCACTGACTGCTTGGTTCAGGCTCAGGTAGGTGGTCTTGTAGCCGATGTCGATTTGGGCCAGACGGGTTTGCAGCTTAGGCGCGATGTCGGTGCTGTTGGAATCGGCCAAGGCGGGCAGGGCCATGCAGGCTGCCACAAGGAAGTTCTTCAATTGCATGATAAATGATTTTGGAGGATGTAATTCGGTAAGCAAGTTTGAGTATGTAAATCTACAGCAAGTTGAATGAAAAGTACTTGGTAGTAACCTATTGCTTAAATAGGGGTATTCGGCTTCCCGGCCATCAATCGGCCCATGACGTCCAGATCTGTCCAAAGTGGCCCTTAATGATGATCTTATTATGTGTATCGAAGAACCCATAGATGAGATTGGGATCATCGCAATATCAACGAATCGAACATTGTCAGATCGCGCCTTCAGGGTCCACAAGCACCAAGATCGGCAACTAGTAGGAACAAGCCCGCAGAACTAGCAAGACACGCCCCTCCTGAATCTGCAGCTCACGATGAATGGCTCCGAAGTACTCCGTAAGCAGTTTTGGGGAGATCAGACCTTCCGTAAGAACTTGATCTTACTCCTGCGTAATCCAATCTACGGAGAAATCGGCGATCGGTTTTCGCAGGAGTTCTCTTGTGGTGCCAAATCCATTTTTGCTCCCATGTCTTTGATGTATGTACATGATTGGTAAATTTTTTCACAGCTCCCATTGCCTGATTCAGTCAATGCAGATAAAATTATAATATACATAGTACTGTACAATCCGCATATCATGTTTTGATCAGCCCGGCGTCAGCGCAAGTTGCATATGCGTGGTCTGCCAGAAGGGATCGCTCTCGACATCGACAATGTGAAACCCCTGGCGCTCCCAGAAGCGGATCGCCCCAGGCAGGAAAGGATGGGTGTGTAGGTACAAGCATTCAACGCCTGATTCAATTGCATGCTTACACAGGGCCGCGAACATTTCCGCCGCCAGGCCGTAGCGACGGTATTTGGGGGTGACGAATAAGCGTACGATCTCCACAGTTTTACGATCGTCTAGACCAAGATGAGGAAAGCGATGGTCGTACGGCAAGTATCCGAGACCAGCGATCAATTGGCCTTGGTCATGGGCGACTAGAAAATGACCCTCGCCTGTGATGTAGGCTTCGGTGAAATGCGTTAGGTCCCATGGTGGGGATCCGATGAGGGATGGGAAGAGCTCGCGGCGGGCGCATTGGATGAAATTGGATGTTTCTGCTGCGGCAGCGCGGCTGACAGGTGTGATGGTCCAGGTGGGTATTGGTTTAGGTTGCTGCAGGTAGAGGTGTTCAGCCGGGGTGTGGGTGCACGTCAGGCCTCCCGGCGTCGAGTTATAAGAGCACATAATTGGGGTTTGGGTTGAGTGTCATAAAATTGAGCTCATTGAGACAGCTCTAGCCTTGGATTGCCCATCGAATCGAGCTGTTCAAATTGTAGAGAATTCATGCTTCACCAGCCACATCTTGGCGTAGCCACGTCTTGGCACGGCTCATGGAGAGGTCAATTGCCGAGAAGTACTTCGCATGTTGATATGACAGTTGCTGGCGAGAGGAATTTCATATGTCTTGCCTGTAGGTGCTTGAAAACAGTACTTACCCGGTAAGACAGTATAACCCGACGCTGATTCAATCGGTAGATATTATAATTCAAACAATCCTTCAAACAAGGCATTGTAAAGGTCAATGAACACCTTAGACACCTTACTTGCCCCCTGGGTAGTCGCTAAATCAATATCGCACATATACCAGTCTTTACCATCGTAGTCCTGCAATCCGCACTTTCAGTTTCTTGCAACTTCCAGCAACTCCTCATCGTCTTCAACACCGTTCCAAGATTTCCAAATCGCGCTGAGTGTCGTACCAAATCAGCCATCAGATCCTCAAACAAAAGCTGATGATCAGCCTGTGCCATACACCCCACTACACAAATCGCCCACACCAAGCCCGTGAGCGAGTACGCTCTCGGACGACCCTGGAGCTCGACGATACTCCTAGAAACGGTTTCGCGAATCTCCGGCAGGGCGGGCAGTGGCCCTGAAACTGTGGTATGAAGCAGAACCAAACATGCGAGGGCGTACATCCGAGTGACCCAGCTGGTCTGGGGCTCATAATTTTCTTTCTGAAGACTGGGGTTAGTGCATGTTGATGAATATGGTGATGCGATACGTACATCCCTGATCAAATCAAGCTCCTCGATTCCAGTGGTCAAACGAGCTTTAATCTCGTCGCCGCGTCTGGTCATTTCACTGACATCGAGGGCATTGTCTTCCTCTTGGACTTTCTTCCATTGACCGAAGCAGGCCAGGTCTCCGATTATCATCATTACCCAATTTTCGCAGCTCAACAGATCTGCTATCTGTATTTCTGGAGTTTGGAGCCATTTTTGATACGGTAGTTGTGGTACCCGGCCCGTGGGAAGACAAGCAAAGAGATCAAGGGAGACCATAGTAGCGAGGAGGAACTCTAGGCCCTCCTGGTGGTGAACTCGGGTCATACCAGACTGACTATCAGACAGTGAGTTGGCAGTGAATATACTCTCGGGCGAAAGCGAATGTACAACACCAATGACCGCGTCCAGGTGAAGCAGCCAGTCGTGCTCGCCGCCTTTAAAAACCTAAACTTATCAGACGTGAGATGGAAAAGAATGCAAAGTCCTTACCTCACAGCTAATCATGATCAAACTGCATGCCAGAAACTCGGCCAGCCGAGCATTGTCATCCAGCAACCTTCCACGTTCCTCGCCCATGAATTTGCAGAATTCTCGAAGCGCCCTCGAATGGTGTTCAAGAGCTTTTTCCTTCTGTTGGAATTCCTCCTCACTACCCAGAATAGCACTCTGGTGAAGAGACGAAAGACTCAGAACGGCATGGTACAAAGGCCCCCGCTTCATCAGTAGATAGAGAAGCCAGCCTCTATTTCCTAACCGGGATGTATAGCAGAAGTAAGGGAACTGCCAAGCAAAGACCTGATCTAGATAATGCATCAGCAGACATGCTGACTGCGGATCGAAAATAGTATCTTGCGTCGAAGATTCGATGGATACAAGAGGGGAACCATCCGGGGAGCCAGCCGGATTCATCGTAGATTCTGTTTCATCACCTGCCGCAGGCGCGGGTTTGGCGCGATTTCGCATCTTCCGGAGTCGTCGCACATGCTGATTGATTGCGGTCTTGATTCGCGATTTTTCTTTCTTTTCTTCAGATCCTCCGTCCATCCATGTAGGCCTCGGCCCGTACCCATGACACTGGACGTTGCGGTCACTGCATTCCCTGCATATTGGGAGGGTGATGTCGCATTTTTTGTGTCGTACGCGACATGTCCAGCATCCAATTGATATAGCGCTCATTTGGAGAGTTGTGAAGATCGGCTGGAAGAGATCAGTTGAGGTTCCGGGGATTTGCGCCCCTCCTAAGTGGGCCTGATGTCAGCGATTCGGCCTATGTTCTGTTCATTGATTCTACAGCCGTGAAGAGTTGACTGCATTCCTCTTCTCGGTGTTATTAGTGCAGCTAGAAAGCGGGAAGGGTGGAAGTAGTATGCTCCAGGCTTTTGCAGAGCTTTCCCCTTGAGCCCAGAGTCGTACTTTTTTCTTTCCAATCAAGCGACGGTGAGACAAATGTAGGTGATTTGCGCTGTGGTTATACAGAGCAGATCATCTTAATATTGAGGGGCCAGCACCTAAGGTAGTGCGTAGATGGTCACAATTTGGTGATAACACAGGCAACAAGCATTGCCTGGCTAAGTTACGGTAACCCCACATAGGAGTTGGCTCCCACAGAATCGGATCAAGGGAAGGGCTCGTCGTCGACTATCTCGACTATCCGAGACAAGTTTTGACGTGTTGATATACACTTGGAGGAGGGCAAGTCGAGCCGGGTGTCTGGGGAAGGGCGAGCCGACTCAACATGCCAAGATCTCCGGCCCGGAGAGGGGAACTATAGCACCACACTGATGGTTGTCCACTTAATATAGGGTAGGCCTGCTCAATGTAAATAATCTGTTAGTTTTTTGACCTCAAAGTGCTTACCTGATTCACCCTTTGGTCCTTTGTCAAAACGGTGCTCATAAATCCCACAATATGGTCCAAGATACCATCTTCTTCAATGGACGCATCCTAACAAAGGCTGGCGCCGGTCTCGATGGACAGCCAGTGTTCGCGGATAGTATGCTCGTGAAAGATGGAGCCATCGCTGCGACAGGGAAATTTGAAGAGCTCATCTCTGGATGTTCATCCGAGGTCCAACGCCGCGACCTCGAACAGCAGACCGTTCTCCCGAGTTTCATCGATGGCCACATGCACCTTCTTCTGCTTGGACAATCACTTCGCAAACTGGATCTCCGACCCTGTAAATCACTGGAGGAGATTCGATCAACTATCAAGGCGTATGCGGTCGCCAACCCTGATGTACCGACTATTCTATGCAAAGGCTGGATGCATTCCCAGACCCCAGGCGGGGTAAACGCCACGATGCTTGATGATATTGACCCAAGGCCCATCTTCATTGATGCAAGCTCGCTGCACTCATGCTGGATGAACTCCAGTGCTCTGAAACAACTCGGCGCTGAAACCATGTCCGACCCACCAGGTGGCAGCATCCACCGGGACGCAGAGGGCAAGCCTTCAGGTGTCATGGACGAAGGTGCCGTAATGTCAATTATCTGGCCATTCCAAGCAGTCTCCTCATCAAAGGAAGAGCGCATTGAGTCGATTCTCCAGGCAATCCATGAATACAACGCAGCGGGATATACCGGCGTTATTGAAATGGCCATGGACGAGGAAGCATGGGACAGCCTTTTGACTCTTCGCTCGCAAAATCCAGATCTCCCCATGCGTGTGTCCGCATACTGGCTCATTAAACCAACTGGAGATCACGAAGCAAACACCAAGCAGGTGCACCGTGCGATTGAACTGGCTGGAAAGTATAACTCGACCACGAGCCCCGACGTTCGGATTGTCGGCATCAAGATAATCTGCGACGGTATCATCGATGCCTGCACTGCATTCCTGTCACAGCCATACGCGCCTGTCGACTCACCACCGCCGATCTGGGAGGCCGAGCATCTGTATCCCGTTGTTGCTCAAGGCGACAAGGCAGGTCTTCAGATCGCCCTTCATGCCATTGGAGACGGGGCAATCAAACTCGCGATTGGTGCAATCGAGAAGCACGCCACTCCCGGGAGGCGCCACCGCATTGAGCACCTTGAGCTCGCATCTCCCGAGGATGCTAAGAGACTTGGAGAACTGGGCCTGACGGCTTCCATCCAGCCTGTCCATGCCGATCCCTCCATTCTCACAGAGTGGCCGCGCCTCCTTGGAGAGGACCGTTGTAAGAGGGCGTTTGCATACCGTGAGTTCGCGGATGCTGGGGCTCTGATGGCCATTGGAAGTGATAGTCCTACCTCGCCGTGGGCTCCGATGGAGAATCTCTATGTGGCCACCACGCGGAAATCTTCCCGAAACCTTCAATATACCAAGGTTGTGAATGAAAATTTCCGATTGGGGATGTGCGAGTCAATTGTTGCTGCCAGCGGGGGTGCAGCTCGCAGTGTATTTGCGGATGAGCGCACTGGTAGCTTGGAAGTGGGTAAATTAGCGGACTTTGTTGTTGTTGATATGAAGTGGGATGCCGATGCGTTATTGGAGGCAAAGATCAAGGAAACCTGGTTTGCAGGAAGAAAAGTCTGGTCCAAAGACCAGTGATGTGTATAACATATAAGAACGGGAATCCGCAAAGCACTTCAGGCCTGTTTATACAGTGATCCCGCGCTAGTCTATATTGGGCTAGTCCATATTTGACATCTCACTTGGTGTTGTGTCTTCCTCTTCTCAACGACCTTGGAGTCCTTGAAAAATGTCAAAAAAAGCTGCGGACAAGATATTCCCCATCAAAACCTTTATCTCTGATATACCGGCCAATTCTTTTCAGTCCGCATCACCCGAAAATGGCCATGGACGCTTGGTTATCGTAGGCGATGTGCACGGAATGAGAGGATCCCTCGAGGCTCTACTCGAGAAAGTCAGCTTTAACAAAGAAAATGGGGACCATTTGATCCTAGTCGGAGATCTCGTCAATAAGGGACCTGACAGTCCCGGCGTTATCGACTTGGCTATGAAGCTAGGCGCCAGCGCGGTGCGAGGCAACCACGACAACGCCGTTTTAAACGCGGCTAGAGAGATACAAGCCGTCAAGGAGAACACCTCTCCTGTGGAAGGCTTGGGCATCGTGGATTCACCTAAGAAATCCGAAGCCAGCCCACCAGTGCACACGGTCCACAATCCTGATGTCCCAGAAAAAGCTACATCTCCAAAGTATGATACGGCGCGAGCCCTCTCGAAAATGCAGATGGATTGGCTAGCTGCATTACCCTTGGTCCTGCGCATCAAATTGCCCCATCATGCATCCTCTTCACTCGGAGACCAACTGGTCGTTGTGCATGCTGGTCTTACTCCCGGTGTTCCACTCGAAGATCAAGATCCACATGCTGTAATGCATATGCGGAGTCTTGTTCGCGCAGATGACGAGGCTTCAATTAGCCCGACGGAAGCCCCGGGGGACGAAAGCTGGGTCAGAGAATGGGATCAGTTTCAAGAGGGTCTGGCATCCAAGAGCACAGTGGTTTTTGGACACGATGCTAAGCGTCGTTTGCAACTGGGCAAATATGCAATCGGACTTGATTCAGGCTGCCTGTATGGCAATCAGTTAAGTGCTGCTGTGATCAAAATCTCCAACGGTGTTATAACGCATGATGTTATTTCAGTCGAATGTGCTGATCCTCACTTGGTTGTATAGTTTAGCGGGATAGATGATAGAAATTTGAGTATATAGAAGCCGATACTTAGGGAGTTATATTGGGCAGCTCATAAGGCTTGACCATCCAATAGAATAATAGAATAAAATATATGCAAGGTATTGCAACCCTGCAAGCGGTGCTGAAGCCAAGTAGTAGCCAAGCGGAGGGAAGAGGAGGGGATGCCAAGAGATCGGCCTTGGCAGCGTGTTCTATGCATTGACAGCTGTGACATGCGGACGATCATACGGAGTTGAGCATTGGCTATCCCTAAGTAAATGTATTGAAAATTCATGAATTATCACCTTGTAGTATGTGAATAGTAGTCCTTCATACGCAGCGGAATCGAAGTCTGCAACGCAAAATTCCACTGATCGTCGCGATAAGCGATAAGCACTGCCACGCAGAGCCCTGGAGGTAATTTCTGGAGTCCCTTTTTCACCCCTTGTTGCTTCATTCCTGCAATCATCCCAAGTCCGACAAAATGGAGGAACATTTGCGCCACAGTCTCTCCAACCACCCCAACCCCTTTCAGAGCGTGCACCATAGCCCGAGTCGCTCTGAAAGGATGACTCGCATCAACGAAGGGTCCACCACTGCCCTCGAGCACGAACTCACCACCATGCAGCAACACCGCAGTGGCAGCTCCAGTGACGAAGAAGGTGCCCCGCCACCACGCTATACCCCCCAAAATGATCCGTTCCGTCTCGCCTCGAAGCTCAAGACCGAGGATGAGATCCGTCAGATGAAAGCGAATACCTCAAGGAAACGTGATTCCACAACCGGCGCCAAAGGTCGCAAGGTTGCGTCCATGGTGGAGAGCACCACTCGCCTCGGCAAGCAGGCCTTCATTACAAAGAAGCTCCAGGGATTCTACGAGTCTCAGAATGAGAATATCGAGCGCATGCTCAAGCCTGTCGAGGAACACCGCCGTGCCGCCCGCGAATTGAACATCGACAACCGCCTCAAATACCGTATCGCCGTGTACGGCTCTTTTGCCGCCAACATTATCCTCTCCATCATCCAAGTCTATGGCGCCGTGTCCTCCGGTTCCCTCTCCCTCTTTACCACCATGGCCGACGCTGTCTTCGATCCGATGTCCAATCTGACTCTCTTGCTATGCAACAAAGCCGTCAACCGGGTGGACCCACGCAAATTCCCTGCTGGAAAAGCTCGCATCGAAACCGCCGGCAACATCTGCTTCTGTTTCCTCATGACCGCCGTCTCCTTCATTCTGATTGCCTTCTCGATCCGTGAGCTTGCAGAGGGCTCCACGGAAGAAACCCAAAGCTTCCACCTTCCCTCCGTGATAGCCGTCTCTGTCGCCTTCGCCACCAAACTCGCTCTCTTCCTCTACTGCTGGGCTCTCCGCAACCAGGTCTCCCAAATCCGCATCCTGTGGGAGGACCACCGCAACGATCTCTTCATCAACGGATTCGGTATCCTCACATCTGTCGGTGGCAGTAAGTTGCGCTGGTGGATTGATCCCATGGGTGCCATCATCCTCTCCGTGTTGGTCAGCGTTCTCTGGCTACACTCCGCCTACGGCGAGTTCCAGCTCCTGGTCGGCGTGACAGCCGACACCAACATGCAACAACTCATCACCTACATCTCGATGACCCACTCACCGCTCATCACGGCCATCGACACTGTCCGCGCTTATACTTCCGGACCACGCTTGCTGGTTGAGGTTGATGTTGTCATGGACGCGGATGCTTCTCTGCGTGCTACTCACGACGTTGCTGAGGAACTTCAGATCAAGCTCGAGTCTCTGCCTGATGTTGAGCGTGCTTATGTTCACGTCGACTATGAGACAACGCATAAGCCTGAGCACTTCCTCAAGAAAGAATTGTAGAGTTGCTCTTTCTGTCTTTGGCTTTTGACGGATACACAACATCTTGCTCTACCGCTGCGTTTTTTATCATCGTGGTTTAATGGATTAGTGTGCACATCCGTACCTAGGTAGCTTCCAAGGTTCTTATTCTTTCAATAATGATAATGAAATCTATGACACAACTCTAACCTGGCGATCACGTCTACATAGTGATCCAGACATTCCCAAACTTCGAACTACATAAAATCCCGGCTAGCTTAATGAGAATAGAGGCTCGAAGCTTGGTAGCGGTCTTCAAAGATTTACCTAGGTAGTCCTGGTGACGAGTTTTGAAGCTGTGTTAAAAGCAACCTTGGAAGTGGTCATAAAATGTGTACAAGGGAAGATTGAAACCGTGCAAACAAATTTTAGATGTAGGGGCAATGATCCATGGACCTTAAAAGCCGACGCACTCGTCCTCCAGCCCTGAAAACCGCCAACTGGCCAAGGGTAAAGAACATTAGAACAGCTACATGCTACTGGATGTTACTCCGAAGCGATGGTAAAAAAATGAAATGAATTAAAACCTCGCCACTGGCTCTCCAAACGCTGTATTAGTTGCTGTGTCGAGGTGGCTGAGTCTGCTAAGAGTTGAGCTGTAAGGAGCGAACCGTAGGTATCAGTCTACATATGGTGCGCAGAAAAGCAAGAGAAGAAGTTGATTTCTGTCAGGTCCGAAGGCCGCCCGGACTCTCATTCAATGTTTCCGCCGTTCCCCATCCAGTAGCCCAATCAACATTCCATCGTGAGTTAACCTGTTGGAACCAGTTTCGGTTTCGCTCCCGGACAGCTTCGCCAAGGCCGGCATTGGTGGCCTCAATCCCGAATTCTTGGAAGAAGTCAATGTTCTTCCCTTCGAAGTTGACTTTTTTTGCCGGAGTCCTGGGTTCTCCCTGCGTTGCCGAGACTGGGGGTTTCCTGCGGTGGACATGTCTAGAAGAGTCCATTTGGTGATGCCCCCGCCCCTAAGTATAGCCTCATGGGCGGAAGAGATGTAGCTCCGTGGTTCTGGTAACGCAACTGGGGTGTCAATGGGGCTAGCTGTAGCAAGCGTGTTTTCTTGGTGGTCCTTCTTTTTTTTAGGTGGCGGAGAGCGAGAATCGCTTTCGTCCATGTCGGTCTTTGGTCGTGGAGAAATGGTACCTATGTAGGTGTGTCCGGGTGAGGTAGGTTGTAGGTTTCTTGCTCATTTTCATGCGCCGCAGGATGTTGTCTGGTATGGCTTTTGGTCAGTCTCTTTCTTGCAAGTAGCTCCTAGAGTATGAATGTTGTAAAAGTCATCCATTCGCATTGTAATTTCCGGTTAGGACGTAATTATCGTGATCAACCATCCAGTTGACGTTGTGTGCGCGAATGACACATGTAGGTCCCTGCGGTATCCGCATGCGACGGATACTCCTGCAGGTGGGTTTGTGGACCTGGCTAAGAATAACAGAGTTCAATGCAAAACAGGCATGTCGTCCAACCGGAGTCGGAACGCATCCACAACGAATCCATACCAAGAGGACATGAGGACCATTGATTTCCTGGTGCTGTGTGTGGGTCTTTAACATGGCGTTCGAATCCCAGGATAAGATGTTATCCTGAAAGGTTGCAGTCTTTGGAAGAAGGGCTAGCAAGGCATCTGGCACAATATCTCATCGTGATTGAAAGCACAACTCGGATTCGGTCTTCCTTTCTGAGTGCCACTTGAAGTACATCGGTACCAAATGCCATGGTCCGCTCTCCATGCTGTCCTCCTCTTCAACCATCAAATCAACGGTCTAAAGGACAGACCGAATAAGCTGGGCCATTTCAGAGACTCTTGCCGGAATCTGTTTCCATGTTAGATAGCTCGACTAAAGGGGGCCATGTATCATACAAAAAACCCAATGATCTGAGTTCGTGCGTTGTTGAACCACTGTCGCCAGAGTCCCCCTCTGGAACCACCAGGAATAGGCTCTTTACCGAGCCACCCTCGGATGAAGATTGTGTGAAACGGCTTCCGGTCATGGGGAGGGGGAGATGTTGTAGCCTTTCAGCTCCCTCCCAAAGTTCCTTTTCTTTCAGTTAGTGATGCTATTCTGCACGAAACCTGACGTGTGTGTGTGCAAGCGGTTTCTGAATATCTGGCTTCGTAGAGAGCGACACCTCGTATTCTCCCACGTCGAGAGCAGTGATTCAATGGCCACTGGCATCAATGTGTCGTAGATCCGCTCGATCCCTTAATTCGGAGTCAGTAGAAGATGCTCCTGTGTAAATGTTTAGCTCGGGAAAGCATACATCTCATGCTTGGGGCTCCTTACCCAGAGCTGCTGAACCTATTGATCGCTTTTGTCAGGGTGACAACTTGGCGCTTTGTACTTCACTCCCAGATGCTCTGGCTATGAGGTTCTGTGCGTTCTGAATGTGATGCTCTCTGTAAGGAAGGCGCGGATTGTACGCGCCAGCTTACCTACCTAGGTAGGTACGGTACGCGGGAAGCGAAGATAAAAGAGAATGTCACGGGTCTTTCTAAACTGAGCCCGCATGCTACCACGATGCGTGGCAGGAAGGGATATCCACATATTTCACAATAACTGCTGAATTTCAAGTGAGGTGGAACTTGGAAGCTCAAGTGAAGCAAACAAAGGAGAGTTTGCTGCTCAAATGCCGTGCAGCAATCAAGAATCACCTGGAAAGCGATTCTTGGATGAGAAGGCTGATCCTAAGTAAGGAAACAGACTCATTCCGGTGAGATCGAGTTCGGTTTTTTGTCCATGAGGGTCTCGACACTCGAACCGATCTATCACAGGGCTCAGCGTCCTAGGTCCAGGCACTGAATTCTGGAACAATGTTCTCTATGTAGAATCTTATTGTTTGGGAACATTCTCATCATTGTTTGGAAACATAATGTTGTTGGGAAACATCATGTTGTTGGGAAACATAATGTTCTTGGGAAACATCCATGCGTATCGTTATTTGGAAACATGCATGGATATCGTTGTTTTGGAAACATGAGCTGCTCCGGACACTAGATCAAGCGCGCGTTTATTAGATGCCTCTTCTCAACAAGTTCATGGAAATACTCACAGAGACAAGGAGCTTTGGTGCGGCTCCCATCATAGCATGTATGTATTCTACCTCTTCTCCATGTTCTCCTTGATCCGCTAGCTGCAGAAAATCCCCTATGTCGGCGGACCATAATGCAAATTGGTCCGGAAGGGCGGCGAGAGGTCGTATTTCTCTGCCATTGGCGAAGGATGTTCCAAAGGCCCATAGATCTGAGGAATGGGCTTTTAGAATCGTAACGTATATGGTCATACTTTAAGCAGCTCCACGACTAGATCGCAAACGGAAAGGGAGAATGCCGAGTACCACATTTGTTTGATTGCCAACCTCGTATGACATCTCCCCAGAGAAGTGAAATGATTCTCTTCCACGTACGGAAGTGAAGCCTATCGATTTTTTTGGCCGACGGATCTGGGCGAAGGCATCCAAGCTAGGGCTAGATCCGAGTCACCGAGCCTAGTGATCTCAATTATCAATATATGATAGAACAACATGTGAGAGAAGCATACCCTGGCGACTCAAGACAGTCTTGGTGAGTCGAGACAGTCTTGGTGAATCCAGTGTACCGAGGCAAGGATACTCTGTATGTGATCACACTCAGTCCTGCTGAGGTTACAAATCCATAGCGGCAGGTTCAGGCAAGGATTGGTGTGGCTGATCAGGGCATTGGCTTTGTCTGTTGTGGTGTAGGCTTCAACTCACCTGGAATTGAGATAGAATTCTGACCGGTGATTAGAAATGTTCGTCGGTTGAACCAATTTCGATTCTTTTCTTGTCTCCTGTTGTGCTTTCGCTGCTTGTTTTTGTTGTTCTGAGGAGGGTGGCCTTTCAGGATCTCTGGAGGTTGGTTTCCAAGCTGAATGACTTCAGAGCTCCTAGGATAGAGTGAAATGGATAGTTTGGTGTGTTTAGACAACCTTGGAAGACAATCAAGAGAAATAAGATGTATTGGTCCCGCAATGGGATGACTCGAATAGTGGAAGGCGCAAGTCTGGGAGGCAGGAACTAGGAAGATATAAACAATAAAAGTAGGCAATAGCTTACAAGGCTCACTTTACCTGCGAATAGTAAATAGATCGGTTTGATTCACTTCAGTTCACTTTCAACATCGATGACCTCGAAAGTGCGGAGAAACCAGCATAGGCAACCCTCGCCGCTGACTTACTACTTCGGGTAATTCCGACTTCTTGACTTTACGACATAACTGGCACATGATGGATTGTTTGCCTATTGGTTCTGACTGAGTCCAAAAATTTGAATAGACAGTGACTATCATGCGGGGAACTTGATGTGCCGAACGCTACAACACAGACATGTAATAAATACCCTCCATCCCAGACGCTAGAAAGTCCCAATATTCTACTTCGCTATCAATTCTTTGCATTCAATTACACATCTTCTCTTTCAATTCATTACTCGAACTATCGAAGAGTAACTGAGAGTTATCGTATATAACTTCTCGGATATAGCAACTCCAGAAATGTCGTACGGAACCCCTCGTGTGAAGTTTGCGCTATTTGGCCTAGGCCGCCTAGGCGTCCTTCGAGCTCGCATTCTCGCTTTCCAACAGCCTCGGATCGAGCTGGTAGCGGTATGCGACACAAAGCCAGGCACTGATAAGTGGGCTGCAGAGAATCTGCCCCCGTCCGTCAAGTATTTCTCGGATCCCCAGGACTGTTTGAAGAACGGTGGTGCTGAAGCTGTGCTTATCTGTACCGCGACGGCGACCCATGCTCCATTGATACTGCAAGCTCTTGACCTAAACTTGCATGTCATGTGTGAGAAGCCGGTCTCGGTGGATATCGCTACTACCAAGGCAGTGGTGGAGAAGTCGGCTTCTAGGCCTGACTTGAAGTTCCTGGTTCCCTTTACTCGGCGATGTAAGCCTATGCTGTTACCTGTGCTTTGTGAGTTTCAGTGACTGATTCGCATTAGATGACAAGTCCTACCGTCAGGCCAAGGCCCTGATTGACAACGGAGACCTGGGAGAGATTCATGCCGTTGAGACAACCGGAATCGATCAGGCTGACCCTAATGGTATGGCGAACTTATCAATCTTGAATACAATTCACTAAAAAATTCATTTAGCCTTCTTCGTCGCCTTCTCCGAGCAATCTGGTGGTATTTTCCTTGACTTCGGTATCCACACAGTCAGTCACAATTACCTCTGTCGCACTCGAAACACTACTAATAGGCGATAGGTTGATGCCGGCCGATACCTACTAGACGTCAAGACCGGTCTCTCCAACCACAAGAAGCAAGTCAACAGGGTCATCGCCTTTGGTCAACAAGCTGTCTACGGAGACCTGGCCAAGTTCGGCGACGCCGATAACGCATGGGGCTTGGTGGAATTCGCCAGCGGCAAGATCTTCAAGACGTACCTTGGGCGCACGCTCACGAGCGGGTTTGAAGACACTACTCGTCTATGTGGAACAAAGGGACATTCTATCATCAGCGCTAACTCCAATGTTGAGATTCGCGATCATCTTGGTATTCGGACGCAATCCGTGCCTGATGCGTTTACTCTGTTCGATGCTACTTTCTTGACTGATCTTGCTGAGTTTGCGGATGCGGTGATTGATGACAAGCCTTTGACTTGTCAGCCGGAGGATGCTTTTGAAGCTGGCAAGATCTGTGCTGCTCTGCAGTATTCATTCCGCAGGGGTGTGCCTGTGTACTTTGATGACAATGGTCTACCCATTATGGAGTGATTGAAAGCGCACTCATATAGCTATGATAGAAACAAAAAGAGGTTCATTTATGACATCTTTCTAAGTTTTAACGTAAATGCCAGTTATAGAAGACCTTGGCTGTGCCAAAAGTGCATGCATCTGTGGAATCCTGACCTCAAGACATGTGCTGGAGAGATTTTGGACATAGGCGTTATGAGCTAACATTTTGTTCCAAGTGCCATCTCAATTATTCAAGGGAAACATGTGAAACAGACTAAAACGGTTACCTAGTACACATCTTGAGTCACCATCTGTACGTGGTAATTCTAGTATGTAGGATTTTGACGATCTCGACAGGCCCCGTCGCAGTCCATGATCATGTGCAATGGACTCATGGATCTCCAATTTCCCATATCTCGATCTCCCAAAGTCAATTGCTGAGCTTGAATTGCGCATAATTCATCGCCGCTAGTTACCCAAAACGGTAATTTTTGAATCGCGGGATGCGGGGAACAGTCTCATGCCCAGTGGTTGTCAACGCGTTGTCAAGACTCGATACTATTGTGCGGCGACACATGCCCAATTGGGCAATTTGATCTTTGTCTTTCTACGGGAGATTGGTTCGTAGAACGAAGATGGCAGGTATAGTTTTAGAAGAACCTTGGAATATATAGGGCGAGCATACGACCATTGAAGAGTGCACTTTTGCTATTCAACTTCTCAGGCATCCTGATCGCCACATCAGACAGACTTGTGAAAATGGCACCCTACGTCCAAGACACCACTGGCACCGATGTCGTATCCCAGGCTCACCTCCAGTCGAAGAGCGTAGCTCTGAAGCACGACTCCGTTGCGAAGCCTGTTGCAGACGACTTCATGTACGACTTCAAATATAATCATAGTCTGCCCACCACCGACGTCTTGGGTATTGACATCCCCGCCGATTGCGACGCAAAAAAAGAGGCTGAGGGGATTTTGGCTCATCTCTCCAAGGCCACATCTAGCGAGGATGCTCAAGGCTTCGCCGACCTGTTCCTCGATTATGGTGAGTCCTTAAAAAGTGAAAAGCGATATTTCGACGTTATCTGACAACTTCACAGGTGTTTGGCGCGACAAGCTATCGTTTACCTGGGATTTCCGCACCTTCAACTTCAGGGACGCTATCTTGAAAGCCGCCACGGACCTTTTGTCTCAGACCAAGGCTAGGAACTTCGAGTTCCTTGCACCTGCGCCTTCGATCTCTCGTCCTTATCCCGACTTTTCACAGCTGCAGTTCGTTGTTTCTTTTGAGACTGAACTAGTGACTGCTTCTGCGGTTATCAATGCAGTTCTCACTCAGGATGGTTGGAAGATCTATACCATGCACACTGTCGCCGAGAGCCTGAAGCAGTTCCCAGAGCAGGCCGCTCCGGATGGACATATGACTGGTATCACTAGCTGGGAAAGCCAGAGAGCTGAAGCTATCAATACTGTCGATCCCGAGGTGTTGATAATTGGCGGTGGTCAAAAGTGAGATCCAATCCTTTGAATAACATCCATGGTCTCTAACCCATTTCTACTAGTGGTCTCGCCATGGCAGCGCGCTTGAAAGTCCTCGGCATGGACAACCTGATCATCGAGCGAAGCGACGAAGTCGGAGACATCTGGAAGAAGCGCTACGAATATCTTTCCCTCCACTTCCCACACTGGCCCGACGCCCTGCCATACTTCAAATACCCCCAGCATTGGCCCACCTACACCCCAGCCCAGAAGCAGGGTCTATACATGAAGTGGTACGCGTCCGCACTAGAGTTAAATGTCTGGACCAAATCAGAAGTCGTCAAGGCCAATCAAGACCCCCAAGGTCGGTGGACAGTCATCATCAACAAGGGAGGCGAGACCCGCACCCTGCACCCCAAGCAACTCATAATGGCCACTTCGCTATGTGGCGTTCCCTCCACCCCAGCCGTGCCTGGTATGGCCGATTTCCGAGGTGTGATTCGGCATTCCAGCGCCCACAAGACCTCCCGTGACTTTATCGGAAAGAAGGTCTGTGTGGTCGGTACTTCATCCTCGGGCTTTGACACGGCCTACGAGTGCGCCCGTCTAGGGATTGACGTGACTCTCCTCCAACGGTCGCCGACATACGTGATGTCTTTGACACACTCGGTTCCGCGTATGCTGGGGGGCTATGCGCCTGATGAGAATGGCAAACTTCCTGATACTGATGTGCAGGATCGTCTTAATTTTTCGATGCCGGTTGGTCCGGGCGAGGAGCTTGCTAAGCGTACTGCGAAAGATCTCGAGAATCTCGATGCCCCCTTGCTTGAAGCTCTTAATGCGCGGGGACTGCGAACGTGGCGCGGTCAGCGTGACACTGGGAATTCCACGCTTGGACAGACTCGGAATGGCGGGTTCTATTTCGATGCCGGGGCTTGCGAGGAAATTATCAATGGGAATATCAAGGTGGAGCCTGGATTTATTGAGAAGTTCACTGAGGATAAGGTGGTTCTGAATGGCAATCGCGAGAAGGAGTTTGATCTAGTCATCTTTGCTACTGGATTCTCCAACACCATCGATTCCATTCGGGCCACTCTTGGTGAAAAGATCGCCAGTCAATGCGGACCCATTTGGGGAATCGATGAAGAAGGCGAATACAAAACGGCGTACCGAGAGACGGGAGTTCCTAACATGTGGATCATGGTTGGTTTCCTTCCGATGACTCGATATGCTTCAAAACTGCTGGCATTGCGGCTGAAGGCTCTCAAGGAGGGTGTTTCACCATCTCCTTACAAAGTTTAGATATCGATGAATTATATTGGTTTTACGTTCATGTTCCACATTCTATACTAGCTCTAAGCATTTGTCCCTCAAATGAGTCTTTTATCGCTGTTGCCTAGATAGACTCTCTAGGAATATGAGGCTGAATATTCTGTTTTAATAAGGATGCAATTCATCCTGATATATCGGTGTCTACGTTGTGTCTTGCTAAAGGTAGCTGAAAACAGATAGCCAAGGCACTGTCTTTCGCACCATTCTCCGAACCACTACTTAGAAGCTTAGGCATTTTTGATAATCCATTTCATCAAAGCTAGACAACGAATGAATTTAGACCAATTGGACTTGGGTATTTCGAAATTGTGTTTGTTGGGGTATTTTCGAAAACCTTCCAACATCGGAAAAGCTCAGTTTTGGCCCTAGCAAATGCAAGATGCGTGGTGAAACCTTGAATTACGCTTCAATCGTTTGCCTCATTATCTCCGCACAAGGCTATAACATCGACAAAAAAATAAAGATCGTCTTCACTTACCCCGCGTTCTGCCCTTACCCCTTTGGAAATTGCCTTATTGGGAAGGTCGCGGCGCGTACTGCAGACAGCGCCTATCAGTTAGATCAACACAACGGATCATGTCCGAGCCAGAGCTCTCATATAAGAACAAGTCCCCTCTATATTTGATTACTTTTGTTCTATCTACTTGGTTCATCTTGAAACGCATCGAATTTAAATTCCCCGATATCATCAATCAAAATGGCACCTTCAACTCATTTCAAGCTGAACACCGGTGCCCAGATCCCCGCAGTGGGACTTGGTACTTGGAGATCTGAGCCAGGTCAGGTACGCCAGGCAGTCTCATTCGCGCTGCAGAATGGATATAGTCACATTGACGCAGCATTGTAAGATCCCTATCACTGTTGCAACCGTTAATCTTGGCTAAGAACTCGCAGGATCTACGGTGTGTTGTGACCGATTGAAATTACGAATTTTCCAATTTGGCTAATTGTACTAATTGTCTAGGAAACGAACACGAAGTAGGCGAGGGCATTAGAGACAGTGGTGTTCCTCGCGAAAATATCTTCATCACCAGCAAACTATGGAATACACACCAGTCGAATGTCGCAGAAGGCCTTCAAAAGACCCTCACAGCTCTGGGCACAGATTACCTCGATCTCTATGTAATTGACCCATCAGCCTTCAAAAAGCTATGCTAAAAATTCCCAGCTCATCCACTGGCCCGTGCGACTCGTTCCAGTAAGTTTATTTATCTTCCATGATCTATTCCAGCGAGATTGAAACTAACATTACAAAGAACGAAACAAGCGCCCTCCTCCCCGTCAACCCGGACGGAACACGATCCGTCGATCGAGCCTGGGACCAGAACGAAACCTGGCGTCAAATGGAAGAGGTCTACAAAGCCGGTAAAGTGAAAGCGATCGGCGTAGCCAACTGGTCTATTCCCTATCTCGAGGATCTGAAGAAGAAATGGACTATTGTCCCTGCAGTCAACCAGGTCGAACTACACCCATTCCTTCCTCAGCATGCATTGAAAGAATGGTGTGATGAGCATGGCATTCTTCTTGAAGCGTACTCGCCACTTGGGTCTGAAGGTGAATACCACGCCTTAAAGCTTTGTTGGATCTCGTGCTAATTCGATGTGTAGGTGCTCCGCTGATGTCGGATCCAGCTATTCAGGAAATCGCCGAGAAGAATGGCGTTTCTGCTGCTACGGTGCTGATCAGTTATCATGTTAACCGGGGTGTTGTTGTGCTGCCTAAGTCAATTAAGGAGAGTCGGATCGTGAGCAATGGTCAGATTGTTACTCTCTCGCGTGAGGATATGGATGTGTTGAATGGGTTGGCGGCGCAAGGAAAGGCTAAGCGTATCAATACGCCTTTGTTTGGTTGGGACCTTGGGTTTGATGATTGGTATAAGCAGTGAGGTTGGCATCGAATTCCAAGGTTCAGAAATCAAATGCTTGAGGAACTCCATTTTGGAAATTCCAAAAAGTTCATTATATATGAATGAAGATGTTTACACTCTCAACCCCAGAAACTTGGAAAATATAATCACCAGCGACCTGAGCCCCTTGGCTTAGTGCATTGGCTCACAATCCACAGTACAACGACCAACGGCACCATTTATCCGAAAATTGACACTTGATTCAGTTCATGAATACTAGATCGGTTGTTCCTTGGTGGCTTTTTGGTTCAGAACGGTTGTATTCGTGTTCAGATGTGCACTATGATCAGAGGAGATAAATGGTAGAGACATTGGCTTTTGCGTCATTGTAGATCATTGCATGAATTGAAAGAAAATCTATTAATGGTCTCAAGAACCAGAAAGTGGTATCGAGCAGAGAACCCCCAAGACAATATGTCCGGAACAGTTTGAGAAAAAGTAAACAAAAAGACACGAAGTGATGGACTAGGTAGTCCGAAATTTCAAAAAAGAGAAGTAACTAAGACTGCTCGAAAAGAGCGATGGTAGAGCAGTAGTTACTCTTGTTGGGCTTCTCCAGAACGAGAGCCTTGCCCGAGGAAGAAGTGACCATGTTGACGGAGGCCTTGGTGCTGAGACCGAAGAGGTGAACGTCAGAGCAGTCGACCTCGACCATGTTCTCCTGGCAATCCTCCGAGTTGAGGCAGGACTGGGCGTAGTTCTCGAAGAAGCTGTAGAGACCTGCGCCGTAGACGTAGACGTCCGAGGACTTGAGGACACGCAGACCCCAGGCCTTGCGGCAGGAGGCGGTCTTGCAGTTCGCGAAGTCGGGGTCGTTCCAGGAGTCCTGAGGAGTGAAGGGAGTCAAGGCTGTGGGGTTGGACTGGTAGTAAGGGGTCTCGGATTGGATGAGGCCCATGAACACATTCTTGGCGCTGGAGACCTGGTAGTTGTAGAGCTGGTGGTGCTCGGAGGAGGTACCCCACAGCCAGACGGGGTTGGTGGACTCGATGAGGACACCGCGACCGGTGTAAACGTTGATCTGGTTGTGGTCCTTCAGGTCAAGCTCGTGGTCGGCAGTCCAGAACCAAGTGTTCTCGAGGTAGGCGCTTCCCTTGGAGGTAATGTGCAGCAGCATGAAGGCGGCCATGCACTCCTTCTTGGGGGTGGTCTTGGTCTTGGGGGTCTTGGGGCAGGTGTCGCTCTGGAGCTCGGTACCAGCGGCACCACCGATGCGGAAGTGAACATCCCACATACCAGCGGAACCTTGGGAGGCACCAGCGAGGTTCCATTCCATGAGGATGGCACCGGCGGCAGCACCCTTGGAGGTGATGATGAGGTCGCTCATCTCGACATTTCCAGATTCACCCTTCTGACCGACCTGGAAGAGAGGAACGGGGTTCTCCTGGTCGGCGAACTTGGGACCGTGAGCCATAAGCATGGGCCAGATCTCACCAGTGATGCGAATGTTCTTGGGGATCTTGATGGTGGAAGTGATAATGTAGGCACCGTGGTCGAAGTAGATAACCTGACCCTCCTTCCAGCTGTTGAAGATCTTCTGGATAGCAGCAGTGTCATCGGTGGTTCCGTCACCCTTGGCACCTGCGGACTTGACGCTGATGAAGTTGGAGGCATCGACGTCGGTGTACAAAGGCTTGGAGCGCTCGAAGACGGCTCCGTCAGCGAGCAGGCTGTCGGGCTTGGCACCGTGCTTGCGGACTGATTGAGTGCGAGCGGAAACGACAGCCTTGTGGGGACCACAGGATCCGCCGCCAGTGCTGTCACTGCCAGACTGCGCGCCGTTGGTGTTGGTGGTGCTAGATCCAGTGGACATGGCAGGGACAGCAGCAGAGGTAACGGGAGCCTGGCTAGTGGGAGTGGGGACGACGGTAAGCTGGACAGCCTCGGTCTCGGAGGAATCACCTCCAAGAAGCGACATGACACCTCCCAGGATAGGAATATCGGGGAATCCAGCAGTGCGGTCAGAGGAGCCACTCGAAGATGGGAGCGCGGGGACGCTGCTTCCGCTGGCAACTGGCACTGGGGAGGGCGCGGCGACGCTGTCACTGGAAACAGCGCGAGAAGGAGCAGGGGGGTTGCTGGCCAATGCGGTTGCGCCGGGGATGCTGTGGGAAGCGGGGCAAGCAAGGACGGTCTCCATGACAGTCTCGACGACGGTGACCAGCTCGGGCTCAGCCTCGGTGGCGCGCTTGTTGATAGTCTTGGAGGGAGTGTAGGTGTTACCCTGGATCCAGCTGTCGACAACGCTGCCACCAGCGAGGATGCTGTGTCCATCAACACCGGCAACGGCAGTCTTGGAGCCGGAGAAGTCGACGTTGTCGAGAATAAGATCACCACCGCCGACGGGGATACTCTTCTGGGTCCAGGCAGTCACAATACCAATGGGGGTGTTGGTCAGCTTGCTGTCGAGCATGAGGACAGAGCCAACAGTCTGGTTGGAGGGAGAAGTAGACATGTTCAAGCCAACCTCGCAGTTGTTGATGTTAACAGACTTGAAAGTCCAGGCCCAGTTCCAGTTCATGAAGATACCAGTTTGGCAGCCGTTGAAAGTCAGGTTACGGGTGGTGAACTGCTGGTTACCGAGGAACATTCCGTAGTTACCACCGTTGAAGGTCAAGTCGGACATGAAACCACCGGAGCCGTTGTCCATGAAGATACCCTGCTGCTTGTTGGCATCACCGCCACCTTTGACCATCTCGAAGCGGATGTTCTGGAGCGAAGTGGCCTGGCCGACCTGCCAGTGAATACCAGCACCAGCACCCTGGGGAACACTGGTCAGATCAATGACCAAGTTGCGGATGGCGCGGAAGAAGTTGTTTTGGTTGGTGAACCAGTTGGAACCATCATCCTCATAGGGGTCAGAGTCGATGACGGCCATGCCGGCAAACTTGGCGGAGGCCTTGATCACAGGGAGCACAGCGGCATCACCAACAATCTGGGTGTAGTAGTATTGAACAATAGGCTTGGACACAACGTAGGTACCAGGCGGGAAGTATACGATAGCGGGAGTGGTAGTAGATGAATCGCAGCCCTTGCCGCAGCGGCCACCAGAGGAGATGGCCTTGTTGATAGCGGCAGTGTCATCAGTAGAACCATCACCTATGTATCGTTAGTGATATAGTCTTGCGATGCAGCTTTGGAGAACATACCAGTGGCGCCATAGTCCATCACGTTACGGAAAATCTTATAGTCGGAGTTCTTGGCGAAGGGCACAACACCCTGGCGATCCACATTGGCCACCCAGTAAGTGGAAGAAGCCGCGGTCTTTTGAGAAGTTTGCAAAACATTGTTGACAGGGGTCACGGGGACTGTCACTGGGACAGCTGCGACGAGCGAGGCCGGCAGACCGAGTAGCAAAATGATATGAGCGACAAACATCGCGATCGAGGTCTGGAAAGCAGCCATGATGATAAACGCTGGACCAGCAGCGATGTACGTCTAAAATCGGATATAATCCTTCAAAAAGATAGTTCAGTCACCAGTACTGAAGTTGGAAGATGAGAAATGAAAGTATCGCCAACCGGCAGCGATGTAAACAAAGAGCGTCGAGGTAAAGAGAGAATGGTCTGCTCCTTCCACAGAATGATTGAATGCGAAAGAAACAATAAGACGAAAATGAATGGGAAGAAGAACAATTCAAAAGGGAATAAAAGGGACACTCACCTATACTAAAATTAAATAGAGCGTCTGCAGTCCCCTATTCGGAGCCTATCAGAAGCGCCGTGTCTGAAGAGTCCACGGTCCTCAGCCAATCACAACCCCACACCAACTGCCCGACTCGACGGCGTGAAACGCGGACGGGGGATGAAACGCTGAAAGAGCCGATCAATGGTCGGAGTGTTGCAGGCTAACGGATCGGGGATCGTGGCACGTAGTGGCGTCCAGCGATCGAATTTTCAGACTGCAATCTTAAAGGTCCAAGAAATAAGGAGTGACAAGAACAGCAGACAAGAATAGGGGGGACGCGATGGGTCTTTCTATGAACTATATAACTAGTGTCCAAAACAAGGCGACATTCCATTGTAGACGTGTCGTGGAGGGGTTTCTTTTTCCAGGGAGACACATTGCCAGAGCGCGTACCTGTATGCCTTGATCGAGGTGGGGCCCTGGCACTAGGCAGTTCAAACCCTTTGTCCGAGGGAACCATCTGGGCAGTATTGCACGGGGTACGGGGGGGTAGCTGTGCTCTGCAACTTGGGCTTGTTGCACGCCATGGTCGGGGCTGTTGTGATGCCTGTTGTCATGGCCGCAGCCCGTGTTATGACACGCGTCGGATCGATCAACTGAGTAGTTAGGGGTTGCTATGGATGAACATTCCACGGGGATCGAGGATGGGAGATTCTTCATGACGGAGGACAAGAAGTATAGCAGAGTCGGTCCGTGTCTGGAATCCCAATCCTTGATAGGCATCGGCTCTCAGGGTGAAAGGCTCAAACGTGTGATGCTCGGCCAAGCTTTTGCCGGCCCCTGAAGGGACCCGCTCGAGATAGTGCCCGGAGGTTTTTTGCGATTGTCTCGGCTACTGAAGCTGCCAAGCTTTGAATGCGATCCATCTCTGGGAAATTACAGTACAGTGATCACTCGATCCATCGAGTAATGAAGGCAAATGCCCAGGCTACCATTTTGCCTGGTCCAGGCGGTCTGGGCTGGGCTCTGTGCGTTTTTTCGCCCTTGGCCCTTGGCAAGTCTCATGCCTTGGACTTGGCCACTGGGAACCTTGCTGCGAAATCGGAGTACCACTTCATCAATTTGAGCTGGAATATGAACTCCTATGCTACTCTATAGTATATATCTTAGATTGAACGCAGCCGCGCGTCCCGAGTGGAAACGGTACGGTCCGGTGGCTGGTGGCGTGGGCCTATTGCGTACAAGTAATAGTACCGGTACTCATACGCTCCAAAACGCGCGCTAGTCTACGCACGCCTTCCGTCAACTGCCGCGAGGCTTCCCAAGCGAAGCAGAGGCGCAGGTGATCGTCAAATACAGCCGGTGTGTCGCTCGGGTCGTTAGGCACCTGGAACACGACTCCGGAGGCTACTCGGACCTTCGCCTCTTGCGCCTGCTCAGCCACTTGAGTGGCGTGGACTCCTGCTGGGAGCTTAATCCAGATAAAGTAGCCTCCCGAGACGGTTCCGAGCCGGGAGACCGTGACGCCGAGCGGGACGAGGTACTGGTCGATGGCAGCGACCAGGGTGTGGTACTGGCTCGCGTAGCTGGGGATTAGATCGTTCCGTAGATGGTCAGCGATTGCGTCCGGGAAGAGCTGGTCGATGATGGCGGCGGTCAGATGTGAAGGCGCACCTCCTGATCGTGAAGAGCCACTAGTACCGGGTTAGCCGGATATGCGCCTCGCTTGAAGTAGACAACTCACGTCTGGGATAATCCGTAAGCCAGCTTATCCGACGCCTCGGCCCAGCCGGTTCGGACTCCCGGGCCGATGAGCTTGCTGAAGCTACCGTTGCTCATTGCATGTCCCCATTCATCGATCGGGCCACCATCCAGGTACCGATCGACATCGACGATGCGCGGGACGCACGCACGATCGGCAAACGGCCCATCTGGCTCCGGCGACCACTGTAGGAAATCATACACATCGTCCGTGAGGATGAGCGCATCGTATCGCCGGGCAATCCGAACCAGACCCTCCCTCCGCCGCAGCGACATGATCTGACCGGATGGATTGGCGAACGTCGGCACTGCATAGATGACATGCTTGTAGATCTTACGCCAGGGCCTGGCGGGTTTCAGCTTCTGCAGGTCGTGTCAGTCGACAATGCAACAAATGCCACCGTGGGATTCCACTGTGACGTCCACTCATGTCCTACCGGGTGGGTATTGCCCTCGTGTTGGGCTGCTGCCTCCGCGGCCTGAAGACCCTTTTCCAAGAAGTCCAGATCGATGCCTTCGTCATCTTCCGGGATCCCTCTCAGGCGGCCGGCGAAGCCGGCGTCGTCCATGATACGCGCGGCCAGGAAATAGGTCGGTGCCACCATCCATACATTGCGGGTGTAAATGGGGTCTGTGAACACTTGGAGGACGCAGGCGAGGTTCTGACTCGCGCCGCCGGTGATGCAGATCCGGGAGGGGGTGACCGGTGCGCAAGGCTGATAGAAGGTACTCAGCCACGCGGCTATGTGCGCTCGTAGAGATTCATAGCCCTCGTCGGCCCCGTAGTGTAGGGCTGTGTCCTTGACGGAGGGGTTGGTGAGGGCGGCCGTGGCGGAGGTGCGGAGTAGGTTGGCGGGGAGCAGCGCGGGGTTGGGCCACCCACTGGACAGGTCGATGTTGTCCATAGTCATGCAGAGAACAGGTTAATGTTACGGAGAAAAAGGTTCAGTGGATCCGAGATCGGAATAGTCATCCATGGATCAGAATCAGGAACCAGTCCACGGGTGCGTATACCTGACTCCTGGGCAGTTCCAAGGTTGGAATATGGATGTTTACATCGGAATATTTATATTTATACAGTTGAGGTATGAAATATCTTCCCAGGTTCCCTCATATATTCATCCTCATACGCCATATATGTGTTGGCTTCGCTCATCCATGATGGTCCCCATATATATAACGGATATGTTCCGCAGATCCGTAAATACGTTTCTGTTATATATTCCAGCCAGGCTATCCTTGACCACTGCATTGTCTGGAGTACTGGTTACTCTCACTATTTTAATGTTCCAGGTGGGCAGCCTTCCAAGGTTGGACGCTACCTAGTACCTGCTCTTAAGAGTTTGCACCATAGTATTCTACTACTACTTACATTGACATTTACCCAACACCCGGGCAGGACACAATGAATAATGTATAACCAGCATACAGAAGATATCCACCTTATAACAACGTATATAAGTGTTCGTACGAGGTAATTTATTGGGCCCACATCCAAGACATGCACAGCCAGGGAACCACAACGGGACCTGCTGCGAGGTCTATTATTGGCAATAGACGTCGGAACTGTCTTTTTCACCTTTTTTCTTTTTCCTTCATGACCTGTAACTTATAGATGGGGAATACGGAGTACACAGGTATCATCTCCGATATTAAAAAAAAAAGAGGAACCTAGAGGCCGTCTCTCCTATTCTCCCCCCTAAATATTTCCTCGGTCCTGACTTTCTCCCTTACACATCAGCCTCATCCATTCTCAGTTGCCATTCTTGAACCCGCCGATCCATTCCCCGATCCCCCCCTACCCCCTCTGCCGCCAAGTACACTCCATTCCTCTATGCGTTGACCTTCCCTCTTCCTCCGGGCTCCCCCAAACTCTACCCAACACTCTCATCACCCAAGATGTTATCGGCTCCCGTTAAGTCGGCGAAGCGTATCTCCTCCCTGTTCTCGCTGGGATCGAAGGATCGAGAGTCACAATCTTCCCCTGTATCTCCTGGGTTCCCAGAGACCGAGAAGCGACGGAGAAGCAGCTCAAGGCCGACGCGCCATGTCTCAACGCCCAATGCTGTATTCTCCGAACCCCGAACTATGCCCAGCCCACTAGACATGGAAAGTCTACCCCCACCACCCTCCCTCATGGCCGTCAACCAGGACCTGGCCAGCAGCGCCCCCAGTTCACCTGTCGGGCGACCACAAAGTCGGGGTCGGGAAATGAGCAGACCGTCCAGCTCCGCTGGGCTCGCCATCCCGGGGTCCAACCCCGAGTCTCGCCCAAGCACCCCGTCCAAGCGCAGAAGTTGGATGCCCGGCAGGTCGCGCGCAAGCTCAATCGACAAGCGCCCGACCCCTATGCTGCCGGCTGCGTGGATTGCCGGATTGGACCAGAAAGTAGTCTATGACCTTTCGCCCCTGTCGAGAGGAGAACAGGTACGTTAATTACGGGAGGTGAACATCCGGCCAATCTGAAGCTGACTCGCAAACTCTAATTTCCCAGATCCCTGAACTGTGGAACGAACAGGGTGACACCTATGTCTACCTCTTCCCCCAGAATACCGGACGCTCCGCTTCGTTCAAGGTCGACTCTACCATATTCGCCGAATCCCCCTCCCTCACCTACCTCGCCCGCGGCAGCGATGGGAAAACGAACGGCATCGAGCAGCAGACTCGAACCCTCTCGCTCTCCAACCCCATGTCCCCGCCATTGACACCGCAGGATCGGCTGGAAGATGACAATGACAATGATAGCTCGGGAAGCCAGAGAATGGCGTTCGATGATAGCCCCGAGGAATTGCAGGAACTCCACCTCTACCTGCCCATCCCGCTCAACTGCGACGTGTCGAACCCCCAGGCCCGCCTCACCCAGGAAGACACCGAGACGCTCCTTTTGTTCCGAAACCTGTTTGCCTTCCTTTTGGGTCAATCTTTGATCGCATCCCCCAAGTCGGCAACACTCTTCTCCATCTTCATGGACGTGGCAGTCCTTTTGGCCCGTTTTGAATTCTCGAACCTCGATCAGTCCAACTTTGGTGAGACTGCAACCTCGAGTTTCAGCAACTACTGTGAAGAGCTCCGTTTGGCGGATGTCCGCCGAAGCAGAGAGAAGACAATCGAGGCCATCGTTCTTGGTGAGCGTTTGCGCTACTACCCGCTATATGTGGAGGGCTTTGTCCACGGTGTTGGGAAGTTGGATGAGCTGAAGCAGCTCCGAAGCCCCAAATATACCTTCATTCACCCCATCACGCAGAAACGCATGGAGCGTGCCTTCATTGACCTCGACACCCGTCTCCGCGGCCTCTACGGCAAGCTGGCCGATTTCGACTTCCCCTCGGTGTTTTCCGGTTTCGCCAACTCGACGACCTCCGCCGAGAGCAAAGTCGTGCGGTTCAAGAACTGGAAGACCGGCTTCCACGAATTCCGCCGCTTTACTATTCAATACTACAGACAAAAGTACGGCTCATGGCCCCCCAAGGCTCGGTCCAAGAAGAACGAATTCGAAGAGAATGGTCTCAACCGTTCCCTCCTGCTCGATCTGTACCACGACTTCACCGATCTCTACGATCTCATGGTGGATCGGACGTCTTTGACCACGCGCACGATCGATATCTCGGGGGCAGGCAGCTCCACTCCCTCCGAAGATCCCAAAGAAATCACTGTCCGTGCCCTGCGCCACGTCCTGAGTGAATACGACCGCAGCACTCCCCCCGTGCTTCCGCCCATTCCATTCGACATTCCACAACTGCCTTCGCTGCAGCCCCTCCACAGGAAACCCCTGGACGCCAAGAAAGAGGCCAAGCAAAGCGGCAAGAAGCTCAAGAGCTCCGATATCAATGCCGTGCTGATGGATTCCTACACCCGGGAGGCAATGCGACCCACCCCCTTCATTGAGAGCTTCATGCAATTCGAACGTCGCTCAGCCCATGGCAAGAGCGTCAATGACATTCTTGACCTGCGTTGTGGTCAGTGGATCTTCCTCTACGCCGTGATTCAGTCCCTGCCCATGCTGGTTGTCGACGTTCCCGAGGTCCACTACACCGACGGCGTCGAATACTTCCTTTGCATTGCCCCCCGTGGTGGTGCGCCCTGGATCCAGAATGACACCAAGACCGCTCGCAGTTGGTTCGGAGTCGCAGGTGGTGCTGGTGTCGTCAGCCTTCCGTCCGATGTTGTCATCAACGGAGTGGAAGGTGTATATCGCCGCAGTCACTGCTGGCAAGTCGCCGAGCAATGGGCCGACGTAGGCGCCCTCCTCGATCCCCCCATGGTCGAAGACGCCGCCTACGACGACGAGGAGTCTTCCATCTCATCACCCTACCAGGGTCCACACTCTTCCGTTGGCTCCTCCTCCGAGCCACACCCCAACATGGCCGCCCCCGGCGCCCTCTCCCCTCCTCCTCCCGCCATCCCGCGCACCCGCTCACCGGGCGCCGCCCAGCGCTCCGAGCAACACCGTCACTCGTTCTACCCTGGTCTGGAAGCTCTCCCCTTGCCAGCAGGCATCGCCCCTATCGAGCCTCCCACTCGTCCGATCAGCCGGTTCAACCCGAACATGAGCTTCGACGACATCTTGCGGGAGGTGCCGAAGAAGGACAAGAAGAAGAACTAATCCTTACACTTTTTTTTGGTTTCGGATCCCTCAAACACTGTTCATAGGCGCATCGGCCGGAGCACAGGAAACTAAAAGCCATATTCTCTAATTGGGCATGGAGAGCATATTATAATCAACATATCCAGCATCAGCATCTCCGGAGGAGGGTCTCTTTTCTGTTATTTTTCCTTTTTGTTTCGCTTCGGATTCCCCTTCGCGTAATCTGTGATATTGGAGACCGTTAGAAATATAGATTTAATATCTGTACAATGGGCTCGAGCAGTGTAGAGTGTAAAACTGTAGACCGCAGGATCGTACCCCGTACCCCCTACTCCGTACTTTGTCGGCAGTTTCTACTCTTCTCATTCTCCAATCAACGGGCGACTATCCCGTAATTTCATGCAGGCGCGGAGGAAATACGAGGACTGGCACACCTGCACAGCCCTTCTAAGATCTTTCACGTAGATCTCTTCCAGACCTGGACACAAGGCTCTGTCAATTGAGCTTGTCTTTAGCCCCGTTCAAAAATCAAAAAAATGGACTAACAAAAAGCCCAAGTCCACGAAAAAGACAAAAGAACCAAAAAAAAAAAAAAACCTCAACATGCCACCCTCCAGCATAACCAGCGATAATGAACGACTCGAACCGCGCCTTCTCCGCGCAGCAGAAAGCAACGACGTCCCCTCTCTCCAGCACATCCTCGCCCTCGCCACAGAATGCAACCAACTAAACGACAACTTCCTCCGAATAGGACTCATGCGCAGCGCCGAGCGCGCCGGCTACACCGCAACCCAATATCTCCTCTCCCGCGGCGCCAAAACAGACGTCGCCTCGAACCGCGTAACGCCACTCCACCGCGCCGTCGAGCGAGACCACTACCCGATCGTGGAATTGCTCCTCGACGCAGGTGCCAGCCCCAACACCACCGACAAAGAGGGCCGCACGGCCCTCATGACCGCCGCATGGAAAAACCACGTCGATATCCTGCAGCTGCTGATTGTGCGCGGGGCGGATGTGAATGCGTGTGATGCGCGGAAGAGAAATGCGCTGCATAATCTTGCGGCGGATAAGGCTTGTCGGTGGGGGTGGGGGGAGGAGGTGGTGAGGTATTTGTTGGCTGCGGAGTGTCGGGTGGATGCGCAGGATGAGCTTGGACGTACGCCGTTGCATTGGGCTTGCGCGACGGGGAATGCGAGGTTGGCGGAGATGTTTGTCTCAGAGGTTGGTATTGATGCTGTTGAGTTGAGGGGGAAGACGGCTTTGCATGTTGCTACTGCGCATGATCGTGATGATATTGTGAGGTTGTTGTTGGCGCATCGTGCGGATATTAATGCTACGAGTGATGGTGGTTGGACGCCTTTGCATAATGCTTGTGATAAGGGGTGTGAGAAGATTGTGAGGATGTTGTTGATGGAGGGCGCGGGGATTAATGCGCAGCTGTTGAATGGGGTGACGCCTTTGCATCTTGCTGCTCAGGGGGGTCATCGGGAGGTGGTGGAGTGTTTGCTTGAGAGAGCGGATTTAAAGAGAAGAGTGAGGGATAACTTTGGGAGTACGCCCTTTCTGCGCGCGGCGCAGTTCAAGAGGAAGGACGTGGTGCTGTTGCTTGCGCCGTTCAACAATGTCGAGAGTCTGTCCGAAGATGTAAAGGGGGCGTGTGCGGCGTTTGATGCGACGGTGGTGGATTTCGGCAACTTCCACAATGAGAATCGAGTCAAGCGCATGTCTGTCTTCGAGCTGCTGTATGGCAGAGACAAGGAGAACCCGCGGAAACAGGCTGTCACGACCGTCCCGGCTGATAGTCGAGCCACCGAGTTCAGGTGGATTCACCTGCCGGCCAACAATATGGCCTGGGTGGAGGCTTTGCTCACCAAGTCGTTCATCGAGGAGGGAGCCCACGACGTGGATGGCTTCAAGGGCCTGGAGAAGTCGTTCAATTATCAGCACCGTGGCCAGAGGACGCACTCGCACTTCATGCGGCCGCTGTGTCAGAATACACCACGCAGAATGCTGCGACGTCACGAAGAGGACACCTCCGAGGAACCGGTGTCTGATCATGGACACGCCAAATCCAACGACCGTAAGCACAAGAGCCCTGGCAAGATTGAACGAGTCGATTCCTACGACGACGATGGCCCTCACGGGAAGAAGAAGAACCAGAAACGGGGAAAGTCAGGCAGCGCACCAGGAACCCCCAAGAACGAAGTCAAGGGCAAGTCGCCGTGGGAGAAAGCAAAGTCGTCTCTCTCTTCATCAATGTGTAAAGAGCCTCATCCCCTGGTATCCACTTGCAATGTCTGCGTCTTCATGCCCTACCTACATTTTGAGACCACCGAGCGACGACAGAAAATGCAGGATGCGATCTCCCGAGCAGAGACACTGACATTCCCAAGTACAGCCATGAAGCGAATGCGGACAAAAGATGAGATGCTGATTGATGCCCATCTCTCGTCCTCGACAACCTCGCTACATGTGCGCCGAACACTGGATCAATTCTTCTATCCCAACATTGACACCCAGAGCCGCGACCAAGACCAAGTGGTGTTCCGATACCAGACCAAAAGCCCTGGCATGGGATCCGATCCCAAGATTTTCATGGTCGATCAACTGTGGATGTGGGTTTTGGGCACGAATCTCATCGTGACGGCCTTCCCACAGAGATGGGATCAGCCGAAGAACGACCCACTAAATGTACTAGACGGGATTATCGAGGACATCAACTCCAAGACTCGAGACCCCGTTCGCTCCGTGTACGACCTGGCGATGATCATCACCAATCGTTGCTCGGGCGTGTTCGATCGCCATCGGCTGGGCGACGAGGAGTATCAATTTTTGGATATGTTCGAGTCATCTATCGGCATAGCAACGGATAAGGAAACACTTCTCTTCAACCAGTTCAACCACGCCTCCGTTCAGGCATCGGACTGGCTCAAAAGCCACCGCAAACTTGACGGATCTTTCAGCTCATCCCGTACGAAATCCGTCGATGGGACGGACGAAGACGGCCTGAGCAGCGATTACTGCGACGAATATGGCCAGCCATTGTTCGTTGACCGACTGCTCGATATCGGCCAGGAGACAGATCTCCTCGCAGAGACAAAAGATATTCGCGACGAACTGAACATGATTCGCACTGTACTGGAGCATCAGAAGTACGTGCTGATTGACTTCCAAGATGTAACCTGCGAGACATACCAAGGCCAGAACCGCTCGCAAGTCGACGTCAAGAAACGATTCAAAGACCAGCAGCGCGTCATCGACATGCATCTGAAAGACATCGATCGCATGGACAAACAAGCCGAGCGAATCTACCACTCCATCACGGACCTGCTAGATCTCAAGCAAAAACACGCCAACGCCTTCGAAGCCCGCTTCGCTCGCGATCAAGCAGCCGGCACAACCCGCCAAAGCAAAACAATCATGGTCTTCACCATCGTCACCATCGTTTTCCTACCCCTCTCATTCATCAGTTCAATATTCACCATCAACCTGAAACAATTCGAGAATCTGAACCTGGGATACGTGGCAAAATACACCTTCGGAATCGGCTTTGCGATCTCCATCCCTCTCGTCTGGGTCGCTTTGACGGTCGATGATATAGGCGGTTTCTTCCGCGTGAGCAGTCGACGCTGGCGGTCGAGAAATAAGCCTCCCGCGGAGCAGACATCGATCCAGGCCTTGGAAATGGAGAGGATCATTAGTATTTCGCGGATGCGTCGTAGTGTGGATGTTGAGTATCGTGGGAATTTGCTGCCTCTTTCGACGCGCGGGTCCGTTGTCTCCAGAGGTCCGGAGTTGTATCCTGCTGGACTGGGGATTTCACGGAAGAGTTATGATTTACGATCTAGTCAGGACTATAGATCACGATGATATAATGAATTTATGATTTTGCACAGCGTGTTGACAGAGGCTACAGGCATCACTGCGTTTGTTAAACGAGGGTATGTATGAATTCCAAGAGCCTATTTTGTTTTCTCGCAGAATCATACTCAAATCTTCATACGACGTGTCAGATGAAACGAACGAGAAATTTGCTGAGAGACCGACTTCACGGACATCGCCGCGATGTCATTTTCGGCCCCAATAAGCCCTGAAGCGCAATGAGCCTCTCAATGCGTGCAAGACCCATTTATATTGGGTCTAAATCGTCTCGACAGCCAATCAAGTACCGTCGCAGCAAAGACCTAGAACGGGTTAGCTTCGAGGCTGAGTGGATGTCGATCACTTCACGTCAACTGCAGAAACATTAATGGGGCACCGGGCAGTAAGCAACAGCCTTATGCCTTGGTTTTGCTTAGCGTGTACCTAGGTATTCTCACTGGCTTTGACTCGCTGTGCATTCCGTATCCAGGTTCTCCACTGCACGAGTAGCATATAGATTACCTTTCTCAGAAGCCAGCTCGTATCATCACTTGGCGACGTTAGAGCGCTGGCCAATCTCCACGTACCAGACTAAGGTTCATGTTCCATCAGCCCTAGATGAAGCTATACTGGCATAGCCGGGTGGATGCTTGGCCTAAAAATATTTTGTTGATGAAATTTGTGCGATGTGGGCTGTACTTTAAAAGGGCGTGATGACCCCGGAGATGAAGGTCATTCTTCTCATCAACTATTCATTCTCCCAATATCGATCCTTGATACGCTTAGATATTGAGATCTCAAACATGTCTTCAGCTCACGATGACTCGAATCCCTACTACACATTCTACAAGCCCTCCGTGGCAGCGGCTTTCGTCGTCGCGATCCTCTTCTGCATAACCGCTCTGGTCCAAATATGGAGAATTATCCTAACACGCCAATGGTTTGGAATTGTAGTCCTAGTTGCTGCCGCCTGTATGATTTCCCTCTTCCTCATCCAATGACCTTAATTTAATCTGACCACCATTCTACAGTCGAAGCTGTCGGTTTGCTTGCGCGAGCCTATTCAGGCAAACACCTTGACAAGAAATCGCCATTCGAAATCCAAACTCTTCTCATCTTCCTCGCACCCATTCTCTTCGCCGCCTCAGTCTACATGTTCCTCGGTCGTGTGATCCGCAAATCAGGACACCCAGAACTATCCTTCATCCGCATTCGCTGGGTAACTCCAATCTTCGTCATCGGCGACATCTTCTGCTTCTTCATTCAAGCCGTCGGCGTCGTGATCTTGCTCCGTGCGGAATCTCAGTCCAAATTCGACCTTGCCAAGGGTATCATTCTAGCTGGTCTAGCGCTCCAGCTATTCTTCTTCGCCGTCTTTATCCTGGTTGCTGTTGTTTTCCACCTCAGACTTAATTCCAGGGAGAAGTCTGGACATTCAGGTGTGAATTTGACAGTCAGGCTTTGGAATCTGTATTTCTGCAGCTTCCTCATCACGGTCCGGAATATTTACCGGTTGGTGGAATACATTACTGGTACGGACGCGTATCTCTCCAGGGTTGAGTGGCCTACTTACGTCTTGGATGTTGGATTGATGTTGATCATCATGATTGTTTCTAATTTGTGGTATTTCCCGAAGGGGAAGGATGTTTATGAGCCTATATATCCTCTTCCAGCAGTGCGCAGGGTACCACCGAGTGCCATGGCCTAGCCTATACCAGTTAGCTCATCTTGTTATTCAATTTGAAATTTTATGAAGTTGCTCATGACGCTCGTTGACGTATCTTTTTGCAATGAAACAGGACGAAAAAATCTAGAGAAGTCAGTACCTAGGTAATCAGAACCTTGGAAGAGAGCGTGTATGGACATGGCGGTTATCTGAAGGAATTCCTCACTTCTGGTCCACGACTGTAAATAGAGTAGAATTGCTCCGTAGGAAGACACCCTAGTTTTGTACGATATCCTCTTCGGACATTGATCTTGAGCATGGCACAAGGATTGATTATTTTAAGCGCAGTATCTATTCTTAGCCATGTTGATTGGACAATAGTTTGAGTGAACACTCATCCATGGATCCATGTTTCATGTTTCATCACGCAGACGGCGGCTAAACTGGCGGCTAGGGAAAAGCATAAATATGAACCGTATACAGACACTTCCAACAAGGTGTAAAGAATTATCTATTCCTTCAAAGTTACAAAGATCCTTCAGACGACATCCAGCCCAGCTAGTGTCGATTTTTGTTGTATCATTCAAAACTGCCAGCAAAATGCCATCCAATAAAGATCGTCTATATGTTGGACTCTACGCACGTGGAGGCAAGCCTAAGATGATAGGCCAGGAAGATAAGTGAGTTCAGCGTGTACATGCTTACCCGGAAATTAAGGGTTGTAAGGCTGATGTCTTGTCCAAGTTAGATACCACTGGGGATTGATTGTGGGGCCAAAAGTCGAGCCGGAGAATGGCAAGGGGATGCGTTACCACGCAAAGGAGACGCCCAACTTGGAAGGAACCGGCTCTCAATGGGGTTTCGAGGAACGCGAGTGTTCACTCGCCCCTTCTAGCATGCTGCTAGTCCGTATCATTGTTGGAAAGGTAACGCATGGAAATCGCACAGTCGAAATTTTGCGAAATACGCCTATTCGGCAAGGCCAACCAGGTTGGAATTGCGTGTCGTGGGTGAAAGAGGCTCTGGAAATGCTGGAGGGCGATACCAAGGCTTTAGGCACCCATGTCGTTGAATGGGAAAAGGTACGCAATGGAGCGATGGATTATTGTCAGCAGAAGAAAGACCAGCACCGTTTCGATGGCCAGGGCAATTCTGATAGGAAGAGGACTCCTACCTATGATTTGATGGATCAGAAGGAGATTAATGTGTAAGGCATTAGCTAGCAGGATTAATTAAATTCTCCAAACCGTATTTGACGAATTCGTTCCATTGCCAACTCTTCGGGCATTGGTTGTAGGAATTTGTCAATCTCATCGGCCCAAAAAGACCAGAATAGGTGTACTTGGTTGGCAGACGTGTATTCCCAATATGATGGGTACCAGCCAGCAGTTTCCCAGTCAATAATACCAACGATTTCATCTCCACGTGCAAGAATGTTAAGGCTGCTCAGGTCGCCGTGGGTAAGTACCAAAGGCCAAGATTTTTCATGCCATTTGATCAGTTCTTGAACATCAAGATCAACTCTTGAGTCAAATTCCATGCCCCTGCGTAAATAACGGTGGAAATCTTGGACAGTATCATAGGGACCAAAGCGCAAAGAAGGACCCGGAAGACGACAGTCGTAAATCGATCCGTCATCAACAGACGCTATTCGAGTGCCTTCCGGAGGCCGAATATCGCGCATTTGTTGAACCAGCCCTGCTAACTGCGAGAGAAGTTTCGCCTTCGACTCTTCACTTCGTCTCAGCCACCCATTGGAAATCATATCACCCTGAATCCTCTCCATCACGATGTACGTCCGACCGGAATGAGTAAACGCACATATGACTTTTGGCACCGGAATAGATGTGTGTTGCGAGATAAAGCGCATTGTTGATGCCTCGGACAAATGAACGCGACTCCCGTATTTAACGCAAACCCGGCTTGTCAACATGAGAACGCACCCCGCTCGAGGTCGAATCCGTTTCAGGATTTTAATCGCTGCTAGCGTCGAACACCGGCATAAAGCAGTGTCGTTAAATGATTTGGGTTGGCTCAATGAAGTAGCGGATGGCGAGGGAGGTTCTTTTTGGCCTGACGACATTGTGATTGGTTTCGACGCAAGGTAAACGCTCAAGAAGAATTGAGATTGCTTTGAAGAATAGACATGGTATTGGATAGTAAGTAATGGTGTTCGAGGAGTTGATGGTATTGAAATAGAAAGCTTCCAGCTTCGATAAGAAGTGACAATATGTGAAATGCAGTACACGACTCCGAGCCCCAAAGGGCGCTGCGATGTGATGTGATGCGATGCCTGATTTCCGATTTAGTGTCTGGTGCGATGGGTTAATGGTGGGAGAAGAAGAAGGTTGTCAGAATGCTGTGACGATATGGAACCATGAAAATGCGCGAGGGAGAAGGAGGGTGAGTCCCCGGGGGAGCTATGGGGTCACGTGTCGAGGTGCGGGCCGAGGTTTAGTGCCTGCGTTTCCATGGTACGAGCAGACCATCCATCCATGGATTGCACATTGTCGTATTGTCCAAAAGTGCAACTAGGCCATCTTTTGAAACCATCCCTTTTCACGCTTGAGCATGGGGATAACCATCTTCACCTGGGCAACATCGCAGTGGGACATTTGTGCATGGCGCCCTGACAGCTCTTGGGCCCACCGCCTCGCCTGTCAATTGGTCTAGATTTGGCCCCCATACACTGTGGTCCGTATTCACTCTAGCTCATGGCTAATCTTTCTCAGAAAATGATTGGAAGTCCCGCTGCAGAGAACAATGCGATATTACTGGACAATTGCTGTCCGAGATGCACCTGAGCGGCTGAGCGTGTCCTAGCGCGTAATCGATCAAGTGTCATGAAGCCGTCCATCTCACCCGTGTTCGTGAGAATCGCAAGCAAACTTCACAACCTTTCTTGCGGAAAGGACTCAGTCACCTGGCTTGCCTGTAGGGCTCCTTGTGATGTGATTTCTTCGATGAACTTGAGACACTCATTCTCTTGGCATATATCTGTACAGCCACCACCGGACCCGCCGAGCTCTTCCAGCAGGATTTCCACACGAAACCAAGTACAACTGTGCCAACGCCAAACTTGAGCTACAAGGCGTATTTCACGTCGCTTGGTCTCTTTCTTCACTGTGTATTCTCGTGCGACTTCGCCGCACACTGAAGACTTGACCAAGCAGGAGTCAGTCCCCGAACCCGAATATACCAATAGAGACTCCGGCCTCTTGCAGTGGTAGGAGATATCCTGCACAACACAAGCAGAGAAGCTTTTGATCTCGGCCTGCCTTTGGCAAAGAGGATACTTTCCAAAAGTCATGCTGGGTGACCCCTTCACCAAACCGGAAGATGAACCAAGCGCTTCACTTTCAACTGTGGTGTCAAATGGCGACTTAAACGCCATCAAGACACTACTTGACCAGGGAGCTGATGTGAATGCGCCCGGTGGTATATACGGGAATGCACTCACCGTGGCAGCTTCCCGCGGGAAGTTAGATGCTCTAAGGCTCCTACTTGACAGAGGTGCTGATGTGAATGCCACCGGTGGTGATTTTCAAACCGCCCTCCAAGCTGCAGCATTCCGCGGGAGGCTAGATGCCGCCCATCTACTACTTGAATGGGGGGCCGACGTCAACGCAGCCGGCGGCGCTGCCATCCAGTGTGCAGCACGCAGTGGGGCTTTGGATGTCATTGAGCTTCTTCTTGACCATGGAGCAGACATAAATGCCCAAGGCGGTGTTTATGGAACAGCGCTACAGGCTGCGGCATTAAATGGGAAGTTGAACGGCATCGAGCTACTCCTTTCCCGAGGGGCTGATGTGAATGGCTCCAGTGGTGAATATGGAAATGCCCTACAAGCTGCGGCAGACCGCGGAGACCTGGATGTCATTGAGCTACTTCTTGACCGGGGGGCTGACTTGGACGCCTCCGGCGGCAGGCATGGCAATGCTCTCCAGGCTGCTGTAGTCCGTGGAAATTCGGATATCGTCAAGCTACTCCTTGACAAGGGTGCTGATGTCAATTCCGCCGGCGGCTTTTATGGAAATTCACTTCGAGCTGCCATACTGAATGAGCACTTGGATATTACCGTGTTGCTCCTTGATCGAGGGGCTGATGTGAACGCCCCTCAGAACGAGCTTGGAAATTACCTTAAAGCTGCATCGCTGATATGCGGTAAATACCCTGGGGACTTTATCAAGCTACTCCTGGACTCGGGAATCGACGTGAAAGCTCGCGGTGCGGCTGCTCTCCAAATTTCAGCACGCAGGTGGGACTTGGATATCGTCCAGTCACTCCTTGGCAGGGGAGCAGATGTGAACGCTAAAGACAATGCATACGGGACTGCCCTTCAAGGCGCTGCATATGGAGCCAATAAAGGGGCCCTTGACATGATCAAGCTACTGCTGCATGCGGGGGCAGATGTGAACATCCAGGCTGGTGATTTTGGAAATGCTCTTCAAACCGCAGCATACGCATCCCTTGGAGAATTGGATATCGTTGAGTTACTTCTTGATAACGGGGCAGACACAAATGCCCATGGTGGTAGATATGGCTCTGCCATTCAAGCTGCCGCATGCGCCCCACGTGAAAACTTGGACTTGATCAAGCTTTTGCTTGACCGGGGAGCAGATGTGAATGCCCCGGGAGGTCGGCATGGCTCTCCCCTCCAAGCTGCAGCTTCTATGGGGCGTCATAGAACTGTCAAGCTACTCCTTGATCAGGGTGCCAATGTTGGCCTTGGTACAGTCGATCACCAGGGTTCGTCACTACTACATGCTGCTGTCGCTTGCAAGGACACTACAACCCTGGACCTGCTCCTTGAAAATGACGCGCATGTTTACATCAATCACACCAATTCCTTCAAACAAACACCACTCCATGTTGTTATTGATCACCCCGAGTCCTTTCAAAGTTTCACGAGCTCTTTGGATTTGTACCTGAAGAGAAAGAACGGAGACGCCCTGACCCTATTCCGCTCTGCTATCAACAAAGAAGACGCTGATGGATGCACTCCTTTACACCGTGCTATAGAGAATGACTTCCTGGAGGCCGCAGAATGGCTCATCGGTCACGATGCCAGCGTCGAAATTCTAGACTTCAATAACGTCGCTCCGTTTCAGCGCGCCTCTCAGTTGAAGAATTTCAGAATGATGAGTCAAATTTTCCCCTGTCTGAACAAAGACCTTGGAACATTCGACCAATCCATAAAGGCAGCAGATTGGAGAGCCTCTATACCGTCGGATTGGAAAGACAACATTGTCCTGTCTTTAAATCCTTCCAAGATGCTCCCAGTGCAAGCTATGGATGGTCGGGAATTGGCAAAACACTTTTCTACCCTGTCATATCCCTTGGATTACTCCATGACAAGCGTGGCGGCACAAGGTGATGAATGTATCGCAACTGCTCCTTTTCAAAGGGCTCTCGTGTAAGGCTTCCCGTATCATGACAAAATGGGATATTCGCTCATCTTTCCAGTCTTCTCAAAAACGATAGTCTTCTCAATCACCCTTCCAGTGGGGTCTATTGGCGATGGTGGCGTAAAGCATTGACCGCACAGCCCGAGATGCCAACTATGGGGACTAAGAACGACCGCTCCAATTGGAGAGTGCAGCTCAATAAGATTCCAAGTGCGGTAGCTTTGGGTCAGCCTTCTCGAGCGGAATGTAAGTACAAGCTACTTTGACCCCTTGTGAACCATTGATACTGATGACTTTCAAGGCTTTCTGGAGGGCCGCGTAATACTACCCTCATGCGAACTCGTCCAGACATCCACTCGATTAACGGCGTCATTTCTGAAAGTCAGGCCGAAGAACCATGCCATGATTTGGATATTGGTCAAGCCCGATGAAAATCGCCCGAAATCCACATCCGCACAGTCAAAGCTTGAATGCAAAGTCATTTTGACAACACTGGAGTACTGCGAAATGTCAACCTCGCCAACTCAGCTTTTCCGTCCTTGCATCGAACAGCTAGAAGACGAGTGGAACAGTATCTGCCGAGCTGCAGAAGATCATCTTTCTACGATGGTATGGAATTCGACCCCTACTCGTGTATCTTACTGACACCCAACTAGCGAAGTGAGACATTCCGCTCCAACGGAAGAAGTATAGGCTTGATTAGCGATCATCTGAGAGATGCCCAGACGTGGACCGACTTCAAAAAGCTACTTCAAGTGCAACTCTCAATTCTCCGATCGTTGTCTAGGGATTTTGATCAAAGGAACGGGCAAGTTCTTCAGGAGGGTTCTGGTACTTGGGGTAATGATCTGAAACCCAAATTCATGAGTGACTTGGAAAACACGGAATCAAGAATTACAGAGAAGTTTTTGGCTCTGAAAGAGACTTCTGGAGAGTTGATCGAATTGGTAAGTCGAATGAATCATTCGATACTATTGAATTTTACTGATGCTCTGACAGGAATTCAACCTTACTTCCATTGCCGAGGCACAGAAATCTACCACGATGAACAGGAGTATGAAGCGTCTCAGTTGGATTACTGTAGGCCTTTATATCCACCCCCGAACTTGAACGATCACTGACTTAGCATGAAGTTCATTTTCCTGCCTCTCATGTTTATTGCGGTGAGAACTCCCTATATTGAGCTCGAATATCTGCAAAAGAATGCAACTAACATTGACTTTAGAGTCTTTTTGGAATGAACATCGATATTCTCGAGTCAAACCCGGCTTGGTGGCTTTATCTCCCATTTGCCGCAGGCACTATCATCCTCACCTTATCTATATGGATACTCTTCAAGACCAGAATCGGCGTAAGTAGCTCCAAGTTCTATGGCTCTATTATTGCGCTACATGGCTGGCGCAACACCCAAATTATAACTGACACTTTGAGTACCAGTTGGAAGATACAATAGAGCAAAGATTGAGAGCTTTGTTTGGACGTGACAAACTTGAAGACGAAGAATCCTTGCGGCACGTTGACTATAGAAAGAAGAGGATGATGCAGTTTGCAAAGTCGGGAAAAAAGCGTTCTTAGCCTCGAGGGTTGGGCCTTGGGTTTTCCAAGGTTGTCAATATTTCAGATTTTTAAACATTTTTTGTAAATAAGAACCAAGCAGATGGTCCTATCAGACTGTGGACATCCGTCTTCTTCTTCCCATCCCCTTTCCACAGGCTCGGATATCTGTTGTGAATTTTGGGATGTGTAGAAAAGCCGGTGTTTTTCATCATGCCATCACAATCTACTTACTTCTTGTAACTAACAACGCTTTCAAGGCTCTCATATAACATATCACGATGCTGCAGGGCTTATGCGATACATCTTTGGCAAAAAGAATTGCCTCTCGGGCATCAGACTCTGCCTAAATCATGAATTTTTTGCGAGGGGCCAAAACAAGAATTCAAAAAAGAAAGGAGGGCCCGAACCGCGATTTGAACGCGGGGCCTCCTGCAGTTAAGCTGTTAACCCAAAGCAGGAATCATACCTGATGATTCGTTAGTTGATGCCGGTGGATTTGTTTGCGAACAATGCGCTTACCACTAGACCATCCGGGCTCCATGTGGCAAATTCCTTGTTTGTTGGGATTATCAACTGCCTCAAGATTGTTATAAGCCAAAAATACAAAAAATACAAAAACAATCGGAAAGATCCAAACAGGGTTTCTATCAGATAGGGAATGAAAAAAGAAATTCGACAAAAAAAGATGGAGGGCCCGAACCGCGATTTGAACGCGGGGCCTCCTGCAGTTAAGCTATTAACCCAAAGCAGGAATCATACCTGGAGCTTTATTAATTTATGTGTGTTGATACAGAGACGGAAAATTTCTTACCACTAGACCATCCGGGCACCGGTTGACAGGATCGCCCAGTTTTAGTTTATATTCCAAATGAGTAAAACCTCAAATAGTCACAAATACCCACAGCACCGCCCAATAAGGTCTGGATCTTTGAAAAATCTTCCCAGATTCTATTCATAGCCTCAAGGATAGTATAGCCCGATAGGATTCCATTGGTCTTGACTCCGTACGACGGAGATTAATTAACTGATCTTTTTGATTTCCCACTAGGGCATATCCCGCATACAATATGACTACATATACTGGTTCTGCTAGTCGAACTCCAATTGTTGACCAAGTTGCTTATTTCCTACTTGTAGTGCGATTATGTTGTCCAGGATTGGCTATCCGCCAAATGGAGGCGGCGGCGGGCTTAGATGTAAGTTGGATTTGATGGGGCTACACGCTCATGGTCGGACACACTTCGAGCACACGAGTTCCATTTCAAAATTCGGCACCCATATGGTGGATCTGCTAACAGATCTACATAGTGCCTCGGATATAAAACTCAAAGATTTGACAGCAAAAGGACTTCGGGAAGCAGCCGTCACGATATCGCAGTGCGCTGGCTTCTCCGGTGCACCTGGGCAGGGAAACTACACGATTCTAGCGTTTCAAGTGAAGAATTTGGCGATCGAAGGCCTGTCTGGCACTGGCAGATCAACACAAGCTGCAAGTCTGCAGTGCACCATGCACCAAAATCACAATTACTGATACCACTTTGCATCTTGAGAACGGTACTTTGGCAGCGAGCTATCTCTGCGGTAACGTCAAGAGTCCGACCGGGTTTGAATGTATCGGGGCGCCTTGTGTGGGTGGGAGCGCGACGGAGGAGTGCTAGTGTAATTGGTTCGATGCCAACACTTTTCTGAATGATTAGGGTGATATTGATTTGAAAGAAGATGAACTTTTGATTGGCTCTGAAAGGTATGATAACATTGAGCTTTTGGCAAGTATTAAAGTGGAATTCACGCCATTTCCTCGTCGGTTTTCAGGCTCGGCGATGATGTCTTCTTGCACCAGCGTTTCCAAGCCCGAGATGTATCGCCCATTGGAACGTTGAATGGAAGGGCATCTTGACACAGATAGTGCAAGACCGAGTAGTATCCAAGCAAGCTGGAGACGAAGGCGAAAGCGCCAGCAGCAGTCATGAGATTTGCGCTTTTCTCAACCAGCCCATCTGCCAGGACAAAGCTAGAAGCAGCATCAAAGACAAGACACAGCTCGAGTGTGAGGAACAGGAGGATGTAAACAATGTTGCTGTCATGCAGGATTAGCTCTCGATTCATGACGATACTCAAGAATACTCACAGGGTGCAGCTGGCCAACAAGAAGAAAAGATTGAAGACCGCCCAGACTAGATGTAAAAGTCAGAATATGAGCTTGATGACACAATTTGAGAGCTTACGGAGCACGAAGAAGCCGAGAGCGTTGTGGTACTCGGGGGTATACCCGCCATAAGCATCAGCAATACCCAATGCAGGGATCAGAATCACTCCGTAGCCACCGTAAAACAAGGCTGGCAAACGATATGTCAGCTAATCATCACCGAGACGGAAGATCAAGACCATATCACGTACCATAAGCAGAGAGTACTGTATAAGAGAATGTGTTGCCGCGGACCATTTCCCATTGTGCTGAGATCAGTAGACCAATTCCTGCCACAAAGCAAAGATCACCCATGAAGATCGTTTGGGAGAACACGCCGCGGAAATTCATCATTGCCAATGATACGGACAGCAAGGTTGTAGCGAAGCCACCCATTGCCAATGGGGCCTATGCGACGAGGCCACCAGGTCAGTATTTCGCACGCATGACGCCAACCATAGAAGTTGAGAAAAGGTCCATACCGGATTCGCAAGATGGGCCCCGGGCTTGACAGCAGCCTCCACTGGCCTCGAGACCATTGTTTGATTTTCCTTCTCGCTCGACATAGCTTTAGATAATATTGATGCGAACAATGCGCTCTAACTCAAAATTCCACCGGGCCGCTACCCCGGACATTATATACATCCACTCAGATCAAAAAGCCGACCTGACCCGATTGATCTGACATTCCCGAGGCATTGACTGTTGGGAAACAGAAAAAGTCGTTCTATGACAAATTTGAACCAGATGTGTCAAGAGTACGATGTGATCTGCAAGGACTCCGAGAGATGCAGTGGGGCTCCCCCCGCCTTCCCGGGGCATCGATTGGGGGGAAAACGCCCCCCAGAATGATCTTGCCGGTCCGGGCTCAAGTCTTAATTTCCATTACGCTACCGTTTACCCCAACGTGAAAATATCTGCACTCCTCACTTCAGCTTCATGTCGCACATCATTGCTTCAAGTTGGCCTGCAGGGGGGATCTATTGAACTCTTCCTCCATCACCTAATTGATACGCGTCAGCTGGGCATCTGTTCATGCGTCCGCACAGAAATGTCTCATTGATCTTCGTTTGGCGTCTGTCTGATGTGATATTGAACCCGTGGACGGACCCGGATTTCACAATCAGGAACGAGATGCTGCACGAAATATATGATACCTAGACACTCACTGGGCTATAAATGTACCATTTGAAAGAATTCAATTTTTAATTCAACCTCCCAAGGTTGAAAGTACATAATGGATATCCCGGGCTGGAAAGATATCAAAGTCCTCATACAAGAAATTTCAAGCATTCCAAGATTATGTTAACACAAGTCAGGCATGCGCCTAGAAACTAGCAGATCAATTGGATTTGCTACAAGCTGGTTTGAAAAAGCAGCTCCCACAAAGGGGTTTACGTGGTGCAGTGCCAAGTCGTCCACTTTAGCACCGCCAAGGTATCCCGTCATATTCCTTCCCAAATAGGAAGGTTTAGCATTCCCCATGATATACACCACCTGACCATCTGTCTTATCCCTATCGGCCTTCTCAACTCTACAAGATCTTGAAAAATTATTTCGTGTTGAATCTTGGCTAACAGACTATTATCTGCCGCCTAGAAAGTCATGGAAAGGCAAAAATCAGGTGAGTTACAAGCACTCACATCTAGATTCAAATGCCTTGATGGGCTCCAAGGTTGCCTTGTTCTTGAAGAGCTTGTGATAGACTGATTGTGCCGTCTTTACCTTGTGAGATTTGTGGAGCGCAAACGTAGTTTGACGCCGTAGATAGGACACCTGGAAACCTAGATTCAGTAATAGGTGCTGTAGCGTTGACGCCTACAGAGATATCACCTCCGCATATAGAGGACGAGCAAAGCCTTGGAAGTGGTGATCCTGCTCTCTTCCCCTTTTTTGCTCCCTATTTATCTTAATGGATTTTCAACGCCTGCTTCCGAAAGATCTCATTTCTTCGATCTTCTGTTATTCCAAGACATGAATGGTGATAGTACGGGAATTAGAGACTCGATATAAGAAAGATATGTGAGAACACTGCTCAAGTGGACAAAAACCAATCACATACGTGCGGTGCCGCGTGTCGCAGAGTTGTCACCGAAAGTGTCGACAGACAATGACAGGCATGCAAGGCATAAACGTGTGGTGTTATTGAAAGAGTGAGTGAGCATCAAAATTGAATGATCAAGAGAAGAAAGTAGGAAAAAAAAAACAAAAACATACAACAGTGAGGATTCGCTGGTGGTCACCCACCCAACTACTAACTCACCGGCGTGTGGCTTAAGTACGGCTGAGCGGACGGGAAGCCCTGTTTTCCACACCCTGTGGTCGTATGTACTGGTTTTGCACCCACGGTGGAATATATAGAAGGAATGCTCGGCATACCATGAATGATTTCGGGTCTAACATTGAAATAAATTATGTTACCGTCCCCTTATATATTGGTTTTAGCCAGTACAGATGCAAGACTTCTAGCCGTGAAAACCGTTTGAGCGACCACCCGGGCGCCGGTCCGAAGAAGTGGCCTAGAGGGGAAATGCTGGTATTTCGTACAATCCACCAACATACCGTGTTTTTGGGATCTGCATCTGGGGAAGAAGCACCAACACCAATAGCGTAATTTTCACGCAGATCAATAACACATGGGCGATCTATATCGTAGTCAGTTCTGCGCGATCGAATCGAAACACAGGAGGTTGGTATACTAGGAACAGAACCCCTCGGTGAATTAGTGGAGTGGTGCAACTCCGAAACAGCTGCATAGGCAGGGATAACAAGAACAGCGAACATGGTAGGATATTGAAAAATGACTCGAACAGCAGAGCAAAATCGAAGCCATTATGACACTCCGCGCCCACTGTCGGGCCAAAGGTGTCCTGCGCAACAATCACACATTGTTGCTGCCTTCTTTCTCCTCTTTGTTGAACAAAGAAAGTAAGCCGTTTTTAGCTCACTTGCAGCTATAGCATATTATTTCTCGCATCGCGAGTGGACTGAACGTGACTGCGGGAGTAAGCGCTTATTTGGTGTATATTAACATGCCCAACTCGGTTAGTTCATGTTTACAGCGTAGAGAGAAGACTATACACATCCGTTTCATCTAGCTTCTTTTCGCTATTTTTAACCAAAACTCATCTGTCGCTATACTTCTCATACAGGCAGCCGCAATAACAGGGATGTTGGTTAGGCGCCAGACTTTGTTGTAAACTCACTTGATCGCCTGGATTTGGTGTCCATGCTTCTTTTTTAGTAAACAGTCTATCCTTTTGACATTGTGATTGGTGGTGAGCTAATACATTCTTTTCTCATTCGAATCACACTCTTTTTCCGAGAATGAGGTTTTCACTATTGTTTTTGGTGCTCTTGTCGGGCGTCTTGGCTCGGGCAACTCCAGTCCAAACGGGTGTTCCCCAGGCTGCAGTAGTCCGCCGGGAAGCCACCACGACGGCGACCAACGCCGAGGCTACTACAGCTACAACAACGACAAATACGGAGTTTCAATTAACATTGAGCCTCGATTTGCCCACCAACACTTGTACACCGACCATAGCGCCCGACGAAAATGGCTATGTGCCACCATCAGAGTGTAACGCCTTGTACCTCTATTATCCGTCATTCAAAGCTGCCATTGCCGCCTCAGTGATTTTTGGGCTTATCCTAGCGGCGCACTTCATACAAGCAACCGTTTACAAAGCTGGATTTGTTTGGGTCGTACTCATGGGAGCTGCTTGGGAGTTTGTGGGCTATGGAACCCGCGCTCTCAGTACTCGCAAGCAGCAAGACAACACTATCGCGACCGTCACACAGATGTTCATTCTTTTGGCCCCATTGTGGGTCAACGCATTTGATTATATTGTGCTGGCTCGCATGATCAATTTCTTTGTCCCTGATCGTCGCATCGGCATTTTCAAGCCTTCGCTACTGGCCAAGATCTTCGTTCTCCTTGACTTCGGCTCCTTCATCATTCAAATGATTGGAGGTTTCATGGCCACTGGTACCTCTGAGCAACAAATGAACGGTATTCACGTTTATATGGTGGGCATCGGCATTCAGCAATTTTTCATTGTTTGCTTTGTGGTGCTCGCTGTCCAATTCCATCGATTAATGCTGAAGCTCGATCGTGCTGGTCGATTATTTGGTGACAAGCAGAAGTGGCGTAAGCTTCTTTACGTTCTCTATGCCAGCTTACTCTTCATCACTGTGCGCATCTTCTACCGCTTGGTTGAGTTCTCATCGGGCTACGGGGAGAACAACCCCATCCCTTACCATGAATGGTACATGTATGTGTTTGATGGTATCCCCATGGCATTGGCTATCCTTGTTTGGAACTTCGCGCCACCCGGGGCCGTCTTGAAGGGCCCCGACGCAGTGATGCCTTCCAGTGGCATTGGGAAATGGCTCTGTTGCAACGGCTGTGGCTGCTGCGGAGGATGCTGCTGCCGAACCTGCCGGAAGCGCGGTAGGGGAAAGAAGGATATGCTAAGGCTACCGGATCATGATTTCTATGGAGACGAGGTTCCACTGCACCAGCGAGACGCATCACCATATACCTAGGTAGGGACTCGAGATACTCCGGTCGCTGAAATCTGGTTGCTTTGTTTACTTCATCATTGTGATGTTTTTTCTTTGTCACGATTGCATTTTTGTTGATATATACCATTTTCTTTACTTGTTTATCTTCATCTTTCCAACTCCCGAGTCATACACTTGGTTCTGGGCGCAAAAGTTTGAAGAAGCAGCGTTCAGTGAAACGTGCTATGGGCTGTTTAGAGGCATCCCGGGTCTACTGTATTGAGCTGGCAATCATACTATCCATATATCACATCCAATTCCAACCGTGGAAGCTTTATATTTCGATATACCCAAGGTACGCCAAGAGATATTAACTTTAAGCTCTAAACTCTGAACAAACCCCCTAGAGATCACTGTAATGCCCAAGGATCGATGAGCTCGCACCCTCGAAGTGCGAAGGCAGCGAGTCCAAAGAGCCCAAGAATTCAACAACATCTCCACTGGGCTTTCTCAGGTTGGAATAGATATCACTGCCTTCTCCCGCAGTAGCCTGAGAAGGATAAAGGCCCATATGCTTCAGAACTTCCTCGGGGGGTGTCGTCCGCCGTCCATCTTTGAGCACATAGCGAGTCACCCCGACAGCGAGGATGGCCTTCTGAACGTCTGATCCGTCTTCGCCTTCTCCATCTTTGCGCAAAGGCCGCATCACACTCTTATGGGTTTCAGCCTTAACGAAGTAACCCTGGAGGTCTGTTGGAGATCACATTATTCTTGATCTCTTCTTCTTCCCTTTTGCTCTCAATTCTCTTGCTCTATCTCCGCTCCATCTCAATCAACTGATCGATCTCTCTCTCTTCTGCCTTCTATCAATCAGCACCGTGAACAGAGCACCCGTTGACAGTACATATATATAATGACCCCCATTCAGCATCACGTATCTAGTTATTCATGTTCAATTACAACACGTTGACTTGAGATAACCCCAGGTCTTTCAACGTATAGTTCACCTTAAGACGGCCCAACTTACAAGGGGAGGGAGAGGCGGACAAATGAGCCAGACAAACCCACACGTTACAGCAATGGTAATCACTAAACAAATCTTCTTGTCAAGCTTTGCCCACCAACATGACCAGATACAGTGTATATTCATAACCCGTAATTTACGCTTTTCCACATGAAGCTTCTCTGGCCACATCACTATGGTTCGAAAGCCCAAACCCAACTTCCGTGACAGTTTGGAAAGAACGTCACTCTGGGTGATCCGGACCAGCAATATCAGAACCTCCATTGAAAGCCGTCAAATTGCCCCGGCTACTGTCATTGTCGTAGCAGTACGAAGGTAATAGGAGGTATTGCAACGGCGCTGTTGGAATAAAAATTTGGTTACATAGTAATCTTGAGGCGCAGCCCTGGAGCTGTGCACGCTTTTCAGTTCCAAGGTTGATTATTGTCAGTACGAATATATTTTTCTTTTGCCATCTGCCTTGTACATACGACCACAGGGTGTGGAAAACAGGGCTTCCCGTCCGCTCAGCCGTACTTAAGCCACACGCCGGTGAGTTAGTAGTTGGGTGGGTGACCACCAGCGAATCCTCACTGTTGTATGTTTTTGTTTTGTCTTTTTTTTGCTCCCTCCAGGCGTGTTCACCGCAGAGCGCCAAGTAGCCTCTGGAAATGGGATGCCAGCCAAGGCCGGCGGCAGCGGTGACCACCCCTCGTCCGGTGGGGAGGACTCGGAGGAGCGCTCTGTATCACTCCAAGTCGGCTAAGCGTCGTCCAGCTGCGTGAATATCGAAGTTGGTTGCGTTGTAGTAAGTGATCGTTCGAATTGACCCGAGGTTCGGGTGCGCAGACCAGAAGCCAATCCTTCATATTTCGTAAGACTACCTAGGTACCCAGGTAGCTTCTAACCCGAATGAACGGTTTTTGAGCCGCGCGGCTCGTTTCCTGTCGCCAATGCCGGGGTATCTCAAATGGCGCCTGCTTCTTCATCACTCTGCCCGTATGTCCCCATCGGAATTTCTTGGGATCGTGCGATTTAGCAGGGAGGAAGCAAACTCTTCACCTTGGTTGATTTTACCCTCCGCGCCCACCGTCGAGGCTCTCGATGGCTGTCACTCGCGTTTTGAACGGGTATAGGAATCCGTCGTCATCTGTAGTGTATGATAGTCGTGGTTTGACAGGATCTGTGTCTTTGGCGACCTTTTGAAGCTCGTCTAGCACCAGACGGCATTTGGCATCCGTAGCGTAAGCGTCAATGACACGGTTCTTGAAGTCGTCGGATAACTGTACTGACGAAGTGAGGAAAGCGTATGTCTGATCGGGGACGTCCCATGAGGAGTAGGGGTCGGTAGGAGTGACGAATAAGCCGTCTAGGTCGTCTGACATACGGGGATCTGGTTTGTTAGTGGCGGCGAGTCGAGATAGCGCGTCGGTGATATGGTTGATCTTGTGGTGGACCTTCCAAACAGCCTATACCAGACACGAGATCTCTAATTCGGTTGCTTAGTATAGCTTCTCGGCGGTTGTCAGCAGTCTCCTGAGGAAGATAATCGGCTCGACGGCTGTGGATAGTGGTGCGAGCTTCAGGTTATGGTGAACGTATTGTGGCTTGACATAGAACACCATAGCGCTGTGGCTGCCTTCCTAAGATGCGTCAATATCCACATATAGCCGGCGGGAGCGATCCCAATGTGCTAACCAGCGCAGGTCCTGGAATACTGTCTGGATAGCGTTGAACACGGCTAGCTCTCGGTCGGTGGGATCAGAAACGTTTGTGTGGGTGGACCATTGTTGGCGCGGACGATCCTTGACCGGGCCTCTCTTAGATCTAGGATCGAAAGGAAGGGGTTCTCTTCAATTGAGGCTCATTAGTTGGAAGAGAGAAGAAAGAAGAGAAACTACGCTACTAGAAACTGGGAGGGGAGACCCACTTCTCCGAATAGCCTCCTCGCAGCAGGTGAGTTTTGCGTAGCTGTCACGGTTTAACCCTGTGAGCGTATGTCGGGACGTATTGACGTAGAGCGTCTGTCATTCCGAGATATGTCTCCAGTTGGCGTAGCGTCCGGGGAAATTGGAGGGATGCAATTGCTCTGAACGCGATATCACCGCCTCGGTCCTCATAGTCACCCTGTAGATATGTCATAAGCGAGTGGCTATCGACGATTCCAGTCGTCAAGCTGTCGACAATACCCGCGGCCTTGACGTCTGGCTCGCGACGGAGCGCCTCGTCTCGACCGACAAGGCGAGTGGGGGCGTCAATGTTTTGTGCGTGTGCGTGCACTTTCAGTGAGGCTTCCCATTGCGCTTGGATTGAAGGAATGGGAAGAGAAAACTAACTACGACTAGGGTTGCGAGGGGAGAGCCCCACTCTCCAAACACCCCCCACGAGCAGCACCTAGTGCGCGGTAGGTAGTAAAAAGCTCTTCTAAGAAAGGAAACAGAATCAGTTCCATGAACAAGTGTTTAACGCATTATTCAGCCATTCAGTCAAATCATACATTCGTTCCCCCAGGATCATGAATTGACCGTGTAAGGCAGCCAGTCGTCTGTAGAACCTGAATCATAGCAGTCGCGCTTTCATAGACGCATAGCCAATATTGGTTCGCCTTTCTGCCGAATTCGGCGTACCCAACGACCGTGTCAAACCGTTCTTTCTTGTGCAGAACAGCACGATCTTCATTGAAAGTCGTGCTGATCTTATCTTCTGCCAGGGTATGGATAGAGATCATTGACATTTTGTAGGTGGGTCCGTTTGTTCCCATCGACGGTCTCCAGCAGGGCCCATTTGGTCACACCTCTCAAGTCTTCTTTGTTCCCGGAAATATGCCGGAAGGGTAGTAGCTGGCCATTGTGACCATTTGCCAGGACGAGGACAATGTCAGCCAAAGTCTCGTCATAGCTGATGCCTTTTGAAAAGGGAATGATGTGTGGCTGAGCCACCATGACAGGAGACGCAATCATGGCCCGGAAATGACAGGTGTCGTCGGTCAGGGCTGATGCACACTACAGGGCGGACCTGCCTGGCGTTCCCAGCCGGGCATAACTGCGGACGCAAGACAGCCACGAACGGGAAGCCGAAGATAAAGCGGACGGTGGGAGGCCCAGCAGGCAATCTGTTTGCCTAGTCCTCCCCGTTCCAGCCAAAGTCCTAAAGCCACCATTAGTATATGTTCACGTTCATCCTGTGCCAAATTTCGAAGACCCAAGGGTCTGTGGAGGACTTCATACTCTCGGTCACGCAGAAGAACTCTTCTGTCGGTACACAAGCGGTAACGAGGAGCCCTCGGCAATGATCAGGCCATAGAGGCGGTGGAGACAGTAAGGACTTGCTTGATGAAACGGTCTGGGCTGTGTACCCATGCTGCCATGCATCACCTGTAGTCAATGTTAGCGGGCCTGTGCTAAATAGGTCATGAAGCAGAGCTGACTCACCTTGGAGGAAGACCTCGGAACCGTAAACCGGGCGCGAGAACAGGTTCTCCAGCCCCCGTCGCACCACGGCAGACAGGAATCCTCCACCAAACGTCGATTATACCGAGTGAGTCTCGGACATCAACATTGAGAGTCCCTAGCTGGAGCCTGGTCCTCCCATCTTCAGGTATTGGATCGAGTGATAGAGCAAAGGCTGATAGGTCCTTCGCAGTGTTTGCCACTGCTGACAAGGAGGGCTTCATGGTCAACTGGCTCAGTTGAGAGATGGGGGACGTAATTTTCATCTTCAAATTCTTGGGCAGACCTCAAGAGGTATTGAACAAATCGTCCGTAACATTGTGCTCAGACTTGATTGCTGTCAGACCAGAGATCGTTTACTTGACTGCGGGGTGAGGTGTGAGTCCCCCGGGATAGTGGGTGAGACAGGGTAAATACCCTCTCCCCCAGCGCCTACCCCCCCAGTGAAAGAAACGATACTCAGAGCTAGAAACCTTCGTAAGAATAGTATTCTAGTTTGCAAAGGCGCCCATAACCTCTGTTTCGATTTGCGGGTCAAGCCGCTCGATTTGTTGATTTTGTTGCGGGTTAACCAAGCCGCTTCTTTCAGTCGATTAATTTAGAGAATCCCGATGCAAAAGTTGCATTCACAGGGCCTCATAACCTCTTTGATCTAGGGATCGGAAGGAAGGGGGTTCTCTTCAACTGAGGTTCATTGGTTGAGGAGAAGAAGAGAAAGAGAGAGAAGAGAAAACTAAAACTAGCTAGACTACTGGGAGGTCCGAATACTCTAAGATAGAGCGAGCGAGAGAGGGAGAGAGAGGGAGAGAGAGGAAGAGAGGGAGAGAGAGGGAGAGAGAGGGAGAGAGAGGGAGAGAGAGGGGGGGGAGGGAAAGGAAGAGACTAACAAAAAGCCATAGAAAGATTAATTAAAGAGAAGAGAGGAAAAAGAGAGGGTAAAGGCAATAGAACTATAGTGGATCACACATGATCCAACATCTCGATTCAGCAATCTGAGAGGCTACTTAGATGGTTCAGCGTTAGAAGTAGGAGTTAAAACAGCCAACTATCGTCAAGAAGAATAGCACGAAGAAGGGAACCGGAGCAATATTCGATGAAAACAACCCAATAGAGATAAGAGGGATAACTATATGAAAGATCCAGGTGGAAACTTACTATTGAAAGTCTTGAGAATGAGTATACTGACTCAGAGTATGATTCTCCTGAGGTCATTAGCAGAATATCTTGAAGTATTACCAGGTAGTGAAATATCAATAGCGAATAATGAATATGGAAGTGAGTTTTCACTCCCAAACATAAGGTTGTAATTTTTCAAAAAGTACTTAATTCACTGAACAGTAATTTGCATTAGTATTGGTTCTCATTCAAAGTGAGATGAGAAATGAAAGAAAGTAGAAGTTGGAGTCTGTCGTCTCGACTCCCTCGGCAAATGTGGGGAAACCCCAACTCCGGATTAGCCGACTTGGGATATAGCCTGCTTGCTCTCTCCTGTGACATATATCGGCGGAGAAGAGAGAATTGCAGTCTGCCTTTCTTATAATGCCTCTGTATGCTCTACCAAAACGGGCACCCCGAGCATTGAGGGTGCCCTTGACACGGCGCTTCGCGACTAGCCCCCGCACCGCCAGCTACGCGGACACCTTGCCGAATCTCAAGATTGGCGCGCATACCAAAGTCCTCTTCCAGGGCTTCACGGGTGAGCTCAAGGTCGTATCTACTCTTAAAGTTTATGCTTAACATCCACAGGAAGACAAGCTACTGCCAATGTCAAAGAATCGCTGGCATGGGGTACTAAGATTGTAGGGGGTGTCAAGCCTGGCGTGGAAGGCGAGCATCTAGACTTGCCCGTATTTCCATCAGTTAAAGCGGTACGGTCCCAAATACTATACAGATCAAGCGACTAACCATCAATACCAGGCTCAAATCCAGGCAAAACCCGATGCCTCTGCCATTTACGTCCCGGGGAATCAAACTGCCCAAGCCATTGAAGAAGCCATCGAAGCAGAGATTCCGCTCGTTGTTGCTGTGGCAGAGCACGTTCCCATTCACGATATCTTACGTGTATGGCTTTCTCTCTGAACGTTTCTGTTTTTCAAAATCTAACCATCGACAGATTCACTCCATGCTCCAAACACAATCCAAAACCCGCTTGGTTGGTGCAAACTGCCCGGGTATCATCTCTGCCATCGGAAAGTGCCGGATTGGATTCCAGCCATTGCCCTGCTTTGCGCCGGGTAACATAGGCATCGTCGCAAAGTCGGGCACACTCAGCTACGAGACCGTGGCATCGACTTCCCGAGCTGGACTCGGCCAGAGTCTGTGTATCAGCATGGGCGGAGATGTACTGGCTGGTACTGACTTTGTAGATGCTCTCAGCATATTCGAACATGACCCTGATACCGAAGGGATCATTCTAGTTGGTGAAATCGGCGGCACGGCCGAGATGGACGCTGCGGAATGGATCACGGATTATCGGAGGACTGCAGACCCCAAGTAAGTCTCGCCCTTGAACTTGTCTTTGCGATACATGTTGATCGATTCCAGGCCCATCATGGCCCTTGTTGGTGGGCTGGAGGCACCGCCTGGTCGGATCATGGGACACGCTGGCGCTTGGGCTGCACCTGGGGAGCCAGATGCGGAAACCAAGTATAAAGCGCTTGAACGCGCTGGTGCTGTCATGGTCAACCACCCAGAGAAATTTGGGGATGGAATGAAAAGTCTTTTGGGTAGCCGGTCTATTCGCCTGGGCACACGTGTAAGTTTCTCAGACACTGAATGAGCGATTTTGTTGACAAAAGACAGTCTGCATCTGGGGTCCAATCGCCCAAGAGAGGTTTCCACACCATGAGGCGGGTCATATCTGCTCCAGGACCTGCTGCCGGGCAAAAGCGCAGCCTGTACATCAAGCAATTCCAAGCATTCGACATTCTTGAGCAGAAGGGCATCCCTGTCAGCGCGTCGGCTTCTAGCTCTGATGTTTCAATTTCCATCACAGTCGACCGCACAGCGCTTTCTCCGTGCATTGTTGCTTCTCCCAGAGCGGATTCTGACCCGGATCATTCCAAGAAATTTCCATTCCCGTATACCCAGGTCGAATTTGATGGAGCCTCCGTGATCGCGGCTGTTGCTTCACATTTGGCTCTTCCAACATTAAGCCAGAAACAACTCGCCAGCTTTGTGCAATCTCTTTGGGAAATTTACAAAGATAAGGAAGCTTTCGTGCTAGAAACGCAAGTTGGAGTAACACCCGCTGGCTCATTCGAAGTCCACGGCGCACGCTTTGGGTTTGACGATGCTGCATTCCGCAGCTCTGGTCGCCAAGAAGACATCCACCGTCTTCGAAATATCGCTGAAGAAGTACCAGAAGAAGTTGAGGCTGAAAAGGATGGGATTGTATACGTCAAGTACTGAATCCCGCTCGCCTGCAGGCACAAATGCTAATAATAAGCAGGTTGGAAGGGGAAGGTAGTGTTGGAACTTTAGGTATTTGACCATTATCCAAATTCACATTCCTGTACCCGCGTGCGCTAACACATATCAGTCAATGGAGCTGGTCTCGCTATGAACACGGTCGATGCACTGACGATTCACGGCGGCCGGTGCGCCAACTTCCTTGACACGGGTGGTAAAGCCACCTCGGAGACCGTCAAGTCATCATTCCGGGTAATCTGCTCCGACCCGCGCGTGAAGGCCATTTTTGTCAACATCTTCGGGGGCTTGACGCGGTGTGACATGATTGCCGAGGGCATTATCTTGGCCTTCCGGGATCTGAAGATGAATGTTCCTGTTGTCGTACGGCTACGCGGTACAAACGAAGAGCTTGGACAGAAAATGGTAAGGCTGGAATTTCATGTGCTAGTTCCATCGCTGACTTGGAAATTTAGATTGCGGAAAGCGGTCTTCCATTGCATGCTTTTGATGGGTTCGAGGATGCTGCGAAAAAGGTAATTGCATTGGCTAAGGATCAGTAGACTACATTTTGCGGGGTTAGAGCCTTCGAGGCAATTTGTAAATACTCGCTATCTTCATATGACCATATATAACCCCCAGGGCCCTAGAGGGGCAATATCGATATTGAGTGCTCGTGTGATGTTCCCGAGGTCCGAGCCGCACCTGGCACTAGATAGATCTGGCATATGCATACACCACTCCTAGTACAGTATATGCTCAGTGGAAGGGTACCACTTGAGCAGTAGGATGATCTACAGTCGAGCTCATAACCACCATATTCTCTATTCACTGTCATTCGACCACAAAAATAGTTGAGGCCAAAAGTGGTCCCAGAACGGTCTAGCCCATCCTGTGCTCCACGATCGACTAGGACGTCACTAAGCATTCTATTTCAAGTCTCTCCTTAGTGCATCTTCTGTACTCCGTAAATATTTTGATCCCATCTTTTCTTCTACCTTCATTTTCTATTCTGTGTGCCACAATGTCCGACCCAAGCGTCGAGCTCCAGTCCACACTCCGCAACCTATCCATTGGCGAAAAGGGCCCGGTGCCAGACGTCCGCCGCCCAAGCACACAGAAACCAACATCCGCCCCCAAGCCTTCAAAGAAAAAGGAACCGGTCGCGGATTCCTGGGAAGATGAGGCAGAGCTCTCTGCTTCGGATTCGGAAGACGCCCCACCCCACAGTGAACCTGCTGTCCTTTCACCAACGCTGAGCGCCGAGGGACCGCTGGACCCCCCACCCACACCGATCTCGCCACAAACATCCAACCCATGGGGTGGTAGAGCTGCCTCTCCGGCGGCGCAGGCTGGACCTGCGCGTCGCCCGGAGAAGCAGACTGCTGTTGCAGGGCGGTTGATTGCTGGTGCTTTGGGTATCCGTGCGCCGAAGCGGACTGAGGAGCAGCGGGCTTATGACCGCTCTGTTAAAGAGCAAGAGATCCGGAGGCGCAATAGAGAGCGTGAGGAACAAGCCAAGGCTAAGGCGGAGGAGGAGAAATTGAAGACGGCTGTCTGGGACAGTTGAATCACTTGTGGCAGCTTCGGCTGCAATGTATATACATTCCCGGGATCATGTTCCATTCAGTTGTTATATTTCTTGCACTACCTACAAACCCAGGAGGCTTAAACCTGGACCCTTGAAACATTGGAAGGACTTTACCTCCCACAAGAGCCCTGGAGGGATTTTAAAAGGGCTTTGAAGAATAAACCAGGCAACTCATCGGACGCTTCAGCGACTCTAGCCAACTCACTTCTACCTAGTACCTAGTACCTAGTAAGTTAGAGAACTTGGACCTCATGAACAACTCGATGTATGCAATTGATCGACAAATCCAAATCGATCCAAGGCGCAGGATCGCGGTTTAAGAAAAAATATTGGAAAAGGACGCGTGATAGCTAAAGCAGCACCATCGAGTCTCAAGAAGAAACCGGGTGACTTTTGGTGAATTCGTTAACTTCATAAGAGAGAAAAGTACGGACGCCCTATCGCCCTGTCGCACTGTTCACCGGAAGACGCCATGGTAAATCCCGAGAGGTCTATCCATCCACACAGAGATGTCCGGTCTTCGAATTATTACCCGTGTCGCATTATCTATCCTAGCGATGACCGAAGGTGCGAATTCGGCGCCCAGAGTGAGATGTTCAGCATCCTCCAATCTGCTCCTGGTGGACTTCGAGGGTGTCGCCGTCTTGCATGTCAAGCTAAACCTCTAGTTAGCCTCGAATTCGTGTCATGGCGGAGGAACTAGGTGATGTGGCTTACAGTATCTGGGGAGTCCTCGGGGCGAACGCGAGTTCCGTCAAAGAGGAAGCGCACAGTTGAAGGCTGCTTTCCCTGGCGGTCGCAGAAAGCATCCATCAGCTTCTTCAGCTGCGTCGAGCGCTTGATCTTGAAGAAGACTTCGTTGTTGTTATCGGTCACCTTGATGTTAAGGTGCTCAGCAGCGGGGGCTTCCTTGTCGGACATTTTGAAGGATAATTCTGCGTCGTGTTAAATACTCGCTTTGCACACGAAAAGAGAGCGACGCCGTACAAAGTGGTGGTTGCTTTGGGGAACCTCGTGAGGGGCTTTCAAGTAAAAGCTGCCTGAGAACCCAGATAAGATTAGATCGCGAGATCGAGATTGAGATGGCGCCGAGCGCCGAGTGAAATACTCACAGGTATTGACAGAGGAGCGCGAGAGGGTGTAATGGTGAGGTTGGAAGAGAGAAGAAGATCCCAGATCGGCGGCAGAATAGCAACTCGCCCCACGGTCTGAAGGCGGAGAATCTATAATGCGTTTATACACGATTGCTTCTATCGGTTTCGTCACTTTCCAACTCCTAATGTACAGTTCTTTGAGACTTTTGCACCATGGTTTGCATTACCACGATATGAAGATCATGATCATAGACTAAGACCAGCCAGGGGAATTTAAAGCATGATCTATCAGTCGAGCAGCCTTGCAAACCACGCGCTGTAGGTCTCCCTTAATCAATATCCGGATTGGAATTGTACGTCAGAATCTAACATTGACCAGTGTGCCATCCAAGGTATTTTGCCTTTTCCCGCCAACTGGTCAAGTATTAACCCATGCCAGAGTGTTTGAATAAAAATTCATTCAACGAGGACAAGTGCCAGGCACAGATCGACGCCTTGTACGAGTGTTGCAACGCCTTTTACCAAGGGCAGGGCGATCAAGCGTCCACTCTCAGTTGCCCGAAGGCCAACTTGTTGCGACTCAAAATGAAGCAGCGAGCCCAGGCAGCTCAGCCCAACTGAGTCGAGTCTACAAATGTTTTACATACCCGGTGGTTGTCACGGTGGTTGTCACAATTCCCTTGCGGTCTGAGTTTCCATTTGGAGGAAACCAGGCTAATTGAAGAACTGTATTTTATTATAAGACAATCTTGAGCACGCAAGGAGGCCTCGATGGACCTGTACGAATATTGAATCTTTCGTACCGAGACTCTAATGAAAGCCTATAGACATTAGAGAAGAAAAGAAAAAGAAGGAGAGAAGGGCGCGGGTGAAAATTCGTAGAAATAGGTTCCCGTGCAGCCGCTAGTCTCCTTCGGGGTTAGTCTGGCGCGGCCAAAAGAGACAAACACAACTTATTCCTCAAAGCTCTCCCTCGCTCTGTCTCCTACCAAGTCATTGCGCCCACTTCATCATGGCCCCGCTTACTCGTTCGGCCGCTGGGACAAGCCTTTTCGCCCCGGTGGGTGTCATCGGTTGTTTCTTTTTCTTTACCTGTCGCGCTAATCATATTCGCAGGCTGTCCCGTCGAGTCAACCGGACATCATCAATGTTGATGACGATGAACAATCCGTGGAAGATGTATCGATGAACGGAGACCAACAATCTTTCGACAGTCAATCCGAGTCCCAAGGAGAAGACATGGACGAGGAAATGGATGGTGTCAATGGCGAAATAGCCTCGGAGACCGGGTCCGATGTTTCTGCACATGAAAGCATTGAACAGCCCATTTTCGGACTGAGCAACAAGAGCCAAGGTTGGTACAGGTAAATTTAATCTGTGACTCGCGTCCGCTAATATGCCTTAGATGCTCCGCTATTCACGGCTGCCGGCGCCCAGGAAGCTCTACACCCCCTTCGCCGGACGGCCGATCGCGTCACTCGTCAAATAGAAGCTTTCGCGGACAAGCTCGACCAGTTCAAGCGCCAAAACTCAAGCGACGAATTCAACAACGCCCAAGCAGCCTACAAGCTCGTGGCGAGTTACCGCGACCTTGCGAACAACGCAATCAAAGAGATCGAAAAACAGCAGATTGTTGACCGCGCCAAGTCAGGCTTCCGCTCGAGCGGATCGCAGGAAGTCAAAGGCGCCGAGGAAATCCGACGATTGCAGCTCGAGTCCGATACCTGGCGCCTTTTGCTCAACCTGATCAGCATCGACGACCCCTCCAGCCGAGCTCGTTACAAGGCCGGGCAGCAGACTGCTTTCCAGGAACTTCACCGCTACTCCGCCGATCGCGAAATGTGGGAACAGTTTTTGAACGCTGATCAGTATGGTCTTGAGTGTGTGATCGCTATGCGCTGGCTGGAAGAAACGTCCAAAACAGGAGACCAAGACATTGATGAACTGATCTCGGAAATGGAGCGCCAGTCGCAAAGGGGTGAAGGACTGTGGACACATGGATGGCTATATACCAAAGAAGCGATCAAGGGTGTCAAGAGACTGCGTGCTTGGCCTCAACCTCTAGAGCCCAATGATCCCGGAATCCAGCGCACGCTTTTGAGTAAGGACGAGCAAAAACCACTGGTCACTCAACTCGACCCCGATGCCGTCATTCGACAGAACAATGTGCTGGAACCCCAAGACAAATCATTCGAACTTGCGACCTGGGCCACATGTTGGAAAATGCTCCGACAAGGCGAAAGCTGGACCAAGATTCGCGAATGGGCCGAAAATCATCTGGAAGGGTGGAGAGCTATCAGCTTGTGCGGATCTAGCGTGGACCCTAAATCAGCGAGCACTCAGTATCCAGCGGACGACGGTCACACGCGCCTGATGAACAGTCGCGCGCAGGACTCCTGGCGCAGCGCTTGCTCTGCACTCACACGCAACAAGACAGCTGATGACTTCCAACGTGCAGTCTACGGACTGCTTGCTGGAGAAACTGAGGCTGCCGCGGCCGTCTGCAGTGGGTGGGACGACTATCTTTATGTATTCTTCAACCGTGTCGTGCTCTCGCGCTACCAGGGATTCTGTCGCCAATTCCAACGCAAACTCAGTCACTCACCGAACACCCCCGTGACGTTCAAGCCGGAGCCAGCCGGACACGCAGAACTGCAGAAATACCTGGTTTACCTCAAGGGCAACGAGCGGGTTCGAGGAGAAACGCGCAACCCCTTCCGCAACATTCAGGCTGCGATCCTCAGTCAAGGCTACGACTCGTTCTTCCAAGCTCTGGCCCAGGCTGTATCCCACGTCTCCACCGAGAAATTCGGCAAGAGCTCCGTTGTTCCTCAGCTTCCGCACAAGCCCGTTGAGGAATCATTCTTCATTGCCGCCGACGATGAAGAAGCCCTCAAAATCGCTGCGCACGTCTACGTTGTGGCCAGTGCCAGAGGCTACGCCCGCGCAGATACCCACTTTATTGAGACGGCTTCGGTTCTTGTGGCTGGACACATTGCCAACCTTGAACAGAGAGGCCTATTCCGTCTCATTCCTCTTTACGCATCTCTTCTACCTATATCCATGAGCCACAGCGTTCTCGCCAAGATTTTCATTGACATTGTCGATCCCAAAGACAAGATGCAGCAAGTCCGACTTGCGGAAAAGTACGAGATCGATGTGAATACTGTACTAGATGTTCAATGGTCGTGGGTCAAGGAGAACGTTTCCGCGATCGATCACTCACGAGGAGTCACTGGCTACTCAAGGGTGTACCGACGGAGTGACGGCGTCAAGAACCTGGTCTCTCCGAAGCCCGATCTCATCGGCGATGTCGTGAGCGAGGAAGATGATAAGATGATTCGCAGCCTGGAATGGCTTAGAGTCACCGACGGCCAGTGGGACAAGATTTGCGAACTTGGCACTTGGCTTTACCGGAAATTCCTGCGTATGTTCTGATCTTCCTTCTGTGTGATAGTAAACTGACTTATTCTAGTTGCCGACAAGCTTGCTGCTTCTCGCGAGCTGAGCTTCCGTATGCGGTTGGCCGATATCTCGATCGAGAAGTTCGGCTGCGACATCATCTCCATGCCCCCGCAGGACATCGGATTCTCCGAGGCGACGACTCCAACCAGCCCGACGAAATCCAAGAGGAGCAGTCTCCACCGCCGCAGTCTCTCCGGGTCGCACAATATTGCACTCATTGCAGCATACAACCAGTGCCAGTCGATGCGTGATCTGGAGAGCTTGATTCTGGGCCTCGACTCCGTGGAACAGTTTGCCATTGTACACGAACAGAGATCCAAGTAAGTGGTCGCGTTTTCTTGTCAATTAGCATGAACACTAACCATATCAGGACCAAACGCCGCCGAGACTCGGGCACCCTCAAGGTCATGGGACAGGAATTGGAAGAATGTGTGAGCGTACTGGAAGAATGGATCGGGGCCGTTGCAGACGAAGAATGGCTGCCCACATCTCCCGATGGTAAGCGAAAGCCGAACATGCCTTCTCAAATGCCAGTACTAACGGGATCATGTAGCCGAGGAAGAAGCGGACTTTGTACACATCCGGAAGACATATCTCCCGGAGCTGTTACTCGACTATCACAACGCGATGTACTTTGCTAGCTTCTGTCTCGAGAGGAACGACCTGCTCACACAGTGCATGATTGTCTCTATCTGGGTTGCCAACTACGAGCACATCACCCGCGCCTTCACGCAAGCGAAGCGCATGGGCGAACTGATGGATGCACTGGCATTGTCGAGCAAGGCCCTTGTCATTCGGAACACAAACCCATCCAAAAACTCGAAGGACGAGCGGGCGCGGGAGCTGAGCATCTGGGATGTGGAGATCACGGAGGAGGAAAAGAAACGAATTGGGCTTACCTCGTCCCTTGACCGACAGCTGTAGATCGGGTCATTATGTACATTAGAAATGGCTTTGGATCTGTTTGGGTTTTTTCAAAGGCGACGGTTGATATGAACGATTCTGGATCAATTTGGAGGGTGGCTAGGCATTGTTTCCCTACATTATATGTTTAAAGGATTTCCCCTTCGGTCTGGCGTAAATGCAATATCAGTTTGGTTGCAGACTCGATGACTCTCATGTGATGTTTGGCGAGGGCGTGGCCCAAGGTGCAGCAATACATAAAGTTGGGGTAAAGCGCCTAACCTGCAGGAAGGAGATCAACATTCTGCATGCATTCAGAGTCGCACAGGTCACTTTTAATTTGAGAAAGTCAAATGTGGTCTCAAAACCGCCACAATTTTCCCAAATTCAGGAGATTGCTGAGGTATGTCCCTTGACGGGACAAACGCCACAAATTACAGTCTGAGGTGTCGGTGATCACAGCTCATTCATGTCCACGGGTGGAACACGAGCCGACCTATTAACTGCATGGGCAGCGTGGCTAAGTGCATGAGTTGTTAGTACGGAGCACCACACTAATGTCCCGGGTTCGACGGAATTAATTGTGGCAAACGATGTGTTGGGCTGGGAGTGCGTTAGCGGTGAGTTGGGCTTTGACAGCCATTAGTTAGGCCCGATGTAACGACGTTAACCAGTATCTATAAGAATATTGAACGTCACCACTAGGATTTAGGTGATAAGCACCTTACTCTGTACCTGATAGTCACCTTGCTCCGTACAGACGGGATGAGATTCGATATTCTACGTAATGTATCGCTAATCGTCTCCCCTATTCGCCGAGGAGGTCTTGGCAGAGGCAGTGCAAACACTGAGCTTAGGATTGACTGCAGAATTTGACTGAAAAACTCTAGAGGTGCAAGGTACTAGTAGTAGACGAACGCGACAATCGTGCCATGTACTCTCTGCCATTGTAGTATTCCGTATGCATTCCGTCAAGAAGCAAAAAGAGGAGCATTGGGGCTGTGCTCTATAAAGTGGAGCTGATGATGTGCGGGATACGGAAACTTAAGTTCTGGACCGGAAGGGGGCTTTTCCCTTGTCATTCTCCTTTCCTAGCATGATTGCATCTGGCGGGTTTTTCTCTCTCTATGAAACGCGTGTGGGTTAATTATGTCCGACTCACAACCGTCGACTCCCCTGCGCAGAGAGCGCGCGCCAACCATCACCATTGACACATCCGCCGTCAACTCGCCCGAGACTTCAAATCCTCAAGTGCTGTCCGACAGCTCGGCGTCGCCCTTCGCCGATAGTCATGAGAATGGCGTGTCACCCACCGAGATGCGCTCCACGGCATCGATTCGCTCCAACGGCTCCTCCGAGGCCCGAGATAGGGAGGATCGACCCTTATCGCCTCACAACGTCTCGTCGCCAACCAAAGTCCCCGAGGCGCATTCGAATTTCCTCTCCGTCCCCGGAGCTCGGTCCCGAGGAAATTCCCTGGAGTCGGAAGATACCAGCCAAACATCCTCTACCTACGGCGGCGATACCTATGTCCCTTCTGCATCACACGGATCCAAATCCGACCTGACCAAGAATGTATTCGTCGATGATGAGGAGGCACTGACCCCAGACCCCGGCCGCGAACCGGAGTTTGAGGTCGAGGATAACAAGTTCGCCTTCTCGCCCGGCCAGCTGAACAAGCTACTCAACCCCAAGAGCTTTGGGGCATTCCGCGCGCTGGGTGGCTTGCGAGGACTCGAGAAGGGACTTCGGACAGATGTCCGAAGCGGGTTAAGCGTGGACGAGAACCTCCTCGACGGAACGGTCACCTTTGACGACGCGGTTTCCTCGGGTGACAGGCCCAAGACGGCCTCGCCGACTCCATCACCCACTACCGAGGGCTCTGTGAAGGAGACCGAAGTTGATTTCACCGATCGCCGACGAATTTACGGCGATAATAAGCTCCCAGAGAGAAAGTTAAAGACCATCTGGGAGCTCGCTTGGATTGCATATAACGACAAGGTATTGATTCTCTTGACCGTCGCGGCAATTATTTCCCTTGCCGTTGGTATTCCACAATCACTCCACCCGGCGAACCCAGATGAGCCCGGCGTGGAATGGGTGGAAGGATTGGCCATTTTGGTGGCCATCATCATCGTGGTGACTGTGGGTGCAGCGAATGACTGGCAAAAAGAACGACAATTTGCAAAACTGAATAAAAAGAAGGAAAATCGACAGGTGAAAGTGAAGCGATCCGGCCGGACGGAGGAAATCTCCGTCCACGATGTTTTGGTTGGAGATGTCATGCTCCTAGAACCCGGTGACCTGGTTCCGGTCGATGGCATCTTGATCGAAGGCCATGACCTCAAGTGCGACGAGTCTTCGGCCACTGGTGAGTCCGATGTTCTTCGAAAAACCGCTGGCGATGATGTGTATCGCACAATCGAACAGCAGGAAGACTTGAAGAAAATGGATCCCTTTATCATCTCCGGTGCGAAAGTCTCCGAGGGCGTCGGCACCTTTTTGGTCACTGCTACAGGCATGCACGCTACCTTTGGCCGGACCATGATGTCTCTCCAAGAAGAGGGTGAAACCACACCTTTGCAAACCAAGCTCAACGTACTGGCCGAGTACATCGCTAAACTCGGTCTTGCCTCGGGCTTGTTGCTGTTTGTGGTTCTTTTCATCAAATTCTTGGCTCGCCTCCACAGTATCGAGGGTGGTGCAGATGCGAAGGGTCAAGCTTTCCTGCAGATTTTCATTGTGGCTGTTACTATTGTCGTCGTCGCAGTGCCCGAAGGTTTGCCGCTGGCCGTCACCCTTGCTCTCGCCTTTGCAACGACACGAATGATTAAAGATAACAACCTCGTCCGGTACTTAAAAGCTTGTGAAACTATGGGAAATGCCACCACGATCTGCTCCGACAAGACTGGAACATTAACGGAGAACAAAATGACCGCGGTAGCCGCGACATTGGGTACCACCTCGCGGTTTGGAAAATACTCTGGTGTATCGGCCGACGATCAGACCGAAATAACGCCTTCCGAATTTGTGTCTACGCTTTCGCCGTCTATGAAGGATATCTTGCTTCAATCGATTGTATTCAACTCGACCGCATTCGAAGGCGAGTCGGATGGAGTCAAGACTTACATTGGATCAAAGACAGAAACTGCTCTTTTGACCTTCGCCCGGGATAACCTCGGAATGGGACCCCTCGACGAAGCCAAGGCCAACGGCGAACTGGTGCAGATCTATCCATTTGACTCTGGGCGTAAATGCATGGCAGTTGTCCTCAAGCTGGACAATGGCAAGTATCGAATGTTAGTCAAGGGTGCCGCCGAGATCTTGGTTGCCAAGTCTACACGCATCGTCCGTGACCCGACGGACGAACTATCCGAGTCTCCTCTCTCCGACGACACCAGAAGCTCACTCGACGCCATCATGGTTAACTACGCCTCACGTTCTCTCCGTTGTATTGCCCTCGTCTATCGTGACTTTGATCAATGGCCCCCACGCGGCGCCCCGATCTCAGAAACGGACCGTAACCAGGCAGTCTTCGAGCCGATCTTCAAGGACATGGCAATGTTGGGTATCTTTGGTATTCAGGATCCGGTGCGAGCTGGAGTTGCCGAGGCAGTCTACGCTTGCCAGCGCGCTGGCGTCTTCGTCCGCATGGTCACTGGAGATAACATCAACACTGCCAAGGCAATTGCCCAAGAGTGCGGGATCTACACACCTGGTGGCATTGCCATTGAAGGTCCTAAATTCCGCAAGCTGAGCAGCCGTCAAATGAACCAGATCATTCCTAGACTTCAGGTCATCGCTCGATCAAGCCCGGATGACAAGAAGATTTTGGTGAACCAATTGAAGAAGCTGGGAGAGACTGTTGCCGTCACTGGAGATGGTACCAACGATGCGCAAGCGCTTAAGAACGCCGATGTCGGTTTTGCCATGGGTATCGCTGGCACTGAAGTTGCGAAAGAGGCATCTGATATTATTCTTATGGATGACAACTTTTCTTCCATCGTCAAAGCCATGGCCTGGGGTCGCACTGTTTGTGATGCTGTGAAGAAGTTCCTGCAATTCCAAATTACCGTCAACATCACTGCTGTCATCCTGACCTTCGTCTCTGCTGTCGCTAGTGGTAACGAGGATTCGGTTCTCAGTGCAGTTCAACTTCTGTGGGTTAACTTGATCATGGACACCTTCGCTGCTCTCGCCTTGGCCACCGATCCTCCTACGGATACTGTTCTCGACCGAAAGCCGGAGTCGAAATCGGATCCTCTCATTACACTGACAATGTGGAAGATGATCATCGGACAATCTATCTACCAACTTGTTGTGACCTTCGTGTTGAACTTCGCTGGCAGCCACATTTTCACATGGGAGCACGAACACATGCAGACTGTGGTTTTCAACACTTTCGTCTTCATGCAGATTTTCAATCAGTACAACTCCCGACGTATCGACAACAAGCTGAACATCATGGAGGGCATCTGGAAGAACAACTGGTTCATTGGCATCCAGCTCATCATCATTGGAGGCCAAGTTTTGATCATCTTTGTCGGTGGTGCCGCTTTCTCCGTCAAGCGTCTTGACCAAGGATCCCAGTGGGCTGTCAGTCTTGTACTCGGAGCGATTTCAGTCCCAATCGCCGTGATCATCCGCCTGATCCCAGACGAGTTCATCAGCAGACTCATTCCCAACTTCTGGTCCCGCGAGAAGGGACCCGAGCTCGTCGTCTCCGACGAAGACCGCAACTACGAATGGAACCCGGCCATTCAAGAAATCCGCGACCAGCTCGCTTTCATCAAGCGGGTCCGCGGTGGCCGTCTCCGCCACATTCGTCACAAGCTCCAGCATCCCCAGGAATTCCTTCCTCGATCCCGAAGCGGTTCCCGTTCCCGCGATTCTTCCCCGCCAACACCAAACGAAGACCTCGAGAACGGCGGTAGCCCATCCCCTCAGCCCATGACCCCCGAGTCACGATCTCGACGCAACACCCGGTCCCGCTCCAACTCTGCATTCGGCCCCGCCGCCGCCATGGCAGGCATTGTCGCCGGCAGTATTGCCGGCTGGTCTCCTATTGAGCGAAACCACGGCGAAGCAGACTCAATAACCTTCCCCACAACCGGCGGACCGTACAGCGGTCTCGATCGCGAGCAAGGCATAGAAGTCCACCCAGATACCGCGGCCGACGAACGCATCCTGAGCGACTACTCCGCGACATCGAAGACACCGCCGAGCCAGAACCCAGATCTGATTCCGTTCTTCGAACATGCGCCCTCTGAGCGCGCGCCCTCGAGTCGTGGACGTCGTTCTCTATCGCAGCGGTCGAGGTCGAGCCTCAGCCAGTCTCACGTTTGATTCCGAATACGTATTCGCCGGCTAGTCCCGGGCACATATTATCTAATTCTTTTTTGTTTCTTTTGGTTCATCTGGGCTTCGAATGCCCTGTTTCCCGGTGTCTGGGATGACCGGCGCAGTTTGGAAATTTTGCATCACGCCTTGTACACCGTTTTTTTGGGTCCTTTACAATCATTTGCATCTTGGGTTTGGCCTTCGGACAGTTTGGCGCTTATCAGGCGCCTTTCAGCATCTCTCTTTTCTTTGTGATTTCAACACCAAAAAATTTGTTCGAGATACCTTACCTTATTCCAGGCTAATTCCAACCGCTTTCTTTTTGGATGTGCATTTCATACTTTGTAACCTTCGTAGTTCAGTCAAGATTGGCGAGAATGAGGAACATCTTACAGAGATAGCCCTTGTTCCCGACTTTAGGGACGCTTTCTGAAGCTTCCCAGGTGGAAGCCAGTTGAGCCTCGCTTTCGAGGGATGTGAGCTATCAGTACAAACCATGCGAAGCAGTCACTTCTAATTGATATGAAGGTTTTCTCCCTACGCCAATAATCTCAATGGTCGCAAGTGCATACCAAATATCGTTCTTGTGTTCATTTACTATGCAAGTAATTGCCCCAATGCTTATAGCCTCAGAATCCTACCAGGCCCTCATTCCACACCCCGGACCCCGGACCCAAACATCCACAATCCGAGAGGCCTCGGCATCCTGATCAGAGTCCACAACAAAGTACCAACCGTAGTATGCGCCAGTCACGCATGCATGGTTGGGATAGACTTTGACAACCTGTCCAACACGAAGAGGAATCTTCGCCTGTGTCTCACTGTTCCATGTTACAATAGCATGCTCTTGACTGATCCGAGCAAGAATCATCTTGTCTGAAGCAGCAGCATCCTGCTGATCGAGCCGCCAGGGCGCAATAACTCCCCAACCCGGGTAGCTGGGACATGGCTCCCGGCCCAGAGCGAGTGTTCCTGCAGCCACGAGTGCCTCTGGCTTCTCGCGTTCACCATCGTTGTAAACACTGCATACTTCTGCGAGTACTGAGATGGCAATTTCATTATCGAGGCTCCCTGACTCTGCGCTGGCGTGTGTTGAGAACTGCTGCATGTCCAGAATCGGATATACACCCGCGTGAAGTTCGACATTTGTCTCGCTGAGCAAGGCCTTCAGTTCTTGTGCTTCTGAACAGGAAGTTTTGCTGAGGAGGAGATTCTGAGATGAAACAACTTGGGGCGTGGCGCCGACACTGATTACCAAATCTCGCTTGGGGAGGAGATCCAGATTCTTCTGCAGGGCATCCTTGCAACCTTGGATCTCACTGATCAAGTGACCCATCGCTTGCTCGGGGGTCGTTCCACTATAGCTCAAGCTGCTGTGGGAGTATAATCCAAGGATGTTCGCGTTGCCGGATTGTTCTGCGGAGACCAGCTTCTCCAGCAAACCTTGCTTGTTGAGCGAGACAGGAGGCAATCCGGCACGGTGGTAGCCTGTGTCGACTTTGATAAAGACACACGCCGGCACACCCGCCAGGGAGGCCAATTGTTCCAAGGATGGGACTTGATCGGGGTGGTCGATCATCACCGATATGCTGTTCTTGCCCAGTTGGCGGGCAGCGCTGGCTAGATGTGGGACCTGAGATGGAACGAGAGGGATCCCGTAGAGAATGTTGACGTTCCGACCCTGTTTTTTCAAATCCAAAAGAAGAGGGATCATCATTTCGATTTCCAAGGTAGTGGAAGCAATGAAATTGGCATCATTGATGTCCCCAATTTGTAGCCGGGCGATCTCTGGCGTCTAGATGAATTAGCGTGTTGTGGGAGAATACTTCAAACGTTTTGGGCGAGACAAGTCATACCTTGTGAGACTTGATATGGGCTCTGAATCCGACATCGAGCTTCTTGATTGTGCTCAGCATTGTCTCACAGTGGCGTCGAATGAGCCCCACGTCCAGGACGGCGGCGGGCTTGGGGACATCCCCAATGTCCTTGCCAATGTAGAATTGTTGGAGTTCTTTCTGAGAGGGAGACATATTGGAAATTGACAGATGTTGAAAGGATGAACTGTCGGGCGCGGAGTACTTGTAGGAGTCTCGTTCCCGCGCACCTCATTGGGAAGTCCCCGGTGGGGCGGAGGATGACAAGTCCGGACATTGAACTTCACTCTCGACTCTTGACTCTTGACTTGTCTCCGGTTCAATCAAAGAGATGTCCATGTCTGCCGGTTCGCTCGGATCCATTCATCTTTGAGCGTCTGATCTCCAGTTTTATCGATTGATGCTTCCCCGCCACACCCTATACCTCAACTACCGGGGTAGAGACTCATCACTCAGTATGGAGACGCGCCCAGCTGCGCAGAAAGCTGCTCGCTCGGCTTACTATAATTGACCTCGGTTGACTGGTTGTCTAGACTCCAGCCCGGGCTACGTTGGTTGGCTTCAAGGCATAAAATGAACTACCCTCGATGCACTTCTAGTATGACTTCGAGAAGTAGTATGAGATCCAGATGGGCACCTGCGTATTCCTTGGGAAGATAGAGAAGCCCAAAAGTGAGAGAAACTGAATCCTCGATACAGGGCGCCAGGCTTTCTTTCTTTCTTACTCCTACTCCTTCTCTTCCTTCTTCTTCTTCTTCTTCTTCTTCTTCTTCTTCTTCTTCTTCTTCTTCTCCTCCTCCTTCTTCGGTGAACCCCTCATTTTCGGATACTATAACCTTTCTTCTATCTCTCTTGACTTCAACCAACCATCATGCCTGCCAGAAGACCAGGGCCGAGCGCGCAGAGCAACTGCGCACAAACTGCGCTGAGCCTGAAACTCTACGACTGTCTGGTCAAGGTGACTCACGCAGATGCTGGTACTTCAGTCATGCTCTGGCTGAGCTGCTACTTGAAGAATGAGAGTGGCCTCCAGAAGGACGGCTCTCTTCAATGCGCAGTCTTGAGCTTCACGCGCTTCTGCTATGATCTCGAAACACACTTCGACTACAGTCCTCAAAGACACGAGATTCGATGGGAGAACAACTGCACAGACTTCAAGGCCGAAGACGGAAGCAAGAGCACTGGCACCAAACCGCATGCTGCTTCATTTGTCGTGCAAACTCACAACAGCTGGGTGACTGCGCTCATGATCATGCAGACCAACAACTATTCGGCTCGTCCACAGAATACTGGTGCTGCTGAGGCGTCCTCTAAGATTGCTGGGTTGTCTTCCAAGCCTCCTCCAGTGGCTCCACCCGCTACGAATAATGCCAGCATAACCGCGGCGGAATTCACGATCGTTCGCAAGAAAGATGGTACGTTCTGTATTTATTTGTTGAGAAGCAGGGGTACTAATGAATTCTTCGCTGGAACAGATGACTTTTCTAGCGATGACAGTGGGCCCTCCGAGGAGCCATGCGACCTACATGAATCCAACGATGCTATGCCTGATGGAGAATACTAGGTATCAGACGAATTCCACATGGTACGGAAAGGCACTATGGAACAAAGACAGGGAATGAAGAGCTGCTGCGCATGGCAAGTTTTTAACATATCGAGGCTGAAGAAATCTCCTTGGCTCGACTGGTGCTCAGATGGTCACAGTCGGAAAACATATTGAATCGGAAGAAACATATCGGGGGGGAAGCCATCAAGCATGGAGGTTCTGGATTCTATTGGGCTTATATCTACTATTGCCCCTTTATCATTAAAATATTTCATACTCAGGCCATCCCGAGGTCCAATATTGATTTACATTAAGCAGCTCTTGCTCCCGAGATTTACTGTCCAGGTCCACTGCCTAGTGGATTTTCTAGCTTCTCTCACCTACAAACAGACATTAGTAGCACCTGTGCACATTTCCAAGGTTGCTCTTCCTTTGTAGAAAACCACACCCCTTCTAAGCCCTTGATGTTGTTGTGAGACCTGTTTAACATTATTTTCCCACAACCAAACTCCAACCAAACTCGTCCACAGATGGAGTATGTAGTTCATTTGGACAATGTATCGACTCAAATCCCCACTGGAGGATCATCCCATTACCTTCTTTTGACGAAAAAGGCACTTCCGCTTGTATGAAACAGGTTTGACATTAAGGGGTTTCATCGTGATCTGGGTAGGCACCGGGTAAGTCCCGGCGTGTTGATACTGCAAGGGGTTTGACACTGGCGTCGCCCCAGTGCTAATCTCTGCGGCTCCGCGGGCTCAGAAGTCATGGACTCAGCGGGCAAGTGGCCATTCCCGGCATTGCGCAGTGATTCAATGTCTGGACTCGGTGGTTCATGTTCCAGAATTTGATTTTTTGTCTCATCAATCTCTACTGTACATATGTTCCGTACATATGTTTGGTTTCCTGTAGGTCAGCACTGAGTGCTGCCCAGGTGAACATGACACGAACCGCGGAATGCGCTGTTGATGCTTGATAAGTTAATTCTGCTCTGCTTCCGATTCCTGGTAAGGTGTTCCCTTCATTATCTACATCATGTTTTCCGGTCGAACTGATCGAACCCATGGATATGTAGCGTAATACCTAGTGAGGATGGCGGTCTGACCAATTTTGGAGGTAGGCAGGACGACGGGGGGACGATGACCCAGGGCTGGGAAAAGGGGAGAGCATATGGCTGGATGAGAAGCTGAATTGACTCTGACCTCGGTCCCTTGAATGCCCCCCAGGAGGCTAAGACTGCGTGGGGTCGTCTCAGATCCAAAACATAGATGCGGGATCATCCATAGACCGGTCCAGGACCGATGTCCCAGGTGATCTGTCACATTGTCCCTTCAGTACTATACACTAGGTATTACCTAACTAATGATAGTACTTACTCCGTAGTCTATTGATCATAGAAGTTGAAAAAATAGCGCATCTAGTACGGAGTGCTCTGTGCCAGATGTTCCAATGGGCCCTCCAGCCTGGAATTCATGCGGCATTACTCCGTATTCGGCGGTAGCTTGAGATGACGAAATCTTCCGAATTCATTACATATATTGACTTATGTATTGCAGTAACCAATACAAATCGGGTACATATATTGGGTCCCGAACACCCGATTGGTGTACTCATCATATCCCACTGCACGAAGTAGATCCAGGGGCTTGGCAGCTAATAGATCCTGAAATGAGATCTGTTATACTCCCTATGTGCAGAAGACTTCCAAGTTGCCGTTATAACTCATGGTCATGTATGACAGGCTAGGACTCGAGGGCTTTCCAGGGGTCCAAAAGCATTCGCACCACTTTTCCATGGAATAGTGTTGGTTTCCGTCAAAAATTTGGTCAAACGGCTTCCTGGGGACGCCATCTAAGATAGAGCGAGTGCAATAGCGATCTGATGAAGCAGACAAGATGAAGGGAGGACTGTGACCCTGCGGACAGTGGTGGACGACATCTCAGACCCATGAAACGATCATAGGAAACAGATCTTCAGAGGCTGGCTCACGAAGGAGTGTATTTGGCTGTTCTCTGCGACCGTAGAGCTGCGGCCTGAAATATACTACATGTATCAACTGGTGCTGGAGGCTACACTGCGGCGCTGTTTCGCCAGTACATTAAGTATGTTCACATGCTGCTACACCTATGTATGTGAACTCAGTTGTTGCCTATCTTCCTCCCAATTCCTAGATCGACCTATGTGTCAATTGTACGCCTCAGCTTATCAAAGGGAATCTGGACGATCTACTTGATCCCCCACTTGCTACCGCAAGGTGACGGATGTCGAGGTTGAAGACCGGTTTTGCCGACACCGATCCGCGTCACGGATTCCGGCTTGTGGGTCAAGGGGGGCGGGAGGAAAGCTTGGCTTGGGGTTTCAAAAGCCTTGCAGTATATACTCACAGTAGACGACGTAATGGTGCATAAATCGTGTTTATTGTGATGAGATAAGGATCATCTCTACTATAAAAAGTTCATGCAGGGTATGTACTAGTTTTGATGCTCACAATTGAGACACCGTACGTGTACATAACCCCCAAGGCCCGTGGGCCTTCTGTATGAGTTGCCAATCAAGTAGCTCTCAGAATCTCCACGAAGATGCCGACGAAAACCGATATTGCAAGGTATTTACAGCTCACTGCTAGTATACGCAACCCGGTGGAGCAATAATGGAGGTTCATTGGCTTGCGTGATCTATTCACGAAGAATCACAAGGTCCGGGAAGCGTGTCAATCGGGGTCACCGTCGGATGACCAACAGCCCGTTCTTTTCGTAGCCCAATGGAGCTCAAGTTGATCCTCTCTTTTCACTCGGTACCCCTCCACAGAGGCTGGCTACCGTATAGGATCAAAGGCTGATGCAACCCCTTGCATCGACCGCATTCCAGAACATGCATACATCGGAGCTTTCCAGTATGCTACTTGCTCCATATGGAAAGAAGTTGCAGATCAGTGAGGCCCAGTGAGTCTTTGTCGCGCCCTCTCACGGTCTTTGACGCAGCCACGACGGCATCCCTCTCCTTGATGGTCTCATAGGGGATCTCCCACAACCATGCGAAAGTATGCTCGCTGTGTTCGAGGCTGTGGAGCCATCGATACTTCATGATGAAGCTCCCCCCACTTATATCTTGGACCAAGCTTGATCTCTTTGTTGTTCTCCACAAATTATGATCATGATCTGCCGCACTGCTGACGAGTTGGATGCAGCCCAATTCCCGGGCTGATCATTGGTGACCCTCGCTTCTGTTTGGTGCCTTGATAGCTGTGGAATGCGTGTAACAAGCTTCCCCTAGGCTCGTTACGCGGTGTATTGTACACCAGCTCACTGGGTAGACAGGGCGAGTTCAAGCTTTTACCTTCCTCACAGTGGCGCACTGACCTTGAGTATATTTTACTTATATCTATCATGGCATAGCTCCCCTATTCCCTCGTGCTAGGGTCTCACTGCTCATTTATCTTTCCGGTCGCAGAAATTCTGTATTTCTTGGGACAAAATCCAGTACATACTTGGATCTCTTTTGGTCCATTTCAAGGGATATTTGCCCCAGGACGAACTCCATTCATCGAGATCTCCACACGGAGATTGACCTGGCTCAGTCCAAAAAAATTCGATAATGAACTCCACCGATG